CAGTGCTCAGTGCTCAGTGCTCAGTGCTCAGTGCTCAGTGCTCAGTGCTCAGTGCTCAGTGCTCAGTGCTCAGTGCTCAGTGCTCAGTGCTCAGTGCTCAATGCTCAGTGCTCAGTGCTCAATGCTCAGTGCTCAGTGCTCAATCCCTAGTCCTCCAGCCCCAAGCCCCAAACCCAACCAAACCCAGCAGAATGTCATCTCGCAGCAACGCAGCAGACGGCACCATACATCGCAGTGCGCATGCATGCATGTATGCAGCTGCGATTGCGGGCGCGGGCGCGGGCGCGGGCACGGGTGTGCGGGAGCGGGTGCGGATAGCTACATACATACATACATGTACGGATAACACACATACATACAGTCCATACAGTACATATATACACTTTCCATATATACAACTCTACATATAAACCTACGCAGCTACGCTCTAGTTAAATGTACACACATGGCATTGGCACTGCTATTACCATTCCTTAGCACTATCTAGCGTGGCATATCTCAAGCCGGTCGGTGCCTCGCTGCGAACAGGAATGCCGGCGCGCTGGGCCCGTGGGCGTGACGGAAGGGGTGAAGGGTGAAATGGAATGAATGGAATGGCCAGCGAGGCCAGCGAGGCTAGGGCCGACGTGTGGAGGGCGCGCGCGCAGGGTGAAGGGTTTAGATCCTGGTCTCCCGTGCCGTATGCATGCATGTATGTGTGTATGCGGGAAGGGTAGGATAGGGTAGGGTAGGGTAGGGTAGGATGCGTAGTGTAGTGTATGTGTGTGTGCTTTGCAAACGGCAAGGCTGGGATGAGATGAGTGAGATGTGTGTGCTTTTTCGCTTTCGTTGGGGGTTGGGTTCGGGGTTTGTAATGTGTGTGTGTGTGGTATATTGTTTGTTTCAGTGTTTGAGGGGTTTGTATATACTGTACTGTGTTGTATGGAGTATATTGGGACGATATTATACTGCGCTGGATCTGCTTTGGTTGGTTGGTTGGTTGGATGGTTGACTGGTTCGTTAGGCGTGTAGGAAATCGTGGTGATGGTGGTGGGGTGAAAGTTGGGGCGCGGGTGTGTGCATGTGGATGCATATGCATGCATGCATGCGTTATGTATGTGTGCGTGTGGGAGTGCCGGTGGGCGGGGGCTGTGCTTTGAGATGGGATGGGATGGGATGGGAAGTGTGTGTGTAGTAGATTCACTGTTGAGAGAGATCCATGTGTGCATAGATGGATGGATGGAGGGGATGAATGGACTGTCTAGTTTTGGATTGTGAACGTGTGATTATCGTGGGCGCGGAGTGAAAGGACTCAATAGAGTGAAAGAGTATATCAAATAGGCATACACACTACACCAGAGCAACGACAAGGCTCGAGCACGACCATCCGTCTCTAGCCAGCGCGTCAACTGCGATTCATAGTTCATAGTAATAGTAAAACCCTAATTAGTAAAATCCGCCTCCCTAGCAGAAACGCTAGAAGCCAGCCAGCCAGCCCGCCAGGCTAATTAACACACAACAACCTCAACCTCAATTCCAGTTCGCATCACACCTCCAGCACGCACGCACACACGCACACCCCCAAAACCAAATAATACCTCCCATACTCAACAACAACAACCAGCAACAACCCCCCCAAAAAAAGGCGCCGCTTCGGCCCTTCCCTCCCATATCCCCCCGCCCGGTCCTTTTCCTTTCTTTCTTCCTTTCTTTCCTTCCTTCCTTCCTTCCTTCCTTCCTTCCTTCCTTCTCCCGCCCTTCTTCTCCCCTAACTCAGCACACACCTCTCTCCCCTGTCGTCCGTGGCCCCGTCCCAGGCTCTATATGGCACGGAGCGTCCGCGCTCGGTGGTATTGGGGTTCTAGTTAGCCTGTCTGGCTGTCTGTCTGGCTATCTGTCTATCTGGCTTATTGTTTGGTGCGTGGGTGGTGCGCAGGATATGCGGGGGTGAGGCGCGGAGGAGGCGATGTTGAGGGTTGTGCTGTGCTGTCTGTGGGTGGGTTTGTGGGTGTGGGTGTGTGGTGGTAGTGTAGTTAGTGGTATCGTGCGCCGCAGCGTTGCAGGGTGGACGGAGATGGCTTGGTGGGGATCAGCGCGTTTCTGCCTGCTTGTTTGCGCTGTGTGTTTGCTTTGTTTTTTTGTCTTGTCCGGCTGGCTGGCTGGCTGGCTGGCTGTGTGAGGTTGTAGATTTAATGTATGTATGTAGGTGTTCATGTACGACGTATCTGCCTGCCTGCCTGCCTGTCCGCGTGCCCATCCATCCACCTGCACAGACGTTCCCGTGTAGCCCATGCCATGCTCCGCGATGCCATCCATAGATTGCCCGACCGAGCGGCAATTTCTAGAGATCGAAATATAGATAAGATATAGATGGGGGGCATTTGTGGAGCAGAGCGGCGAGGCGTTCTTCGTGTGCTCCGGGTATGCTATGCTACGGGCGGCGGTAATCTCATACATGCTGTATGCTATCATCGGGGGCTGTGATATACTATACTATACGGCACTATACGTGAAGCACCTAGGATTTGGATAATGTGATATCATTGCTTTCTGCGTCGGCTGGACATGCCCGGAACGATGGCTCGGTAGCTGGCTAGCCAAGTTGCCTCCTCCTCGGACAGCCTTGACCTGGGACCTCCGAAGCAATGCTACGATGGTGTAGATGTCTAGATAGATACATAGATCGATAGAGGCCATAACCTGATAAACCTGTCTCCACGAATATTCAGTTGATTTAGCCCGTGAATGAGTCCGTCCGTTAGTTGGTCAGCCATTCCCAGTCTAATCCGCTTCCCCGATCCTTCTTCATCTTCATCATCTTCTTTATCGTCTTCTACAAGGCGGCCTAGAACCTACTAACTAACTGACTGATCGATCACACCACCCACCCCCCCTCAAACCCCCATCTATCAAATCATGCATACATGCAAGATCTTGGCATCGACGTGCGCATGAGTATCGCCCGCTCATCGGCCGTTCGTCGCGGCTGGGCTTTTCTTCACACGTCTGTCTGGGGTTGGTCTACACGTCTGCAGAGTCTACAGTCTTATAGAACCCAGATGCAGACACATTCACAGATATGGGGTATATGGGGGGCATACAGCATCCCCGGCGCTGCACTCCCCACATACATATGTATCGTGCCGTGCCGTGCGTGCATGATGTATGTATGTGTATGTATGTATGGATACGAGCGTGTGTGCGTGCATGATGTATGCGTGGGATGTATACGTTCGTTCGTTCGCATGTAGTATATGTTCCCGTATGTAGAATATGTTCGCGCTTGTAGCATGTTGATTCGTACATATATGTATACACATCGTGCGTAGGAGAGAAGAGGGCGGGATAAGGGGAGATTGCGGGGAGAGATGATGAACATGGGAAGGCTACATAGGAAAAGCGGGCGATTATATGGCAAGGAATGCAAAGCACGTAAATGATTGTCCTTTGGCATGGTCAGGTTTCGAGTCAGACGGGGGGTTGTCGTATATCGTATATCATGCATCGCGCACTTCCTGACTGGGAAGATACGTTATATGCTTTAGAATATATATGCTAGATATCCTACTTGCTCGTGCTATTGAATGTCGAGTGTGTATATGGCGTGTATATATATACACTACCCTCTCGCTTGGTGATATAACCTTTTCTTGCTCCCTACCCTAGGATAAGAAGTATCCGCCCCCCCTACGAGACATGGTGCGAGAAGATAGGACTAGAGACAACTTCCTGAGTACCGTTGAGACTTTGCATATATATGTATACGACTACGTCCCCTTTCGGATCCTCCACTTGAAATTAACCATCAAGTTCCTGCTAAACGCCCCCTTTTTCCGGCTAAATCTATATGAACATAACACATATAGTACACAAGTATATATGCATGCATGCATCCATCTGCTCCATTCCCTCGCAGTAGACTAGAAGTTAGAACTGCAGCTTAACCTAAACAGCGTATCCAGAACAGCGTATCCAGAACAGCGTATCCAGAACAGCATATCCAGAACAGAACAGATAGACAGACAGGCAGGCAGATATCAAGCAACCAAGCAAGCGCCAGAAAACAGCCGGAATCGAAAACAGCCGAAGAGCAAACAACGAAGGAATGAATCTATGCCTTTCTTTATTATCAGACTTTGCTTGATATAGGGTTTGAGTCATTCGTGGACTTTTACTCATGGATACTTTACTTTTATCAACCCTGCTTCATAGACCCTGACTTATGAATCTACATGTCTAGCTTAAAAAACGACATAGCCGCCGTAGACATAGCCCTTCATTCATAGACCTTTATCTATATAGACTCAATTTCGTTTATAGAACCCTTTAGCCTATCCATCTTACCACCCATAGCCCGTATCTTATACGTCGAGACAGACTTTCTACTCCTAGTACGCACGCTGTATTACTTACTTCTTATCTTACTATCTATTTAATGGATATATACAAACGAAGAAGCGAATAAACACACGCGGTAAACACACACACACACACACACACACACACACACACACACACACACACACACATGAATACATAAAAAAACACAGCGAACCAAAAAAACGAACAAAGAAATAGATTTAACATAACCCCCTTGTCACTATTTACCTCCCTCTCTACCTCCCTCTCTCTCTCTATCTACCTACCTAGACTAGACTAGACTAGAGTAGGTCTAAGAGGCGTAAAGTAGTAAAGTAGTATAGAGTAGTCTTAGTATATAGTACGTAGTATAGAGTAGTATCTATATATATATATATATATATGAATATAAGAAGTACTACTTTCTCCTCCTCCTAAGGACCTTCCTCTCCATCTTCTTTCTTCTCTATCTCTATCTCTATCTCTATCTCTACTTTAAACTATACTTAGTATCTTACCTCTCACCCCATCTTTACTCCCTAGTACTACTATATATAGATCCATCCATCCATCCATCCATCCATCCATCCATCCATCCATCCATCCATCCATCCATCCATCCATCCATCCTCCAGCCGTAAATCTAGTAATCCTATCAATATCGGGAAATCAAAAAGGGGATGCTAGAGATTACTAGACGTGAGTTGCATGTCTTGTCTTGTCATTGCTCTGTCCTGTCACAGTCAACATCAAGTCCATGTCACGTCACATCACATCAAATATCAAGCCAACACACAGGCCGTGGAAGAGCAAGCACACGTCGCTTTTGGATTGATTGGTCTCGTTATCATAAGCTCCATCATAACTGCCATCGATCGGTCTGTCTGTTTTCATGTCCGCCGTGATGCCCCGGCCGCCGCCGCCGCCGCCGTCTGTTCCCAGGACGAGGCGGGCCGGTACGTGAGAATTTCACCATCATGTCCGCTCGCTCGCTCGCTAGCTAGCTTTCATAAAAAAAATTCTTCATATTCCAAAAAGACCAAAACCCCAATATATTGTGTGTGTGTGTGTGTCCTGGCGTTCGGGAGGAAAAGGGAAAAAGACAATCGAACCAGAGTGTAGCCTGTATGCGAGCCCCCTCCCCGTATCCTCCCCGGTATTCGCCGTGTTGCTCCTCCTGAATGAATTTGAACAAGAGGAGAGAGGAGAGAGAGAGAGAAAAAAAAGTATTGTTAAAATCCGTCGTAGCCGTAAAGTTTGCTTTGTCTGGCTCGACTTCGTTTTTAATGTGGCGAGGCCGTCTGTCGCGAAAGCGCTGGAAAAAAGTACAAGTCGTCACGCTGTGTATTGAATCGCTGCCACATACACCATGATCATTATGGTGTGCTGGAAACCTGTGATGGGGGGATCCACGTCGTGAATGGTAGTTGTAATAGATGGAGTCTGGGAGCGCGAATTTAAGGTCGTAAGTCGTTAATGCCGGGAAATTTCGATGAGAACATGTAAAGAAATCGGTAGAGAGTGTTGGTGCGGTGAGGGCGGCGGCCGAGTGTACGGTCGTCGTGTTCGCAGTCGCAGGAGAGAGGCAAGTATGGACAGGCTGCAGGATTGTTGTGTAAAAAAAAAAAAATTAATGGCAGCGGATTAGGCAGGCAGGCAGACAGGCACTGCTCGGTCGTGTCTATGTCGTCGTGCGGCTCATAATATATGTGGACTGGTGACCTAAACCCAGGGCACTCAAGCAGGTGCCTTACCTCCTCCGCTGCTGGACCGTGGGCTGCTGACTGCGTTGAATGCTGCCATTCCCGCTAAAGGGACTGCCAACCGCTCCACCGCCAACGCTGTCTTCGCGCATGGTCTTGCGCCGTTTCAGGCCGTCAAGGTCGTCAGCACCGCCGTCCCGATGACGTGCGTAGTCTTGCTCGTCTTCGTCATCGCGTCCCCGCTTCGCAGACGGGACGGTGTTGGCAGATGGATACTGGCTCGGGTAGCCACTGTGGATGGGCGGGGCTGTGTAACCGTCACTGCCACCGTTAGGGGCGTGTCGGCTGTCGTTACTCATGACATTCATCAGACTGGTAGCGGCGGGCTGTGCTCGCTGTGCAGTGTATGCTGGATTCCATGCAGTGCCAGTCGTGGTCGTTCGAGGAGTCGCCCTCCCAGAGCCGTTTTGGTGTGGGGAGCCAGTCATATCCGGCGAGAGGTGAGCCGTCTCGCCGTGCACGCCATTCGTGGCCGCGTAGCTGTAGTTCCTGCTGGAGTTGTAAGGAGCACTGGTGTGTGTGTATTCACTCTCATGCTCGGCCTCGTCATCATGTCCTGATGATGCTTGGTTCAACAGAGCTTCCGAAGGCTTCGTTTCAGCATGGTGGTCCTGTTCCGTGGCTGTTCGGGAGGGTGGTGCCATTTCGGTCTTGGGATAGACGCCACCCTGCATCGGTTGGCTGTAGCGATCCACCGGCGGCGGGCCCGCGCTGTACTGTCCTTGCTGGGCAGGAGGAGCAGAGTACAGCTGTCTGGAGCTGTCATAGCCTTGCGTGGTGCTGTATGCCGCCATGTTCTGCATTGCGCCTGGAGGAGTGGAGGCTGGTGTTGTCGGGACAGAGCGAGTGTTGCTGATTCCCGTATCTATTGATAGTGGCTGACCGTTCTGCATGTTCGATACGGAGGGACTGTTCCACTCGTAGGAGTTGCCCTGGCTGCCCATGGCCATGATGCTCGAGGCGCTGGCCGGAGGAGTGGGGAAGGTGTGAGCACGATCAAGGCCTGGTCTGGCCGCGTTGGGATGAGGAGCGATAGAGTTTGGCTGTGGCATGTGCGAAGGAATGGAGCTGCTCATGGAGTGGTGGTGATGTAGCGAAGGCGACTGGGAAGTTTGCGGCGCACCAATGTAGCGCTGGTCGGGACGTCTTCTGCTCTGCTCAACCGCCGTCATGGTGGCACTAACGGAAGTGCGGCCGTTCTGATTCGACGGGTGATACAGCAAACTGCCAATGTCGTGGACAAACAGAGGGTATAGAGATTCAGTAATCTTCTCCTTGTTCGCGAATTCCAATGCTCGCTCATAAGGGATCCTGGGCAGACAAGATTAGTGACCAGCCGACGACTCGACGCGGAAGTCGCCTTCTTACCAGACACCCTTGAGATGCATGGGTCCAATCTTGACCACATGTCTCACTTTTTCGCTCTTCAGAATGCCGTCACGTCGACCACGTGTCATGCCGGCGACATTCAGCAGCTTCGTGCCGTTAATCATGTGATTATCTGGACTTGTGAGTCTTGTTGCACGCGTCAAGGTTCAAACAAAAGTCATCGTACCTTCGCGTCGAGCAACACAGATGCCCTTGGCTTCGACTTGGAAGCAGAGTGTGCCTTCGTCTTCCCAGAGAGTTGCAGTCACTCGAGGCTTCATGCCGGGTGGGGCAACCTGGCCGGTTTGGTCAAAGGTATGGCTTCCGTTGTATTGGGACGCGGGAAGCGTAGAGCCGGGCCCGGAGGTTGACATTGCTGCATGCCGTTAGCGTACCACAAATACATTGTAAAACCAAAAAAATTTAAGCATACCAGGCAGTGGGGCAACCGAAGGGTTCATGTGCGATTGCACTTGGTAGCCGGACGGTACGCCGTTGCTGTAGGCATGACCGTACTGGCTCTGCGAGCCGTAGCTGGGCTGGCCATGTTGCAGTATCGGAGGCTGCTGATACTGGGAGGGATAGTGGCTCATCGAGGACTGCGCTCCGTTGGGAGGGGCGTGAGCTAGAGAAGAAGAATGAGGCTGATGCACGTCTCCATATTGCTGCATGGTGGTCATACTGTGGTTGTGGTTGTGGTTGTTATTGTTGTTGTTGTTGCTGCTATAAGGCTCCTGGCTATAGGCGTAACTCTGGCCGTTTGGTGGCTGGTCGTAGGACAAGTGCGCAGAGTGCGAGTATCCTTCGCGTTTCAGCGGCAAGGACGGCTGCTCTGGCGAGGGCGTTTTGTAGTCGTGATGCGCGCCGTGGACAGACGAGGCGTAGGACGTGTTTGAGGCGGCACTGTTGATTACAGAAGCCGAGCTAAACGAGCCACCTCTTGGAGATGACGAGGTGGACGGCGTGCTTGCCGGAGCTTGAATCTGAGGCAGTCTGTCGGAGTAGCCAGTAGACTGGTGGTGAGATGGGTAGAGGGGACTGCTCCACGGATCGGCGGCGCCTCGGGACTGAACCTGCGAAATCGACGGGAGAGCCAGCTTTTCGGTATTGAGGGTTGAAAGACTGGAACCAAGTCTCAACCCGCACGATTATAGTCTACGCAGTTCCTCGGTTCTGAGGATCGAGTCGACGGACGGACGGACGGCAGTGGCCGGTCGCAAGCGTGGCAGAGTCGAGGTTGAATGGGACGTGTTTGCCTTTTGACAACAAGTCGGCCCTCGTGAGAGTTGGGGCAAGAAAGCGGGCAAGACCTGAGCACACGTGGGCAAACACACGGTGGCTAAGCGAAGCGTTGTGTGTTTTTCGGTGATTGAATCGAGGGCCAGGTCAAGGGGTGACAGAAGCCGAAAAAAGGTGGCTAGTGTGGTTGTGATCGAGGTAGGGACGAGGTGACCGGCGCTGTAGGACGAAGGAAGTGGTGTGATACGGAGGGCAATCAAGGCGAGTATTGATTGGACGTGGTGTCGGTCGGGGAGATGGTAATGGATGTTTCTGGGGGCAAAGTCCGGAGAAGTGAAACGCTGCAATGCTGAACAGAAGAGTAAAACTTGACGTCGTTACTTCGTTGCGGTCGTTAAAAGAGGTAGGTCGAAACGGTTTTGTGAAGGGCGAGCAATGGCGCGCAAGCTGACAATACGAAGACAATGGCAATGGGCAAGCCAAACGACTGAGGTATTGTTATGAGAAGCAAGCTCGCGACATCCGGAGGAGGGATGGGAGCAATGCTTGTGTGTGTTCGTAGTCGGAGGTGGGTATATGCACCAGGTATGTATGTATGGATGGATGGGGGTGGAGCTGGGTGGTGAAGTGGCAGAGCTTCGTGCGTGCGGGCGGCAGCTATATGGATGCGCACTAAAAAGCGAGGCGCCGGCTGTGCAGATGGAGGTTAGCAAAGAATGCTGGTAAGGAGAAATAGAGCGAACAGCGCACCAGGAGAGTGAGTGTGTCGTGACAGCACACAAAGACACGCCTCTCACGAGCCTTTGAAGGGGAGGGAGTGAGGAAGAGAGGTGGTCGGACGGGTGTGGAGAGCAGGACAGGACAGGAAGAGGGCAAGGTGAAAAATGGAAGAGGGTCTTGTCTCGCACAGGACAGTGAGTGGGGAATGGGCGGCGGAAGTAGGAGGTTTACAAGCGGAGGAGGAGGTTGGGATTGTGACTTTTTACTAGCGCGGCGCGAACGAAGCCAGGCCACAGCTAACGACAGGCGGAGGCGGGAACAATTGAGGTCGGAGCGCCGAGGAGAGAGGGAGGGTGGAGGAGATGGTGATGGTGGTGGTGGTGGTGGTTATGTGTGATGGCAGTTGTGTGTGTGTGTGTGTATGGGAGAGACAATACAGACGAATGCAGTGTAGTGTGTAGTGTGTAGTGTGTAGTGTGTGGTGTGTGTGTGTGTGCGTGCGTGTGGATGGATGGACAGAGTGTCTGTGTGTATAATGGATGGATTGGGTGGTGATGCTGGATTGGCTGAGAAGGCCAGGGAAAAGTAAAAGGCTGGGGATGAGAGACGAAGGGGAGAGGGGGGGGGGGGGGGGGAGGGGGTTAGAGAAGAGGTGTAAGGAAGAGCAAAAGTGTGTCTGTGTGTCCGTCTGTTGTTCCGGGGAGTGTGGCTAACCTTGTAGTAGTGTAGCGGGAGGACAGTTCAGCGGACGGACTCGTGGGTAGATCCGTGGCAAGCGTGTGCGTGGTGGTGGTGGTGGTGGTAGGAGTAATAGTAGTGGTAGTAGTAGTTGGAGTTATTAATAATGAAGACGAATAGACAATTGATAGTCGAGGATTGGATTGGATAGGATGGACGGGTTAGAAGGGTTCGTCAGGCGAAGAGCGTTGGCGGGGACAAGCTGCAAGCAACAAGAAGACCAGTCGGCTGTTGTGTGTGTGTAGAGTACAATAGATCAAACGAGCTCTCAAGGCTAGATTGAGGAGAGTGAGGATGGATGGCAAGAGATGATGATGACGATGCTGATGATGATTATGTTGGACGTGTGTATGTGTGTGCGTGTGTGTGTGTGTCAGTGAGACAACGGGTGGATTGCAGGATGAGTAGTGAGATCTGGGAGCGGCGGGCCTCGATGGCGCATATGTATACTTTCCGCAGCCTGCACGCAAGCAAAACCGCATCAAATCTGATCTTTGGGCTTGGGAGCTGCATGTGCATTGCAGAAAGCTGCAGGACGGGAGACGGATGATTGACCGAGACCGGATCAGAGCCAGAGCCAGAGCCAGAGCCAGAGCAGACCACCGAAGCAGCAGCAGAAGCAGAAGAAGCAGAAACGAAAAAGACGGCACGGAAAACAGACGAGCATGGATGGATGGAATGGATGGAGTCGAGGATCCACACCACGCGCGCGACGGACAAACACACACTCACTCGCTCTCTCGCACTCATACACACACACACAGACCAGATACAACACACAGACGTAGAAGAACAACAAGCCCGCCGAAAGCATACCGGGGGAGGGGGGGAACAAGAAATAGAAAAGAGAACATTCAGCAGCAGCAGCAGCCAGGGCAGGGGCGGGAGCACGGGACAGCGGGATCACACACACCCACATCCATACACACAGACGCACACTCGCACACACCCACACGCAGACACACACACAGACACACAACGCACGTACCAAACGGCAGGGGTGGGTTAATAATATCAAGGGAGAGAGAGAATGAGTGCGAGGGAGGGTGTGTGTGTGTGAGATAATAGAGAGAGGGAGGGAGAGAGGGAGAATTAGCTGGCTAGACTGGCTGGTAGGGCGGCAATTTAGTGGGTGATATGGGGGGGCATGATGGCGCGGGACTGGGCAGGGCAGGGCAGGGCAGGGCAGGGCGGCAGGGCAGGCCAAAGCGACCACCCCTCTCTCTCATAAAGCCCCCCCAAAATCCCCCCAAAATCCCCCCGAGTGCCAGGCCGGACTGCTAATTACCGGGGGGGACGGCAGCGCACATACCGGGCCTGCCTCCACCGCCACTCATTACAACTGCCACTCCGTCCCGCGACCCTCGACCCTCGAACACAACTATTATACATACAGTCTGCAAACACTCTCTCTTCTACATGCTAACCACCTGCACAACTCACTCTACACCTGATACTATACCCAGATATCTGGTTACATACTACATACAACAACAACAACAACAACAGCAACAGCACCTCACAAACACCTCTTTTGCCTCCCACCTGCCTGCGTGAATAACAATTAATCTCGCTGCTGTCAACCTCTCTCCACTTCATTCTTCCATCCATCCATCCCTCCCATCCCACTCCACACAACTCCACACCACTCCACTATCACACACTCCACTTGGGCCAGCGATCCAAATTGTGGACCCGCTGCACCGCCATCTGCTGCCTGTCTTGGCCTGTATTGTATCTACAGTTCCACGCTGCATCGTCTCGTCTTCGCCGGCCTTTTTCCTTGTTTAACAGATTATGTATGCACTTTTGACACATTCTACGCATCTACTAGAAGCTCCATCTAAGACTAATTGCTAGACGATGGACGATATACTCAATCCAGGACAGGGTTACTATATAAGTAGAAGACGAGGAACGAGAGGGAGAATGCAGCGCGCGCGAATAATAGCAGCTTGCAAGCACACGCCCCTCCATGGCGCTTTTCGGCAGCTTAGTAGATTAATAACGAAGCTGCTGCTGCTGCTTGGCCTGTACCTGTACCTGTATATTAGCTGGCTGGCTAGCTAATAGCTATACGACCACACCCTCGCTTTTTCGTATTTCCATCCAGAGTCAGTCTGGACTGTCGGTGGTGATGATACAATAATATCAATACTAATGATAATAATATCAACATCAAGAATAACACCAACAAACCCTCTGCAGACCCTGCTCTCTTACTCTCTCACACTCTCGTTCAGCCTCTAGTACAACAATATGCACGACCGTCATGGCTGGCTGGCTGCGTGTTGCGGGACGGCGCGAGATGCGATGTGCGATGTGCTTGCTTGCTTACCTGCTTACCTGCTTACTTGCCAGCCAGCCAGCCAGCTTAATTCTTGCTGTACTTGCTCTTTCACGCCAACGGCCCTCCCTACCGCTCGCTACCCTGCCCTGACCCTCTCTACCCTTACCCGTACTGTACTCTACCCTACCCTCCACTAATTACCCACTACTGCTAGGTACTTCTGCTACGTACTAATTCCTCCCTACTGCCTGCCACTGCTTACTGCCTGCACGCCATGCCATGCCATGCCATGCCATGCCATCCCAGACCATAAACGTCTTTTCTTTCTTTTTCTTTTTCGTTTTCTTTTTGCAATTCAACGGCGGGCCTTAGAAAGACGTGCAGATGGACGGGAGTTTTGTGCATCATCTTCTTGACGGTCTTGTGCGCCTGATATTGATAGACACTCACCATCGGCTGCATCAACTTTGACATGCAGGGATCATCTCAAACCTGCCCGTCGTGCCGTCTTCTCCATCCATCCATCCATTCATTTGCAACGCATGCATGTGTGTCTGTATATATGTATATGCTTGCTTGCGTGCATGCTACACGCGGTTTTGACGGACTAGCTGAATCACCAACTACACAACTAACTAACTGACTATCAACTGTTCAACATCACTCGCCTCTTCGCTTATTCGCTAAATCGCTTAACAACAACAACGAAGACGAAAAAGAAGCAAAAAAAAAGAAACACCAGACCGCCAAGCCCGCACTACGGAACGGACTTTCTTGTTTTGGCCCCTCCCCTCCCCTCCCCCCCCGGAAGGCTATTAGAATTGGATAGAACAGCTAGACCGGATAGATTGACGGATAGATAATAGATAGCTAGATCGAAACAGATAGCTAAGCAGATAGCTAGACAGATAATAGATACGCACGCCTCAAAAGACTAATTTAATTACACGAAGCGACACACACACGCACGCCCAGCCATCATATCCATCCATCTCCATCTCTCCTTGAAATAAAGCAGAAGGAGGCAGAGAATACTACCCGTCTCCACGATATTTGTATAACACAACACAACATAACACAACTACACCCTCGTCGGACGTTCCAACGTTAGTCTAGCGTACGCGAGGGGGAGGGGGGCTCCAAGCTCCAAGCACCAAGCAGAGTAAGGAAGGAACGAAAGAAAGAACGAAAGAAAGAGACGCGATCTCGGTGCTTTTCCCGGTCCGTAATTATCGTCCGTGGGTTTGTTGTTGTTGTTGTGTAGAGCGAGGTTGGGAGGTTGTAGGGAACCACTCGCTCGGATTTTCTCTCTTTTGTGAGAGTGAGAGAGAGAGAGCAAGGGAAGGAAGACAAGACGGTGACTTTGTGATTAATTTCCGAGTAGGGAGGGAGCATTATTGCTGAACAACCGTCGTGTTCTGCTCGTGCTGCGTGGATGAGGTCTGGCTGGCTGGGTTTGGGAGCGGTGCTGTTGATGCTCAGGGACATTGCTTCTTTCTCTGTCTGTCTGTCTATCTATCTATCTATCTATCCATCCACCCATCCATCCATCCATCCAACTGTACAGAGACGTCCATGTAGCACGCAACATCCTATATAGGCACAACCCGTGATGAATCGAATCGCACGAACCAGGGGTGCCTGCCGCCCGCAAGACAAGGCAAGGCCGACGACAGGCAGGCAACGGAGAAATATTCCTTGGCTGGGCGGCGGCCCTGGTGGGTGCTACGTGGACGGCGGACAGACAGCATGCGAATTGGCGCAGGGTGTGTGATCTCCAGTACTAATTAGCTAGCACATACCAGCCAGCCAGCACCTGGCACTGTCAACGGCGCGCGCTGGGTCAGTCAGTCAGTCAGTCTGCATGCAAGACGGTATTATGATTGATGAACGATACCAACGATTTTGTGCAACTACTTACCTACCTGCCTACCTACCTACCTACCTACCTACCCACCCAAAACTACACAAAGCAATGGCCGTCGTCGCGTCGTGTGCGAAACCATTCCAGGAGCGTAGCGTGATCGTGATAGGTGCTTGCGCAGTCTTGCGGTGAGGACTGGTGATGCGCTGGCCGTTGCTAAACCGCTTTTGGATGGAGTCACTTGGGGGTGTTGGTGATGGGGGATGGGTGATGGGGGATGGGGGCGCTTAAGGTCTGGGGGGAGGTGGAGGAGTCTACTGCTTTCCTTGAATTCTGTCTCATCCACTCGAACTCGAACTTATGGATCGGATCGTGTGTTTGGTTTGGTTTGGTTTTGGGGGGCAGAGAGTAGACTGTCGTGATGGTATACACATCCTGACATTGTCATCACCATCCATCACCATCACCATCACTATCATCCATCCTGCTCGAGCTCGCCATCAATCACCATCCATTCATTCCACGGGACCGCCCTCTGTCGAACACACTTGTGCACACACACTCATACATACACACACTCATACACACACACACTCATACACACACTCCTACACACACCCACCCCCATTCACACGCACATACGCCCGCGGAACAATCTGGTGGCTGAGGCGACGCGACGATATGATGATGATGATGATGATGATGATATGCAGATACAGAACGTCCCGAGCCACAAGTCTACCTACTACCTACCTGCATACTTACTACGCGCTTTTGTTGCCACCACCATCACTGCGCACACACCACCTCCTCTCAGCCTTATTCCTTTCCCTTGCTGTCTCTCCTTGCTCATTTCCAAATCTTCCGTACATTATTCAGACTCTCATCGCTCACTCTCCGTGACCTCCTGCATAATCGAATCCATCCCTCGAAAAAACTCCGGTTTTGCGATCATCCTGTTGTCCATCCATAGCTAAACGAACCCCCGTCCGTCCGGTCCGTCAGTCCGTCCGTCCACCCGGACTTTTTCTGCCTTCTTTTCCTTCCTTCCTTCCCTTCCTTCCTACTCCCGTGACATGACTCGTCCTGCCTTGCCACAAATGCCACAAATGCCAGAGACGCCAGAGATGACACAGACAGAGCTACGGATATATCGTCGCCATACCATCAAATTCCCGATGGAAACAACCAAAAAAACACCCACCCCCTGTTGATCTCGGGGGGGGTTTGCTCGTTACACGTACACATTCACGGACGAAGAGAGCTCTTTTTGCTAGATTGTATACGGATATAATGCTTACTGTCTGTCTACCTACCTGCTATGTACGTATTACATACTGGGGCATGGCGCGCTTCGCTTCGTCGTCGTGGTCGTGGTCGTGACTGACTGACCCCTGAGAGTCCCGGATACCGGAGTATATCAAATCAATCAGCCAACCAACCAGTGGTTTTGCTCGCGTGGACAATTATTCGTAGGAGTCGTAGGAGTAATTAGTCGTAGCCGTAAGGAACGCGTCCAGAGCGGTCCAGTCGTCGTCTATCCTCATAGCTCGCTGACTGCCTGCCTATGAGCTGGCCGATATAACCAATCTACCACTCTACCACCAAGGTCACGCTTTCCGGAACCCCCCCGTGATAAACTTGCACGAGGCTGGCTCTGCTCTCTCTAGACTGAAATAAATGCCCCTTACTTCGCCGGCAGCCCCATGGCAGCCGCCGCTAATTATCAGCTGCCCTGTGATTCCGTCACCCGTCGTCACCCGTCACCCGTCACCCATCACCCATCACATACGCACATACGGAGGGAGAGGGAACGCAGCATGTGCCAATCGTCTTCTGGGCGCGCGCGTGCAAAGTTCTCGAATCAAGCTAGTTAGGCGGGCGGATAGGGCCAGCTAGCTAGCTGGCCAGCCTAAGCCTAAGCCAGAGCCAGCCCGTTGTTCTTAGTCAGTCAGTCAGTCGGAGGGAAAAAAAAAAGAAAGGCACGATGCGATGGGATGCGATGCGATGCCTATTTCCGAACATCGAGGTTTCTAATTATTTTTTTCCTTTTCTTTACCGGACTCTTTGAACCCGGTATTTTTTTTTCATACTTCCCCATCTAGCTCCAGTGGACTACATTATCATCATCGTCGAAACATGAACCGCTTGAGAGATTACGGGGAAGGTGATGGGATGGGATGGGATGGGATGGGAATATACGGGTTTCGATATTACTTGTCCCAGTCTACCACAAATCCACCACATCGACAACGACAACGACCACGACGCTTACCCCCCCCAGGCCCGGGGACGTTCCTGCGTCGACGTGCATCCCATCCGCAAGAGAGATGCTTATGCCTCTTACCCGCTGCCCAGATACTGTAGAAGATCGTCTCCCCCCCCCAAGCAAGCCCCATGATTGGCCATGTTTCCAACCTGCATCTAGCCGCCGTGCATGACGGAAATGCGTGTGATTTTTAATTCTTTTGGATCATCATGAAGATGGGGGGGAGGGGGAGGGGGAGACCAAGGCACACGAACTAGACAGACAGACAGAAGAGAAAGAGTGCGCTGGCATGGCATGGCATGGGATTGGGCGAGCGGGTATCCGAGTGGGGGGTTTTTGTTGAGGTCAGTCAGGTCTTGAATGGAATGGAGAGAGATGGATGGCAAAACAAGAACGGCCGAAACGAGTGAGTGGTTTGACCGAGGTGGGGCCGCACGTGACACGGGTGAGGACAGGGGGGTGGTCCGGCGGCGGATTTAGGCCTGTCAGAAGGGGGGGTGAAGGGAGGTAAGGACAAGGGTAAGGGGCCGGGGGGAAAAGGAAGGACAAGCCCGCTGCGCCCGCTCCCCCCTCCCATCTATCTCCATTTGATCCACGTCCGGTCCGGGCGCTTTCGGTACCCAGGAAAAAAGCGAGGGAGAGACAAAATTCGCTGCGAACCTATTGGCCTTGCTGGAAGGTGTTTGATGTTGTTGTTGTTTGTTTGTTGTGTTCGTGATGGATAAGGAGATGAGGACTCACTTCGGCCGTACCTTGTTTCAGAGTTATTTCGTATTTATTGTCGGGGAGTTCCGTTGCTGGTCGGTGGGAGTGGGTGGGAGGTGTGAGAGGTATAAATGTTTTCTTTGAGGTAGGTGCTATGTGTGTGTGTGTGTGTGTGTGTGTGTGTGTGTGTGGATCCACTCGTACAGTGCTGTGTTGTGTTGAGTTGTGTTGGATAGATATATACATATCATGTCGAATATCAGCCATCAGCCAATGCAAGCCACTTCGTCGCTGGCCTGCCTTGATAGTAGGTAGGTAGTAGGCAAAGCCATAATAATGCTCCATCTTGTTCCTTCACCTACCTACTACATACCTAGCTCGCCAGAGACAAGGATTGCGCCCCTACCGGCACGTCTTCATTGTCCCGTCCTCGCATTGGCTCCCGCCCGCTGGATCTGCCCGTCATCATGAGTTCAGCCCTCCTCCTCCTCGTTCAATTGCAGTTGCGACGTTTTTTTTTGGTTTTTTTAAATTTCTCCACCCACCACAACAAATACTTCCCTCCTTTACTAATTAATCTCCTCATCTCGTCGCCGCCTCCTTCAACAGGCTCTCACTCCGGCCAGGAGGAGGGTCCGTCTGAGACCTTTCTTCAAGAAATGCTCCACACACATATACCTCACTCGTCTCTCTTGTTTTTTTCTACGCCGCATTCTTGATTGTGCATCAATTTAGGGAGGCAGGGAGGGGGGGAAGGCCTGGAATTTTTCAGATTATTCACCGCTTGTTTGCCTCTCTTTCCCCTGGTTTGAATTGTGTCGAGGGAGTGAGTGGGAGACGAGGGTGTGCAATCTATATTATCCCCGGCTGGCATCTGGACCACCATCCTCAATCTACCCTATCATAACTCGCTTGAGACCGCAAGAAGGGGCGCTCCGAGGGGCCCAGGGAAGGGGGGGTCTTCTTCTCTGGCTGTCTTGCTGGGTGTGTGCTAGGTGGGCCGAATAGCGACCCATTATGATGAATGGATGATGCTCTCCCTATCCGAGTCATTTGCCTTGTGTGTGTGTGTGCGGGTAGGTGTTGTTATTCTCTCATTCAGTACGATGTAGGATGTATGTATGGATGTATGTACGTGGGTCGGCCTCGCGATCCGACGTGCGAACTACAAAACATACATACACAGATGGGCTGTGCTGTGCTGTGCTGTGCTGTGTGTGGGGTAGAATCCATCGCTCATACATACATACATACATAACAACATGTATGTATGCATGATGCTCGACTTGGGCTAGCACCGACAGGTCCCGTCCAGACAAGTCAAGTCCAAACGATCATGCCACCTCTGGTTTTCTCCATCGAAAGGCCCTTCTTCGTCTTCTCAATCGTTCTATTTTGGGTCCGTTCGTGCTTCTTCTCCGCTGGTGCCCTGACTAGATATCGGGACTCGGATTTCGATTGCTCCGTTCCTGGTAATATCTGTCAATTGGATGGCCTACTTTCCCGGTTGTGTTTTTCTGTGGTCAGTTGGGCGGTGCGTATGGTTTGGAGGGGGGGGTGTACAGATGCTATCATCGACGTTGTACAAGGCATCCGTGTCGTGAAACACAAGCTGTAGCTTCATCGCAGAGACTAACGGTAGCGGAACAAAGCATCTCCGCCACGTAGATTGACCATATTCTTCTTGTATACCTAGCCTAGCGCATCACCATATCTACATCAAAAACCCACCACCACCCCAAGATCACAATTGCCCGAAAAAGAAAATGTGTCTTCTACTCACGCGATCTATATGGATCCCAGGCCTTCGCTTCCCTCCCACAAGCATAATCCCAGCGCCCGCAATCGCATAATACCAGAACCACGAAAATGTCAAAACCCGTTTTGTGTGTGGCTGGTCCAATCCGCCAGCCAGCATGGAAACCGCGCCATGTTCTGAGCTAGATCGTGACAGACACGAGAAAAGCAGGTTTTCCTGCACAGCGGCGGCGGCGGCGGCAGCGGCAGCAGCAGCAGCAGGTACGGGTACGGGTACGGGTACGGGTAAACTGTCGTGCTCCCGCAACTTCCATTGATGGATTGGATGGATGGATGGATCCAGCCGAGTGGAGTTTCCGGCCCGCATGTTCGAACGAACCATGGAACGACCAGAGATGGATGAATGGATGGATGGATTGGATAGACAGCGATGGCTGGCTGGCTCTCCCCCCGGGCGGCGGTTTTTCCCATCCACACACACACGTTCTATGTTATAGGGACCCAGACTTTTATTATCCGCGGTGCGACCACGCATGGACTGACTTGCTACGGTGAGTGTGGTACGTGCCGGGACCTAGCTGCTGGGTTGGGTGGATGGACTTGCTGGATATGAAATTGTATGATGGCCATTTCTTTGTACTGGATGTGTGCTGGGTGGATGGATAGATGGGCCTTGACGGCTTGGGCGCCTTGGAGTGTGAGTACTACGTGTGTATATGCGCTGGGCGCGCCTGTGGTGAAGTAAGGTGTACATCATGTATATATTGCGTACTCTATTATAGTCGAGTTTATAATAGTGTCACGAACTTCGACTGTCCATACCTGCAGCCAGCCGCACATCAACGACTGGCGGTCGACTGTAGTCCCGTTAAAGGACAACTCGGCCGTTTGTTTTGAAGAAAGCAGGTCCCGCAGGTAGCACGAGACTGAATGAAACATTTGTGCCTGACGGCATGTGTTTATATGAGCTGTTGTTATTGTGATATGATCTAGTTCTGCTGATACCGTGAACAGTACCGTTGAATGGCACACGCCTTTCCACGCTCACACCGATAAACGTCAACCAAGACAAACGATTCCCAAGCTCTCGTACAAACACGCCTTCAGAACACTAACCTCAGAATCTATTCCGATGATCGGGTCTTCTCGTGTACCATCACAACCCCCACCAGTGACGACGATGTTATAGGTCTACAACACCTCCTTGGTGCAACAAGTACACCCACGACTTCCCAAAAACCGAGCATACACCAATTCCTTCTACGATGAAACAACGGCTGTGTGACATATAGACAGACACGTCTAGTTGGCAGAGCATAATACCCCTCTGACCACTCTTAGGTCAGTGGTATCGTATCGAAAAGCTTATTTGGACCAGGAATAGAAACTCTAAAGGAAGGGCGAGGAGTGGGCATACTGCTGCCCTGTCACCGTCACGAAGAGAAGTGTATTGTATCACCGACTTCCGTGTTCCGACTCACATCCGTATAACAACAAAGGTAGTTCTACTTCAGTGTGAGGTATTGTACCATACGGATGACACGCGTTGATATGAATAGCTCTGGGCCTCTATATACATACGTACATGAAAGCGCCGTCTGAAGCGCAGCAGCAGCAGCCGCAGCCATAGTTCGCGTGTACAAGATACTTCTTCTCACCAGCCACCACAACACCAAAGAGACACAAATCCTCGAGAAAAATATTCTCTTGCCACGACACCCCATTCTCCCAGCTTTCACCCTCACTTCCCTCGCCCGCTCCCAAGTGACCAGAATCTGTCCCACCCACTCCACTTCATCCCACAAACCTCCCCTCCCCCTCTCTAGTACACCATCACACACCACTACACACCCATCACACCACCACGCCCCCGATCCACGAGCCAACCACCAACCAAGCCATTCAGGACACCAAGAGTGCGACGGCACAGCGTTGCAAAGCGCAGCTGGCAGCGGTGCGACGATCGGGTGCAGTGCACGACGCAGTGCAACTCAGGGGCGTTTCTGGCGGCACGTATATGTCGGGACTTAAGGCGGCTCGCGTGCGTTCGAGTTCGAGTGCCGACCTGGGGGCCATTAGAGGGGCAGGGGGGCACATCGGTCGTGCAGGTTTTGTGGTGCGACCGTTGGGAGAAGGGGAGGGGGCTGGGAGGACGTTGGGGGGAGATGGTGCGAGGATGATGCTGATGATGATGATTCTGGGTGTGGATGATGGGATTGTGGTGCACTTCGTCAGATTGTGGTGAATCGGGATGACGATGCTCAGCGCGTTTTGATATGGATGGAGACCGGTCGTATGGGAAAAGCAGACAGACGAGCACGGGCATGTGTGCCGATGTCGATGTCGACGGTGAACCCGGTCTGCGGATTATCTACCCTTTCCATGCCAAGCGCATCGTCGGATCGTGTGTCCTTGTGCGTGGCATGACAGCATGCAGAGCTTATCATCGCATATCCCGCCATCAAGTGTGTGTGTGTGTGTGTGTGTGTGTGTGTGTCGCGCCGTCTATCGTTTCGAGCCATTTCTGGACTGCCAGGTCTGAGAGAGATCTACTACCGCCGACAAACACGATGTACAAAGCTCGGAATCTGAGAGGCAAGGTGCCGGGAAACGTGAGGCAAACACTCGGGTCTTTGCGATCGTGGTATCGATTGGGGGTTCACACGGTCTCACTGTGCGAGAGTGCGATGGTTGAACCGACTCCTCTTTTGTGTGGGACGAGTCTGAGCCATGATGAGTGCAGGCGATGAGCTTGACAACCCTGATGATGTCGTAGTCCAGCTTGAGCCTTTGAAGTGGCCACCAGTACGGACCACAACATGAAATCGAGTAACAGTTTTCAAGACCCGAACGATGGACAGAGATTCACTTGTAATCAAAAGTGTAGACGTGTGTTTGGTACAGGAGCATGTCGACCTCACGAGAGAGAGCCCAGTCACTGCAAGAATCACAAACGTTGGTCTAAAAGTCCGCTCGATTCATACATTCAGTGTCATCTGTCAGGACCCATGCCTACTCCAAATGTTGAGCTACCCTGGCGATCGTTCCTCAAATGCGCAGCACTACCCCCAAAGAGACTCTTCCATATGAAGGCTTCGCTGAGTAAAAGCTCGATGTCCTTCCCGGTCCACTCCCGTGTCGGTAAAGCTTGCAGAAACATCATAATGCCTTGAAAGTCCATCTTGAGAAGCTGTTCGGACCATTTTGCAAGGAAGGCCGCACAGACATATAGATGAAAGTCCGAGAAACCGTGATCTTCCGCCTGGTGAACAAAGTTAGTACCATCTTTATCGCTGCGTTGTGGGTCATAACACACCAGGTACGTGTCCCACATCCTGATAGTGCTCTTGACGGAAATCTCCCGCATCAAAAGACAGTTCATCCATCGAAAACTAAACTGGATGAACTCTACGCCTTCGTTTTCCAGGTGCTTTGCCAGCTTAGCATCGATTCTCGCCGTTAGGTCGCGTAAGCTTGCAACCTGCCGTTGTATGCCAGGTTGCGCGTATATGTAATTGTCTTGTATGCCGTCTAGAAGCTTGGTAAGACACCAGAACGTATCTGCCTCTACTGCATCGAGGACAGGCTTTGGTAATTGCCCCGGATCCATGCCGAACTCTATATCAGGGTCGGTTATGTACATTCCAAGAAAGACTTGCCAGAATGGTGTCACGAGATCGTTTATGCCCTGTACATAACCGCTCGCGGGGTGTCGAATTGCCCATACGTACAGGATGCGCTCTAGAGATCTTTGCGTTGCTTCGTAGCCGTATAACTCAAGATGCGGGTTTGTTCGGGGAACGTCAATGCTAATCTGGTGCCAGATCGCTTCATCCAAGCCTCTCCCCCTGCCCCGGTTGCTTGCAGCTGCAGACGACTGTCCAGTTGCAGTCCCCTTTTCGAAAGCTTGACGTACACCCTCCAAGTACTCTTTCCTCTTTCTGTCTAAAGCTGTGACACGTCGCTCGCTACTCGTAGGTAGATAACCCAACAAGATCTGCCACGACATGGCGCGCACCTCTTCAGGAACTCCTGACCATGCGCAATCGCGCAGTTCGGCCAAGGAGATCGTACTTGACTGCAGTATACGCTTGAACTTGTTGATTCGGCCCAGGCGCGCGGAATGCGCTTCCTTTTCTTTGGAGCTGGCATCAGGGTGGACAGTAGGGTGATCGATCAGATGTAGCGAGTTGGCTGGGTCTCGGAGTATCTCTTGATACTGGGGGCGTAGTATCTTTCCTTCGCTCTTTTTTGCTACTGGATAATTCGGGATGCCTCTTTCTTCAGCAATGTCACCTGTGTCAACGCGCCAGAGGGACACCGTTCCACTATGAGGATCTATAGACTGCCCTTGATCATTTGCGGGAGTGTCCGGAGGTTTTCTTTTGCCTTTGCGCCGCATGCTTGCTATACTTGGGAGCCCAAACTCATCTTCGTCATCATCCTCCAGCACGAAGTCCTCTTCTTCGTCATCATCATTGTCCTCTCCTTCTGCGTCCCAATCATTGTTCGTGTACTGTAAGAAGGATGTATATCGTTTTTGGGGCGGGGGTGATAGACGACTCGAGGGTTTACTTGAAGGCGGGGCACTAGATTCACGAGAGTTGGATACCGGCGGTGTCTTCGGATGTGATCTATTGGTGCCGGACCTGCGCCATAAGTCCACATCCACGTTCTTAGATAGTAATGTCCTTACAAGGAGTCGAATTTGAGTATATCGGCGTGAGAGTATGAAGCGCCTATGATCTTTTTGCTCTCGTACTCTTTGGAGGCGCTCGCGTTAGACGATTTCCAGAAGGGTGATGCCGATCTGCGCATGATTTCAGTACGACCGAGAGCAGAGCGACGTGTTGAAACTTACCCAGAACGATCTGCGTCATTGAGGAATAGATGTTAGCTTTGCTGTTCGTCTAGCATATCGTGTCGGGACAGCTACGAACCGACCTGGACCATCTCCTATGGAGGTGATCAGTTCAGTGAGCCCATGAGTAACGCGAGATAACTGACCTGTTGGTTCTTCTTGGAGGCCATGTTTAAGACTGCCAGCCCCACTCTCCCTCAGGCAATTCGAGCTCGCAGCGACCACGTCTATCGAACAACCCCAATCCACTGTGACGTATCGGCAGGACCCCGGCGCCGGAGTTACTTAGCTCCCGAAGAGCTGCGCGCCCTGCAAACCTCAAACACTCACCTTTGCGTATCACACTCGCCGTTTTCTTGTCTACTACAAGCCGCGATCATCCAGGGATCTGTTCGTGCGTCGAGATTCCACATTTACCGATAACTCTGATCGCGTCGGGCGACTCTACATCTCTTCTCCACCGATCTCCTAACTCTACCGGACGTCACCCGAAATAGTTTGACAACGTCAACACAGGGCGCTTCTTCGCGATCTGCTCATCGATTCTGATCAGACTTCATTAAAAAAGCAATCAGGGTGAACATGGCTGATGGAGAAGACTACAACGAGGATGATCTCTTCGCAGATATGTGAGTATGCCCTTCAACTTATCGTACACGGACCTCTCGCTGATTCGGACAAGCTACGAGACTGAAGATGCGCCACCGACTGATGCACCAGCGCCGGCACCTGCACAGGCATCAGCACCAGCACCTGAGCCTGAACCTGCTCAACCTGTAGTCAAATCTGAGCCACAGTCCGCACCAGTCGTATCAGGCAATGCCGGTTTCGATATGAACACGTCAAATGGGGCAGGTGGTAGCTACGACAATAATTACGGCAATACACAAGGTGGGGACTACAACGATAACAGTTATAATCAATCAAATGGTGGTGAGGACAACTACCCACCCATAGGTATTAAAGAAGATGGGTAAGTACATTCCCTATCTGTATTTCATGTATTTTGTTCTCTCAATCATCTGCAACATGGTCGTTGCCCTGAAACTAGCTGTACGCCATTGAAACCTCTGAAACGACTTGATGACCGGTTGGGTCGGATTTGGGCGGTCGATCCGAGGTCGATCAGTTCAGTCAAGGTTTGCAGTCGCAAGGTCTCACAGCGTATGGATTTTCCTGGGCCGTGGTGGCACGGTGCAGAAGCTATTGTCGGACTGGCATTCTTGCTCAGCATTTCGAACCTCAGGGCAGGGGGTCACATGGTGCTAAGGAGATTCTTGAGGGTGCGCTCTAGCTGGATCTGATGAACACGGTCAAAATATGCCAGGACTCCAAAAGTTGAAGCTAGAATGTGCGAGCAATGCGGCACATGACTAGTGGGTGGTCGTGGTCATCAGTCAAAGCAAGCATTCCGTCAGAGTAATATTGTTCGCCGCTCCGACGAACCTACCCAGCGGCATGGGTAAAAAGGCCGTTCATTAGAAGTCCTAGCTTTATGTCGATAATTCTTGATAGAGCAAGCGGGCACATGCAAAACGTCAAGGACCAAAGGAAATTCTGAGGCTATCGTATCTGCTATTGCTTCGGCAAACGAAGCGTATATATCTCGCACAGATACACATTACCTAGCTCCGACTCAATACCAAGAGACAGCCTTCGCGCGCCCGATTGCTTTATTCCTTGTGGCAGGAATTTCCTCTGGCGTGGACATTTGTCAACACACCATTGCGTTGACGTGGGAAGCCGCAAAAAGGGTTAATGAAGCGTTGCTCAAACCCGAAGATAGCAGCTACGCAATACAGCTAGAGCAATTCATATTGAACGAGAAGCTTTGGAAGACATTGGAGATGGTAGCCTGAGTTTGACGAAGCCCATGAGAGAGTCAACAAGAGCTTTTGCTTGCTACCACCATACGCACCGCTGATGATGGACTGAATGACACGCCCTCTGACTTTTCATTTGAATGACCGACCACCACGGCTTCGGAGTGTTGAAATGAGACTGCGCGACCATAACGGAGTTGTAATACCACCATGTTGCTGGATGATTGGGTATCAATATCGCAGTTTGATGTAAATGTCTGCTAATAACTTGTTTTGTTTATAGAAAGATGTTCATCGGTGGCTTGAACTGGGAAACAACCGAACGTGAGTCGCTCCAGAATCTCGGTCCCATGCATAGTTGGCTTTGACTCCGTTACATGACGCCATGGTGCCCTGTGCGCGGGATTATAATGCTGATGCCACTTTAGAATCGATGAAAGACTATTTCTCTCAGTTTGGAGAGGTCATAGAGTGTACCGTTATGCGTGATAGCGCGTCGGGACGATCACGTGGCTTTGGCTTTCTCACGTTCAAAGATCCAAAATGTGTCAACACCGTAATGGTCAAGGAGCATTACCTGGATGGAAAAATCGTAGGCTTACCAGCTCATGTTCTAAAATGCTTTCTGACTTGTGATAGATTGATCCTAAACGAGCTATTCCCCGAGAAGAGCAAGAACGCACCAGTAAGATATTTGTTGGTGGTGTCAGCCAAGAATGCACCGAGCACGATTTCAAGTCCTTCTTTATGCAGTTTGGACGTGTCGTAGACGCGACATTGATGATGGACAAGGACACGGGTCGACCACGTGGTTTCGGTTTCGTTACATTCGATGGTGATGCTGCTGTTGACGCCACTTTGTCCCGGCCCTTGGAGATCCATGGCAAGATGATTGAAGTGAAGAGGGCACAACCCCGAGGAAATTTGCAGCAAGAGGACAACTCGAAAGGGTTTGGAAGGGGCAAGTTCGACGGCAAATTTGGCCGAGGAAATGACAACAACTATGGTGGTCAGGACAATCAACAAAACCAGGGTGATCAAGGAGGCCAGAACGGCGGGCAGAACGGCATGACTCCTGCTATGATGGCGTCGTACTGGCAAAGGATGCAACAATATTTCCAGATGATGCAGCAACAGATGGCCATGGGCCAGGGCATGAATAATATGGGGGGTCCTATGGGCCAGATGAATCCTCAAATGATGCAGCAAATGATGATGCAAGCTCAGAACCAAGGTCAAGGCTCTCCCAACCCACAGTCTCCAGGCGGCCAGATGGGCCAAATGAATCCCGCCATGATGCAGCAGATGCAACAAATGCAACAAATGCAGATGCAACAGCAACAACAGCAAGGGACACCTGGGCCTGGAGGAAACTTTTCTCCATCCCCTGGCCCTCAAGGTCCCGGTGGCGCCCGGCCCGGCTACAATGCCATGGAACAGCTTGCCTTCGAGCACCAGAAGTACGAGCAACAGCAAGCGCGTCGCATGCAGGGCGGTTCTTTTGGCAATGGCGGCGGATATGGACAGAACGGACCCACGAGCTGGGAAGGCATGTACGACGACGTTCCGCAACCTAACATTCCTAATGCTCCGTCCGGACCTGGGGGCGGCCGAGGCGGTTTCAGGGGTGGTCGTGGTGGCACCGCCAGCCGAGGCGGAGGCGGAGGTGCAGATTCATCATCATCGACACCGAGCGCTGCCCCTGCTGGTGCGCCGACGGGCCCAAAGAATGCTGGTAGACCTGGTGCAAACTACCGAGGCGGTGGACGAGGAGGGCACCGGGGGTATCATCCGTATGCTCGATAGAGCACAGGTTTGGAAGACCGTATGTTAATGCCAGCCGTTGTGCAATGGAGCAGACTATCGAAAAGATCTGAGCAAGCTATACTCGGCGGCATCTCTTCAACCAGAGACCAGATACGGGCGATTTGCATCATGGAGTTCGTACTATGGGAAGGGTCGTTTGCTTTACATGACGACCGGGCGTCAGCACATAAATATCACAAAATAATCTTAGGACCTGCGAGGCTGGGCGATATGGGATCTACGGGAGGTGGTGAGTCCCTGAGAGAGACTTCTAGGTCGCGTTGTTACTGTACAGTATTGAAGTGAAATGGAACAAATACAACGAAATCACTCGCATGGAATATAGGAGAGCCGGAGCTGATCTGTGTACGAGGGCCTACGGTCCCTTCATGCCCTCGGCCGTGACTTGTAAGTGATTAACAGATAGTGCGCGGACCGGACCCCAAAGCCGAAGTGCCATGGACTATGACATATCCGGCCAGACGTCGAGAGCCGTTCCAATGTTGTCCCCTGTTCCAGTAATAACTATAATCAGCGAATCCACTTGCGGCAGCCATAAGGATTTTTGGTTTTCACCCTAGAACCAACAGACACATCCAACGGATTAGACAACAAATGTGCAGGGGTATCGACTAGCACCTGCTAATTAGAGGGCATAATGGATAACGGCAAATCGACCTCAGGGATCACCTAACTCCGCTTTCCCGGCTAACTCCAGTGATAAGTTTCAAATGGACATGCGAATACCGATGACAAATGTGGGACAGCTGGACCTTATAATTGATTATCTTGCAGCTCTCGTACTCCCACTTCCTTCAACTTACTCGTTCTTATACCTCTGACCCTCAAGACTTCAACTTCAATTGATCGACTCGCCCCACAATGACCTCCAACGCCCCCGCTCAATGCTGCACCGTCGGCGTCAAGCACGAGGGCAAAGCAGCTGGCAAAGTGCAGGAATTCGGTGGCTGTATGTCCTCCCAAACGCGTCCATTGCAAACACAGACTGACCACCGCGCAGACCAAGCCTATGTCTCTTTCCCGCAAGATAAAAGCACTACCTACGGCGTCCTCCTCCTGCCGGACGTCATCGGCCACGAATTCATAAACGCCCAGCTGTAAGCCCCTGCCAGACACCTACCTTACATGCACAAACACACATCTCTACATACACACACATATATAAACGTCTCTAACACCGCCCACCATCAGCATCGCCGACCAATTCGCCGCCAACGGCTACTTCACCGTCATGCCCGACCTCTTCTCCGGCGACCCGGTCAAGCTGAACCCCCCCGAGGGCTTCCAGATCATGGACTGGCTGCAGAACCACCTGCCCGCCAACGTTGATCCGATCGTGGCAGCCACAATCGCAGCGATGCGCAGCGCAGGCGTACAGAAGCTCGGGGCTGTGGGCTACTGTTTCGGCGGCAAGTATGTGGCGCGATTCCTGAACGCGAAGGGCGGCGTGGATGCCGGGTTCACGGCGCATCCGAGTTTCGTGGACGAGGAGGAGTTGAGGGGTGTGGAGGGGCCGTTGAGTATTGCGGCTGCAGGTATGTGGTTTTTCTTGGTGTCTGGTTTTTTGGATTCTGTGTGTGAGTGAGTGGCGGATGGCTAATGAGATGTGTGTGTGGTGTTGCAGAGACGGACAAGATCTTCCCAGCCGAGAAGAGGCGCCAGACGGAGGATATTCTCAAGGAGATGAAGGCGACGTATCAGCTGAACCTGTTCTCGGGCGTGGAGCACGGTTTTGCGGTCAGGGGCGATGTGTCGCAGAAGCAGATTCGGTTTGCGAAGGAGCAGGCGTTCTATCAGGCTGTGCAGTGGTTTGATGAGCATGTCAAAGCGTAAGTTGCATTCATACATGTACACACTCTTCTAGGTAGGATAATGGGTGAGGGAATTGTAAACAACATGTATATGATGATGATATGGATTGAGCTCTCTTTCTTTGTCACTGCGGGCAGCCATGTGGATGACTGACTTTGTGTGTCAGAGGATTGTCCAAGCCACGTCTGTGATGAGGAACACGAACAGTATTGTTTCACTTTGTTTATGCAGTAGTCCGGATAGTATGCATCGCGTCTATTCTGAGTATCTGAGTCGCGGTAGTGAGGGGCATGCCGACGTCAGAGGCGGGGCATCCACTACAAACTCAGTATGAAGACTGAAATGAAAGAATGCATGACTCTGACCACGACCTTGCTCTATGCCAATTATACAGATATGACCCAGTAAATACACAGCAAATTCAAACTTCTACGAAAACACACAACACCCCCCCGGGTACCCCCACCACCATGCATGCCGGCCCACCACGTGGGCTCGCATTGAATACACGCGCGCCACGCCCACTAAAGGCACCACGCACACACCCGCCTGCAGGTACGGTACCGTACCCACACACCCACCAACAACATCAAACAAAACATTTCTTCCCAACACCCCCCCCCCCAAAAAAAACCCCCTTCCTCCTATCACCACCACCCAAACCCAACGCATGTGAACCAACAAAACCGACACGATAGCAGTCCCCATTCACAACAATGGACGACCCAGCATTCGCCACCGACACCGACCTCACAACGCAATCCCTCCTCCTCGCCGCCGCCCACCACGACATCAGCGCCCTACGCGACCTCCTCCGCCACAGCTCCGCGAACGTACAAGACAGCGACACCGGATTCACGCCTCTGCATGCGGCGATCGCGGCGCTTGATATAAGCCATGACGAGCATGAAGACGGGGGGCATGTGAATGGTGATACAGCAACAGGGGAGGAGGGGGAGGAGGGGGCAGAGGAGCGGCGGAAGAAACAGGAGAGGGAAGACGAGATAGCAGCGGCGGTGCGCACGGTGCGGTTGTTGCTGCAGCACGGGGCGATTTGGAATGAGTTGGATGTGAATGATGAGACGCCCGGGTGTGTGGCGGAGAGGCTGGGGGTGAGGGAGGTGTATGATTTGATGGTTGATGCGGGGGTGCGGGCTGAGTTGCTGCTTGGTAGGCTTGATGGGTATGAGGCGCTGGCTGATGCTGAGGATGAGGAGGAGGAGGAGAGTGGGGAAGAGGAGGGAGGAAAAGATGAGCATGAAGAGGAGGAGGCACAGGACGCGATTGAGGTGCAAGATAACTCGACTACTGATTTGGCTGGTGCTGGCTCCACAGGCGAGCAGATTGAGAGTGATGTCTCTGCTCATAATTCGACATATCTCTCTCATCCCGTGACTATCAGCGACAGCCAAATTCTGGATCGCTCTGCCAACGGCGTCATGATGTCTTGGGAAGGTCCTATCATGGAGCGGAGTGCGAAGCTCTTGCTGCCGAGTGTTGAAGCTCGTGTGTTGAATGTTGGGCACGGCATGGGCATGATCGACAAGGCATTCCAGGAGCAGTCACCGATTGCACATCATATTGTGGAAGCACATCCGGACGTGTTAGCACAGATGCGACGGGACGGCTGGTATGAGCGAGAAAATGTTGTCATTCACGAGGGGAAATGGCAAGACGTAGTACCGAAACTCGCTCAGCAGGGGCTGTTATTCAATGCCATCTATTTCGATACATTTGCCGAGGAGTACAAAGCTTTGCGGGACTTCTTCACCGAACATGTCATTGGATTACTCGAGGAAGGAGGGAGGTTCGGCTTCTTCAATGGGATGGGTGCAGACCGACAGATTTGCTACGACGTATACAAGAATGTCAGTTATCTCTCATGAGAGCATCTATGAATGTGCTGACAGAATTTAGGTCGTGGAAATGGATCTTCTCGAAGCTGGATTCGACGTTGATTGGGAAAACATTGACATCCCTGACCTTGTTGCTTCCGGAGAGTGGGAAGGGGTGAAGCGGCCATATTGGAAGCTCAAGACCTATCGTTTACCGACTTGTACCTTTATGGCGTAAGTGCAATTGCTCCCAGAGCACTCTGACACATTCAATTGTCGATACAATTCAAGCCACCGGATTCGATCGAATTTTCAGGAGCCACGAGCACCGTTGGATGGTTCTCCATCGTTCCAGTCCGGTATTAAAGTATTACCAGGAATTTCCTCAATGTCAAGGACTTTGCGTGCAGCCTCCTTTCCAGCGACTGGCAGTCGTTCCATGCCCTTGTCTTGCATGCTTTTTGGTACAAGCTTTGGATCTAATAGGCCAATTTGAACCAGAACACTTGCTTGATCCCAGTATAGCCTTTCATGGACCAACCTGCCTCCTCGTACTCCGACTACGCTCACAATCATGATCTCGATCTGTTTGTTTGTGGGTGGAACTCCTGGAAGCAACCAGTCAATCTCTTGCGTATGTCGCAATGCTACAAACATTTCATCAACAACCTGGTCTTCCCCGATTGTCCGCGAAATAAGTCTGATACTTAGTGATTGAGGAGTAGAAGGAATAAAAAAGTCCCGGTAGAATTTTAGGAGCTCTTTCTGGCCTATCCCTCCCGTCATGGTTGGCACGCAATGCAGAGTTGCCTTAGGTCGCATGGTCCTTACAGTTCCAGCAGCTTCACGATGCGTAAATGTCACTACGTTCTAGAATCAGTACTCATGTTAGCATTTCGCCCTTTATGGTACCTACAAGCGACATGGTCTTCCCAGACAGCTTCAAGGTCCGAGTTTTCACGTTTGAAGCCCCTGCGAACAGCAGCAAGGCTTCGACTCCAACTCAGACCTGCAGCAACCTTGTCATATTCTTCGAGATCGCTCTCTGCGAAGCCCTCCTGCGTCTGTGGATATCGGTAGCTCTTAAAGCTTGGACTGAACTGCTGCGTTCCCGCCAGATGGCAGAGTACCTGCAACTGTGAAGGATACTTTGCATTTGCGTGCACGACTGTGTCTGGATAATACGCAATGAGCGCGCAGAGCCGTGGCTGGGGCTTTATATGTACAGCTAGAGCCTGTGATGCTGCATGGCCATATGTCACTAGCGCATATGCCTCGCCGAGCTCTAAATCATCAGACAGAGACTTGAGAAGCCTCTGAAAAGGCTTTGGGTCGTTCCTGTCGCAGAAGTGGTAGCTAACATGGTAGCCCTCTTCCTTCCAGTGTTGAATGGTTTCAGGATCAAATTCAGGGTCGTCTCCAGCGATATGCAGGCGAGGTGGCATGCTGTTGAAGCTCAGAAAGCCCATCCCAGACTGCGTTGGTGATAGGAGATTGTTGGACATACTGACTGGGGCCCAAAGGAGCGAGCGATCAATCAGATCATCGATAGGACAGGAACAATAGGTGTAAGTGGAATCTATTTAGTCGTGAAAGCTGCCAACCACAAATCCGTAGGCTTCGTGGCCAAGGCTAAAGCTGCCAAGTGAATGGCAAATGCCAAAGTTGCATGGCGCCTTCTATCGACATTTATGTGGTTGGTGCCTGAGGTGGACGTGAAGCTGGTCATGATGTCATGTGGGGCACAAGGAGCATCGCCCATATGTAAAGAGCACGTATGTCCTTACCAGCACTACGCAATCCACTCCTCTCCAGTTACTCTTCACTCCGAGAACCGTAAACTGTAAGTTCACCATCTTCATAGATCTTCCACTGAGCACACCATATATGCCAATGGCATCGCTACCTATCAGACGTTTCCTTCAACTCCAACGCTTCCCTCCCAAACAATTACACCTTGCTGTCCAGACAAGATCAATTATACTCACGACAATAGACAGACCTTCCCAAAAGCTTACATCTCAATTCATTCCAAGCACAAACCGTACTGCAATCAACAAGATGTCTACTTTTAGCAATTCCGATGCTGCCAACCCAGATCCCTACAAGGAGAAGAACAAGGAGGAGCCTTCGTTAGACGAGAAGGTCAAGGACCTCATCACCTTCGCCGACAAGAGCAAGTTCTGCATGATGACCACCAAGGATAGCGAGACTGGCTTGCTAGTCAGTCGCTGCATGGCGCTGGCTGGAAAGGTAAGACCTTATAACAGATCAACCCCTCTACAACATATTGACTCGTGCTACAGGAGAAGAACGGTACCGAACTCATCTTCCATACCAATACCGAGACCGGTAAGACGGACGATTTGACCAACGATGCGGCCATCAACCTTGCTTTCCTCAATCCCTCGGGTGAGTGGGCGTCTATCTCCGGCACCGCTTCGGTCGAGACCGACCGAGCTGTTGTTCAGAAGCACTACTCCCCTGCCCTCAAGGCATGGCTCGGCGACCTTGGCGATGGCAAACATGACGGTGGTCCAAACGACCCTCGTATTGGTGTGATTAGGGTCAAGGCGAAGACTGCTCAGTACGCCATCAGTCGGAGAACTGTCATTGGTGGCGCCATTGAGTTTGCCAAGGGTGTGGCCACCGGCGAGGCTGCGAGCGTCAACAAGCTGCGCTACTTGAGCGAGTCTGAACTGCAAGGATGGGCTGCCTCTGGCTCTCTGTAGATGCTTGGTTAGTATAGAAATGATCTCCTAATGGAAGACAGGATCGCCAAGGAGGCGCCTGACACCAAAATGAAATGCTTTGTACATACAGCGATAAATTATGAGAACAGGACGTCAAATACTTGCTACGCCACGGACGTGTGCACAAGGACTGTGACCTTGCTGCTAAATTGTGTCTGTTTGACCCGAGAGGCGCATTCCAATAAGCATGCTTGCTCATATATTGCCGCACGGGTCACATTCTTTCGACGAACAAAGGAACCTCATAGTTTGTACTTCATGGACGAACTGCGCTGCTTATCCTCATTCTATATCCAAAGCACACACAGCAGACTTCTGACAAAGATGCCTACGAACAAGCGAGGGTATGTTTATAATCATGGACCAGGCAAAGCGACAGATTGGTCTGAGTCTTATGCCGAAAACTGCCTAGCGCGAACTGGAGGAGCTGCCGGACCAAGAGGCCCAAGCTCCAAAACCAGCAAAAGCCGCCGGAGTGATGCGCAACGACGCGACCACGAATTGCGCAGCACAATTAAGAACGCGAAGCGGCGACTGAAAAGCCAATTGCATATACCATCGACCGGACTGTCTGCCGAACAGTTCATCGCGACCGTCAAACCCACGGTATACGACCTTGACAAGCCCCGTCCACTCGTCCCGGAACAGTATCGCGATACCTGGTTCAACACATTCTGGAATAATCAGGCACCACAAGGGCATATCAAGAGGTCGGGAGTGTACAAGCTAGCAGCCTACTTTTGCGAGTTTGTATACAAGGAGCTCGAAAAGCATTGCAAGTGCGGTGAGATACGGTCAACCTCAGTGGGCAATTTTGCTGTTGACTGGGCTGGGAATATCGAGTTACCAGACTCAGAATACAGTGACTGTGCGTCGGACTACAGCTACAGTTCTGTCTTGCGACTGGAAACTCCAGAAATAGATTTGCCGGACGTGGAGCCCGAAGTGTCGGCTGCAGCAAGCAATTGTTTCGGAGTTATTGGCGGCAACCAGGCTTTTCCCAACATCTGTTCTACGCTACCAGATTCTTGGTGGTCTTTTCCACCTGACGAGAGTAATCCATGGATAGGTGACCAGACGCAAAATACATCAGCTTTAGCGAATCCTTTCTCCTCTGGGGCTGGTCCCTGGCGTTCTTCCACTTCGTCTTTTGGACTCCCAGCCATGGATTCTGGACCCAAAGTCACCGAGTTCCTGAAGGGAGTCAACAACCTCATTGCTGCCCGAGATGGAGCACAACTCCAGGCTTGGCTACTCATTGAACCTCCTTTCGCAAACGACTATAACCAGATGATCGCCGAACTACGGCAAGCATATCCACGAACAGAGCCACCTGATGGCCAATGGTCGACACTGGATCCTAAACTGGAGATGAGATGCGCTGCGCTGTTGCCAATAGCTTCGCAGGGGGTTGATGATGTAACCTGGGGTGCGTTTACGAAATTCATGGCACAATACCTGGCCTACATACGAGATGTGGACGGAAACGATATCAAGGGCGCATACGACTTGCTGAGTGAGCTTGTTGGGTGGGTTAAGATTTTCATCACGAGGGAAGTATCCGCTGACATGTATATAGGAGGACCAACGGTGCCTTGAGCAGTCCTGCATTTGGTGAAATCATCTTACCGACAGCTGTGGGCTACTGCAAGACACTCACGTCGTTTTCGATACTGCTGGACAAACGGAACGACATACCGCGCATGATTGCTGAAGATGGAACTTCAGAGTCGCTGCCCGAAAGAGCGGCGAACACAGTACGCGTTATCTTCACAACCTGCTTGAACGACCGGACACCTGTCAAAGGTGGACGGCCAGAGGGCAAGAAAGCAGCGATTTATACCATCGCTAACACATGTCTAAAAGTCCTCTTCGCAGCCAAGAAGGTCGGCGCCACCGAGCAAATCTTCAACAACATCCAAAACGCCTCTCCTCCACTGTCCCTCTATCCCGCAGCCGAGCGTGTCACATATCTATACTATCTCGGTCGTTTCCACTTCTCCACCGGCCACTTCTACCGTGCATCCCTCGCCCTGCAATCCGCATTTGACCAAACGCCATCATACTACCCCAGACAACGCCGCGCCATTCTCATCCACCTCATAACAAGCAACATCACCCTGGGCCGGTTCCCAACTCACGCCTGCTACGCACTCCCTGAAGCCCGAGGCCTACACTCCAAATTCAGCCCCCTCATCGACACCATTCGCAAAGGCCACCTCGAGCGCTTCCGTCGCCTCACCTCGCTCTCCCTCCTCAACGACCCCACGCTCCACCCCTCGCCCCCAGCCCAATGGCTCTACAGACACGCCCTTCTCCTCCCCCTCCGTCGCACCGCCCTCGTTCTCGTCCACCGCACACTCCTCCGCAAAATCTTCATCCTCTTCGGCGACCCAGGCGACCCGACCGCCCAGAAACCCCCGAACCTCGACCTCGCTATTACAGCCCGCCTCTTCGCCTGGCTCGAAGTCCGCGCCCTCCGCCCCCAGAGCCAGGTACCCCAGGAACCCGCCGGCGTCCGCAACCTAAACCACATCTTCGGCCCCACCACCGCCCTCCACGGCCCCGAAGACTTTGCCGCCATCCCATGGTCCAAAAACCGCTTCGTGCACGCCGACCTACACGACGAAAGCCCCACCACCACCACCACCACCACCACCACCAGCAACAACAACAACAAACCCAACAACACAACCCTCCTCCCGCACAACCGCCCCCCCTTACCCGACGTCCCCGAAATCGAGGCTCTAGCCGCCAGTCTAATGCAGCAGGGCCTACTCAACGGCTACATGTCGCACCGCGGCAAGAAACTAGCCCTGTCTGGTGCTCGACGCGAGGGCGGCGCGCTGAAGAATGGCTTTCCCCCTGTTTACGCGGCGCTTGTCGCGCGCTGTGATGCCGATGTGCCGGGCTGGAAACGCGATGAGGCTGTTGTTGCTAATGGCGGTCGTGGTGCTGGTGGTGGCGCGCAGAGGTTTGGACCCGGGATGGTGGTTAATTTGTCGGGGGCTAGGCCGGTTGGGTTTTGAGGGGTTGGGTTGGGTTGGGTGGTTTGGGATTGAGGGGTTGAGGGGTCGAGGGGTTGATGAGTTGATGGATGGGTCAGAGGATGCGATTTAGGGGGCCGGGCTGTGGACGTGGAAGGAGAGCGAGCCGGGTGCTGGATAGCGTAATGGCTGCTAGGTGTATAAATACACATGTAGAGACAGAGAGACAGGAGCTCCTTGCTCATCTGTGTAGTTCTCTCCCAGTACGCAAGCCACGATATAACAAAGACAAAATATCGAAAAGACTCCACAACACATTCGGGAAATCGCACACCTAATTAGCTAGCTAGCTAACTGGCGATATACAGCAAGAGAGAAAACAAATAATCACAAATGAAAAGTCACACGTGCATTCCTCGTTAATCTTTGATAATTTGTAGTTTGTTGTGTAATAAGCAGGCAGATTCAGGTCAATACACACACAGACACACACAGCACACAGACACTATGATACATTTCTCGCTGCTATGAGAATATGGCGGCCCATCATCTACCTAGCTACTACACATACATGATTGATTGATATTCTCAACTAAAGTTTTCAAAGTGTGCATAGAGAGAGAGAGAGAGAGCAACGAGCCTTTCCTCCCCTAGAAAATATAACCTGCCCCCCTTCCGCCTCTAAAGCCACACGAGGAGACTTCCACCACAGTGACTACTAGAGTGGTGATGACAAGAGCTAGGGTAGCAGAAGACCGCGGAGAGAGGAATCTGCATAAAATCGCTTCTCGAAAAAAACGCACTCACTGACCGCCATAAAAAACATTATCGATTCGTTCGATACTATAGGTCGAGAAGCTGTAAGGAAATTGTGACCTTCTGGTAGCACTTGCAGAGAAATAGTCGCGAGCCGAGCTTCAAGGCCAATAATCAGCCTGCTGCAGGCTGCAGTGTAGAGAGCGTAAGCGAGCAAGCTCGCAAAGAAAATTCGTTGTTGTCGAAAGTGGGTATTGCTAAAGCGGGTTGTTGAAGGGGAATCAATGGTCCGATAGAACTCCATGGGCGTCTCTCGTAAAGCACATGTACCTAGCCAATCTTTCTCGCCTGTGCATGACGGACAGCTCGGTAGCTGTTAAGCTGAAAGAGTGTTCTTAAAGAGCCATGCCTGGCACAGGCTTTGTTTCAGGCGATTGGGAGGAAGGGTTCAATGGGCTTGGCGGAGATTGACGACGTGCTTGCATTGCAGTGGCGGAATTAGAGCGACGACGACCGTCTGGCTGAGGGCGCATCTGTTGGGGTCCACCACCGTAAGGTCCAGGGGACATCGAACGCTGCTGGACGTTGCTATTGGCTCTAGTACGACCGGCTGGAGACATGGGACGACCATGCGCAGGCGAGTTGCGGCCGCTACTAGGAGTCAAAGGACGTGGCACACCTGGACCTGTTGGACCACGAGGAGGTCCTGGGCGTCGCATCTGAGGTGGGGGACCTTGTCGAGGCTTCACGGGCATTTTAGACAAGCAGCTACGGGGTACAACACCTTGACGCGAGCGATCCATGCGTATACACAGAGCCCAGCCATCGTCGTATTCGTGGAGCATGCGGACCAATTGACCAGCGCGGATTTCCAATTCGTCGTCCATCGATGGCTTGAAGTCTAGCTGGACGCGATGAACGTTGTCGGGTGCGGAGCCATTTGCAAGAGCAACCACAGGTGGTGGTCCGGTAGGAGCTGGCCCGGGTGAAGCAGGGACATCTTCTACCCAAGTTGGATCGGGACCTGACTGCTCAGGAACTGGGCGTCTCTCCACGATGGGCTTTTCTTGCGTGGCGCCCGTGGACTGCTCTGTCTGAGATGGGAGGGGTTTCCGAGCAGCAACAGCCGCAGCAGCACCGGCAGCAGCCCCAGCAGCAACACCGGCAGCAACTCCAGTAGCGACGTCGCTGTTGTCCACGAGGGTATTGGATTGGTCAGAGGGACTGTCCGGTAGCGGGCCAGTTGGAGAACGAGTGGCTTCATTAGAAGTAGCGGCATCGTTGCCAAAAGGATTGACAGGATCAGAGAATGGATTCGACTGCTGATGTTTTTCGGCACCTCGTCGTTCCCAGGCGCTGATGGTGGGTTTTGCCGCAGGAGCAAGCATGCCACCAGCAGTAGGAGCCGAAGCCATCTCGAGGGCGTTCGCCGCACTTCTACGCTTCTCCTCCAGAGCTGGGTCGAATTCAGTGACAGGTCGCAAACTCAGACGCGGCGCTTCGGTGTGGGTACGAGCAGTTCGAACGCTTGCGCTACTGCCACCAATGTTGGGAGATGGAGCAGCACCCAAGAAGTCGTTCTTTTCATTGTCCTCATCGTCAATGGGCTGGCGCGCCTTCTGGGCATCTCTCTTCTTTCTCTTGATGCAGAACAGAATGAACGCTAAAGCGGCACCCGCCAAGAGCAGGACACCGATGACGAGACCTGCAGTACCAGCGGCTGACATGCCACCGCTTGATGAAGAGGCAGCGGCGCTTGTTGTAGACGAAGGTGCTGCAGTGGCATCGGAAGCTAGACCGGCAGAGGATGAAACGGATGTCGCGTGAGGTCCATCAAAGAGCAGGTCTGTAGCAGATGGGGTGATATCGCTGACGGGAGCTGAGATGACGGTTGGCACACTGTCTGCTGAAGTCTGCGCTTTCGAGGGCGCAGTGTCCTGGTTGTTGTTCTCATCGCTGGGACTATCCGTTGGTTTCGCTTCTGGCTGTTGGGTCTGCTGGACTGGGGGACCAACCATGATGGTCGGGGTGACACTGCGACTGTTAAGCAACGAACGGTACGAACAGACGTAGGCTACACTCACAAGGTAGCAGGACCATCGAAGTTTTGTGCAGCTACACAAAGAATCAGTACTTGGTCCACTAACCACACGTCACTTCGTAGTACCTGTCTCATACACAATCTGAACCACTAGCACAGCTGTTAGCGTGAACACTCTGACGCGATCAAAGGTGTATGCATACCTGTCTCGACGGCGTTTACAATGTCCTGCGGATCAGGAACGCGAGGGAGCTGGATCTGACGTTTTCCATGCCTCAAGTGCGCATGGTGGTGGTTTCCGTGAGCCATGGTGTGGAGGTATCAAGCTCGGCGCGCAATATAGCGTGTGTCGCCAATGCTCTTCCACGAGAGTAACGAAAGTTGGATGCCCGAGTATGCGCGGTATAGAACGGAGTGAGGTAACAGCGACGACGTGAAAAGACAGATGTATTGAGTGATCCAATGTTTGCTATATTCTCGAGGATAGGCGTGGCGCACGTCAGTGATTCCTTCAAGGCAAACAAACAAACAAAGAGTGAATTAGCTTTCGGAAAAGCGAAAAAGAGTGACAGGTCGCGATGATTGTCGATAAAAGAAGGACGACAAGGTCGGTCAGGCAGTGAGACTCGACGAGACTCGCAGCGACGGCGACGGCGAGGTTGCAGTAGAGGAGGGCGATGACAGTTGACGAAGGAGAGAAAGGAAGGGAGAGAGAGAGGGAAGAAATGAGGTGAGGTGAATTCCAGGGACCACCAGACGAGACGGGCGACCTTCAGCAGCGGCTCAGGCAGCCCCAGTGTTCCCCGAGGCCCGGAGAAGCCCTAAGGTAAGTGAACTAACTAACTACATACAATACCACCCACCATCACTACCACCAACACCTGAGGATTGTCCCCCCAGGCCGTTCGAAGCTGGACTTGGACGGGCGCAAGGACAGGCCAGCCCAGTCCAGCCAGTCAGTAAGTCGTGAATAGTATGATACTATGATAGCCCATGTTGCTCTGTCCAGCTAAGGTTTAGCCAGGAACGTCAACCTTAAGGTATGCCAGTCGGTCTATGAGCGATGCAGCCAATAACACACCAGAATTTTCTCCTGTACCTGCGCAAGCTCTTCCACCATTCCCGATTGGGGCGACGGCCGTTTTCGATTCGACGCGCCATCAAATCAAAAGTGCTAAATAGATCAATGATTCAATCATCACCTGCACTGTGCCATGCATCGGGGGGTTCTCTCTGCCGAAATTACACTCAGTCCGGGGCGCCTGTTTGAAAGTTGGGAGGGCGCCCCTGGAGATTGTGATCACCACCAACACCACCCCCAAACCCTCTCTCCATTCCCTATCCATCTCTCTTCAATCCGGGTGGTTGGATTGGATTGATGCATGCTAATCGATATGCCTTTCGTCACAACTTATGGGTCACGTACAGTTGCCAACACTTGTTACACCTCCGTCTGGGCCTACAATGCTAGGTGCACGGGTACCTGACGTAGTTGTCTGCATTAAGCCCTGCTCGGTCGGCTATTAATTTCACGTGGCATCCGCTCTCCATCGAACATTGGGAGAGAGTGCTTGTGTTTCTATTCTCGTGTGTCTCGTGCTGTGCTGTGCCGGTACTCGTCCGACTTGTCCATCATAGTGTGCATACCACCACATACATGATACTACTACCTGTACTGTCTGTGTCTCCTTTGCTTTCTTTGGTAGGATACTAGATGCGTGATTTACATATGCGCTCGTATGCACTGTCATAGAATGCCACAGCTTCTTGAATACACCCGATTCGAAACGGCGGAATATTCGCAGAAAAAAGAGGTACTGATGGTGCATTAAGATTGCTTTGCCATTCCAGCCAGTTGTCTAACATCTGACACCCCAATGATTTATAGATAGGCACGCGAGAAGCAAGATGAGTTATGTTACGTCAAAAGCCAACCTTGTGCTCTCCTCTTCGCAAGTTCCTGACGATTCGTTTCGTCACTTATCGTCGTAATTACTTACCATAGCCTGCGGAGATGGAGATTACTTAATAGATGAGTTGCATACTAAATTTCCTTGAAGTACAGTACAGGAACGCGGAATATCTGATGCTGTTGAGAACCTCCTTCCCCTATCTGCTCTCCTGAGCCCTACCGAATGACAGCTACAAGGATTAGTTTAGCCCGCCGTACCTAGTCTCTTTTACGGTCGGCTGTTTACTGCGCAATCACCAAACCTCCGACATCTCCGCAGCCTGCCCGGCCTCATACATTTGAACACAAAACTGGCGGCGCCATGGTGCTCTCCTTTATACTAATTCAAAACCGGCAGTGAGTACCTAATGTCTGCTCATACGTTCTTGCGCAATGACTGATCTTCCCCAGAGGCAAAACTCGCCTTGCCAAATGGTACGCTCCTTACAGCGTAAGCCCCTCGTCCTACCCACGCGCATGCCACGCAGCCCCTGACAGCAAGGCTCATGAATCCCTAGGACGAAGAAAAGGTCAAGCTGAAGGGTGAGGTGCATCGTCTGATCGCACCGCGCGATCAGAAGCACCAGTCCAACTTCGTCGAATTTCGCAATACATCCAAGATCGTCTACCGGAGGTATGCCGGACTGTTCTTCTGCGCATGCGTCGACACGAACGATAACGAACTGGCCTATCTGGAGGCAATCCATTTTTTCGTCGAGGTCTTGGATGCCTTCTTTGGGAACGTGTGTGAGCTGGATTTGGTATTCAACTTCTTCAAGGTTCGTCTCTAGCGCTTGAGGGGAGACTCGAAGGCGGTGCCAATTCCAGCGGACTATGCTAATACCTATAACCAGGTATACGCCATTCTGGACGAGGTGTTCCTAGCTGGAGAGATCGAAGAGACGAGTAAGCAGGTTGTATTGACAAGACTGGCGCATCTGGACCAGCTGGAATGATAGGTGATTCTGACGGTCAGTGGTCCATGTCCGCGGCGAGGGCGTCAGGTCACGAATGCCCGGCATGACTGACCTATCATGTATAAAGATTACGACATCTAGACAAAAGTGTCACCAATGCCCACACAGTCGAGCATATCACCTAGAAGGAATTGTATGGCAGACGCAGGAGCCATATCGTATGTCCATACAATCTCTATCCCCAGCATCTGTAAAGGAGAGCGGACTGGTAGAGGAGAGTAAGATCTCAAGACCGATTGGAAGGGGATAGGGCCGTGATTGACAGTCGTGTGGCTGTATGCGTGAGTTATACAATAGCCGATCTCTCACTATAAACACATATTATTTCAGCGTCTTGTTCACTTCACTTAACCCCGCACGCGTGATATGGCTCAGCTCCGTCCTGTCTATATCTAAGATCTTTCTCACAGTCACCCTCCTCGCCCACTCCAACATACAACTACACGATCTTGACGTTGGTCACTGTTCTAACCTAGATCATTAAACATTCGAGTACGTGTCCTTGGACTATGATGACTATAACCTTGAGCTAAGCTGAGTTGAATTCTAGGATGGCGCCACGCACCGGTGAAGTGTCTAGTAAGAAGGCTTGGACTGATACCGAGAAGGTCAGTAAACCGTTCGATTGATAGTTGTGGCCTTCATTTTGAGTACAGCAGCATGTGTACCTATATGATGTCGACGACTTGCATTAAATAGCGTTCGCATATTATTGACTAGTATCTGACATTAGTAGCAGATCACGTTCATGTTGATTCTTTTGGAACACTCGGGATCGAAGATCACCTGGGCCAACGCGCCCGTCCCCGCAGGTCGCTCCAGAATAGCTTGTGAGCGAATGTACGGAGCCTTGCGAACCAAGCATAAGGATGAGGTCGCAGACATCCTTAAGACTGCGACCTTTCCCGATACCAATGCTAAGCAGGGTCGCAAGCGGAGCAAGGCACTTGAAGACGTCGACGACGACGAGGATGTCAAGGAGGATGTTGAAGAGGAGCCCAAAGGCAAGAAGCGCTCCGCTATAGCGAGCAAAGGCGCGGTCAAGAAGACAAAGGCCAAGGCTAAGGAAATCAAGCGCGAAGCAGACCAAGACGTGACCGGTGAAGATGTCTGATTTGCACCGAATGACAACGTTGCGTTGAACACAAGCAGTCAACTCGACCTCAGATACTCTACTAGAGCCACATCGAAGCTATAGTAAGCTTGCAACCATTATAAGGGGACATATATGTATTCATTGAGACACGCTGCCTTTATAGATCTCACAACCTCTAAGTGCATTGTGCATGTTCGCATCGTGTTTGAGTATGGTTGACTGATCTTTCTGGAAGACAGCCAAAGATACGTAGAGTGACATTAAAACAAGCTCAGGACCAGCGATGCTGCAACCAACAACGCCTCCGCCTAATACATTAAGTTCAATTGCATGAGCTACCTTTAAGCGGTGGCGTTAGTAGCATGGTACATATGGTGATAGCACCTTGAAGGCGGGCTGTAAATCCCTGCGACAGATCCCTGCAACCTCTTCCGAGCCGCGCGAATGCTTTTTCGACCCGCATCTCTGTGAACCCATTCCACCTACAGCTCGACCGCATCTCATTCACCTCCGCTTCAGTCTCTCACTCTTCCACCTCCGTTCTTTGGGCTCCTCATTCACTCATTTGCCTCTCTCTTTGCCGCGTCGGAACAAGGGAGCGTCACACTGCTACCTTGCCTACCTGAATGCACGTTGGACTTTGTCTTTCTGCGAGGCCTCGTTTTGCAACTATAAATTCTATTAGTCGCTTACAAGCTACGCAGTTCTGCTATCCCTTGTTCTCTGCTTCAAACTACCGACTCAGACGCTTTCTTTCTCCAGTGCCTAATAGTGTTGCGCCGTCCTTCACACTTCAAAATCCTACCATCTCACGATATTTCACCACGACCGTCATGGACTCCGTAGACGCACGTACTAAACGCAAACTACCTCCTACCGGTTCGCCTGAACGGCCAATGAAGCAACGAAAGCCTCAGGCACCAGCTACAGAAGAGAACGGAAACAAAATGGCTGTTGAGGGCTTACCAGCGAATGGATTTTCTCCCGCCAGTGAAGTCGAATCTGGCTCAGACTCAGAAGCTGAGATTACGATTGGACCGGCTACTGCGGATACCGCCGAATGGCAAAAAACTATAGAGAGGGTTGTCAAGAACGTGGTCTCGATACATTTCTGTCAGACGTGCTCGTTTGACACGGACGCGGCGATATCGAGCGAAGCTACAGGATTCGTGGTGGACGCAGAGAAGGGTCTCATACTTACCAACAGGGTAAGATCAAGCTTCGTCCGTGTCGAACCGAAACTAATAGTGTGTAGCATGTTGTAGGTGCTGGTCCTTTCTGGGGATATTGCATCTTCGACAACCATGAGGAATGCGACGTACATCCTGTCTATCGCGATCCGGTACACGATTTCGGAATCCTTCGCTTCGATCCCAAAGCCATCAAATACATGCCAGTGGAAGCGCTCGAGTTGAGGCCGGACCAAGCAAAAATTGGTGTAGAAATTCGAGTCGTCGGTAACGACGCCGGAGAGAAGCTGAGTATTCTTTCGGGAGTTATCAGTCGACTGGACAGGAATGCGCCGGAGTACGGTGAAGGCTACAGCGATTTCAACACCAACTACATCCAAGCGGCTGCAGCTGCCAGCGGTGGAAGTTCTGGGTCTCCTGTGGTAAATCAAGATGGCTATGCAGTGGCCCTACAGGCTGGTGGAAGGTCAGATGGAGCTGCAACAGACTACTTTTTGCCTTTGGATCGCCCCCTAAGAGCTTTGAACTGTATTCGGAATGGCGAGGAGGTCGCCCGGGGAACTATACAGGTACAATGGCTCCTGAAGGCTTTCGACGAGTGCCGGCGGTTAGGACTGACGCAAGATTGGGAGAAGGAAGTACGGAAAACATTCCCCAAGGAGACTGGCATGCTGGTTGCTGAGGTTGTACTGCCCAAGGGACCTGCAGACAAGAAATTGGAAGAAGGCGACCTGTTGGTGAAAGTGAATGGGCAACTTTTGACACAGTTTGTCCAGTTGGACTCAATTCTAGACGAGAGTGTTGGTGGTAAAGTCTCTCTTCTTGTGCAACGAGGTGGCGAGAACATTTCTGTTGAAATCGATGTCGGCGACCTCCACGCGATCACTCCTGACCGCTTTGTGTCTGTCGCAGGGGCATCGTTCCATGATCTTTCGTATCAACAAGGCCGCCTCTACGCCATTGCGCTGAAGGATGCTGGAGTCTACATTTGCGAATCCGCTGGTTCTTTCAGGCTTGATGGCAGCGATTCTGGCTGGGTGGTCCAGACAATTGACAATAAACCAACTCCAGATCTTGACACCTTCATACAAGTCATGAAAGCTATACCAGACAAAGCGCGCGTTGTCATCACGTACAAGCACTTGCGAGACCTGCACACTCTCCACACTGGCATCGTCTATCTTGATCGCCACTGGAACACAAAGATGAGATTAGCGACAAGGAACGATAAGACTGGCTTGTGGGATTTCAAAGAGCTTGCCGACGCTATTCCGCCTGTCCCGCCAGTTCCAAGAAAGGCCAACTTTGTAAAGATGGCGAGCAATAAATCATATGCCAATGCTTATGATATCGTTCGAAGCTTTGTAAAGATCTCAGCGACCATGCCGGTCAAGCTCGACGGGTTTCCACGAGCGAGGAAGACCGGGTACGGCCTCGTAGTAGATGCTGAACAAGGTCTTGTAATTGTTTCTCGAGCCCTTGTTCCATACAACCTGTGCGACATCACTTTGACGATTGCCGACTCGATCATTATCGAGGCCAAGGTTGTCTTCATGCATCCGCTCCAGAACTATGCGATTCTAAAGTATGACACATCATTGGTCAACGCCCCAGTCAAAACCCCAAAGCTATCGACCGATTTCATGAAGCAGGGAGAAGAAACAATCTTCTTCGGCTTCAACACAAATCTTCGACCTGTCATAGCTAAAACTTCTGTCACCGATATCACAACTGTTGCGATTCCTGCCAGCGCGGCTACTCCGAGATACCGTGCCATCAATCTGGACGCCATCACTGTTGACACGGGACTCGCGTCGCAGTGCGGTAGTGGCGTACTGGTGTCTGAAGACGGTACCGTCCAGGCGCTATGGCTCACCTACCTCGGTGAGCGATCACAGCATAGTGGCAAGGATATGGAGTATCATTTAGGTCTCTCCTGTCCAATGGTGCTCCCTGTCTTGAAGGAAATCCAGAAAGGGATCACACCAAAGCTGAGGATACTTAATGTCGAGACGCACACAGTCCAGATGAGCCAGGTCCGCATTTTTGGTGGCTCCGAAGGTATGTACTCTTGTGACTTTTAGTGTAGTAACATCGACTTACAATGTCAACAGAATGGATTGAACGCGTCGAGAAAGAGGATCCTGAGCGTCACCAGCTTTTCATGGTCCGCAAAGTGGACTCAGGACATAGCGATGGACTTGAGGAGGGAGATGTCATTCTCACTTTGAACGACAAGCTTATCACCCGGATATCTGATCTCGATATTATGTATGACAACGACTATCTGGATGCGCTAGTGATCCGAAAACGAGAGGAAGTGCGCATTCGGGTACGAACTGTTGCCACCGAGGACCTCGAGACTGACCGTGCCGTTCTGTTCTGTGGCGCCATCTTGCACCGCCCTCACCACGCCGTCCGTCAACAGATCAGCAAAGTCCACTCAGACATCTATGTATCAGGCCGCATGCGCGGCTCACCAGCCTACATGTACGGTCTAGCGCCAACGAACTTCCTGACACACGTCAACGGTGTCAAGACTCCCGATTTGTCGAGTTTCCTCACCGAGGTCAAGAAGATCCCCGACAACACATACTTCCGCCTGAAGGTTGTGACATTCGACAATGTACCGTGGGTGGCAACGATGAAGAAGAACGAACACTACTTCCCAACCGTCGAGCTAGTCAAGGACACGACTGAGGAGCTGGGCTGGAAAAAGGTCATGCACGAATGGGATGCCGACGGGGCGAAGGAGACGTACGTCGACGCGGAGGTGGATGCACCTGACGATATGGCTGTTGAATAAATCCAGGTCGTCAATTGGGGTTGCCTGCAGTAGAGTGAAGTAGAATGGTTGGTGTATTGCATATGCTCGGAGTCCCTTGGGCTTCTTTTTCTGCAAAATAATTTTCTACAGCATAGACCGTGTGCAAGTAATATACCAAACCTCTTCTGTCCGTCTCGGTTTGTATCTTGTCTCTCTCTCTCTGTGTGTGTGTACGGAGGTGTTGGTTATGATCATCGTTCGTGCTGATGCATATACATACACGCACCAGTGCTGCTTCTCTGCCCGTATGTTGAGTCCTGACCGCGTGCTTTCATCGCAGTCCTACACAGCATCATGCCATATCTATACATATATACATTCCCAAATCACTACGTCGAATTTTTAGCATATAGACATTTACACAACACACTCAGTACCTCACGCTCTAGCTCAATGTTACTTAATATTTACATGCAAAACCACTAAGCTTCGACCTTAGGGCTCACATGACTATGACTGCCTCACGTGAAATGTGCGGAGTCCCTACGTCTACGTCCACGCAGACTCTCGCCTATGTTTTCAACAGCAAGGGGTGGCGGTATGGGGTTGAAAGTGGTCTAGTGCGTGAATATGTATGTCCACACTCCACGCGTCGGCGGTTTCGTCCGTGTCAGCAGCGACAAAAGTCCAATCAGACAACAAACCAATCAAAATTATTGTACGGCATCTGTAGGAGCACTTTGACCGACTGCTGGCTTCGCTGCGCGCTGCTTGTACGCCGCAGACCATGGGGGTTCCCCGTCGTCGTCGAATTCGGCCCACTGGAAGAAGGAACATCTGATAGCACGCATGTCAGACCTGAAGAGTTCGTAGATCGGAAAAGAGAGAGAGATGGTGTGCTTGCCCTTCTTTGTCTGGCGCGAAGTGTGCGTGGCACATCCTGGAACGGCAATCGAGAGTCAGTACGAGGCAGAGATGAGGATAGGGGCACGAAGCTGGACGTCACATACCACATATACCTGCCCCGACTCTCCTTCCTCTTCTGCACACAACGCAGCACAGTCGGAATCCCACACCGACACCGCGGTGTGAACTTCGGATGCAGCGCATCCTTGTAGCACCGATACGTGATGTTGAGACGCTTATTGCCGGCCAGCGGGTGCGGATCGATGGACTGGGCGGGCGCGATGGAATGCTTCCACTCCTCTTGCATGTCCGCATGCATGACCAGGAGGGAGTTGTGCGGGAGGTGGATGGCGATCTGGCCCTCCGGGTCGTCCTGGAGGTGACTGCTGGGTTTGGAGATCAGGGGTTTGTCTTCGCGGGCGATGGTTTTGCGGACGCGGAATTCGCGGGAGACGCCGAGGGAGAGACTGCCGATGATGGCGCGGGGGCCTAGGTAGGTGAGCTCGTCGGCGTGGTAGCCGACGCTGTGGGTTGGCCGGTTAGATGGAGTCTTGTCTGGGAAAGGGGGGGGTGGGGGATTCAGGGGTGGGGAAGGGCAGTCTGGACTTACTTTTGCGCTGCTCCGTCGTAGCAGTTTACGAATGCTGTGTTGGGCTTCCACTCTTTTGGGCTTTGGTATCTTAAGCGGTGTCCGCCCTGGAAGTCCCGTATGCGTCTTTGGATCTCCAGATTCACGGCGTCTTCGACGTTCTTCGAGACGCTCCGCATCTCAGGCAGGAGACGACGGACATCCTTGAGCTCCTGGCCGTTATATGTGTATTCCCGCTTCTGTCGCTCTACGTCCTCCCAGCTATCGACGTAGAACGCGAACGTGTGCGGGCTTTCCACCACTCTATCAAACAACTTGAACTTGCCCTTATAGAATGTCGGCGCATCCCCTAGCAGTTCCAGGAGCAGAGCATCTGCCGTCTCGCTGGGGAGGAAGTTATGTATGATGGAGCACGGCGTGTGATTCTCGATATCTTTGGGAGCATATAGGTGTAATGTCCTGCCCTTTCGGGTCATTAATCTCTTCATGCTCCCAGGGGAAGCACCTCCGTCTGAGGCCTGTTTACTAAATGATGAAATGGACGACTGATACCCCGGGCCATTCTTCCAAAGATACTCCTTCTTCCTAGGGGACGCTATCGCGCCTCCGGGTATTACTACAGCATCATCATCATCATCTCCCAAAGCCCGGGAGGCATCCTCGACGGACCCTTCATGGGACAGAAGAGCGTCCAGTAGTGCTTCCTGGGGACAGTCCGGGTGCAGTGAAGCCAGGAGAGCCAGTTTCACATCGGTCGAGTCGTCCTCGTCCGTGTGTGGAGGAGATATGCAGGCCTCCGGTACAACGTCAGGCGTGGCAGCACGCCGCCGTTTGCGGGACACAAACGCATCCATGCTCCATACTCGCTTTTCAGTGGTAAGGGCGAGATGATGTCTTTGAGGAGACGGCCTGAATTGGTAATACGCGCTAACACGTGAGCGCGTGTATGTTGTCGCCTGGCCAGGCAGGAACTTAATATCCGTCCCCACGCACGGACCTTGTATCGAGCTACCTTGGTACTCTGCTGCTTGTAGTTGCGTGCGCATGTCCTGAATACATGGGCGGAGTCTACGCTAACCCGCAAATGCACTGTATCGTTCACCAGTCTTCAGCTTGACCTATTTATCTCCAAACTGAGCACTGCGCATGCTGTGCCTTTGTGCGCTGCGACTGGAGGAGAAGGAATCAAAACATCGCCCCGCGACACATGTACCATGGCGCCCTCGCGCAATCAGCCTCAGTATGATTTCTTTACCGGGGCACCGATATCGCCAGCCGCTGCGACGTCACAAGTAGCTCCCAGAGAGCCATTGAAAGATACTCTACGGCAATCGCAAATTGCAAGAGCAGGTTTGTTGTCGAAGCTACAGCTTGGGTCCATTTGTTGTCGCTGACTGGTAACTAGATACAAACAACGAGGATCTACGAGCGCAATTGAATACACTGCAGTATGAGCTGGACTCGTTGAAGCAAGAACGGGAGCTTGAGAGGCTGCGCTATGCACAAGAGATTCGCGATGCACAAAACAAGGCAGAAGCAGAATATCGGCGCGCGCAGGTAATGGTATGAGCAATGGATGAAGTACAGGCGGCTGACAGATCTCCAGGAAGCTGCTAGTAGCAACAAGTCCTCCACGTCAAGGTATGATGCCTTGAGTCGCGAGCTGCAAGAGATCCAAACAACGAGCGCAAACGAGAAGATAGCGCTAGAGAAAAAAGTGCGCGCACTCCAGGACCAGAACCAGCAATTGCAAGAGGAGACCGAGGAGGCGCAATCGGAACTGCAGTCATTGGAGCGACAGGGCAAGCACAGATATAATGACCTGGAAACAAGATTCAACGCATTGTCTAGCTCAGTAAATGATCTACAGGAGGATGCCACGAACAAAACGAATGCGCTCCAGATAACACAGCAACGTCTCGCTCAAAAGGAGGAGGAATGTGGTAAGCTGGAAAGCGAAGTGATACAATTGAAAGCACAAGGCGGTGGCTCCGAGGAGCTAGCAGTGGTACGAAGGGAGCTGTCTGAACAAGTCACGCATATCAAAAAGCTGGAAGCGACAAATCGGGACCTCCTTGCGGAGCTAAAGGGCTATCAAAAGAACTACAAGGCAGTCGAGGTTGTGAGGGAAGAGAAACATGCATTGGAGAACAAGCTTGCAGCAATAGGCGACCTGAGAAGAGAATTAGGCGAAGTGCAGATGAAGAAGCAGGCCCTCGAAGATGAACGAGACGCGTGGGCGTCTTATCTCGAAAGCGAAGCGTCGTCCCATGGCGACCTGCAATTCGAGTCGCCAGAGCAACTCGCCCGAGCGTTCATCCAGGAACGGATGGAGACAGCGTCCCTCATGGACAAACTTGGGAAAATCCAGCCAGAACTTACCGTCCGAGATGAGACAATCCAGTCGCTCGAGGAAGACAAGGCCAGCTTGACAACAGAACTAGACAAGTTGCGTGCTGCAGGGGCTGGTAATACAGCTTCCGCTGGTGACAACAAAGCTCGACTGCGCCTCGAGAGGCAGCGCAATCTCGCGGTGAAAGAGGCAGAGTACTTACGCGCTCAACTGAATGCTTATGGGATCGAAGAAGAGGCCGAGGGAGAGGAGGCAGATGCGCAAAAGGCCCAGCGCCTCCAAGAACTGGAGAACCTCGTTGACCAGTATCGCAACGAGCTGCAGACCGCAAACAAAGATCTCGCAGAGCTCGAAAGGAAACAACTACAAGCCCCTCCCAGCGAGCCCCTAACCCTCGCCATGACCCCCAAGAAGCGACCCCTCGACCCCGACGTCAACGAACGCGTCGGCGAACTGACGCGCAAGAACCGCGCCCTCCAAGACGAGATCACCGCGCTCCAGAAGAAGACAACCCACCTCGAAACCGACCTCCGAGCCTCAACAAAGCAAATCTCCTCCCTCAAATCCGCCTCACGCACCCGCATCCTCGAACTCCGCGCCAACCCAACCGCCCGCGCCGAAGCAATCAAGCTCGAAACCCTCAAGAACCTCCGCGACGAAAACACCGCCCTCCTCGCCCGCCTCTCCTCCGGCTCCATCGACGACCTCAACTCCGTCCCCACATCCACCCTCCTCCGGACAAAGGACCAAGTCGCCGACCTCGAACGCACCATCGCCGACCGCGACAAACGCATGATGCGCCTCAAGCAGATCTGGGGCGCCAAGGCAAACGAGTTCCGCGAAGCTGTCGCCAGCCTGATGGGCTACAAAATGGACTTTATGCCCAACGGCCGCGTGCGCGTGACTAGCATGTTCTACCCCGGCGACGAGGAGACGGGCGAGAACAGCATCGTGTTTGATGGCGAGAAGGGCGAGATGAAGGTTAGCGGTGGGCCGAAGAGTCGCTTTGCCGGCGAGATTCGCGAGATGATTGATTATTGGGTGGATGGGAGGAAGGAGATTCCGTGCTTTTTGGCGGCTATGACCTTGGAGTTTTATGATCGCAAGTCGAGGGCGAAGGAGGAGGCTGCTGCTGCGGTCTAGGCGTAAGGGGTTCCGATATGTGTGTGTATGTACGGAGTTTGGGTGCTGTATTGGCTAATTAGTAGGAGTGAGAGACTATATCCAGATCGAGTTCTGTGGGATGGGAGGGATAAATACTCATGTCTTCGTCATTTACAGGGCAATCATCGTAGTTTCTACCTCTATATCAGACATGGATTACATACTCGACGCAACTTGCCAGATTTGTGGCTCGTCGACTTCTGCGATTTGTGGCTCGTCGACTTCTGCGGATGGATTGTCATATTCCAATCACGTGTTTCTTATATTTCTTATCTATCAACACTTCTGATGTCCGTATACTCTATAAGTTCTCTGCAATCTTCCCGGTCATGACACTAGCAAACGTCCCTGCAAGATCATCGCCTCCGCTAGAGGTAGCCGTCTCAATACCCAACAAAACATCTTTGATACCGACACCAATCGATTTCGATCCGGTCACCTCCTGTATCTCACCAATCGCCCTGCGGATATCTTCGTCCTCGAACTTGCTGCTCTGTTTCAAGATGTTCGCCAGCTCCTCTTGTTTATTGACGTTGGGCACCGCGATCTGCTGATTGAAGCGGAGGTTGAGTTGCTGCATGACCGAGCGCTCTGTGGTTGTCGCCAGAATGATCAGACGGCGATCCTTAGGCGGCTGTTTCTCCAGGAGGGCCTTGAGCGCCACGAGACAGGTATTGCTGAAGCGCGGGCCGACAGATACCCAGTCAAGGAGGAGCTCGATGTTGTCGATGACGATAACACTCATTGGGGACTTGTATGCGTCCCGGAAAATCTTATCGAACTGTTGAACTTTTTGCATTTCGCTATACCCGATCATGTCGCCGGGGCTGATCAGTTTGATAAAAGGGGCTTCAGAATCGATGGCAATTTTAGCCGCCAGCGCAGTTTTACCAGAGCCAGGTGGTCCATGAACAAGAACCGAAAGCATAGACGTTGCATTGTCGGTTGCCCGGACTTGATTTACAAACAAGCGGCCCTGCTGGAGGATATTGTCGATGAAGGGTGAATAGTGGATAATGCCGCGATTGATACGCTTCGTGATCTCTTCCTCTGAAACACCAAAGAGAGGTTTCACTTCGTCTAAAGCGTTGATGAAATCGCTTCGGTTTACCTTCATGTTCTCCACGTCGTCCTTGATGCCAGCCATAGTGCCGACTTTAATGTGTCGCGAGAATGCGAAACTGGATGCGGCTTTCACCAGACCACTGATTTCAGCTCCAGAAAAGTTCCTAGAATGGTCAGATGCGTCAGACTTCGGTACATGTTTTGCCTTACTTTGTCACCTTTGCGAGCTCCGCCAGATCTACATCTGTGTCCATTATCTTATTGGTCCTCATCTTTGTCGTGTGAATGTTAAGAATCTGATGCCGTCCGTGCTCATCTGGGAGCGATATTTCCATGTGGACCTCCAGACGACCTGCACGAAGCAGTGCCTCATCAATCATATCCATACGATTGGTCATACCAATCAGAAGAATGTTATTCAGTTGGTCGACTCCATCTAGCTTGGAAAGCAACTGATTGACAACAGAGTCACCGACACCAGTACCACCACCGGCACCACTACCTCTCTGCTTACAAACTGCGTCCAACTCATCAAAGATGATGATATGCAGGCCACTTTCGTCGCCCTTCTCTTTGTACTCTTTCTCTGCATCGGCAAACAGCTTCCGGATATTCTCTTCCGAAGCTCCAACATACTTGTTGAGGACTTCAGGTCCATTAATGACCTTAGGCTCCCTCGCGTTGAGCATTTTCCCAATTTGCCGAGCAATCAAAGTCTTACCAGTACCTGGCGGTCCGTAAAGCAACATACCTCGAACATGCTGAATTCCGAGACGATCTACTAGACCTGGGGGAAAGATGCGAGATGCAAAGGCCCTTCGAAAGATAGCACTAAACTCGTTGTCTAGACCACCTATGCCCATCGCTTCAAATTTAAAATCAGGCGTGATGATTGAATTTGCAGCTGGCCTCCTGTTCGACGGCTTCAGCTTGATTTCGCTCCGAGGGTCCTTGAAGAAGTCGATCTTGGTTTGATTAAACAAGAACCCACGAGCTTGAGGGTCTGATCGTGTTTGACCAGCTCCCGCACCCTGCTTCTCAATAGAAGCCAAATCCGTCAACTCGACAGACTTGACGTTGAGTCGGAGTGGAATATTCTTGTAGTCCATGAGTAGCGATTGCCCTGGCGCAAGCATTTGCTCTGAAAATGTTTTTATGACCTGCGCCGCGAGCTCATCCTGGTCGTACTGCGTATCTGTGCTCTTTCGGCTTGCGAATCCCACTTCTACACTAATGTTTCCCAAATACAACGAGTTTGGCCCGAAAGCATCGTAAGTCGAAACATTGACGATTTCATTGGGACCAAGTGTGATTCCGGCCCAAGTCCGTTGTGCATCTGTGAGCCCGATTTCCCGTGGCTGACACCCACTCGTAGGTCGAGCAGTCAGCACATAGGTGCCGTTGATAAGGATATATATGTCGCCTTGGGCTGAAGGGAAATCTTGCGGACATACAGCAGCGCTGTTGCTTTCGTTAGCTCCACGCTATGTTGCCTCACGGTTTGCGATACTTACAGATTGCCAAACGCAAAAGCATTGCCTCCAGGGCTTTTTATGGGTCTCAGCTGCACTACGTTCTCACTCTGGCCTCGTCCTTGTTGCTGTGGTGGTGCTCGTCGCGGGGGCATCCCTGGCTGGCCACCGTACTGCGGAGCTTGATCTGAATAGCCGCCACCCATTCGAGGATCATATCCACCTTGCTGTCTGTTCGGAGGGGGTTGCTGCTGCGGGGCTCGGTCGTAGTTGTGCTGCGAGGGGCGCTGAGAAGCATCGGGTCGTGAGCCAAAAGGATTTGGCATGGAGGGAATGTTGTTCCGATTGAACATCTTGAATTGGTGTTCACCACAGTCTAGTTCATAAGAGAAGTAGAGAGGTATGGGAGAGACGTTTTAGTGGTCAAGGCAGCAGGATGTTAGGGACAGGTAGCACGTAAGAATGTAGGTGGTATGCTTGCAGTGTTGCATAAAATGTATAGAACAACAAAGAAACTGCCAGAAATCAATATGAGTTTTCTGACAGAGGAGTAGAGAGGGGACGAAACTTCGTTACTGAAGGAGGTGATTTGAAGCAGTAGATGTTCGAGGACTTGAGGTTTTGTCCAGCGAGACAGAGCTTCAGCCTTACGTAGCTACCTATGTCCCCGCAAATGGAATGGGGTTGTCTGCCTCAGGCCACCATCAATCTGATACTCAATCTAGTCCGTTCCGGGTCATCAGAGTGAATGTTAAAAAATATAAGTTTCGCATTATTATTGATCTCACTTCCATGCTGCTTATGACTGTCTCATTAACTTTGGCTCGTACGGCCAATGACTAAACTTATCATCGGGAACGATGTGCGAAAGCGAGTTCTACAGCGCTAAACTAGTGGTCATTACTGCTTCAGCCTCAAAGATTTCATCTGCTTCTGACCGCAAGCCATACAAGGATCGCTTATCCTCATATACGGCATAGCACTGTCTCAGCCACTCTCCTGCTCCACTATTGAGTCAGCAGAGGGCCTCTGATCGGTTGGTCATTATGGACGCCGCATATGCTGTAATACAGCTACTGCTGGGTTCATATTATCGCCCCCAGCTAGTGTCGCTCTAGAGACGTCGGAGCGCAGCCTTGTGCTGAAACGCGTAGATAAGAGGCGCTGGGAGCCTCGAGTGGTGTGTTTGCTGGGTCTCTGCGGCCTCATCGTACTTCTAACCATGGGTGACAATTCAGATGTGCGGCAGGCTGAGCGTGGTCGCATTCTTGGTAGTCACGATCCAATCGAAACGCTACGCAATGCTCAGAAGGAACCCAAGCAGCGCAAATATTTTGATCAAAACTTGCAGAACCAAGCATATTTGACTGGTGATATTTTCGATAGTCTTACAATCAAGAAGTATCAAAATCAATGGGACATCACCACGTATGTTAGTGGTAGCTAAGTCAAAAGCCGGCAAGCTAACTTCCCTCCAGCAATTCCCACGAAGACGACCACCATTACATAAAGCAGGTCAAGAAGCTGTCTACCAGATGGCCACATTTGAGACTACTCGCCGATTTTATGGAGATTGGTACGACGCCTCTGCAATGGCCAGATTTGCGAATGAAGGTCGATAGTCGCATTGAGCGGTGGAGGCGTGTCAAAATTGCTCGACTTGACTACCTCAATGATGGTGTCAGGCCAGTGAGAACCGACTATGTTGACACCAAAAGTCTTCATAGTGGCCTCAGGGAAACTGATCTGGCCTCTGGAATGCGCCTCTACGTTGTTGAAGATCTCTCTCGCGATGTTATCGAAGCACTAGGATGCAAGTACCGCGTTGAACCAGAATTCTTCAGGGAGCACATGTTAGACTATGCGTGGTGTAATGTCCGTGATAGATGGGCACATCCACCGAAACTAACTTCAGTCCGCAAGAAGCAACGGTGGATACAACTTCGCTACGTTACGCCACGCTATTTCGAAAATGGAGAAGAGTTCAAGCTAGCAAAGGAGCAAGCAGGTCATTTTAACGTGGCTAGAAGACCGGATGATGATCAAAATGGCGAGGGCCACTGGGACACTCGTGGAACCGTCGTTGGTCTGACCAGATCGCGGGCGTCCTTCTGGTTGCAACCTGCTGTCCCCGGAAAGGCTGCAATTGGTAACCATCACATCGCTCGAATGGTACGACTCATATGTACTGATATTTTGACCAGGTATCATGCTAGTGGATCCCAGCATCAAAGCCGGAAATCCACTCTGGTATGGTTATCGTGATTGGGAGGAGACTCCGCTACCAGAAGATATAATCGCTCAGTCTAAAGACGGAACCTCAGTACAGGACAACACGAAATCCACGGCAGAACGCAACAATAGAAGACAGTCATCATCGAATACTTCTGACTCCTATTTCATGCCTGACCGTGGAGCGCCCCAAACGCCCCTCTTCGATGACGTTGTCTACTGGGCTGAACGGCCTGCCGCTTTTGCCCTGCCTCCTTCGCAGACGACGATCACTTCTGACTTAAGCAACAATGTACCCATGCAAGCCCTTATGCATCTGATCTGCTCCAACTGGCTTACTCTTGCGGAATACATCCGTACTCGGCTGATCCAGATCGATTGGGAGATTGCTTTTCCTGACGAGTTCTTACCAGCAAAGAAAGCCGGCGTCGATCCTCCTCTCCGGAAGCTTCACGTCTGGCGACGGCTAGTTCCACTGTATCGCCAGATGCTCGAGGAGCTGTTCAAACGGTTGGCCGATGTGACGCCACACAAGCGTTACATCGAGGCGTTGATGGATCCCAATTGCACTGTTCCGGATGCGAGAGACGCTCCTGACTCGTATCCTACCATACTCCAGGATTTTGCAGAGGCTCACTCGACTATGTGCGAACATCAAACACATATCGAACGGCTAACAAGCATCGTGACCGCTACTATATCCATCATCGACACTAGACGCGAGCAAGAAAACAATACAAATATTGCTCGCTTGACATGGCTCGCCACTTTCTTCATACCTCTAGGGTACATCGCCTCACTATTCAGCATCCAACCTGATGTGGGCGCACTCATAGAGAGTTTCCGCTTGTATTTTTCCGCTGCATTACCTATATCGTTTCTGATCATGGCTATTGCTCTTATCACGACGCAGAGTGCCGTCCGTGACTTTCTGAGACAGACGCTTGGCATTGAAAAGAAGGAAAGGACCAAGATATCGCAAACGAAACAACAGATTACGGATGGCTGGGCTACACGGTCAAACCCAGGCGACAGAATGGGCTGGCGGTTGCTAAAGAAGTCGAAGAAGCCCGCGTATCGTAGCTCTACCGAGGAAGCACACAAGAATACACTCCCAGGCGCGATACACAGAAACGATATCGGTACAAGTCAAGAGGTCTAGGTTCTCACTGTACTGAAAGCTCGGATCGTCGCCAAAGATGAATTCCAGGACGATGTTTAGAGACTTGGAGGGTTCAGTTATCAAAGCGCATCACATTATGAATCATCGTGTATACACGAGTTAGGTTCTCCTTCCTTATGCTGCCGCTTCCACGGTAGAGATTGCACTCTGTCTCGCCGGTACCTGAGGCGGCGCTACAGGTGCAGGAACCTCGTTTACACTGGCTGGCTCGATATAGTCCTTATGCCCATTCACTCTCAACCTCAACTTCCTACTCTCCGCATACACGACGCGACGCATGCGATTGGTGCCGCCCAGCGGCTGGTGCACCTTCAAGCCGTGCCAGCTATTGACTGTGATCCGGTCATCCCACCAAACCCGAAACTCCGGCAGCCAGCTATCCTGCGGCTCAAACTCGAGATAGCCAAGTTGCTCAAAGGGGTACTTGTTGGCGTCCCATTCGATGCCAATGTCGTCGACAGGCTGATCGTCGAGGTTCTGTAGCAGCTGCGCGCAGAAAGAATACGTGACTTTGTGCTTCATGTGGAAGTCGCGCAGGCCCTGAGAGATGATGTTGATCGGCTCGTTCTCTCCAATGAGCTTGTCTTCCCACTTCTTCTGCTCTTCGCCGAGTGGAAAGACGCCAAATTTAGCAACGTAGTCGCCAAAGCGGTATGCAGACTGCGAGTACTCGGGCATGGCAAACACTATATCGCAAGATCCATCAGCACGCTTTTCTCCCCTAGCCACCACACACATATCAGAAGTTACAAAAAAACTCACTATGCTGCCTCGGCAATCTCGCCGGCAAACACGCCAACTCTGCATCCGGCCTCGCCGCACACTCCTTTGCAAATGTAGGCAGGTCGTCCCAGTTGCGCTCCAAGCTGTCCGCAATCTCGTTTGTCGTCTTTGGGTCGCGCAGCTCCAACACGGGGTAGTTGTTCATGGTCCAGTCCTGCGTGTGCTTGTCCTCGCCCCAGATCTTCTCGCCTTCGACGCCGAAGATCTTCATGCCGATGCCGCGCGGCGCGGGGATGTTGTCGGGTACCAGCTTGGGCGTGAGCGAGGAGTAGCGCATGATTACGTCGTAGGCGCCTGGCTTGGCGAACATGCCTTGTGCGAGGTGGGCTGGGAGGTTGTCGTTGACGTAGAATTTGCCCATGACGCACTGGTATAGCCGTCAGTCAGTGAGCGTGTTGTATGCTGGGTGAGTGGAAGACAGGAATAGGGAACCGTGGAGCTGAAGGAGGAGACATTGTCGAAGAGAATGGAAGGCAACATACACCCTGTGTCTTCAAATGTGTTCCGCGCAGACAGTGATGGTGTTCGTTGAAATTCATCATCTGCATGCGCTGGAACTGATTCGATACTTCCTGAATCTTCTCCTTCTCGCCGGGCTGGACAACTTCCACGCCTGGGGCATCCCTACCATAGACCGGGGCCCTCCATTAGCACTTGCACATACTGACTGAAGCCGCGGGCGTCAAACTTACCATTTGATATATTTGTCCGACATTGTGACTATATATCAGATTCTCTTCTCAGTGCGTGTGTGCGTGTGCGTGTGCGTGTGCGTGTATTTATGGGTGGGTGTTCGTATCCAGCAATGAAAAACTAGCGTCCATCCAACAAATAATCACCAGAGGGTAGTAGGCAAGTTTCATAGATGAAGCACAGGGAGTTCGATTCTTTTAAAAACTAATACCATCGTTCCCAAGCCCCTCACGTCCTCAGATCGCCACCTCGATTTCAAATGTTCCGTCTTGCTAGAGTACGTACATCTGGCGATTCGGGAACCTTGTGATGGCTGTGATGGGTCCAACAGTGTAGGTCTAGAGCTCTAAAGGTCTAAGATTTCGATCAAGAGCTTCCCCGCAACGCGCTAGACACCCCGTTTCCCCGCAAACTGCCAATGTTAGGGAGGGATTCACCCGCGTAGTACGAGAGCATCTGGGGAGATGGGCCTATAGAAAGGTATCTGTTTGGTTGAGCTAAGCGTGGCCATCTCGGGCGTGCTTCCATCCATGTAGATCTCATCGGCTTCCTTGCCTGGGCCCGGTCAAACGGGTATCGATACACACTATGTGATGCTAGTATGCATTGGGGATGCAATCGATAGTCTATAGAACTTCTATTCTTATAGCGGTCTACACAACATCAATATGCACTGCTCATCACAATCGTAGCACACATACACTGCCCGAATCACAGTCAGGATAGGTCTCCGTCTCCCTCATTGTGATCCACGACTTCTGGATGAGTCTTGGTATCAGTGAGCTGCCTCGGGAACTCGCCTTCGCTTTGTGCTGGTCGAATGAGACTGCTGACAACCGAGACTGCCAGGGATGGAAGTCGGGAGACTGGCACCTGCGCTCCGTCGCTCGACTGTAAAATGTAAGCAAGTGCAAGATGATCTGAGAAGATGCCAACCTACTCTGCGTACACGCCAGTGCAAATGCTCTTGCAGATATGGTATTACCTTGTCCTCGTCAAGACTTTCGAGGCGTCCATTTTCCCACCTCGCACGAAGACTTCTTGTCAGCGGCACTGAACCAGTGATCAATGAAGGTCCCGAGTCTCCATGAGGGGCTTTAATGGAGAGAATAGCTTCCGTGCCAATGAGATTATCATCGTAATCCCAATCTGTCGTATCCTGACTGAAAGTACCTAGAAAGAAGTACACCGCAAAAGAGCCTCCACCAACGGCCATTTGGTCAATAGCAACGTTCGCATTATATTCAATGAAGTCAGCTGTCGGATCGTATACACGCGTGCCATTATCCATGCTACGTTTGCCGAAGCTCGGATTGTCGTTGTACAAAGTGTTGACGGCAGCCTTGATGTCTTGAATTTTGGGTAGCTGTAGCTCGACGTACGTATAGCCAAACACGCGGGTGTCGCGAACTTCGTTGGACGTCCACATCTCGTCCTGTGACTTCGGAAATGGATAAAGGGCTAATTGACCGGGTCAGTTTAGCAAATATCAAGCTGAATAGTGGCAATCATGTTGAGGGGTCAGCATGATATGGAGAAGAGTACGCAACTTACAAGAATTGGCATCCAGGGTGGAACGAACAGAGTATGCCCAGGTTCCAAAATCCTGGGATTGAGGTTCCACGTAGGTCTCGGGATGCAGTCGTTGCCAGATTGCTATCAACCGGTCCATCATGCTTGGAGAATGTTTAGCACAGAGGCAGGTTACAATGATTCAATACTCACGCGTGGTGTAACCAAAAAGAGGGATCGAAAGCCGACATGGGTGTCTCAGTCATATGTCCATGGGGGCCATTTGTTCCTCCAATAGATAAATGTGCCCAGCCATGGATCTCTTCGAAGTTATCTGCTTGACCTCCATGGTTACTGATCGCAGAATAAGTAGTATTCTTCCACAATAAGTTGAACAGTCGGTCGCGTTTCTGCTGTATACCAGTCGAGAATCTCTCTTCGGCAGCCTTGAGATCTTCGGGAGCATCCTCATTGTCAGCTGGGCTTGATGTTGGAGAACGCTTCGTAGAGATGAATTGGTATAGTTGATCCGACTAAAGATGGTTAGTAAAACTCTGACGAACCAGTGATACTTTCAGAACATTATCATTCAACTCATCCGGGTTATGCGGATGGAATCGATAGGAGTATAGTGGATTTTGGATGGATTCTTCTGTGCCGTTTGGCCGCTTGACTACTATTGTTTTGTTCGACATGATCTCCGGGATGATCGGTCCTGACTTGAGTGGAAGAGCCCAGTCCCAGTACGGAAGACGAATCGCATCTGCTACTTTTCGCTGCTGATCTCTTTCATCTCCTTCGGGAAATTGCCTCACAACATCTAGAATATGTTTGTAGAGACTTTGCTGTTCACAGTGTTAGGCTCGAAGACAGGGGAAATGCTCTGTATGTCTACTAACCTCGAACAAAGCAAGATATGGCCTGTGCCACGGGAAGAAAACATTGGAGAAGTGAGGACAATACCCGGGCGCTGATGCACCAGGCCTAGGGGAGATGTCTTGCCAGGACCTGTATGGAACACCATGGATACCTACAAACAAACCAAGTCAGTTCTCGCGAACAAAGCCGTGGTGAGATATGGAAAGATTGCAGAAGCTGTATAGTTGATGCGTATGCTATCACTGACCGGCGATCTCGAAATAGGAGTCTGGATCGCTCTGGTCCGTTGCCTGAAATCTTTCTAGCCCTTGAAGAAACAGATTCAGCATAGCCGTGTTCGCCGCCAGATCCCTCAGCTCCAAACGTGGACGTACGCCGGCATTTTTGACGCCGTGAACTTCGATCAATTCGCTTGCGGCGCTGAGCATGAAGGTGAAAAGAGTGATCAATAGAGAAGAATGGTGCATGTTGCCAGACACTGTGGGCGGTCGGTGAGTTTCCGTCTGTACAAGCCAGCTCATCGACTGTCTCGTGAGTGATGGAGGTGAAAGACAGGCCTATGCGTAGGGAGAATATCTAGGATTTGTATTATGGTCACAGACGAGGATCGACCACGTGATTAGGTATGCTTGGACTGCAGGGCGGTGACTAGCAGTGCCAGTCGTCAATCGTATGACGACGTGGATGCGTGAAGCAACGAGAGTCTAACAATGCCTGAGAGAAGTCAGAGATAAATGCCATGGAGTGAGGAGATGCGCACTTGCGAGCCTTTAAGGCCAACTGATCTCAGCGAACACTCGTTGGGAACAGGAAGGCACGACTGTTGCGGTGCAACAAAGGAAGGACGAGCTTCACATCCTGAGGTGGCAGTTCCGTTGTTGACTCCGGCCCGTGATGTGCGCGTCGCCGTTGCGACTCTGTGTATCCCGTTGTGATCTTCTTGAGATGAGTGAATCCAGCATTACAGTGAGTGGCCCGCTGGTCATGCTCCGTCTTGCGTCCCTTTACGCCTCTCCGCAATCAAGCACGGCGCCGCAATAGTAAAGCACGACGCCAGAACGACATATCACCCACTGTCTCAGCCAAAGAGATCCGCTCCGCCAGCCGCCAAAGGTGCCAGGAGCATCACGACAGTTTTGGTGTGGGAGTTAAGTGGGATCTTATCGCTTTGCGACTGCGCGGCAGCATCGTCAATGGCCTGTCGTGTTTCCTATAAACAAAGCAGCCAAACTAACGTAGGTCATTTGAGGCTTCGAAGTTAAAGTAGAGCTCTTTCTTGATATGTAGTACACGGTACACAGCATGACGCTTTTACGCCTGATGGTCATATGTGTCATGGTACAGTAGAACTAGGGTACACCTACGCCGTTTGAAGATTATGCCCAAGCTTGACAGGTCCAAAATATCTTTCAAGCCGATGCGCAACGCCATATTGGGCCATGGTTTCTCCTACGACCAAGATGAAACACCATAAATATCAAAGACGGCTGTAAATAAACACTGGGAGACTTCAGTTACACGTACACAAGAGCAAAGGACCACGAAACCCTCGAAGTAGTGCGGGTGTAACACACAAGTGACAAGTGGTAAGGCGTTGGCGTTTTGTGGAGCCGCAATACTGTCGTGCCCTACGAAGATATCTCATGGCGTCCTAATCAGCTGTCTGTTCTACATTTGGCTCTGGGATATGCTTGAGAGTTGGGAACCAATGAGCCTTGCGAATTGCAGTCCTTGGACACTGAGTCCGAGCTTCGGCGTCCAACAGATGTTTGATGTAAATACTTGACTGTGGCATGCCACGGTACGTTGATGGCAATGAGAAGATCCAATGGGTGCTTCACCATGAGCAATATTATTGTATGGGTATTGATCTCGAGATCAAGGATGAGCGTTGTCGCCAGAATTTTCATGATGATCTGCAGGTTGGAACGCATCCCCGAATGCAGAATTGTCTAGATCGAGACCAAGCTCGTCGCCATCATTTGTGTACTCCGCAAGCGCATCACCGGCGGTATCCAGATCGTCAAAGCCACCAAAATTCGAATCGAACATGCTTGGACTACCCTCGTGTAGATCATCATTAGTCGAAGTCATTGCCGCAGGCTGCTCGGTGCTCGCCCCTTCTGTCGTTGTGGCAGTTGCATGTACTTGTTGTTCGCTTGCTGTCGTGCCTGATTGCTGACCTCGCTGGCCACTTTCTGCTGAGGCTTCATCTACCATCACCCAGTCAGCCTCACCCTCATTAGGTGCACCGCCGACCTCGGGCATGTCCACATCCATATCTAGCCCGTCCAGGTTCTGGTTCGGATCAACATGGGCCGAGGACTGGGTGGCCGATTGCGAGGGAGCTTGTGACGCTGCGATGTTGGCCTGAGGAGTTACGGCTGCAGACTGTCCCAGGTTCCCAGACTGCGAGACTGGCTGGCTGTGAGCTCGCGTCCCAGGGGTGTTTACCGCAGAATTCTGAGTGAATTCATCTAGAAGACTTGCTGCTGTGTTCTCACCATCCATTGCTGCCTCGTTGAGTAATGTACCTATATCAGTGGCGTCACGGTACACATTCTCTTGCTGGGTACCATGCCCGTTCATGTGAGGTTCAGGATCCTCACTCAGTCCTCCTTTGTCAACGACGGTAATGTCCTTCTTGGGTCCGATAATTACACCGAGTGAGTTCTCGACATCTTTGATGATTTTCTCAACCTGGCTATTCGATGCGACTGGACCCCCCGTTGAAGATTCAATTGAGTCAGGTGCGTGATGCTGCGAATTTGGCGAATTGTCCAAGTCCCATACCACATCTCGGAGACGGCGTTCGCCTTGGACGTATGTTTTTGTGCGTTTGAGATCCGCTATCTTTTTGCTGTGCTCAGCCTTCATTCGTTCCATCTCCGCTTGTCCATCCTTCTCGTACTCCTCTACTCGTTTCTTGAATTCTTCATACTGGGCCGGGTCCAGTTTCCGGTAGCTTCTCACCGACTCCCCTTGAGCAGCACCGCCCTGCTGTCGAATGGGTGACTCGAAGATACCGCTAGTCAAAGGTGCTAGCTCACCTACCAATCCGAAACCTATGTCGATCGGCTCGATCTGCCCAGCAGCATAAGGGGATGAGTAGATCTCCTCCATCCACTCATGATGCTGCGTATACCTCATCTTGCTTATTTCTGATGGTGTGAGATGATCAAGTAGGTCACCGTACGTCGTATTTTCTTCTTCAAGATCATCTGTATTTCCAAGAGGTTGTGGTGTGTTGGGTGCAGTAGTTCCTGGGATATGTGGAGGCGGACCTTGTCGCTGACGTTTCGCTGGCGATGGACCCATGCCTGGACCGTCCCTCCCTTGGTAGAAAGGCTGTGGAGGTCTGGGCATCTGATTTGGTCCATACATTCCTCGATTCTGCGCGCCAGACATCTGTCCGGCATGTGAAAATTCGACTTTGGGCCAGTTACTACGATCATGGAGCATGAACTCTTTTCGCAGGAGTTGCCCTTGTCTTTCGAATAGTTGTCGATCTCTTAGCATTCCTTGAGTCTCCATGTTTGGGGGAATGCGTTCAGCGGGGAAGCGATATTGTGGATCTGTTGGGCCATAATGTACAATCCATAGTTGAGGGTCTGGATTGGGCCCGTTGGGTTCGACGGAGGGTAGCTTATTGACAATATGAAATCGAGTCCGGCGATGAGCAGTAAAAGGCTCCACACCATATCGGCAGCCTGCTTGATGAATCCATACCTCCATAGTCTGTCTTCGTTAACTTGTGTCAGAAAGGTGGAATAATTTGACACGTACATAGCCGCCGATATTGGCTGTGAAGCTTTGTTCTGGGTCTGCCCATATGTAACCATCGCTGGAGAATCTTGCACCTCGCTGAGGCGGCTGCCAGGTGAGGAATGTACTGCCATCGGTAGGGGGTTGCTGAAAGTACTGCCAGGCCATGGCGGCTCGGCCACTCACAATTCCCGGTGCATGTTTTAGGTGGCCAAGGGCTTCATCCGGGGTGATGGATGCGGTGACAGGAAATCTATGAGAGGAGATGAGGTGAATATGTGGAAGCTGAGCCAAGCTTGTTAGTATCTCTTTTCCACATGCGCTGCGTGCTTTTACTTACGACATGAGGAGGCACGCTCGAACTTGGGTCTCCCATTTTTATGCACGTCGAGAGCTAATTATAGCCTGTTGTTGGTAGCATGCAACAGCTGTCAACGCAGAGTATTAAAAAGTGTCTGTGTAGCTTTGATATTGATAGCTCTGAATTGGATCGAGGCTGGGAGCGGCGCGAGAGGAGATACGCGCGACACGCTAATGTCGTGCACGAGCCATGGATGAAAGCTGCAATTGCGCCGGAAATTCGTTTATCCGCCCGTTGCTGCCTCCTCACAGTTGATATGGATCATTGATGAACAGCAGCAGTAACAACAACCATTCTTAAATGAACACAGCGTTTACCTCTCTCGCCCAATTCACTTGTTGAAACCAGCTGCTCCTTCCGCCACAGCGTGTGTCGGAGACGGAGAAAGCTACGTCCCGAAAAGCTTTACTTCGTCACAACCCATCGTAAGTCTACTACTCTTAGCAAATTCTACAAAGTTATACCGATCGTTCAACATGTCAAGACAGTCAAATGAACCAGGTCGCAGATCTGCGCAAAATGCCTTCCCGCATCCACTACCCTTACGTCCATCCCGTCTTCAATATGGGGTCCCACATTTTCCAAATACCGGGTTCTATCGCAATGCATTCAATGCGCCTAATCAATTTATGTCTAGTTACCGCTGCGGCCCGTCTGGGATAACGATGGCCTCTGGCTCAGCAACTCCCTCGGGATATCAGTCGCAACAGTCGAATTATCAAACCCAATCTTCGTATCCACAACAATTCTATCAGCCTCAGGCACCAGGAAGCGCATATTCGGCTGCACCCGTCATTCAAAATCCATTTCCTCTGCCTGGACAAGACAACGCCAACGGATCAAGCCGACAGCCATACGATCCTGAGCTTGAGGCCCAGATTGCGCAATGGCAGTCTGCCTACGTGCCTCGGGATGACTCAGCTTTTGCCAGAAATGGAGCGAGAAACGAAGTCAGTCAGCCAGGAACCTCGACACCACAAACGAACGCTGATAACAGCACAAATGTCCACCAAGGGACAAACAAAGTTGCGGATGGCAGACCGGTCACAGTTGTTCGACATGGTGCTGGCAAAACGTGGGAAGACAATTCGCTGCTGGAATGGGGAGATGATCCAAGACTATTCGTTGGTAATCTTGCCGGAGAGGTCACAGACGATTCGTTGTTAAAAGCATTTTCGAAATTCAATGCGGCAAAAGCGCGAGTCATCCGAGACAAGCGAACTACCAAAAGCAAGGGATACGGGTTTGTCAGCTTCAAAAACGCGGACGACTTCTTCAGCGCCGCGAAAGAGATGGTTGGGAAATACATTGGGAGCCACCCAGTCACGATCAAGAAGGCCGAAAAGATTGCTACACCGTCCGTTGTGCGTGATCAAAATAGTAAGCACAACCATAAGAATCGTAAAGGAAACTTCCGCGAGGGTCATGCGAATACTGGCGCTGGTGTACGTAAGCCTCAAAAGCCCAAGGGACCGAAGTTGCTTGGCTGAGTGCGGATGCGAGCCACATCGCACGAAGAACGTCAAGACCCTGGAGGGGCTCTAGAGATGACTTGTATATGTCATCACATACTTAGGTCCGGCATACGTCAAAATCGGGGAAATGTAGCTGGTAAATGACATCCAATGGATCAAGAGAACAAAAGTGTTGCACTTAGCCTATACCGTCCATGGCTAGGAAAGAGCAGGAGATACGACAGGGCCTTTGGGGAAAGCAAGTGATCCTAACTGGAATGATCAAATGAGGGTGATTCGGTGTTCAAATCTCCTGGAATACGTCGAAGAGAGCTTCGAGGAACAAGCAGCAGCACTGCCATGTACCTAGTAGGTATTCAGGATATTTAAGACCTTACATAATCCGGACTTTAATACTCCCTAATCTCCTACCGCAAGTCCGTGCACTGAACAGGCCGCGATAGGTTTAGCCTGTCCTGTGCCCCTCGATCCGATAACGAGAAACACGTGCCCCGCATTCGCAGTCAATCATCAGTAATTAAATACCGTGATGTCGTGTTTTGTGTATTACTACTGCCTGTAAGCATGCATCATAATCACCATCGTTATCTTCTCCCGAATACTCCATACACCTGCACTTGACAGGACATGGAACTGAGTTGTACTTGACACTAGCGACTCTTTGTGTGTTGAGATGCCATATTCTGCACATGGTCCGCGTCGTGTTGTCGAAGTTTCCTCTCTAGCAATCGGATTGAAGCGAATGATATGGCGGCAAGCAGGCAAGGTAGTATGAGAGCCATGAATAAGCTGGTGGGCTACATGCGGGTCAGTTATTCAGCCAACAGCCACTTATCGTTGACAATGCTGGCTCCGCAAAGCATAGGCGACATCATCTTAGCACCTTGTCCTGCTTGTATGTAGCCCAGGTCTAGGTCTAGGTCCAGGAGTAGTCAAGCAAACCCTATGCCGGTGAATTGATTGATCGTGATAATTACTGCGGGAACTTCTGTTCAGTATAATCCGTGGATACAGTGCTAAATTTGAACCCTTGGTCACATTCGTCATAAATTTTCCTGGCCGTTCCCTCGCCATCCGCGACCTGCAACCTGCGACCTATCCCAGTCTCAGCATTCCACTCCACCGCCGGTGTCCAGGTAATCCGGGCCCCACGTTGGAACCACTCCGAAAACTTTAGCCTGTCCTACGCCATCCATCATCTTTCTCACCCACATCACAACTACTTCCACCTTTACTTCGACTACAATCCATCCTCACTCTTCTTTTGCCTCCCAGTTCTAATAAGCCTCCATCAAACACACAATTCAATATGGCGGACCAGGCTGTCGGTGATTGGGGTTTGATCGGCCTCGCGGTCATGGTGAGAAGCTACCCCACTATGCTCTATAGCAGCCTTGAGGACTCGCACTGATTCATTCTTACTCTAGGGTCAAAACTTGATTTTGAACGCTGCAGACCACGGCTTCACCGGTTAGAACCGATACTCACAGAGTAAAGATGGCAGTACTAAGCCCGAATAGTGGTTGCCTTCAACCGTACCGTTTCCAAAGTCGATCGATTCCTTGAAAATGAGGCCAAGGGCAAATCAATTGTTGGCGCCCACAGTGCAAAAGAGTTTGTCTCAAAACTCAAGAAGCCCCGTCGCATGTCAGTCATAATTCCTTTTCCTAAGAGGCGACTGGGTAACTCAATTTTACAGGATGATGTTGGTACAAGCTGGAAAGGCCGTCGACGACTTCATCGAGCTTCTACTTCAAAACGGAGCGGAAGAAGGAGGTAAGTGCACGCTGTATTTACTTTACTTGATCTTTGGCTCATTCCACTAGATATCATTATTGATGGAGGCAACTCCCACTACCCCGACACAAACCGCCGCACAAACTACCTGAAAGAGAAAGGCATCAGATTCGTCGGATGTGGTGTCTCCGGTGGTGAAGAGGGTGCTCGATATGGGTTTGTGAAAAGCATGATATTTGCTGACGAGGAGACTGCTGACAAGGCACAGGCCTTCAATCATGCCCGGAGGAAATGAAGAGGCTTGGCCATACGTTAAGGTATGTCACAGTCGTTTCCAACTGATGAGTTATTGCTGACTTCATGGAGGATGTTCTACAATCAATCTCAGCTAAGAGTGATGATGAGCCCTGCTGCCAGTGGGTAGGCGACGAAGGTAATTCGGTACAATATATTTTTATATAACCTTGAGCTAACGATGTATAGGTGCTGGTCATTATGTCAAGATGGTCAGTTATGACGTAGGCCAGTCGTGGGTACCTCTCTTACACGTTACAGGTCCACAACGGTATCGAATATGGTGACATGCAGCTTATTTGCGAAGTAAGTATATCTCGAATACTTGTCCCTCATATTTCCTTTATACCCTTGATAATGGTTGATTCCATGATGGCATTTGCTTTTGGACTCCCACTGCGTCACACAATGAAAGCCTTACAAGCAAAAGGGAAAGAGCTACGAAATTGTAGCGACACATGCTTTGCACAAGCTGACAGTATGATAGGCATACGATATCATGCGCCGTGGACTTGGTCTTACCAACAAGGAATGCGGTGCTGTATTCGCCGACTGGAACAAGGGCGTCCTAGACAGGTGAGGCAGTTCTCGTATCGAAAGGACTCTCTGACAGAGACAGCTTCTTGATCGAAATTACCCGCGACATTCTCAACTACACTGACGAAAATGGCACTGAGACCCTCGATGTTATCCTCGATTCTGCTGGGCAGAAGGTAAGAGCTACCGGAAGGGTCAGCATACTAAAAGCTAACAAGCTAGGGTACTGGTAAATGGACTGCCATCAATGCACTCGACCTCGGACAACCGGTAAGCGAACTTCGGCAGGGGTATATGAAGATCCTGCTGACACGCTTAGGTGACACTGATTGGTGAGGCCGTCTTTGCGCGATGCTTAAGTAGTTTGAAGGAAGAGCGTGTTCGTGCCTCTGGTCGTCTCACTGGACCGAAGCCTGAGTTTACGGGCGACAAGCAAGCCTTCCTCAAGAACCTCGAGCAGGCCCTTTACGCCTCCAAGATTATCAGCTATGCTCAAGGGTTCATGCTGATTCAGAATGCCGCCAAGGAGTACAAGTGGAAGCTGAACAAGCCAGAGATTGCCCTCATGTGGAGAGGTGGCTGCATTATCCGCTCAGTCTTCTTGAAGGATATCACCAAAGCCTACCGTAGCAACCCTGACCTCGAGAATCTCCTATTCGATGACTTCTTCAACAAGGCCATCCACGATGCTCAGGCTGGATGGCGCGATGTCGTCAGCAAGGGTGCCCTATGGGGAATTCCCACGCCGGCGTTCAGCACCGCCTTGAGCTTCTTTGACGGTTACCGCACTGCTAACCTGCCTGCCAACCTCCTACAGGCCCAGAGGGATTACTTCGGTGCCCACACCTTCCGCAGCCGTGTCTCCGACAATGCCACTTACCCTCAGGGCCAGGATATCCACGTCAACTGGACTGGGCGAGGAGGTATGTGAGAGTGAACTAAATTTGTACGTGACATGCTAACATGAATATTAGGCAACGTCTCCGCCAGCACTTACACCGCATAGAAAGCAAGATTTCAAACCGATCTATGCTATGAATGGGAGTCAGAGTATCGAGCAAATGGTTGGTATGCAGAAGCGTTTTGGGCAGAGAGCAGGTTTTGCTGAGAATATAGAAGTGACAATACCATAGCTTTCTTGCCAGGCGACTCGTTCACCACTAGCTGTGTTTGCTGTGACCCCAACACCCATTGCTGAGTTACCTCCGGGTGTCGATCATCGGATTGATTGACTAGTGTCATATTGACATGTCACGCACAGATTTAGCTCATTCTCACATAGCTCCTTAGGTACAACAGTCCCACCCTCCAAACAAAGCTTACCGCTCTACATCCCCCTTCATGTCCAACTAAATTCTACAACCTCATCTAGAAGTTCCACAGACGTCCTTGAGCCACAATCCCAATCCCAAGTCCAAGACCAAGCACCATTCCAACATCTCTCACAAATATGCACATTCCAGAAATGCCCCCCCCGTCCCTTGACGCCGAAACAAGACCCTTGAAACGAAAACAGAGCAAAGCCAAGTAGAGCACAGACATAGCAAGGCTTCAAGAACGACTGTTCCTTTATTTGAAACAACACATTCCAGATTAACAACAGGTAAAGAACGTGGTGGAAGATAAGGCCACTAATCTGGACTTGGCTGACTTGAAGATGTAGCAGTCTATTCGGGAAAACCACCTCCCGAAAAAAAAAACCGTATTATCAATCCATTCTTCCCCCAGATGTTATATTTCTAGGGTGTTATTATGTTTGGCAATCGCTCCTCCCTTCAAAATTTAATATTTTGGGAATTTTTTTTTTTTCTAATTTTTGAATTTTTTTTTTCCGAAATGTAATAATTACATATTACTATAAAAAAAGGTTTTTGGGTATGCTTGTGCCTTGCTTTGCGTTGCGTTGCTACCTTGCTTTAAGACTCCGTGCGCCGCGTCCCTACATCCATCCGGATCCCTACTCCCGTGCAGCCCTATTTATCCCTACATCCACAGCCACAGCCACATCTACACCCACCTCTACGAAGAAGAACAGAAAAGAAGAAGAAGAAGAAGGACAAAGAAAAGACAATGATTAGATCTATTCCGCCCATCCCACCACGCCCTACTCACCCACGGCGTTCCCTTCCCTTCCCTCCCTCCCTCCCTCTCTCCCTCCCTGCGCCCGCTCAAACCCCCAAGCCACCATGAGACAAGCCAGGACAAACCTGCGCGTGTGATCACCCGGGAGCCTGCACGATAATGATGGTCTCAGTGACGGTCTTTGCCGGCTCGGTGACGGTGACGTATACCACGCTTAAGTCTGGTTTGGGGGTGAGGATTACGGGTGGGGCGGAGGGGGGTTTCGTTGGGGATTGGATGGGTGGTGTTGGTGGTGGTGGTTGCGGTGGTGTTGGTGGTGGTGGTTGCGGTGGTGGCGCTGCGGAGCTTGGAACGGGGGGTTGGAGGATGCTTGATGCTGGTGATGGTGTCGCTTTCGCTGTGGAGCTCTGAAGGGGCGTTTGGGGGATGCTTGATGCTGGTGAGGGCGCGTCCGGGGTTCCGGCTGGGACGTAGGTGAATGGGGGTGGTGGGGCGAGGAGCTGCTCGTTGGGAGAGGAGGAGGAGGGTGGAGATGGCGTGGGCGCGAGATCTGGAGTTTTGATGTTTGAAGAAGGAGGTGTTGGGCCGGGATTCGTGACTTGGACAGTTGTGACCTCAGTGACGAGGATGATTTTTGACGACAGCGCGAGATCGGATGCGCCTTTCGAGACGGCGGAGGACAAGGGACTGGGAGTTGACGCCGGGACGGTGACGAACTCTGTTTCGTGTACGAAGATTGTGCCGATGGGCGTGAGGGCGTTTGAGGATGGAGTAGGCGTGGGCGTGGGTTTTGGTTGGGGAGTTTGGGGAATGCTGCTGACTGCGACGGCAGCGCTTGAGGCGGCACTGGACACAAGGCTACTTGGAGATGGCAATGAGCTAGATGGAACTGCCATGGAGCTTTGCGCGACGCTTGAAGGTCTTTGTGCTGCTGCTGATGTTGGCGCTACGGCCGGTGGAGGTGCAGCAGACGGCGTGAATGGTATCCTCGTGGTGATCAGAACAGTCACTGGGTCTTGCACTACTGTCTTGCCGCCGCCTGGAGTGTCAAAGGTGCCACCAGGAATAACACTTGTAATGACTGTGCTGATGAGAGGAATGATGACGATGGGATCGCCTTGTCCTTGACGTATCCTGCTGAGATTCAGTATATGGTTCCATCATTGTATGCGACAATACGTACTGGACATGCTGCTCTGGTCCAGGTAATGGAGCAGCAATTCCTAAGGTAAAAGCTGCCAGCAGCGATATGCAAAAGTGAAAGACATTCATCTGGTCAAATGAGACAAATCTGGATGGAGGAGAGAAGAAACCAGGCCAAAGACGTGACCGACAAACACAACAGCAATGAAGAGCAGTCAAGAAAGCTGCGTGCTGAGAGATAACAGAATATGAGAAATGATCATCGAGGGAAGAGTGCAATAACCAGACAAAGAGGCAAAGAATATAGTACTTGCTGGAAACACGCCGCCTGGAATGCTGAGCGAGGCACCATGATATTGAAGCTCTGTAGCCCCCGTTTGATGCAAATATAGAAGGGTGTGCCTCATTGGGTATCGCATAATGTTCAAAGGACCTCTCGTAAATTATCAATGCTCTCCTTACCGGCCCTAATAGTGGCTATGCAGAGTTCATTCGTGTAGACGAAGTGTTGTGAAGGCTGAAGCTCGCCTTTCGTGCCGGCGCTACATTTCCAGAAGCGCGTCGAGATCGCGTCGCTAAGGATTCCGATTGGCCACATGCTGAAACGAGTATCAGCGCAACGCTGCTCTGCGCCATTCATATGCCTGCGACCAGTCAATACTGAAAACAAGAATCGTTCCAGTCGACACTGAACACCAAAATAGCTCCTGTCAAGTTGGCCAGCCACTAGCTTCGTACGTTCGCGGCGTGAAGCGCCAGACAGTTAGGGCCAAGTCGCACTGTAGCACGTTTCAGAAATCACCAGTGATCTAGCAAAAGTTGAATGGCCATTTGATTGCGCGGCCGACAGATTGTAGAGACCCGCAACTAGCTGAAGGCGGTGGATCGGAGTCTATGGTGCTGAGGCATATGGCCGCCGCATACTCGACCTCAGCTACATGGTCAGCAACACGCTCTTCTGTAGTCATATCAGACTCCCTTGCTTCCCGAGACAACATATGTGCATCTTCCCCACGCGTGAATGCTAGTATGCCAACCCAAAAGACTGATCCAATTGCTGCCAGGCCTTCTGTCTGGTCCATAGGAGTGTACACCTAGCGGAATCAGGTCGTCGCTCGCAGCGACGGACAATCTCATCCACCCTTGCGAAGAGGTATTGCGGTCGCAACCGCAGGTCTAACGTTATTCGTGGTGGCTGACCTCCCCTTCCGCGCAAGGAAGCCTTCCAATATCTTCTTCACCTGCGCCAGACTCCTATCCTTGTCCTTGGGTGCCTGACAGTCCTCGACCCGATATGGAGGCTTGATCATGACTGCATCGTTGACGATGATTGAGGCTTCATGCCAGCGGCAAGGGAGACTGAAAGTGTATTAGTGACTCAGAGCATTGTATCATTCAAGAAAATGTAACACGTACGTCCTGGCTATAGAGTCGAAGATGTCTTGGCCTTCTTTGCTAACGGCTCTATTCTTCGTGGCCTCCTTCTCCTTCAATTTCCTAACAGCTGCCTCTTCGCGCTGGCTCAACGCAGCAGTGTCCAGTTTGTCGATTGGGGGCTGTACACCTGCGAATCCATCTACAGCGCCTTCGGTGCGCTCGGCTGGACTGAGGACAGTGAACGAAAGGAGGTGGCATATAGGTATGACATGAAAGTTGCCGGGCTGAGAGAACGCAGAGGTGCTTGGGTTCGGTGGAGGTGGCGCTGTATTGATGGCGAGCAGGTTCGTCTCAGGGGAGACTGCAAAGATTGTACCCTCGTAGGCGGTATTATGTGGCGCCACCGAGACTTTGACTCTGTTTTGCCCATGCGGTCAGTGATAGTTTGATATTCCCGGCAATCTGACAATGCATCGAGAGTCGTGTCCAATTATTAGGTCTTGCTATTCCAGAGACTGGTACGTACCGCGCTCCGACAGCTTTGTAGAGGACGTCGCCCATATCGGCCAAGTCCTTCTGCGCCCCACCTGGCTTTGGTGAAGCAAGTTTCCCAGATACCGAGTTTCTCTTGTTTTCTGCCATGGTCTGCAGTTGAACAGGATCGAAAAGAGAGTATACTTTTCAGATACGCAAACGCGCGCGCCTCAGATCTGTTGACGGACACGCATGTAATCAAGGCAAAGGAGCGACAAGAAACTGGAGGTAAGGCGCAAGCTCAGGTGGAGAGGAGAGGGAGACGCAGGAAGGGAGGGATTTGAGCTCTGCAGCCCAGCGCGTCGTAAGGTGACGATGCAGACAGTGACGAGCTCCAGCAGCAGCCGTGTCGGGTGCTGTTGATGTGGTGTTAGCAGCCTGAGGCAGGCGGCGCTTGCGCTTGTGTTGGCGGGTTGAGCCGTGCTGATCCATGGATGTGCACGTGCATAAACAATACTATTCATTCACCGCAAGTCGATAGGTCACTCTGAGTCCAGGCCTTGACATCGCAGAAAGCTTAAGCATTACAAGGAGTCTTTCAATCACTATTGATCGATCTACTATACGAGTTGCCTGTATACGTCTTCCGCAGATTATTTGCAAAACTATGGCTATGCCCTCTGGTCGCCCCCCCTCCCCTTGCACCATATACCAAAAGTCCGGTCTTTCTATGCCCCCAAACGCCAGTAAATGCTTATAACCTTCGCTACAATGCAACGCCAGCTTTCTATCCTTTACCCTAGATGAGTTCCCCTTCACCGTCATCTTCGGCATCGGAGAACTCAAAATCCATCTCCTTTTCGGCTTCCTCCGCTTTACGCTGCACCTCAGCCAAGCCACTGATTTCCTCCACCCATCCTTTTTCGTTGATGGCCCTCTTCACGAAATCCCACCCGTCCTTCTTGTACAAATCCAGAATTTTGGGCGAACATGCACTGCAGCAGTCATATGGTTTGCCTTTGATAACAAGATGTGAGAACGTGGAGAGGTAGCCACGGATGGTGTGCGGAATCAGCCCGAGTGGATGGTTGAAAAGTGTTCTCGATGCCGCTGTACTTGAATTCTGGACCTGGGCTGCGCCAGATGATGCGCTGGAGTCTGCTGGCGCACGAGCTTGAAGCGGATGCTGAAGGATCGAAACAAGGAGCTCGACAAGAAGAGCAGACGCCATTGGAGCTATCCCAGGTCTAGTAACAGTACATTGTTGATCTAGAGTGGCATCTTTTAGGGACTTGAAGAGTGTCAGCACTTGCACTTAAATCTGGGCCTGGTATAAGGGGTAAGAAAATCTTACATCGGCAGGCGCAACGACGTCATTACAAAAGTAGCACCCAAGCTCTTCTTCGTTTGGACCATTTGCAGGCAGGCCTTGCCGCATCACTACAAAGGTGTCGAATCCAAGTGCAGCATTCATGACAATCTTACCTTTTGCTTTTGCCATTACTGTGGGTAGCCATCTGCTTTCTCTGGTGTCCATGAGTAGGAAAATGGCATCATGCTCATCCATGAGCGAGCTCAGGGTCTCGTAATCGGCCTTTGTCTTATTCTCATCCGTTATTGGATGTCCAGCCATTGGCACAGTCATGACATGTCCTTCGGAGTCGACACCTGGGTATATCTCCTGTAACACTTCCGATGCGCGCCATGCCTTCTTCGCACCACCTTCAAGGCAATCCTTGAAATCAAAGAGGGGCTGACGGACAGGGTTCGAGAAGCTGACGGTGGCATTGTCTACGAATGTTATTTTCCGGACCCCCCAGCCCATGAGATTCCGCGAAACATATGAGCCAAGTGTCCCCGCCCCGAGAAGAAGGCATTTCGTATTCTTTATTATATCAAGATCTAACGAGGGTGCGATTCGCCACTTGATGAGTTTGAGATTCAAGTCTACAGCCTGATCTGCAAGCTTTTGGGGGTCCATGTATGCAGCCAGATCGACAAGGCGACTGACCATCTTGCCATCCGCATTTCTCTCCCAGCCGATGACCTTGGGCATGAGCGAAGTTCTACTTTGACTCGTTGGTTTGAAGTCTTCCATTGTTGCCGTAGAGGATGTAGATAATGTGAGTATGATGCTGTTTGCCGTATCGCGCCTTAAATGGGTGTCTCTGTAGCACATGATCTGTACCATTTTGAGCTGCCACTTGTACTTAATAAGGACTAAGAGATTCCGGAGCATCCATGCAGGAACGTCGGGGTAAGTCGATGGGTCTGCAAAGCAGACAAACTGGTCTTCAGACTGCACGTCTCTGAAAAAGTCGTTCTCGTAGCTTGAGAGTGACCCTACTGCCCAGGAGAATCCAAGTTCTTCCGTCATTGGCGTCTTTGGAGTCTCTGGTCGATCTTCGCCTTCAGGGGTTCTGTGACGAAGTCTCTTCGCGAGGAAGAAGCCATGTTGTCTACTGTCAACCCCGTACTTCCAGGTCTGTACAGCATCCACCAGCCCAGTGGTCTCTTTATGCCCCAGCTTGGTGTGGCCGGAACCGGGTGCTGTGCTCATGGTCCATAAGTTATCTGTCGCAAGAGCAGGGAAGGCGAAGTGGTAGGTGAACTTGTATTTCTTCAAGTCGGCGAACGATATGGCGGTGAACGAGGCTAAAAGGGACGGGCAAGAATATATAGTTCCATCGCATATCGCGTCCCAGATCTATGTTCAGATATGAGCAGTATCCACTTGAAAGATGCAGGGATCATACCATACGCCCCGCGCGCTCTACTATAGCCCGCCTCTCCAAGTTTCTAAACTCTTCGATCGTATTGACATTCTTGATAGTACCTTCGGCGCGTAGATAGCCTGACGTAGTCCTAGATAGAGTTGTTAGCAATCATGTTATAGATGCAACCATTTCAACGAACGCACTCGTCGGTTGTAAGTGCGGAACCGTGAAGCTGCATACGAGCTGATCGACTTGGCGCATCGCTGGGTCTTATTTCGTAGAGACCAAGGACCTTACGAGCAGAGTCGTCGAGTTTGTCATGGTTGATTTTGAGACTTGCTAGAGCCGCGTAGAAAGCGAGCTCAATATCGGAGGTCCACGGAGCATATTGAAGCTTGTATTCCGTCATGGTCAGATAGATTATGTAGTTGATGTGAGGTGTAGGAGGGCAGTTTGTTAAGGATAATGGGAATCTGGAGTGGATTTGACCACTATACCGGCGCGTGAGCCTGTACCTAAGCCTAGAGAGCTCTCAGGCGGACGAGCACGAGTGAATGAATGATCGAGGTGTTGGAGGGGTCCTGTCTCAGTTGAGGCGTCATGGCGATCTGGGACACGGTCGGTGGCGGGGAAGCCGGAGCTTAATTAGTTCTTTAAGTTACGCGCATTGGTCCCTGAACCACGCCGAGTCCCAGGGTCCACCTGGGCTGGGCAGCTGCCTGTATTAATTATTAGTCGCGCGTTGCCCAGGGAGGTATCTCCTCAAAGCGCGACGCGTTGTCTATCGTCAGGACTGAAGTGAATTATTCTCCAGGCATACGGACTAGCTGCGCAATACATATAAGGCCGCAGAGCATTTCTTGCCATCCAGAGTTCTTCACTTCTCTTGGTTGTTCCGTGTGATTAAGCCAGTCATGTTCATTGGGATTTGCGGAGGTACCTATCTTGAAACTCTCTCGTTATATATTCATAGTCAACCATCCTCTAATATGGAATCAGGGATATGCGCTGGCAAAGATACAATAGCCAAATACTTAGTCCGAGAACACGGCTTTACACGTCTCTATCTCTCGAGGAACGCACCAACACCCCCAGTAGAACGATCAGCGTCAGATGCTCACGTGCCAGCTCCTGACGAAACTACATCTTCCAAGTCCAAGTTTCACACTGCCGACGACCTCCTTGCTCATGTGACGGCAAGTTGGCAACAGCGCTGGGTGACAACAGACATATGGGATGAGTCAGTACTCGACGTTTACGACCGCCGCCCAGCATTCATCCTGCTCAGCGTTGACGCACCCATCACAACTCGCTGGGAACGTTTCCGCGTCCGCTGCGAGAGACACTCGCTTACGCCGCCTGATTTGACAGAATTTGTACTAAGGAACGATGTGCATATATATAGTCATGAGGCTGGTCTTGCATATCTTCTAAACCGCGCCAGTATTCGTCTTCTTAATACTAGCACTTCACTCGAGGCGCTATATTCTAGTCTCGACGATTTAGATTTGACCAACGAGGAGCGATTAAGGCCTAGCTGGGACGTCTATTTTATGCAATTATCGGATCTTGCGGCGCAGAGAAGTAATTGCATGAAAAGGAGAGTGGGCGCCGTGCTGGTCGGTAAAGAGCGGCGAGTCATCAGTACGGGGTACAATGGCACGCCCAGGGGCATGAAGAACTGTAACCACGGTGGATGTAGGCATACCTCACTGCTTTCATCTGAACATTGCTGACATAGTATGCCAGGCCCTCGCTGTAACACGGCCGCTAGAGCCGGAGCTGGCCTTGACACTTGTCTATGTTTACACGCCGAGGAAAATGCGCTACTGGAAGCCGGTAGAGAGCGTATCAGAGATGGTTCTATCTTGTACTGTAATACTTGCCCGTGCCTGACGTGTTCGGTGAAGATCGCGCAGGTGGGTATCAGCGAGGTCATATACAGTCAGCAGTACAGTTTGGATCGGTCTGCGGAGCGAATACTGGGGGAAGCAGGAGTGAAGCTAAGGCAATTTTCACCGCCGAAGGAGGGCCTGGTAGATCTGGCGGTTGCGACAAAGAGTAAAGCTCAGACGAACGGGCACGTTGACCAGCTAGAGAAATTCACGTTATAGATCCTATGAGATACCCTACTTTACGCATACCGCCTGCAAGAACTCCTTGTGGATAGTACATGCCGTGTGAATTCTTTGCGGTAAAGCACCAGGCCTTTAGCATCCGGCTGGTTCCAAGATGGATGGATATGCTTCTTTCGTTTCCGTGGTTCCTGCCACCTCATCGAGGTATCCCTCAAAGTATCCCCTCGCCTTTCGTCCTTCCAGTCGCAACTTCTTCCGGGGGATTTCGAGAGCCTCCTTCGTAGCCATTGTGAACGGCACATTTGAATCACAACCTGTTGAAGGAACGGAGGTGCTAAGAGGCTCTTTGTAGAACAAAGGCTGACCACTCTGGTAAGTCTGCAACCGCGCATGTTGTGCGATAGTGTTACGCTGGACCTTTGAAGGTTGGGCCTTGGTTTCTGTCATGGATGCTGAGATGTGTTGCTTTACACCATTCGTATATAGAGTGCCGTCTCGCGACCGCTCGACGAGCATACCTGACTGAGCTGGTGGGTGGTACTGGCAATCCAAGCAACGGCAGCTCATGCCATGGCACCGATCCAGACGAATACTGCTGTCCTTGTGAACTGATTTGTTGATTGGTTTGGAGTCCTTATGCATTGTGGTGCCTTCTTTTGTCAAATTTGATTGATTGATATCATTCTCAATATAGCGTCTCCAAGTATTGCCATGGAATGTACTCGGACTACTGGCACATGAACGGTTGTCTGGAGTATCTGGGTGGCCTGCTGCCAGCGCCCGTTGCCGCCTTGATTTCGGTGACTTGGATGCAACTTCCAAAGAGCTTTGCAAGTCCTGCACGGGCGAGCCTTTACTGGGAGAGCGACTTGAGACGTTGGCGCTACGTGGTCGATCCGACTTAGGGTCATCATCTGCTTCATACTGGTCGTCAGGCCTGAAGTTGCTTTCGCAGGGCTTGAATCGGGATACTTTCCGGATAGATGGTTCCGGAGCCTGCTTCGTGAACAGGTTTGTGTCTGTAGCCCGGCATTGCTGTGTGGCACATGGGTTCTGCTGCATATAACTGATGGTTTTCCGCATGGCCCTGACGGACGCTTGAGCTCTATCAGCTTCATTCATTAAGCTTATCCAGGCCAAATTTTGGTCGCATGTAACATCTTGTGAAACGTGTCCAACCTTCGTTTTTGATGTTTCAGTAGATTTAGTTAAGAGTGAGCTGTTATAGAGTTTAGTCAACAGTTGCGCTGTATCATGTTTTTCACGGGAGTTTCTCCTCGGATTCTGAGAACAACGAAAACTGCACTCGATACTGTAAGAGACAACGACGTCTGAAATCTTGCACCGCCCTGGTGTGCGATGGTCACACGACTTCAGAGTAGTATCTCGCAGTTGGTGCCCGCACGAGAAGCAGGAAATTGTCGAGAAACACATGATATATTCTCAATGTTGCTGTAATTCTCTCTGGGTTTGAAGGTCGAAGCAAGTCGTAGCCACTGCGTTGACACCTTATAAACGCCTTGTGGGTACGTGGCCACAGCTGAGGCGTTGTCACAATGCACGTGTATGACCACGCTGATGGCTCTTCACGTAGCTTTGCTCTCCGTATACTTGGATATCTCTGTAGTTGCATGCTCGGCATGTTCAGTGAAAGTGCATCGTAAAGGCCTTCAAATGCTGTTCAGCCCATTCAATCATCAAGCGAAAAGTCGAAATCTTTGAAAGCCTTCTTAAAAGCATCTGCATCAGCTTTCTCTTCGATCTCACTTTGACCACATTCCTGCCATTGCACACGTTTCTCAAGGTCTAATAGCTTCGCAAGGACTCTTCGACCAAATTGAAGGTCGAAGCGGAACGAAGCATCTAGGGGTAGAAAGAGAGATGTATCCTTTCCTTCTCCATTTTGTTGACTCCCACTTGGTTCCCAGATAATCGCTCGAAAGAAATCTGTTGGCTCAATGGAACCATTGCCAATATCCTTCTTCTTGATCGAAGGGTAATTCTCGTTCTCTGCCTGCACTTCAAAGGCAACTTCAACCAATTTCCTCTGGACGAGATCTAAGGGAAGAGGAAGGTACTGCCAGTGAGTATGGATCCCACCAGATCTGCTTACCTCCCAGGCTATAGAGCCTAATTTGCCGGCGGTACGTCTCATGAGCATGGTGTTCAAAGACTTGCGATATCGTTGCATTTCCTGGAATACGAGCTCCCTAGTTTCTTCAGGCTCGATAAATGCTAGAGTTGGCGCATGCGTAAGAGGAATGATAAGCATATGCGAGGGAAACTCTAGGTCCTCGAAAGTGTCTGAGGTGCTGAGAGGACCTTTTGCCGTAGTCATATAACATTCGTTTCCTATGGATGTGATGAGATGAGATGCGACGTTTGGGTTGGATAAACAGAAGAAACATTCGGAGGGGCCAGGTGGAGGGGCTTTTTGGCGTTTGTTGGGTTGACGATGACCTCTGTCGTCAGAAAATCGATAGGAAGAGCCCTGCGTTGGCTTGGTCCTTTTCTTACTTTGGGTAGCCAGGGGAGATGCAGTAATGTCGGTAGGCAAGGCGGCGGGCGAAGAAGCTGAGGGATCAAGGGAGAATGCGTATATCCATTTAGCTTTTTTAGAATTGTTAAAAGAAGCTAAGCTGATAAATCTCGTCACAGAAGGTCCCTCTGTTGAACTATCTGAGGTATGCAGAAAAGGCTCACGCTCGAAAAAACTTTCCCCGGACGTAGAAAAGTGATACTTGGGTTTCAAAGCTACATCCAATTCGGCAATGCACTGATAAGAAGCAGGTTCCAGTTGTGGATCCAATTCGACTCCTGATCCACTCTTGATGTTTGACGGCCACTGTGTAGTAATTAAGATGTCGGCATGATTAGCTCCTCGCAATACTTTGGCGTCGCCTTCCGAGTAGAATGGAAGATAATTGTCTTTGGACACGCCTGTGGTGACATGAGGATCAAGAACACCGCCTAAAGCAACGAGTCGAATGCCTTCGGAAGTTTTGATAGTTGTTCGCTTCCCTAGGAAAGACAAGTTATCGCAGACTTCTCCAGATGCAGAATCAAGCTTCTTGGTTACATTCTCGGGAAGAGCATGCTTGCCAAGCATAAAATACGTTGGAAGCGCAACATCAATCTGCCCATTTAGCAGCGCTTCCACATCCTTTGCTTGCTCCGGAGACTCGCTTTGCGGATGTGCGAAGAGATCGCCAGCGATGATTGCAAAGGCGAATGCATGTTTGCCATTCAACGTCGCGAGTTTTTTGAAGGCTTCTCGAAACTGACCATTAAGACTGCCGATTACGACGCTGAATTCTACGTCAGCTTGAGGTACTCATACTCCTCATTGACTAGTATCAACTTACAGCTTTAACGACATTGTTGGGATATTTTAAGGACTAGTTGAAGCTGTTGAAGCCCTTGAAGAAAAGCGCGTCGTCTCGCGCAAACGCCCAATCCATGCACAAAAGTGGGTCAATTGTGGCGCACCCGCCAAGATTTCGGTGGCTTATCCTCACCGCTTTGGCAAAATTCTAAACTTTCCTTTTGAAGCTTTACGAATAGATTGTTCTATACGACAAGACTTCCCTCTCACGCTCGCAGCCATGGCTGTAGGACACATGTCCAAGCCCCTGCTACAACGAAGAAGCAAAGGTGGTACCGAGACCACGCGTAAACACAGATTCAAGGGCTTTTCGTACCGGATACAAAATCTCAAGATCGAGCCCATTCGCCGCGATCGCCGCCACGACTTCGACGACACAGGCGCCTCTCACTTCCAGACAGCCCTCGCAAAATGGAGAGATAGTAATTTATCCAGCAACTATGTCGCATTCGCGGCTCAAATCGACCCCTACTGCGAAACCCTCCCCCAAATTCTCCACAATCAAAGCCAAATTGTAGAATTGCTTGTAGAATATATTGGAAAATTGGATGTGCTCTCCCTGCAGCCTTTACTCGATCTGGTCGCACAATTGGCGCATGATCTGGGTGCTAGGTTCGAAGACCATTTTGAAAAGCTCTTGATCGCCGTTACCTCGGTCGCCGCCCGTCACGAAGACGTGGAAGCCATTGAGTGGAGTTTTAACTGCCTTGCTTGGCTGTTCAAATACCTCTCCAAGTTGTTAGTCCCAAATCTCACACCCCTATACGATTGGTTGGCACCATTGCTCGGAAAGCAACATCAAAAACACTACGTGCCTACATTTGCCGCTGAAGCGCTGAGTTTCTTGCTACGCAAAGCTAGTCAACGGTCGAACAAGGAGTCGCTCCACAACATCATTCGCCACATATTGACAGACGTGAACACATACCAGAGGGGATCGCTCTCTGCTACACGTTACCAGCATGGTGTCATGACCCTGTTCGCCGAATCCATAAAGGGTGTTCAGTATGGGATTCATTCTGGCGCAGAAAACATACTTCAGGAGCTCATCCAAGAAACCTTACAAGTCACTCAGTCAGATTTACTCGAAGATACCTCACCTGCACAGACGGTACTATGCGGGACCATTGTCAACGTCATTCACGCAACGACAGTAGATACTTTTGCGCCACTCCTAAAAGTCATCGTAGGCTCATTAGAACCTGGGCCTCAGGCATCGGAGAAAGTTTTGAATTTATGTACACAACTCATCCTTGTTGTTTGTGGCGTGCGAAAAGGGTCGAGGGTTTCTGATTGGGCTGCTTTGGCAAACCGCGTGGATGCTTTACGTGAGCATGTTGAGCAAGCCTGCAAAAGTCAATCCTTTTCACCGAAAATCCTCTATGATATCCTATCGTGCCTAGCTGTGGTGCTACATGGGTGTTCATTGGATATCGCTCTGCCTTATGTCCACCGCCTCGGTTTCTTGACGTCGGGACAATGGTTGAACCACTTTCTTCCATTCTGCATCTTGTTGTCGAACTTGAACCACGAGCGTTTCACTTTCCTGGCACTTCCCCATCTTCAAAAGTATGCACAAACATTACAACCGTTCTGACCGTTAGCTAATCATCTCAGATTCATTGTACACAATTGGAAAGAGCAGGGTGACCAAATCTGCTTGGTGGTCCCGCGATTAGCCAACAGCGAGGTACTCTCGAAATCTCTCCAATGCCCATCCGAGTGGCAATCTGCCATATGCGACTTATCTAATACGATTGGCACGAAAAAAGCGATACCGAAGGACAGTATATGGAAGTTGAATAGTCGTTTGATCCTGGCCGAACAGCTGCCGTTCCAAGCTGAACAGAAACAAGTTTTAGCACAGAGATTGATGGATTGCGTGGCTTCCACCTTCAACGATATTTCCATCAGTGACGGTATAAGTCAGCGATTCTACCTTGGAAAGGCTTTCGAATTCGCGACTACGCAAAGTCCTGGTGCATCTGATGGTTTGCATTGGAATCAAATCGAGCAAGCCTCCTCTCAGCTTACCGGACTCACTACTTTCTGGACTGCGGTTCGGGCTCACATACAACAGCATCATATATCTTTCGGTGAAGTTCAATTCCACTCGACTCTGCTGAGCAATCTACGCAAGTGTCTTTCAAGTCCATCGCATAAGCTTCGGCTGACTGCGCTCGAGATACTTAAAACTGTTGTTGATGGCAAATCTGAATGTATGGATCATGCTATTGCTATAGAAACTTGCCCCTTGGATCTTGAGAATGCGCGAAATATCGCATTACGAATTAGGAATTTGGCAACAGCGTACCGAAAACCCACTACCGATGCATGGACCTCAAAATCAATCCCTTCGTACTTATTTGGTATTCTCCATTTCCGACTGTCTCAAGCTTGGGATGATTCCGTCAACGCCATCAAAGAGATCAGTACTACAAAGGATGGCGAAGATGCCATATCCATATTGGCCTTCGAATGGCTGAATCCTCCAGTTCCTAAAATCACTACGAGTCCCGAGATTTCATATCTGGATGAAGACGTGACAAGCACAAAAGCAACTAATCTCTTTGAATGTTTCAATCACTTACAGCTTCAACAAAGGATACAAAATTATCACTATACTACTGCAAATCCTGACCGAGAACTCTCTCTCCTGTTCGAAACATCCAACGTCGTTTCAGATCTTCAAAACCAGTTCTGCAGGACCCAAGCACTCAAAGTCTTGAATGGCATACCCGAGTTTGCGGAGAAACGCAATAGGTCGTTAGTCCCAGTCCTATTAGACTGGGCAGGCCGTTCCGACAATAATGATAGTGTGACACAGTCCAAGTGTAGCAATGACGTTGTTACACTGAAGTGGGATCGGAGGGACCAGAAATCACTGTTGTCGCTGTTTGCTCAATTCAACAATCCAAGGGTCCTATACGAGTCCGATAAAGTACGTGTAGCCTTATTGTCCTTATTGACCAATGCCGATGTTGAGATTCAAAAACCTGCTTTGAGGGCATTACTGGCATGGAAAGAGCCTCAAATCCTACGATATGAGGAAGACCTGTTCAAACTACTGGACGACATGACCTTTCGGGACCAACTGTCCATTTTTTTGGGTGTGGAGGAAGGTGATAAAGCCATCCGAACAGACGACCACGATCGTGTTATGCCTATTATCCTACGCATACTTTATGGCAAACTTGTTCTCCGCGAAGGCTCCGCTAGTGGAAAACAAGGGCAAAAGGCGCGACGTAAAGCAGTGTTTACCTTACTGTCTCGTACTATCGATGTTTCGTCTGGCCGTAACGATTTCTCGGAATTCCTTACTCTCGCATTGGGCAAACTCGATGGGATCTGCATCATCGATGGCGATGGACTGAAGAGGGGCAATTATGACAAGCTAAGACAAATCGCGGAGCCTAGAAAGTTGTACGGTCTTCTCAACATGTTTGAAGATATGCTTGATACCCTGCGAACTAAGATCAATCCATTTCTATCACGCATCGCCGACCCCTTGTTATTTTGCTTTCTCCTTGCCTCTCAGAGCATACCTGAGGCTACAAGTCCTGGACGACCAGATCAGACAGACACATCCGAAGTGTCAAATTCGAATGAGGGACTTTTGAGATCCATGAGACAGGCTGCCCAACGCTGCCTCAATCTTATGTTCTCAAATGGCGAAGAGTTTGCTTGGGCACCTTATGCTACAGTCATTAATGAGGAAATAGTGCTTCCCAGATTGGATAGGCTGCCAGTCGAGAACGCACACTCAATATCTGGTATGCTCAGATTGTTTTCGACCTGGTCGTCGTCGCCGTCTCTCGCAACCTTCTTAGCTTATCCTCCAACCGGTGTGACGATACTTGGACAGGTCGGCGGGTGTTTGATTGAGCCATCAGCCCAGACAGAAGTGAAGCTGTTCATTGTCAACGAGATTATTAGACCACTGTTGGCGACCGCTACCATCAAGGACGAGCACAGCACTGAGAATCAAAAGGTTCGGAAAGACGTCAGAGTTCGTGTTCTTGGTCCCCAGATCAGCACCCTTCTGCTCTGTCTGGCTGAGGTCATCCGTTGTAGCCCCAAGAAGGACATGCTTGATGCTACAATATTATGCGTTGCCGAGTTGGCACCATTTGTTAGCAGTAGTGATGATGCAGTCAAAATGATCAGGATCTCAGCTGCTCTGCTTAAAGAACCGGCAAGAAAAGTCAGTCCTAAGACGAAGCATAATTTGCTCCTCACACTTCACAGTCTCGTACCTTTGTGCGACTCCCAGTCTCAGTATGCCGAGGACGGATTGTATGACGTTATTTGCTCATTGTTCGAATACTTCCGGGATCGAGACAATAGAATTCTTCTATCGACAGTCTTGGAGCAAATCACTGTCGGTACAGATATTCATGGTGTTGCTTTGCTTTGCCAGGATCTCAACTCTTTCGATCCAAACAGATTGGACGAGCCTGACTTCGAAAGACGCTCTGCGGCCTTTCGCAGCATTAGTGAACCAAGCTTTGTTTCGTCTTCTAGCTTGCGGCAGTGGCAACCGGTCGTTTACAATGCCCTGTTCCATATTAATGACGTTGAAAATCTTTCCGTACGCCTCGATGCTTCATCTACGCTACGACGCTTTGTTGAGGCTAAGAGCAACAAATCTGGACCAGAGGAGATTCAATTTCAAAATTTCATCCACCAAGCTGTTTTACCCAGCCTTCAAAAGGGCATCAAACAAGCCCCCGAGCTCGTCAGGTGTGAGCATTTGTCAGTGTTAGCGCACGTAGTCTCTAATTTTCCTGAATGGTCCCTCACAAACGATATGTATGGTCTCCTTGCCGGGAATGATAGCGAGGCGTCCTTCTTCAACAATGTGTTGCACATCCAGCAGCATCGTCGCCTGCGAGCTTTGCGACGGTTGTCATGTGAAGCAAACAAGCTTTCGAGCGCAAGTATCAGCAAGATTTTCTTACCCTTACTAGACCACTTTGTGTTTGATCCCGTAGAGGATGAAACAGCCCATAATTTAGCACTGGAAGCGACAAACACAATGACAGCGCTGGTTCAAGGTCTCGAATGGCCTCAGTATCGCGCTGTCTTTACCCGCTACGTCGATAGCCTAGTGAGCAAGCCCGGACTCGAGAAACCGATCATTAAGCTCATTGGGGCCGTCACAGATGGCCTTACTCAAGCATTTGTGTCGGCGAAACGATCTACGGATGGTGAGGCCGCCCAACCCAGGGCAGACGATCCTCAACAGCCGCAGCCTATGGAAGTGGACTCAGTTCCAGCAAAGTTAGCAGAGACGTTGCCGAAACGCGAGGTTGTATCTCGAGATCTCACCAGCGGACCTATCTCAAAGCTTACTCAGTATATACACAACAAAGACGAGACAGATATCAACCTACGAATCCCTGTCGCTGTCGCCGTGGTCAAACTCCTGAAGGTACTTCCGACAGAAGAATTCTATGGACGACTACCTGCAGTCTTGTTAGACATATGTCAAATCTTGCGAAGTAAATCGCAAGATGCAAGAGACATGACACGAAAAACATTAGCCGAGATCGCTTCCCTGATCGGCCCTCATTGCTTTAGCTTCTTGTTGAAAGAGATGCGTACCGCACTCCCGCGAGGCTATCAGCTCCACGTATTGTCATTTACCATGCACTCGATCCTTGTGGCCATGACCGACAAGCTGATCCCTGGCGATCTCGATTACTGCCTACCACAAATCGTTGATGTCATCATGGATGGCATATTTGGTGTGACTGGACAAGAAAAGGACGCTGAGGACTACATTAGCAAGATGAAAGAAGTCAAAAGCCAAAAGAATTTCGACTCGATGGAGCTTCTAGCCAAAACGACAAGCTTGGCTCATTTGATCGATCTGATCCGACCTATACAGAGCCTCTTACTCGAGAAACTAGATTTTCAGATGTCCCGAAAGATCGATGATCTTCTACGCCGGGTCGAAACGGGCCTCGCGCAAAATGAAGTCTCCAAGCAGCAAGGTATCCTTCAGTTTTGCTACGATGTCATCCAAGAAGCTGCAAGCTCGGAGGATAAGCAAGGCAAGGGCATCAAGGAGAAAGATCATAAAACGAAGAGGTATCTGATTAGCATGAAAGGCGCCCGGCACAACCACAACAAAGGCGCCATTACATCGCAGATGCACAAACTCGCGCGGTTCAGTCTAGAACTCCTGCGTCTAATCATGAAACGATACGATCATCTGCATACACCAGCTAATTTGGCCGGCTTTCTTCCCATCATCGGAGACTCACTTCTCTCTGGACACGAGGAGGTTCAGCTTGCCGCAATAAAGCTGCTTACCAGGATTATACGAGTTCCTCTAAATCAAATCGACGAGAACGGACCGGTCTATGTTTCTACTGCCTACAGTATCGTCAGGTCGGCACCCAACATGAGTACTGAGCTAGCTCAAGCTGCAATGAAACTTATATCCGCAATAATTCGCGATCGTGAAGCCCTTGCTGTGAAGCAGGTCAAAGAAACTCAGCTAGCCTATCTTCTCAACCGTCTGAAGCCTGATTTACGACAACCAGATCGACAAGGTGTAGCGTTCAACTTTATCAGAGCTATTCTCGGACGTAAGATTGTCATTACCGAAATCTACGATATCATGGATACCGAGGTGTCGAATATAATGATTACGAACCAGACTGGAGCCATTCGAGATCATGCTCGTGGAGTCTTCGTACAATTTTTTACAAACTACCCGCAGTCGAAAGATCGATTCAAGAAACAGATAGGCAGACTGATCAAAAACTTGAGCTACGAACATCCAGAGGGTCGACGCTCAGTAATGGAAGTGCTGAATGATATTCTGACGAACAAGAACATCAACAGCGAGCTGCTGAGCGAGGTTCTCATGTCTTGCTTCCTCGGTTTGACAATGACAATCGCCAACGATACATCAGGGGACTGCAAAGAGATGGCCAAGGTACTGATCAAACGCGTCTTTGAGAAAGCCGATGAGAGTACAAGCAAAGACATCGTCTCGCAATTGAAGCTCTACATCGACAGTGAGAAGCCTCCTGTTCGTAGCCTCGGTGTGCAACTGTATAGCCTCTTCATCGAGACAAATGAGAATAACAACGACGAAGTAGCATACTTCTTGGACCGCCTCGAGAAAAATGTCACACTTGGTCTTGAAGATCCCCAGGATGGCAACTGGGAAATGGTCTTCCGCTCCCTGCGCGCCCTCAGCCAAATTTCGCAAGCCGTTCCGGTCCGCGTGTTCTCGTCCAAGAACTCCAGCCTTTGGTCTACTGTGATTTCGTCCCTAACATACCCTCATACCTGGGTGAAAGAATCTTCTGCACAAGCCCTGCAACATCTTCTCTCAGACTTCGCGCGTGCAAACAAGGAATCGAGCCTTGCACCCGTCCCATTACACGGCAGCAACGGCCTGGTTCTCGATGGAGACTCGATGGTTCGAATCGCCAAGGGCAGTCTAAAGGTACTACGTACTCAAGAGCCCCGTGATGAGCTCGCTCTATCATCCATTCGCAACCTTTTGTTCCTAGGCAAAGCATTCGCTGCGAACGAGCTGCGGTGGCCGGCGTCACTTAGCGACGCAGTTGGCGAAGATAACGAACAAGACGCAAGCGAGAGCGAAAAAGAGACAGAACAGCCCACCGCTATCATCCACCTCATGAACTCCCTATCAATAATCCTGCGTCGCCCTCTGCCTGCCGGCACACCTGCGCGCCCACCATCCTTGATTGCAAAGACCCACGCCCTCACGCTCACCGCCTCTCTCGCGACCCATCTGCCCCTTGACACCCTCGCCCCGAGCCTCCCATCCCTTCTACGCCCTCTTCTCGTCCTCACATCACCCTCAACAACACATCCGAGCTATCCACACCAAGACGCATGGACGACTAGCTACAAAAAACTCCTTGAGGGCGCAGGCGAACTACTCGTGATCCTGCGTGAGAAGGTGGGCGATATAAATTATGCGACTCTAATGAGGCGTGTGGAGAAGGATATTAGGGACGAGCGAGAGAAGAGAGGTGTGAAGAGGCGCTTAGACAGAGTAAGGGAGCCGGAGGTTGAGGAAGCGAGAAAGAGGAAGAAACGGGAAAAACAGAAAGTTGTGAAGAGGGAGAAGGGGCAGTTTCGGAGGAAGAGGAATGGGCGGGAGTAGGAGGATCTGTGGACCTGTTACAGAAGACTTTTCTAGTACGAGCGGGTGTATCTGTGTGAGTTTCGCCATTGGCCATAGTTATATGTGTCCGGTAGTGCATTTGTGGGCGTTCTAGGATCACGGCAGGTGGAAAAGTACAACACTGCTTAGCAGGTATAGACGTGCTTCTTCGTGTCGGGTATGAAAGTAGGGTTATGTTGTTGCTGAGATCTTCACACCGTGATGTTAACCTAGTCAATACCGTATCTATACAGCAAGGGAACCGTAGTGAAGTCCTGATACTATACTACAACTGTAACGAGACCGTGTAGAACGAGAAGGCAATCAACGCCAGGCAGCATTTCTTCTTACCCTTTTCTTTTACGGCCAGACTAATGATTGGACAAAATACAACCACAACCTTCCATGACTTCGCCATACATGCCGTCTCTCCTCCATAGACCTTTATACCAGCCAATAATCCTTCCACCACGGCCAGGATATGTTTTTCAAGTTTTCAACATTGCTTGTTCTTCGTACTACTATAGCTTCCAGTCATATGGTACCTTACCTGAAATATTACAACTGGAAAGTATGGCTGATCTCAGTAGTAAACCGGTAGTATTGAACTGTCTCAAAGTGTTGATCGAAGTGATTGCAAAGTCCGGACACAAGAAGAAAATCGGTGCTTAGGCAGTAACCTTGCAATAGGAACCAGAACCTCATCAGCAATCTCTGTGACAAGTGACGGCTTCCGAAAATCGATAATATATTTTCGAGTCGACGACATACCTCTCAGGCACTAGTAACCTCACTGTGATTCCAGATCCTGGTTTAAAAGAGTAGCGACCAGGATAAATTGTAATGGTTGAGTTAGAACTGAGAGTGATATTGAATTTGCGAGGGATCCTGCCCGATCGTCTATGACTGTCGGATGATAGACTTACAAATAAGTCACGATGTTTCTATTATTGTTTACTTCGTTAAGGTTGTACAGGTGCGCGTGTGTAGGTATATTGATGTTTCTGCCTCAGGCATTTTTCGGAAGCCCAAGCTAAAGGAAGAGTAGCTCGGGATGACGCCATGAAGTTGCACACTGCACATTTTCGTCCTCAACGTCTTACAAATGCGACGATAGATTGACAGCTGATATTTAATCTGGTACAACGGTGGCGGTAGCCACGGGCATACGAGCTGATAACGTCGTCCGCACTGGGGAATTCACATGGCGTGATCTGCACCGTTAATGCAGATGCTTGCACAAGCTATAATTAAGCCGACTTTATTAGTACGAGCTGCCGTGTGCTTCCGAGTCACTCCGCTTGTCTTCCTTCTTTCTCGGTTGTCGAGTGGGAGATATCAGTGTTGTAGAATATGGCGTCGCCTAAGAAACCTGACTCGTCTGGTTCGCAACGGGAACCTGAGGAACACCATGACCATGGTCAAGAGCACGGAGAGGCTTACCAGCCTGAAAAGTGTGAGCAGCAAGTTGGTGTTCCCGCCAGCATAATCGACCCTGCTATACAAAAGAGAGTTGTGCGCAAGCTGGACCGCAACCTCGTTCCTCTTGTCACTGCTTTATACCTCCTCGCCTTCCTTGATCGATCGAACATTGGCAATGCGCGCATAGCAGGTATGACAGAGGATCTGAGAATCACTGGCAATTCGGACAGATACGATTGGTTACTTACAATCTTCTACATTTCGTACATCGTCTTCGAATTCCAAGCCATTATGTGGAAGGTTATTCCACCGCACTACTGGGCGGCCCTTGTGGTGTTCAGTTGGGGACTATTCTCGGCAGTACAATCTGCAACAACGAATTGGAGCGGTATGATGGCGCTCAGGTTTCTCCTTGGATGGGCCGAGGCAGGCTTTGGTCCCGGCATACCTTACCTGCTCTCCTTCTTCTACCTGAGAGATGAGATCGGCATCAGGTGTGCCATTTTTCTGGGCGCTGCGCCCCTTGCAAGCACGTTTGCAGGTGCACTTGCATATGGCATAACGTCTGGTGATACTGGTCTTGCACAATGGAGACTATTATTCCTAGTCGAAGGTTTACCCACTATTTTGATGGCAGCCGTGGCATTTTTCTTTCTACCGGACAGCCCAGCCAGTGCCCGGTTCCTAAATGCCGAGGAGAAAGAGGTCGCAAGATTACGTGCACAGAAGCAGGTCGGCAGTAGCAGTGAGGAGCGAACGGGCGGAATCAACTGGAAAGAGCTTGGAGCGGGTCTCCTCGACATCAAAGCCTGGTTCACCGCGGTGTGTGCAACTTTGCATTGCAGAAGACGACCATCTAACGTGCTCTAGCTCATGTACTTCTCCTGCAACGTCTCTTTTTCTTCTCTGCCTGTGTTCCTTCCGACTATCATCAACGAGATGGGCTTCGCTCGGGCCAAGGCACAAGGTCTTACTGCACCGCCATTCTTCATCTCCTGGATCGTCACTATCACTTCTGCCTTTATAGCCGACCGCACAAAGCAGCGTGGTCTCACCATCATGGTCATGTCTATCGTTGGCGGTGTTGGCTATGTAATCCTCGCCACGACGCAGGCAACTGGGGTACGATATTTTGGGTCGTTCCTAGCTGCGGCAGGTATCTTTCCTTGCATTGCAAACATCCTACCATGGGTGCTTAACAATCAAGGAACTGATACTAGACGTGGTGCTGGAATCATTCTGTTGAACTGGATTGGACAATGTGGTCCATTGTTGGGAACCCGACTGTATCCTTCAACAGAGAAACCGTATTACGTGAAAGGTATGTTTGTGTGCGCTGCGTTCATGTTCTTTACTACGCTTCTTGCGTTCGGTTTGAGGACCTTACTTTGGTGGGAGAACAGAAACCTAGACCGGAAATTTGGGACTGTGGAGGAGCTAGAGGAGCAAGAGAGCGCCAGCGGACAAAGTCCTGGTCTGTCTCCTGGAGAGGAAAACTACGGGCCAAGGTTTCGGTATGCATTGTAAGAGAGATGTTAGATGTTAGCACAGTCAGGACGTCACATGTCAAGGGTCAAGGGCGTTGGATCTCAGATCACCAATACTTCGACTTCCTAAACCAGAGGATACCACCAAGGTATGCACTGCGTATCGACGAAATAGGAAGTATCATATTACCGTTCTAGTGTCCTGTTATCCCTCGGGGGCTCCGTTTAACTCACCGCTACCGCCGCCCGGCTGGCGACTTTGCCCCGGCGGCCCGCAACAAGGGGCCTCTCGGAAGCATCTCCAACGGTTCAACAACGCCACTCACGTCACCAAGTACGTCAAATTGGGCTGCATGGCCGTCTCCTATCCACACCTCCATCAGAAATTCAATATGATGGCATATGCGATACCTATACCCTAATGCAACAGTTACATTGCTGTTTGATCCGACAATGGCCGCTCGTAGTGGGCGCGAAAAAGCAGTCTTCTTGTCTAATGCGGCCATGTCCGATCATAAGTGTACGATTCGTGGTTCTATGATGGTGAGGGCAATGGCGATATTGCAGATGAGGAGTATATCGACTTTTCGCAGTCGCCGTGATGCTACCGCTCATATCCAGCAGCATGAATGTATAGTTCAGCAATCTTGGAGATATTCTCGGCAGACGAGTGTCGCTCGCTCACTTGCAATTTTCAAGCATTGAAGTGACCGACGGTTGCGGCAGAACAATAAACATTCATATCTCCGGATCTGAGTGCCACGCTGACCGTGGTTGTCGTTGAAGTTTCCAAGGTGAGGCTGCCTCCGTAGCTGTAGCCCCCCAGCTTCAAACTGCCATAGATGGCAATGGGTACACCGTACAAGTGGTGGGGCTGTTGATTCGCTGGGTCAATAGATCGAATTGCCGATGATCCGGTCTACACTGAGCGAGGCGAGGCCATCTCCGTCGTCGATCCCAAGACAATGGCATTATGCTGGTTTCTTAGCCTCGTCCTCATTTCTTCACTCTAATCTCTAGTATCTACCTTGGCAACACACAGGTCACGCCGCCCGGACGTTTCGTGCGGAGATGCTCGGACGTTTATACGATCAGTTCTGAAACGAAGATGGTGTGCATAGACAACGCTACCGACATTGCGACTTTGTCGATGATGTCGCTCGGTCTCTATTGGGTGTTTCCTACTTTTCCTATTATTCCTCACCCTGAGCTCAGAATAGATATTAGCAGTGCGGCGCGATTTATGATCCAACTCTTGGTGTGGCTTGACCAATCACAGCGCTTGTATCTTGTAGCGAAGTCACTGCGCCATACACGTGACTATGTCTCACCCCCTGTAGTCTAATTAATTACTATTCTACAGGAGATGCGATGCTTCCGTGTCGCATCCAGATTAACGGTAGCATAGCCTCATTGCACGTGGCAACACGGTACTCATGCCAATATGACGTCGGAAATAAATGCCGGTAGAGGTGCTCAACCTCAGATGCTTCTTCTATAAGTACCACGCTTCTCATCGCCCAAATATCTGTTCCATATCCACAAGCTACAACCTACTACAGTAAACATCAATCACCTAACAACAAACAACCTCCCTTATAAATTCACCATGCACTTCCTCACCACTGCGGCCCTCCTCACCGGAGCAGTATCCGCCCTCCCCCAAGTCAACAATGCACCCCCTCCGGAGCAGTCAACACTGCAGCCGGCCTCACCAATGCAGCATCCGCCTTCAAACAAGCCACCCCTCCGGTTGATGAGACAATTCAGGTCAACAAGCTCACCATCCGCCGCGATGGCGAAACCCTTCAAGTCCTCGACTTCGCCATCAGCGGTGGCAACAACGCCGACAACTTGCAATGTACCGAGCAGAACCCCATCCTCAGCGCCAACCCTGCCTTCAGCCCTTGCGCCCATCCCGAGGGCACGCTTGCTGAGTGGCAGTTCAGGCTCCTCAAGGGCGAGAGCAAGCCCTACGAGATTGAAATCTTCCACCGCTTGACTGCTTCGTAAGTTCCATACCATCGTCCTGTGTAAGTATGCGGTGCTGACACGATATATAGCTCTGGAAGGCACGGTGTCTTCGAGTTTGACCCTACCTGCACCAAGGGACCAGGAGGCCCCAATAACGCAGTCTGCAATCAGCCCTCATTCAGCATTGGTCTTACCAAGTACCCGTAATTACTTACGGTTTCGGGGAAGGATTTTGTACAATAATGGAGCCCCATACATAGCGAAGTCGGTCCTTTTCTAGAATTCTTCTATATGTCTCAGTATCTCAATATATTTGAAACTTTATCCTCGGCAACAATTTCTTTCGACATTTGACCCCTGAGCTACTATTATCTATCACTATTGAATTGATTGCATATGTTATGCTTATGATTCAACAAGTATGATACAGCCAAACACTCTTCCAAATTTCTGCCACGAAACAATTAGATTTCAGCTACTTGAGAGAGTACAACATTGGGTTTGTAATTAGTCGATGTAATTCTGGAGCATTGAGTAGTGAATAATCATGATGAATGCATGTATTCTAGCTTTCGCATGGTCTTGGACTGGCCTTCAATACGTCTATGTTGAATTAGTAAGGGTGGATGTAAGACTTAGCTCCACATAGAACTATGACTTGATCATATAATAGAGATCACTATCTAATCAAAGCCAAGCACTTATTCTGAAGCCCTCGGTAGATAACATGAAGGTTGATTTGGCCGTACTGTCCAACAGTTATACTGAGCGAACAATTTATGTCATCTTGATCTCTGAGTGTTAGCTCAAGTTACTTTCAAGTGTTTAGGTAGTAGAGAATAAGGCACGTTCGTAATCAGTCGTTCATAACTATCTGCCGAGGTTGAGTTCTGATCTTCAAGAATAGAACGTTTGGTAAACTGAGGATAGCGTAGACTAGCATAACCCAAAGAGTGGTCGCAAAAAGTTCTGCTGATTCGTGTGTGGAGTTGCCCTGATGCTGCAAATCTTTCGCTTATCCATCCGGGTCCTCCTCAAAATAGATCTCTTTATACCAAGTTCAAGTGTAACAGAGCACTTGATGACCTTCTGAAACATTAATGTTAGGATAAATTATCATTACATACGTTGAGAAGAGGACAGCACGGTAGAACTTAGACTTCCTCGACGGTAAAATTACTGACGTTAGCTGTAGAAGGTAAGAACTAATGGTTTATACTAAAGGACCTCTCGGATGTATTAGTACCAATTCGTAGGTTATACCAGTCACACAACAACGAATACTATTATGCCAATCCAGACCTAAAGAAGTTTCTCACCCAAAGGACTAGGAGTAAGATCGATATTCTCGCTACCTTCATTCAGCTATGTCCATACAGTCTCAATCATCACACAGTACAGACTGCTAAATACTAGGGCACAGTAGGAAGACGACACGTTGAACGGCCCAATCAGATACCCATATATTAACGTGTTTCACAAGAAATTACTAACCTGCAAGCAAAATCCCGGCGGAACGTCTACAGCACCTACACTGGCTAGGTGTATGACTACCACAACTGTCCTGCCCCTAAATCTACAAAGTCGCCACGCCTTCTGGGCGTTCTCTCATCCGCTATTAGAAAGCCTCCTCAGCAGCGATATATCCTGTGGCACGGCCAAAGACAAGTAGTAGTGTGTGCGCTTAATCTCAACCCCTCCCCTCTGTGAGAGCCTCTCTTCCTCCTAACATACCCAAAATATTTTCTCAGGGGGCGTTCCTCCTAATTACCTGATCCATCATGTGCAATACATTGTACACGACGAAAGTTTTGGATAGACACGTGATAGTGGTGCAATTCCATACATTCCCAGTATGGTAGCGCAGTATGCTTCGTCGATACGTTCTAGTCTGCTGTGAACCCGTGTACAAATTGATATTGTTAAGGCTGCGGACTTGGGAAATGGGATTGATAATGTGACTTTGACAGATTACTACAGCGATGTCTGCAGACAATCCCAAATAACTTGAACATTGCTGTCCCGGTGTTGAACATTATCGCTGGGGAATAGGACTTAGAGAGGGTTCGGCAAGTGTCTTACATGCTCACTGTTGACGATGCTACAGACTGATAGGTGGATCTGAGACCGAACATGGTCTGTGTAAACACAACGACGACTGGAACATGGTGAATTTCGACGCACTGCTGAATTACCGCGGACTACGATTCAAAATGGAAGAGTCTAGCATTGCTATCTAGACAGAACCTCATCCACAGACGTTAGTTCTCCTCTGGGCAGGAAGAGAAAGAAAAGGTTTGATAAAGCCCAAAGACTATATACAAGAACAACTTTAGTTAGCTGTATGTTAAAAAGCGTATTATCTGGAAGAACGACTATAATGCCAATGGGGTATCTCGTCCGCCAATTCAATGCCGACAAAGCAACAGGGCGAACTATGAAGCGAATCAGGCAGACCCACAGGTCATCAAAATAAGTGTAAGAAAAACGCAAATGTCCTCGTCTACGCAATTTTGGCTGGAACGCTTGATCTCATAATCTCGTAACAGAACCGAGCTGCTGCTCATGCAGCAATCGGAGTTGGTGGTGCATCCGTCGTGGCATCTCTGGATTGCTCATCGTCGATTTTTAACGTGGGCGTTCTATTCATACTGGCTTTTCTTTGCTCTTTCCATTCTTTGATGATTGCACCACGAACATGTCGACACCATAGTAGAAGTGCATCGTCGAATTTCCTCCACGCTGTGGCATCTGTGCCATGAACAACTCCCGCGACGTCAATGTCCAACTTGATCTCCCACCGTAGCTCAGCGGCTTTGATAAAGTATCGTAAATTCTCCGCGCATCGGTATGGCTTGGCCGTATCTGTATGATAGTTCTTGATGATTTCGAATTGTCTTCGCGACTTTTTGACCAAAGCGTTATGCAATAGGACCAGTTGTAAACCATTCTGGAAATAAGAAAGGAAAGACGTTGGTAATTCACTTTCATCGGCAGATTCAGGCCAGCGGGGTAACTGTTCTGCCTCTGGGGCGAAGGATTTGAGGAACAGCCATTCCCGCTCATGCTCCTTGCCAGTCCAGTCGCCCTCTCGCCATATCCAGCTCTCTCGCTCTTCGTGTTCCTGTTGCTCGGCCTTTTCCTCTTTCGCAAGGAGCTTGTCAATGCCCTCAGCCCAATTTGTGATGACTTCGAGTTCACCAAGTTTGATGCCGCCAGCAAAATTTCGAATGCCCATACGCTTGAGGGCGTCCATGACTTGCATGAGTTCATTCCGCATTGTGCGTTCTGATTTGATAGCGTACAGTCGTTGTGGCTGCTCATGTGCTGTGTAGTAGACTTTTGCAGCTCGAATTGCGAGTGTGATGACATCGAGGACATGGAGGCCTTGTATCTCATAGAATCCTTGAGTTTCATCTTTGACGGTCTCGCCGGCTGATAACTTTCCTGGTGATACTTTCTCTATTCCTTTTCCACTGCATACCTCTTGCAAAACCTTCTCTGCGGCATCCAATGCCTCTCTTAATTCTCGGCGCAAGACGCCCATGTCGGGTGGCGGTGGCACATACAATGGTCGTTCCTTGTATGTACTGACTGTTGGTGGCATCATCACTGTTTCTTGCTCGTCCCAGTTGCTCCCAGCATCTGACTGGTCGGTGGGTGATTCTACGAGCCCATCTTCCCCAGCTGTATCACCGAGTACCGTGTCTGGTCCAACATATGCCGGATCTTGACCAGCAGGACCAGCAAGATACTCCGTGTATGGATCGGTATTTATGGGATCTGGGGACCGCGGACCTTCAGTACCGCTGACTTTTCGCGCCTTTGCAAGCTGTGCACCCTTCCCATCCAGAAGCCCTGTCCTGGCAAAGTAGTATTGTAAATGTGCAATCGTGCCTAGGCTCATGACACTTTCTCTACTCTTTGCAGATTCTGAGAAGACAGTGGCTTGCGGTCTCATATAACCTCTTCTTGAACCCTTGACGCCTTCTCCAGATAGGCGGGAACTGGTGGAGCGGCCGGAAACGGAGGAGACCGAGGAGGCAGTTGACACGGATCGGTCGAGTTGAGGACATGCTGAAATTGCAAGAGTCGGAGACACCCAGGGCTGCGGTGAGCCTGAGCGTTCACGTTCAGGCGCAACCACAGTACTATCGTCGGACATGCTTGGGGATTGCGGCTGCGAAGGAGGTATCCTGTTGGAGGGCCACGTTGGAGCGTAGGATATGTCTCAGTGCGTTCAGGAGAATGCTTGTGCAGTCGACAATCGCTTGCTGCGGTCGTGATAGCGTGTTTATGGACGTTCAGATCTCGTGCAGTCCGTTGAGTGTGCAATAGGTATGGTGAAGGAGTGGAAAGGAATGGAACGCAAGATTACGGCGGTGTCAATTGCAGATGTCCCTGAGGCGAGGGACAACGACAGCGCGCGTCTGCATTAGGAAGACACCAAACACCCTAGTAAGCCAACACGACCCACTGCTACTTGCAGCCTTAGTGCCTCACGCTACTGATAACGGCGATCGGGTGTCAAGGCGGCAACACCCGAACGCGTCCAGGATCTTGAGACTTTGATTGATTAATTACTGTAAACAATGAATATTACTCTATCCGCAACAAACTGTATTCATATGTGCTTTGCGAATAGATGATATATACACTCTGTTGTCCCATACCTTTCCTATCTATCTTACGAACTATAATTCTCCGCGGCGCTTGATTGGATTATCGACTCGCCGATTCCCCTATCCCATCAATGCCACGCTTCGTTTTGTATGTTCCGAAATCGCCGATCAAGCTCGACGTCATTCCATAACCGTCACATCGCGGAAGCACTGAGCACCGGACATGCCATACATCACCATCACAGATCGATCATAGCAACCTTCTCATATTAGCTAGCGCATCTCACGCCAGATCTTCTCTCTTGTGAATGCAACGCCCTCTTTCAACGACAATCGCAGATATGTCACAACGAGTATGTCGTGTTTTCTACTCTTGCCAAAGTTCGGCCACTGACAGCACCAGTTCTCATACAAAGTTACAGGCCGCGTGCAAGGGGTATGCTTCCGCATGGAAACTGTGAAAGCAGCAAATGCGTGTGGCGTGACTGGTTATGTCAAGAATGCTTCCGATGGCTCAGTGCGTCCGACCAGATCCGCCACATTCCTTCTTTCCCTTAGTCGGATCATTTGTGAGCATTATCGGCACGAAGCGCTTACGCTATGACAGGTAGTCGGTGAAGCTCAAGGCGACTCTTCGTCGCTTCAAAAGTTCGAACAGTTTCTGAACAAGGGCCCGAGTGCGGCGAGGGTATCTGGCGTGGAAAAGACGGATCTAGAGGTGAAAGAGGGGGAGAGTCAATTCCACCAGATGAGGTAGTAGCTTATGCCCACAAGATAGACCTGGTGGGTATATCGCATTGCAGGGACGCATCAACAATGACTCAATAGATTCCGCCACCTATCTATTAATGACCGTTCGAGCCCACCTCTGCTTCCTCTCCCGTCGGATACCTGAGCTTGAAAGGTAGTTTTTTCAATTGCTCCATGGGATTGGCCTTAATCTCCAGAACTCCATACAGCCACTTCAAAATTATGCCGAAGCTTGCGGGCTCGCCCATATGCTTGATCCCCTCTACAAACCTCACCTCCTTTGGCCTACCGTGCATCAAAGCGAGGTAGTAATCGTCAATGGGGAAAATCTCATCTTCAGTACCATTCACCAACAACAGCCTCGCGCACTCAGGCCCATCCAACGTTCCATCACTCAGCAGGGAGAATCTGCTTCCCTCAGCCTTAAACTTCTCCACTTCTGCGCCATAGCCAAACTTCCAAGCCAACGATCCAGCCAGATCGAACGGGTACTCAAGGTGATCGACTTCATCCAGCCACGCGCGCTCAAACATGAAATGACAGCCCCCACCAAGCGCGATTACACCTGCGAGCCGCGCAGCGTGTGTATGGGCCAGCCTGATTGTATGATATCCCCCTGTGCTGAAGCCCCATACACACACCTTCTTGCTATCGAGACTGTCCTGCAGATCGATCCAATCCAAAAGACTACTGAAGAGCCGGTCGGAGCTCCGTACATCGCTCCCGTCCGCTGGACAGTCGCCTGTACCTGGGATCTCAAGAATGACAGTTGCTACTCCCAATGCACGCCATCCCTCAGCCCACACGGCTAGCTCAGTCCGGTAGCCGTCGAGACCGGTAACTATCACCATGACCGGCGCAGGTCGAGCATCAGGGCAGAGTGTGTACACCGGAATATGTGTGCCTTCGTGTGGAAGGCGATGCGTGTGCGGAACTTGCGTCTCAGTAACAGGGTACGGTAGCAGTGCTTGCGCCCGTAGAAAGACGGCTTTGCCGGCGCTCCAGCAGCGCTGCTGAACCGGGCTGCGTATGACCGGAAACCGGGCGATGCGGTAGATAGCAGAGGCACGGTGGTAGAACTCAGCGGCTTTCGACTTCTCGTTGTTGGCTTCAGCCCGCTCGCCAATCTTCGTGAGAGCTTCGGCATACGGGATAAATACGGTCGCATATGCATCCCAGTCGTAAGGCTCTTTCATGCCTTTCTGTATGGAGTCAGTCGTGTCACTATGTATATTCGACTTGCACTGTTTTGATCCAGTGGACATACGGATGCATACCTTTGTCATCTCTTCCACGATTGGTTCAAAGTCCCGCGCGGCACCGAACATGAATGGATATACGCCCATCTCGGCCTATTGCAGAATGAGCCCGACATGAAAAGGATAACCGGCATGGATGGATTGATATACCGGCTTCTTCCACTTGGTCTCCCATAGCATCTGAAAGCTCTCATGATGCTTTGCCGGCGTTTTCATGTTGTCCTGAATATGGAACACATGATTCGTCGAAGCCATGATACTGTACCGAGTGTTCTGGTATGTCAATGAAAGGAATGATGAGAAAATAGAGAAGACGCAGGTCAATCACGCGAGCCTGCTAAAAGATTCTAGCACTAGATGCGCGCCAGGCTGTTGTCTTTATATTCCGTCTTCTTCGTAGGTCCGGATATGCGGAGAGCCGATGGACGGCATTGTCGTGCAGATGCAGCGCGACACAGATCTCCGGGGTCTGAGCGGCATCCCGAGTCACGAGCCTTTCCAGACGTTTTCGCGTGATGATGATGTTTTGTTCACACGGTGTTAGAACATGATCTGGATCAGGTACGTAGTCGGAGTGTACTCCGAGATCGACCAACCACAGTTAATGTCGTAACAGACCGCGACCGGCATTTATATTACATATTACCTAACGCTCCTATTTCTATTCTCTTAATTTTCGGAAAAATCTTTGAATACGAATACGAGTCCATTCTTCACCGTTATACGACTGGCCGATATATATCTCAAATCATGAAAAAGATCGAGACGACATCAATATATGACTCGGAGCGTATCCTTCTTCAAAGCTTGTTCCGTCACCATCAACATTCATTTCTTCAAATTTCCTACCGCCAGAAGCTACCGTAAAACACCACTGTTGTTCCTGCAAGATACCCTCGCTTTCCCCTTCTTCGCATCCATACATTCGTTGCTCCAACTCGTAGCTCTATAGCTCCCGCTTTCGCTACTGTTCAATTAGACGTCCCCATCCAGTGCGCAATGTACAGAAATCTGAGCTGCCAGTGGCTTTACGATGACGTATAGTGGAGTGTAACCGCTGGCATCTTAGAAATGACTACGGTTGACTATACGCGACAAAAGTTTTGAGGACATTACGAAGAGACATAGGGAAGATATCGCACAGCTTATATGTATTCGTTCATTCTATGTCTCTAAACAAGTATGGGTTGTCAATGTTATTACTATGGCTGGCTTTGAAGACTATACCCAGATGTTGTTCCAAGAGAGACAGAACGACAGAAGTATGGCAGTGAACAGAGGCATGGGAAAATCATGTTCCAGACATGAGCTTGCGACGTGAACAGGAGTTATATAGCTAGGAATGTCTGAGTACAAAAATTGGTCTCACTCATTTCTTGGCGCTTTTCATCGCTTCCAAAATCGCCTTTGGATCCCGGATTCCCCAATTCTCACCTTTCTGTACGCGCTGCATTGTTAGCGCCGCAATCAAAGCCGCACCTACACCACTACCATCTTCGGCGGGGAGGATCTCAATCGGGTCCTTCTCTGACCTCTTCGTCTTCTCTGGCCAATCGAGAATCTCGCGGAGAGCTTGGGCACCGCGCGCCTTAAAGTGCGGGTACTTATTGAAGACGGAGCCATCAGCACCAACATGGCATTCGCCAAGGTTCTTCTTCTTTGCGATAGCGGCTACACCACAGGCTGAAAGACGTGCAGCACGGGTCCCGATGAGTTCTGCAAGACGGCGACAGAGCTCCAGCTCGGGCCTCGTAGCATCAATGTTAATCTTCTTCTTAAACATGTCATGAGTTTCTGACAAGTTCTCAAAGGGGTCCCTATACATGTTAGTGATAATAAGGTCCGGTATAAGAAGAGAACCTACTCTTCGATAGCAGCAAGGAAACCGGCGTCGAGGCTGTACGGCTTCTCTAGCTGGCTGACATCTTGATCCTTGAAAAGACTACACTCATTGCTCTTGTGAAGGTCAAGGACCACGAGACGGAAAATCTCGCCGAGGTATAGACCGGCGATCATTTTCTCGAATGCTTGTTGGCCTGGTCTCGGTGACTCCTTATCGATCACAATATCATATTGAGTACGAGGTAGAACTTTGTGCTCATTATCAAAAGCTCCCCACTCGCAATTGATAGCCATCAGAGCGTCTTTAGGTAGGTTAAGGTGAGCAAGTTTGGGGATATCTCCACAATGCTCCATGTAAGCCGCATTACAGCCGGTACCGAAGATACAGCCAATCTTCATCATCGTGTCCGTGTACGCGGAGGCGATGAGAGTTCCAGTCGTATCGTTGACTAGAGCAGTCAATTTGATTGGGACACCCTAGCATCCCGTCAGCGCAGGTCACGAACGTTGCTCATAAGCTCACCTTCTCCTTGAGAGCTGCCTCAAATGGCGGTACCACATCTTTGCCCTCGACGCCATCGATATCAAACCCCTTTGTCCATCGCTGTAGGACTCCGTGGTCGATATATTCCTGTGTTGCTGGATACGAGAACGTGAAACCGAGGGGTAACTGGTCAAGCTCTTCGCCTTCGTGGTGGTATTCAACGAATTGTTGCAGACAGTCGGCAATGTACTCCCAAAGCTCTTCAGCAGAACCAGTTTTCAGCTCTTCTGGCATGCGGTATTTCGATTGTATGATGTCGAATTCACCCTTTTCTTCTGGTAGAGTAATCTCACAGACACGGAGATTGGTTCCACCCATATCCAGGGCAATGAATGTACCGGTCTCGTGGCCATCGGGGTAGTTCATGCACCATGTGGCGTTCATAGGCTGGAAGCGATTAATGTTGGAAGAGCCTTAGGTTCCGGCGAAACGTACGATGCTACCACCATCTACAGACAGACCTGATGCTCGACAGTAAGTACTTGTATCGTCTAATCCTGAACAAGCTGAGACGAACCTTTCGCCAATTCTGAAATGAAATGGTCCGTAACCTCTTTAAGCTTTTCCTGTGGTACTGTAAAGAGTTCCTCGAGTCTCTTGATTTGACTCTTGAGATCCTCTGGCACATCGGCCATGGACCCTTGTCTCTATCAGCATGAACGCCACCATATCAAGTCGAACCTATTCAGTACGTACCCCTACGGGAAGGAGGCTTTCGTGGACCCATGCCGACCATTACGTTATAAGTGCGTCAAAAGTGTGCGCGCGAGAGAGACTGGATAGGTCACAGGATGTCTAGAGCTAGACTGATGATATTAGCAATGGCACGACACACACAAGACTCGAGGAAGCGCTCTGGGAATAGCCATAGCCAAGACGAACCTGAGTGAAGCGCCTAAAATGGCGAACGTGTAGCTCGTGGAGATGATGTTGAGGACGACGACAGCGAACGAGAGCTTGCGAGTGAAGGGCTTAAACCGTGTCGGGCAATGACGGTGGGGTGATTGGACCGGCGCAAGTGGTCAACAAAAAACGAAGACTGTTATCGGATGGAGTCGGGCGGGGCGTGAAGGTGGAGATGTAAACCCAATCAGATTGTAGACTCTGGTGAAGAGGTCAAACAGTACAGGAGGGTCAATTGTTTATAATGGGAGACGAAAAATATACAAGAGATCAAAGGGAGAGGTCGAGGCATGATCGATAGAGAAACTTCCAAAAGTTTCAATTGAGGACCGGCGTCCGAGTGACGTCCTCATACAAATCTTCAAGCCTCAGGCATTAAATGCAGCGGGGCTGTTGCCTGACTGCCTTGATGGTTGACGTGGAGGGGTACGCGCTAGCTGGGTATAGACTAGTACTTACTTACGTCATCACACCCTAGCTCAGGTCGTCAACGTCTATCGTCACGTCTACTGTCAACACAACTACAACTCGACATCATCCTCTCCTTCATACATATTTCTTTCCTTAGGATCGTCAAATACACTACGCAGTAACGCAAAGAGCCTCATCAGTGCTTTGATCTCATGTATCGTCTTCTTGCTCTGTTTCCTAGACATCTGCTAACAACCAAAACACTAGCATTGTTGATTCGATGCTGCTTATTGCCCATGTCAGCTTCACTTGGCCCTTTGTGTACAAGTTTTCTACTTGATAAACTCAGTAGAATCATCATATGTGAAATCTAAGTCTAGATCAGTATGCGTGCACCACCTCGTCCAATCTGTCCGCTAATGCCTCCAATTGATCAGCAATGTGACATCGCTCATTCATCCCACTCAGGCTCGCTATGGCTTCCCATGGCTCTTTTCTGCTCAAACGCTGCTCAAACGCTGCTCAAGTTCGCAACTTTCAGAGCTTTTGCCCAACTTCTCCGCCCGCTATGGGCAGCGTCTTTTTCTCGCACTGCATTTCCCTGGAGATGTGAGACTCTAATTCCTCGTTTCATATCGTATAAAACATGGCCTTACTCTGGATCACATTGCTTCAGGCTGCTTTTCCTGACGGCACCCTATGACACGCTGTGAGGGAGACATACCTCAGTATCTTGACACGAGTAGCGCTATAAGCGTCGTCAACGGTATATGTCGCCATGCTCAACAAAAAGCCACGCAATCCTGCATACGGTCACTGCTACTCGAGAGATGGAGACTCAATGCTGTGAAAATATGACAGGACTGGCTTATCAAGCATTGGATCGTGCCAGTACGAACACGACCGCGGCAAGGATCGTAGATATGCGTCCGGGAGTCCCTTGTTCCGTTCATTGCCCTGATGCAGCAACTGCGGATAGTTAAGGTCTGACTCCTATTGTGCGATTCACTTGTGGGCACGGACGTTCTAGCGCTGCCAGAGTAAACACAGCCTCCAGGCCCCAGGCCGAAACTTTCACGATGCTTGCACATTCTTTTCCACTAGTCTGCAATACAAACTTCCACCTTCTTTTGCTTCCTGACCTCATAAGCAATGGCTTCGTCAACTGGGTCTACGGCAGCAATGACACGATCTCCGCAAATTCTATCTAGCTTTGAGCGGCTTTTGGCATGCCCACCGATTCATTCTCGCCCGATTGTCATGGGCATCATATCTCTCTTTCGCCCGGACAGCCCTGCCAAACTGATCCGCTCATATCTTTCAAAGACAGACATGCTCAATTTGAGGGGAGCGTCCAAACTCACTTCCATCTGGGTTGGAGACGATACTGTACATTACCAGTGGCTTTTCCGAAAGCTGTACATTACCTCCGCACATTGCAATGCTCCCAGAGACGGAATGATGCACGCTCTATACGATATATCGAGATATTGCGAGGAACTCGTGATTCGTATCAACCCGCGAGCTCGCTTTCCAAGTCAATTATTTACAGACGATTTACCCGAAAGACAAGCTTCTGATCCTGGTTCTCTCGCACGCGAAGGGAACATGGCATCCCGTGCTTCTCACCAGGGACTCCCTGGTGAAACTACCCTGTCAACCGTGCTTCCGCCTTCCTCAGGTCGCGCACGATCAGACACCCTCGAACAGCTCGAATCAGAACTACGCCGTACCTCCCTTGGCGGAAGCTCGGGACACCGTCCACGCACCTCCTATACCTCCTCCCACCGCTCTTCAGGCTCCAACATCGAGGGAGGTACAGATTCCGACTGGTTTATGATCTTTGTCGCGATCCCCACCATCAAAAAAATCACAATCTCAGTCGACCCCGCAACTGTTGACAAGGGCTGGGGCAAGTTTGGACATGTCGAGAGTACCCTAGTTGCGATTCAAGAGGCACTTAGGCGTGCCCCTCTTTCTCGATTTCAACACCTCCGCCTCGCACCAATTCATGCATACGGTATCATGCACTTCTGCTGGAAACCAACCCAGAAGAAGAACCCCGGTGCTATCGTTGATGGTGAACTATGGCACAAACTACGTACCCTCGAGGTCCAACTCATTAACCCACGCCCGTACCTTACCGGCGGCATATCCAAGCGTCGCTCCTCCTCCGGTGGCTCCTATGCCTCAGACTGGATCGTCGTACTCAAAACGCTGCACGACTGGCTCGCAAGCTTCTCGTCGCGCCTCATGCAACTCTCCTTCCACTGGATCGGCCAGACCGGCCCTGATCCCCTGACCCTTGATCTCCTCATCGACAAGCATTCCTACCCGCACAATCGCCCAACTCACTGGGCTCGTCTAGCTAGCCTGCGTTTTGGCAACGTCGTCTTTGCGCCTCCGTCCCTCACACTGTACCATCCTCGCGCTCCGCGCATCACAACACTCTACGTTCTCACGAACGATGTCGCATCCGCCGATGAGCCTGCACTCATCGACTTCAACGACCCGGTCGGCTTTTCCGACTACTCAGATGAGCTGTGGGCCGAACAGGCCGTTGCCGCCGAGGAGGCTCGTTCGCCCCCGGCCAGTGAGAGCGCTGCCGTTCCGGCTGGGCTCGGGGATGTCGAAGGGGCTTCGGAGGACGAAGTCGACGAGCGACAGGACTCGTCGACCTCGACTCCGGGCATCGACGGCATCCCGGCCGAGGAGGGGTGGTGGGTGTGAGGCGGTTCTGTGCCGCGGCTAGGCCGCACTGGGCGTGTCTGGTTTGGTGTTTCGGTGTCCTGGCTGTTGGGTAGGGGGGAAGATTGGGTCCCGAGGGGAACGGGGAGTGCGGGTGGGCTGTGGATATCATCAAAAGCACGAACGTGAATGGAGTTTATTTGAGTTATACGTGCTGTGTTTGTGCAATATTCGTGATCCTGGGCGTGATAACGACGTTCTACACTCCATGAAGACCCGCTTTTCAAGCTCCCATTCGCACTTTTACGTGATTTCTGATGTCTTACACGTAAGATTCCTGCTAGACTTACTTTGGAAAGCTACTCATGCCTCTTAGCTATTGAGATTACAACCCATGAGTCCGAATGGATGATGAATATAGTTAAACTATATACATTGGAGAACGACGAATCGAGCATCCTCCTGAATCAAGATAGCCACGTTAATTCACACGCCCACACTCCTTCTCTTCGAAGAACTTTGCCAACACCCCACAGACCTCCCCAACCCTCATCTCGCTCTTGATCCCACCTCGAATCCACCCGGGCAGTTTCTCCTGGATTCGCTTCGTCCCGTACCTGCGATCCAGCATCATGATAGCCGCGTAATCGCCTTTATGTCTAATCGCTCTCCCAACGCTCTGGTTCACTGCCCGCATACATGCATTCTCATAGTACTCTCGCGCAGCATCCTTCCCACTTTGCCCACGGGAAGATGCAGTCTTCGACACATATTCCAGCTTGGCTTTCCACTCTGCGGTCTGGGAATTAGGAAAGGGTAGTCCGACAACGAGTACGCCGCGGCCCAATCGGTCGGAGAAGTTTATGCCTTCGCTGAGGGAGCCGCCGATGACGGCAAGGAGAAGCGCGCCACGGGAGGAGGCCGAGGAGAATATTTTGGAGGTGTAGGCTGCAAGGACGGTTTCTGTTGTGGCAGAGGCGGCCTTGGAGGTCTTGGATTTCGGAGAGCTTGGAGGTAGTACTGTTGCGTGTTGGCTGCGGGATTCGAGATAGATTGGTTTCGTGCTTTGCAGAGCGTCCCATATTGATTTTGAACCGAGTGAGGAAGACTTTTTCCATTGGGTTACGCAGCTGTCGAGATAAGTGTAGCTTGGGAAGAAGACTACTACACCGTCTGGTATATGTTCAATGAGTGACTTTATTGTGAGACCTAGGTCTTGAATCTATGGGATATTAGCAGGAGGACCTTAGGTAATTTTAGGGGTTAGAGAGTCACTAACCATGCCACTTGAGTTTCGCTTCTCATACGTGAAATCGAACGAAGCGCCAGAGGATCCCTGAACTATGGGCAGTGCAAGCAGGTTCGAGGCAGGAATGACATGTCCACAGGAGAGTGTCGTGATCCGAGAGGGAGGAACATATGAGAATAAGTGCTGGGTAAAATCACTCATAGGGGACATCGTTCCACCGACTAGGATAACCGATCTAGCCTCTTCTACGACTTCCTTAAAGTGATGGGTCGGATCAAGTAGGAGGTACTTGAGCTGCGCCTCGCCGTCTTGTTCCTTGGAATAGAAGAATTGCCCTTCTGACGATGGGTTCACCAAGGTAAGCAGAAAGCTCTGGACTTGCATGAGAACAGGGGTCGTTTTCGCACTCTGTGCGGCAGCTGGTTTCGATGGACCTTTCATGGGTCTTGCTGTAGTATCTTCATGGGCAATATAACCATCTACTTTCCTGGCGAGCTTGCTTTCTTGCAGGTATTTGTCCAGCTTGTAAATATTGATCTGATCAGCGCCTTTCCCAGTCATCATGGTCTGGACATCCACAGTTCCTTCATGAGAACCAGGAGTTTCCACTAATTTCTTCAGACACGCTATGAGCGAATCAAGCAGCCTGACTGTTTGCGCAACATATGTACGATTCTTGCCCTTCAGTCGATTCTTGAACTTCTGTAGATAAACCATGAGTTGTTCTCGTGCTTTGGCGAGTTGAGACAACGAGACTGATGCACTGTGAATGCCAGTGATGCTGTCGATGAGATTATGGGCTTCATCTATGATTACAACGTGACCTTTGAGCGACAGATCAAGGGCTTCGCGCGCGGAGCGCTGTAACAGGAGAGGGTAAGGCAATGTCACAATCTCGCTGGGCTTCACAGCAGATCTTGACGCGTAGTATGGACAGATACCAAATTTCCTTCCCATATTTCCAAGATCTTCAATGTCTCTGATGGTGGCAAGAGCATGGTCGCGAAAGTTTTGTACAACGGCCTCAGTTTCCTTCGTTGGGACGAAAGGACATTTACTTGTGGCTGCTGTGCTCGGCTGCTGTAATTCCATGCATCGTTCGTTGATCGCAGTAGCATTCCCAAGCTTATTTACTTTTGGGTTGATACATAAATTTTTCCTTGATCCGAGTGTGATGTGTTTGAAGCTCTCGCATACATCCTCGGCTGGGTCGTCTACGTTCTTTGCGACAGCAATTGCAGGCGGCATACTAACGCGACTTAGCTCTTTTGCAAATTGAGTAAGTTGGGAATGGGTTCTGGAACAGAAAAAAATCTTCATTTCGTCCTCGATTTCAGCTGCGTCTTCAATGCCAGAGTTTAGGCCTAGGGCTGACATTAAAGCGGCATTCTCAGCACTGATTCCATTCGTAGCAGCAGCTCTAGGTTTTTGCCAGGAGTCTTCGTCGCTATCGTAGTCCTGTAAGAGAAATTGGTCCTCACCCAATGTATCACTTGCCCCCTGGTCAAGTTTCTACATGCATGAGCTGCAGTCATTTGAAGAACGGGGATAGGAGACCTACTCGACGTTTGGTATAAGGCTCAGCATTCTCATACTGCTCACGAATAGATCTTTCCTTCTCGCGAATTCTCGAAAGCTTTTCTTCGAGCTCCTTGTGCCGTTGGGTTGCCTCGGTCCGTCTTTGCTTCTGTGCGTGCTCCCTTACCCATTCTGGCTCATCTTCATCTGTTTGTAATCAGACATGTAAATCAATATATTTGTAAAATTTACCGAACTCGACAGACGATACCCCGGTCTCGAATGTCTTCTTCTTTTCACCCCTCAGCCATGTAAGAGATCCACAGATAAGACTGAGAGACTTGCCCTAAATCAACATCAAAATTGTGCGCATCCATGTCGACAATGCATCACATACAGTTCCTATGGCGCAACTGTTAATTAGTGAGACAGTAATGACGAATATCCTTACCTGTCGGAGACTCGAAAATGCCAACTTTTCCTTCCTCTATGCAAGCATATAGTGCGGTCATGAATTGCTTCTGAATGTCATACGGCTCATACGGATGATGAAACTCGATTGCCGCCATATTCAGACTCTTCTGATAAATGCAATCTCGAGTTCAACGTCCTACTTTGCACTCCGCAGAAGTGACGCGACGAGACGCGTAAATATCACGCGCGATCCCGTGATCCTTGTATTAGTCATCTATGTCACAATATGGGGAGGCCAATTCGTAACTATCTCCAGTCCAGTAGCATTATCTAGGTCTGGTGTTCAATCCTGATTATATTGTTTGCTTCGATGCGGGCAACGAGATTGACCAAGAATATTAGTGTTTGGGCTGGATGGCTTATCGCCTGAGGCACTAACACCATCATTGAAGTCATGATATCATATATAAAACCACCTATACTCCATGGCCTTGCCCATTGGTCTCATTCGCAAAACTTGTTAGGAATTATTCATAAACAACATGGCTGCATCAGCACTTCGCTCCCCTATACTCTTCATCGGCCTCGCGAACCTCTTCGCAATCTCTGGATCGACATATATGCTCCGCAGCCATCATATCTATAATCTCGAAGAACACGAAGCGCGGATGGACGAGCTCGAGGGGACATTGAGAGGGCATATAGGACTTATCGAAGGGGCACTTGACAGACTGGAGGGAAATAAAGCAAAATCGGTCAAGGAGAAGTGAGCAACGACTATTCTCATTAAGACTTAGTAGGCTGAACTGCAACAGTGAGGAATTCTACACAGCAAGGGGTAAAGATGGGAAGAGGAAATAGAAAAGGGTCGTGACAGCATCACTGTCGCCGTTCTAGGACTAAGGTATCATGGTGTCCATTGCCTTTACATGAAGCGGCATTTTGTCGATGCAGGAAGCAGACCCGTTATGATCGACGCTGTTTCCGATTGGCATATCGATAGCGTAATTGTGTACATCTGATTGCGCTCATGGAACCGTCTGAAGCGATACATATATCGTAGGCAGATATCAGCACGAAGCTTTAAGATACGGCGCGCTGTTGTTTCAAATTACAAGCGTGTTAGATTAGAAAGTCTTTCTATGTCCCGGCCACTCACGTGCAAGATTTGCCGCCTTAGGCATCATTGCAACCCCCAAATCTTCTTGTGCGAAGCTTTCCTGAAGAATCAAAGAATCTTCTTTGACCGAACATGTCTGCTTCTCCTGCATCTATGTGAAACTTTAGCCAAATTCCTGCATGTTTTCCAATCTACGGCCAATCACGTCTCGAGCCGAATTGATGAGTCGCAGGGATAATTGAAATCCGGCGGAGGCCTATCGCGCTATAGTAGAGGTATCCTTGAATATTCATGCATTCTTGATGCGATTGAGCAAGGCTGATATCTCTTAGCTTGATTACATCTTACATGCCCGTTAGAGATACACATCTCTATCTGGGTGGCCAGATAACATCCAGCACGATGTAATGCATTATCTAGCCTCAAGAACGGGCCTCGTATTGAAGCATTACATATCACATCCGGTCGCGAAAGAGAACGACTCTGATGATGTATTTCCTGGCAAACGAACTATAAGCGCCCCGGCAAACGAATCATAGAGGAGCCCTCCACAGCGTGTCTTGGTTAGCCTGCATTTGAATCTGCGACCTGCGCCAGCATCCGTCGAGGCCCACTAAAGGAAGATCGACATGCCCACCACGAATGATAACGACTGCCCAGACAGCGTGCTACATGTGTATCCAGACACCCAACCTAACATCTGTCGCCGAGCCTCCATGGCTGAGCGTGATGGGCGGTTCCGCGCCCCCGATTCAGCAGTTCATCTTTTCTACTACAGCGCGCATCCTTGGTACCTGATTACCTTCCTCTTTCCGTATAGGGTTGACAGCTATTCACTGTGTATATAGAGGTGACTGGCATGGCGATGAACATGATACTGCGTCGCCAGTCCGGATTTCCTCCCCAACAGCGGGAACTTGCATTTGTTGCTCTTTGAAAGCACCGAATCCCTGAACCATCAAAGCCGATACTATCCACGACCATGAAGGGATTCATTGCTGTCTCCGTAGCTCTTGCGACAGTCGCTGGTGCTCTACCAGCGCCTGTGCCAGCGCCTCCAAACGTTCCATCTGCCTCGCAAGCGCAGACACAGTTGAACGGCCTGACTGTCAAAGCCCAGGGGGCTCAGGATGGTTACTCTCGTGATTTGTTTCCGCACTGGATCACTCAGAGCGGGTATGTCTCTGTATCTACGACATGTAATAATATGACAGATGCTTACCACATCCAGAACTTGCAACACTCGTGAGGTTGTCCTGAAGCGTGATGGCACAAACGTTGTCCAAGACTCTGCGTGCGCAGCTATCAGTGGCTCTTGGTTTAGTCCCTATGATGGTGCTACCTGGACTGCTGCAAGCGACGTCGACATTGACCATATGGTCCCTCTATCCAACGCATGGAAGTCTGGTGCCGCATCGTGGACGACCTCTCAACGTCAAGCTTTCGCCAACGACCTCACCAACCCTCAGCTCCTTGCTGTTACTGATAACGTCAACCAGGCAAAGGGTGACAAGGGCCCTGAAGAGTGGAAGCCTCCGCTATGTGAGCTTTCTTTCTCTTGCTGAATTAAAAGCATACTGATTGATTGTCAGCTTCCTACTATTGCATCTACTCCAGGATGTGGATCAAGGTCAAGTCTGTTTACAGCCTGACCATCACCTCCGCCGAAAAGACTGCGCTACAGTCTATGCTGAATACTTGCTAAGCGTAGCATGAAGACTTCCATTCACTCTGTAAATACTTTCATGGCGTTTCGATGTTGCTGAGCAGGCTCCTGGCGTGAATAAGCCCACTGAGGAATTGCGATGAAAAGATCGCAATCACTTCCTCCTCAATCAATATAAAGAAATATTATCCATAGGTACATGCTGAACTCCTCTTCCCCGACAAGCTCGCTCAAATTTGTCGAGAGCGTTCGTTACCGACATTCTCGATATATCTCGCAGGGCAAGAGTCACGTGAAACAACAGATCCAAGATGATTGCTAATCCACATCATGGCAAATCTCATTACTAATTCACATATAAAGTCCCACTCTTCCAACTGCTATGCCCCAAACTTCTACAACTCAACGCCTCAGACTATCAATGCTATCCAAAATGGCAACATTCGACATCAAGATCATCTCCGACACTGTCTGCCCGTGCGCCCCCCCTGCATATCCATCCTTCCAAACGTTTCCGACACTAACGATATCCTCAGATGGTGCTACGTCGGCAAGAAGCGCCTTGAAGCCGGCATCGCCCTATACAAAGAACGTCACCCAGACTCCACCGCCACATTCTCCACCACCTGGGCCCCATTCTTCCTCAATCCAGCGGCACCCAAAGAGAGCGTCGACAAGCAAGCCATGTACGAATCTAAATTCGGCGTCGCCCGCGCACGCATGATGCAAGAGCGCCTCTCCAGTATCGGCGCGTCCCTCGGCATCAACTTCAAGTATGGGGGCCGCGTGGGCAACACACGTGACTCACACCGGCTGGTGCAGCTGGGCAAGGAGAAAGGTGCAGCGGTGCAGACGCGGGTTGTGGAGGAGCTGTTTGCGGCGTACTTTGAGAACGAGAGGGATCTCACGGATCATGCGGTGTTGCAGGCGGCGGGCGAGAGGGCTGGGTTGGATGCGGAGGAGGTTAGGGCGTGGCTTGCGAGTGATCAGGGGGGCGAGCGGGTTGATAGGGAGGCGCGGGAGGCACGGGAAGGCGAAGAGGTGACTGGAGTGCCGTATTTTGTGTTCCAGGGGAAGTATGCGATCGGAGGGGCGGAGGAGCCGGAGACGTTTGCGACACTTCTTGAGAAGGTCGCCGCTAAGGAACGTTTGTGATTTGTAACCCTCAAGTGCGTAGTCGATGGAGTCATACAGCAAGTGGCGTTCTTGGAAAGAAGTTCTGTACGCATTTTTACGAGTGCTCTCAGCATCTTGACTGATGTATAATTACCCCTGAAAACCATCGGATGCAGGCTAGATGTACCAGAGTCATTAGCTCTGGAACCTGGTCCATCATTGAAGACTATATTGTCGAAAGTAGTCGTAAAACGCAATGTGGTTTAAAAAGAGGAAACATTGTGATAGGCCTTGTTGCTAATTTGCTCATAACATGTATAGAACTTCCATTGATCTTAGGAATCTCTTCTTCGTCATATTTTGGGACTATGTCTGGGCTTCTTCACTATAGCTGCTGGCTCATAGGCTTGGAAGAAAGAGACGGAGAGAGAGGAATGATCAATTCGATTTTGAGGGCACAAATCTTCGGAATTGCTGCGCGAAATCATCATGAGCCACAAACTCTATCCATAGTTCCCCATCCTCCTAGCTTATATCTTTACGTACAGTACAGTTGGTAGTAGAAACATGACAATAGACTACTCACCATGACCGCAAAATTCCCAGACAGAAAGAACCGTTATCTCCAAAGCTGACTTTGGCAATAGTCGAAGAAGTCTAGGTCGGTATGTATTCTCTTCTTCCCCGTCAGAACTCCAAAAGAAATGTCGAGAAGTCGCCGAGGACTATATGTTTCCTGTTGCTTTTCTTCTGGCAAGGATGTAAAATATATTCGACGACAGGTTCTGCCTAGAACATTTCCGAAGGTAATAGCGTGAATCAGGGCAAGAAATATTGAGAACGTGAAAAGGGTGTATGTAGACTGTTGATCTTTGGATTCTGTCTGGGACGCTGTCGGTTATCGTTGACTACATTACAGGACCTGCGTGGCATCATGGACAGTTAGCCATGCAACAGAAGAGATCAAACAGTAGCAACAATCATGGAAGTAAGAGCGTTAAATCGTGAACCGAGTCTGCCAGACAATGACAGACTTGGGTAGAATAGTTTTATCTTAATACATCAAATATCGCTGACTCGTCTAGACTGGTGACCAGAAGGATACTTCGACTTCCAGTGAAACACCTTCAATGCTGATCCTCCGTACACTACATTAACACAATGACGCCCCTAACCAAACTTGTGTGTACAGGTAAACAGAGACGCCCATGAGTGCCCAGAGCCAGGCGCCGATCCTGCGTCGTGCTACCTTCGTTTGCGTTCGTCGACCTTACTTCTATGTCCTCGGTTCTTCAAATGAATCTCAAAGTTGTCAAGTGTAAGCTCGGGACCTGCAGTATATAATTTTCCTGGACAGTCATTACACCGTATTCGTGGAAGGAACTGATGTTTAATGTTGGGCGGTACGGGTGCACCTTGCGCCAATTCCAGTTTTTGTGATGCTCCGGTCGTCTTATCGACAGCGCTCCAGCGCATAGTGGCTTCAAAAGAATCTTCCTTATACCTACTTTGAAGAGCTCGGAGTGACGACACTAGCCATGGTGGAGGTGGAGGCTGATAGCGATCAGTAATTATATATGGAGAGGCACAAGGTATCATAAACTCACTGGTGTATAGTTAGCAGGTAGAGGATACGGGGCCTCTACCCGACCATCAGCAGAATACTGGACACTTTGCGACGGCGGGTTGTTATTGGAGTCGTCGGCCCCTCGCTGCTGAGGTGAAGGTTGTTGTTTCATGGCAGGCGACGGTGGAGGTAACATTCCAGATGCAGCAGGTGTACTACGTTGGGATGACGCTCTTTGCGGCATACGAGGCGTGCTTGCTGACGCTGTATGGATTCTTTTCCCTTGCTGAAGGCTTCGCATAGCTTCTCTGCCAATATGAAGCTTGACTACAAGAGTCTCTGCTATGCTTTCTTCTCGCTCAGGAAGACCGGAACGCCTTGAAGTGCGCGTCTCATGGTGGTGTAGAGTGGCAATTTCGGGGGTTGCAGATCGGCCTAGGTTGGCTCGCATGGCCGCCTGCGCTGCAGATGCAGCGCCTCTCATGCCTCTTGTACGGGCAGTACCACCAACCAGCTGCGAAGGAGCAGGTGATTCGGGGGCAGAATCAGACTCTTCACTCTCGTCTGAATCATCACCGCCGTCTAATCGACCAGTAACTCGTTTGCGTCCTGATGACCGAACAACCTTGTACAGCCGACTCCCGTCAAGGTTTTCTGCCGCTCCTGGTAATACAGAGGATACGATCAAGGTTCGGACTGTGCGCTGCCTATCCTTGAGGTCGGGCAGAACAGGTCCTCCGCGACGATTAACAGATCGTTTCTGCCTCCGTTGTTCTCTCAGCATCGAATGCTCGGTCCGCTCTAGCTCCGTCTCATTCAGTTCGTAAAGATATGGGGTGTAGTCTTTAGCATGTACCGAAAGGCGAAAGACGGAAGGGAGAGGTGACGGGAGAAGCGCGTCACGAACATCTGCATCCTCGATAGGCCTTCCGTCGAAAGGATGTCCGGTGATGTAAAGGCTCTTCGTGTAGATCTGGCATTGTTCTCTGATGGAGTGCGCAATCGCTGTTGCAAATTCCCCGGAGAGTGACAGTTCTCGAGCTGTCAGACTTGCAAACTCCTCCGGTGAATTCGATGGGTTGTTTAACTCCCACTCAAACTGATCCATAAGTGTATGCTGGCCGATCGTTATATTTAGTTTTATTAGAATGCGCATCTCATCGTTTTTGTATGCGTGGTAAGGTAGGTGCGGATCCAGGGCGTCCTCATCAATGTATATATGGGGATAAAAATCTTGAATCTGTTCAGTCATCTCGAAGAGAACTCTTTGCGCAACAGGAAGAGCCAATTCGCGAGGAACTCTAAAATCTTCGACCAAATTCTCCGCAAAGACTTCAGGGCGCGTTATTCGGTCGTGGAGGTTCCAAGTGAACGTGTCGCGCAGCCTTATCTTGTTGTCGAAATCAATATCCAAGCGTATAGGTACCAGCTCCTCCAACTGCTCCGCTTGTTGTTCCTTGTCTTTCCTCGATATATGCATGGCCCTCGCTCTCCGAGATCCAGGCCTTTTTTTCTTTTCAGGATATTCGAGTCTTGCAGGCCGCTGCTCTGTCAGACCATTGCCATATCCAAGGTAACCATAGCCAAAGACAGAACCAGGGTCTTCAAACTTTTGCTTTCTCATCGTGCCAAGATAGTATTCCCTCTCAGCTCGCTTAAAGAACATACGATTCCTGCTAATCTCTGCTTGGTCGTTCATCGCCGCCGCATGTAAAGAGTCGCGTTCGATATACTGGTGTAAAAGGTATTCCTGCAATGAGGGCTCTTTATCTTTCTCTGTATGCTTTGATGGAATTCGCGATCCTGATCTTGAACGCTTTCTCGATGAGCTACCGTTCGCCATTGGCGCGCCATCGCCGGGTGATTCATCTCGACGCGTGTGAGGCGGTGATATTACGCTTGGTTGAGACGCGACATTGACTCCCGATGCCTCCATCACAGCTTTGGCTTTCTCTTTCCCTGCCCATATTGCATCTCGCTGCTCGCTTTGAGATGAAGAATTGTCCGTGATAGATGAAGAGATGTTGGAGCTCTCTAGGGCGGATCCATTATGAATGGGCGCGTCCTGTGGCGGAGGCTGAGAGGGACCTTGCGCAGAGACGGGAGTCGGCATTGTGTAGGAATAGGTATACAGCTTTTATGGAAACCTGTGATAGGCTGAAGATGTGTTTACAGTGCGCGAGTCGGCTGGAGACGCGGTCAGCAACGTAATGTTATCAAAGACGTCGTCGCAACAAGCCATTGCGCCCAGCGCGAAGATGCAGAATTGAGGAGATGGATGACATGGGTGACGCGACTCGCAAACAAGACCATCAACGGCCTAAGACGAAGGGAGCGTGGGAACGACAAGCAGGAGTATACATACCAGAACGCGGCACATTTGCGTCTAATCCAGGCTCGGCGTAAAGGGGCAGCAGGCAGGTGGTAGGTGTAGCTGGGTGGAGCGGATGGGATGGGCAGCTGAGAGCAAGGACGCAGCAACCTAGCGAGGGCTGGACGGGCGGAGCGGACGGATTTCCTCCACCCCACAGACAATTTGGTTGAGGAGCGAACTGAGCGAGGGCGGGATTAACCAAGTGGCTTTGGTCGCAAAAAAACAAAAAGTCAGGTCAGCCTCCCGGATGTGACGCAGAGCACACTAAAATTCCTGTCCGTATGGGCGGTCTGATGTTTGGGCGATGGCGATGGCGATGGCGATCGGGTTCTGCGGCGAAGGGAAGCCGAAAGGTAAGGGGCGCTAAGGGTAATACGGTAATCAGTCAAGTCACCTGCAACAAAGCCTCGTCTACAGGTGCATATGCTCTCGGCGACCACCTCGACATTCCGTCGCTACTCTACTAGATTGGAGATAATTACTCCCTTTGCGCAGACTCTCAATCGAGTATGGCAGCATTAGCAATATACGAGTCGCAGATTACCAGGTCACGTGATAATAGTCGCGACTCGACAGCGAATCAGGAGTGCCAAGAACGAACACATAGTAAGTCAGTCATACAATATCACGGTGAGCGACGGGACTGGTAACAAGTTCTGCTCCATACGTAATACACCGGACGAATCGCCATTTGCCCCGGGCGCCTTGCGGAACCATACTGCAAACACTTGCAATCTAGAAGAGGAACCACCGTGAAATATGTCTCGAGGCCTAGTTGTACCCAGTGAACATGCTTGTCCCGCCAAAGGTTCCTAGTCCCCAAAAGAAGGCCTTAGAAGGACTGACCCGAGTGTACATCTATTATGCCTCTTAGATTTGATTTTGGCTCATATCGAAATGCCCTCAAATAAGAGGTCCTTCCTATGATGCACAGATAGTGCCTATAGAAATGTAGTCGCCGCTTAGAGAAGGGAGTCAAGGCGAGTGAAAACGCTTAAGCATGCCGCGACGACCTGTTGAGAGTTTAGCATGAGCTGGGAACTGGGAATACTCATATGAACATACCTCGACTTGAAGCTCTCTGTCCTTATTATTGTTGATCTCCTCGTTGACGACCTGCGCGAGGTTCGCGCCAACACCGCCGGAGCCTCCAGACCTTCGAGTGAAAGGCCATTGTGAGTATTCTGCAAGGAGTTCATCTACTTGTGCAAATGCCCGTTCTCTAGCTTCGTGTCCTAGTGTCGAAAGAGCATTTTCCAGAACATTGGCAGCATAAGCAGCACATACCATCGAGATAGTTCGTAGGTATCTGAACTCGGTTTCTTCAGGCAGAAATTGGCTTCCTTGTAGGACGACTGTTCGGCTGGTGAGAATGTTGCGAACACGCCTACGAATCTCTTCTTTAGCACCCCCATCTGCGACAGGATGTGTAGCCATATCAAAGAGTAAGAAGTTGCGTTTCTCCGTGCGCAGAATGCCTTTGTCAACGAGCCCTTTCGCCAGTCTTTCGCGAACTTGTTTCAATTGATAGCCGATCTTCATCAAATTCCAAGTTTCTCCTATGTGTAGAACCGAATTAGCGACATGGTAGAGGAACGGCAATATATTGCATCATGACCTACCGCTCATAAGATCTATCCACGAATTCACACTCATCTTTTCACTGGACTTCATCATTTTGAGCGCTTCGTCCAGTAGCACCTCGCCGGTGAGGGTATCATCTACCACCTCAATAACGCGGTCGGCCAGGGGGAAACGACGTCGGGAGGAGTCTTTTTGCATGCTCACACGACCACGTAACGCAAGCTCAATTACGATGCAACCACGAAGAGCGTATGAGATGTTGTCGTTCCAGAACGACAGATAGCCCTTTTGAGAATGGATATTAGCTTGGAGCCAGCAGTAAGTCTCAAGGGTGAGCAACCTGCTTGTCCTTGAGGCCCATAAGCAGCACTTCCTCCATCAATGTGAGCTTGGGTTGTTTGCTTCTTTCAGCATTTTCACTAATATCCCGTGGGTCGAATGCGATCTTGTGTCCGTTCTCTGAACTTTCGTATGATGTTTCCGGTGCCCTGTCTTCTGGTCTCTTAGGCGCAGGAGAACTGACGCGACTGCCATCCTCGCCATCGATGCCTCCACCTCCACCTCTTCGGCGGGTAAGCCCTGATGACGATGCCATATGGTGGCCGAGCTTTGTGTTGAGTGTCAACTTTTTGCAGACCGCTTATATGGAGTACCGGGCACGGGCGACTTTTGGGACTAGCTTGGGATAAGGGATCGCGTTCGCCGAGGTGTGAAGGAGGGAGGTATTGCGATATACAGAAATAGAAAAGCGAACGTAGTGATCAATGACACAATTCAGTAAATAGGAGGTTACGTAGTCACACAGATGTTGGACATCAGCCTGGCGTATTTGTAGAAGACACACCATGGCTCAGCTTCGAGCGGCTTGTCAAAATGTGTCTTGGCATCAGATCCCGCTACCTAGGTAGGTACCGCGCGCCCTGCCCAGGTCATGCAATACAGATTTGAAGGTCACATCGTCGCCCAAGCGCGTGCTGCAGAGGGAGAGTACTCTCATTGCTCTCTAGATGATAATACATACAGCAAGCCAGTATTCCGCGCAGAGTTTTATACATGCGGATGTTTGATCTCAGAATTATTCACGATACACCCTCATACCAGTAGGTTAAGGGCCTCCACGCCATTCAAGGTACGACTGCACTTTAATTTGACACATCTTTCAGTGAGCTAGAATATATTAGATCAGAACGTCCAGTATAAGGGTTTCAGATTGGACTTACCATCTGGTTGAGCGGCAATGTAGCTAACGGCCTTGTCCACTGCAGAAGGTCAATATATGCACCATCGGTAGTATTGGAATTACGTACCGCTGTGAATCGCGTCCGCTTCCTTGTCTGGGATCTCAATACTGAATTCCTGTTCACATTAACCCAAGACCTTGATCTCTGTCTGATATCCGTACCTCTTCAATGGCCATCACAACCTCCACAGTGTCAAGACTATCCAGACCAAGGTCGTTCGAGAAGTGAGAGTTAGGTGCGAGCTATGTGAAATGAGTCTCTGAATATTGGTCAAGTATTGGTTTTGTCGTACCTTTGAGGCGTCCTTGACCTGCAATAACTACATTAGCTCTGAACCTCGATCATCCATTCTTGTTGCTCTCAGTACACACTTTGTCAAAATTCTTTAGAAGGTCCAAGATCCTTCCTTGGATTTCATCTTGTGATAGACCACTGTGGGCGGAGTAGAAACGGATGGCCTGTGAAGTGATCGCAGAAGAGAACTGTTGTGGTTGGAGAAAGCTTCGCGCAACGGGGCGAGTTATAGGTGCTTGCCATTGCTGCGTCGATCGAGCAGCATTTCGCGCGGACTTAGTAATGATGTTTCGCATCATCTTATCTAAGTTTTGAATTGTTCGGAGAGGTTTGCGGTGCTGGTGATGCTGGTGGTGCGAATGCGGATGGAAGGTCTCTCGGCGGCCCTGCAATGATCAGACGTATTGAGTAGCTAAAATCAAAGAAGCGCTATATAGTCAAAGCGTCAGTACGAGATAATCACGTGACCACTTTAGCTACAATCATGTGTCTATCTGTATTCTTGCTTAGAGACACACGATTTGGATTCGATATACAGTGTCTCAATTCGCAGTAATCTACTATTGAGATATGCTGAGGTGGTGCATTGTAAAAGAGCTGCAGATAATTTCGACCTATCAGAAACGGGCCAAATCGATCTGACTAACAGAGCTCGCGAAAGTCAACCTCACGGGTCAGGGCATCATTCAAGAGCGAATATCGTCGCCACAACCAATTCGATCCACCACTGCTCTTCCACACCTGCACAGCACTCACTATGGCCAGCGCGAGGCCACTGATGATGCTGGTGCGCAGTCGCCCCAGCATTTTTGCCTCCTCGCCCGCCCAACAACGTCTACTCGCCGCTTTCTTCACGACCTCTGCCGCTCGTAATGCCTCAGGTAGTGGACGCCCACCGTCGGGATTCCGCATCCCAGCACCAAAGCAATGGGATGAAGGCGAAAGCTCGTTGGACAAAGCTGGAAAATACTTCCTGCTCACTGAGATGTTCCGAGGAATGTGGGTTGTGCTGGAACAGTTTTTTCGAGCACCGTAAGTTATCCGAGCCCAGAGAGGCAATGGCAAGCTGGGGGTGTCTTTGAAATTGGACTGAAGCCTTCCAGATATACGATCTTCTATCCTTTCGAGAAAGGTCCCATTTCGCCCCGCTTCCGCGGTGAGCACGCTCTACGGCGGTATCCCACAGGCGAAGAGAGGTGCATTGCCTGCAAGCTGTGCGAGGCCATTTGCCCAGCCCAAGCTATCACAATCGAAGCAGAGGAACGAGAAGACGGAAGCAGAAGAACAACGAGATACGATATTGACATGACGAAATGCATCTACTGTGGGTTCTGTCAAGAAAGCTGCCCGGTGGACGCTATTGTTGAGGGTCCGAATGCGGAGTATGCCACAGAGACAAGAGAAGAGCTATTGTACAACAAGGAAAAGCTGCTTGCAAATGGCGACAAATGGGAGCCTGAATTGGCCGCGGTGGCGCGAGCAGATGCTCCATACAGATAACACACATGTATCAAAAACTAAGATGCAATATGTATATAACATGACGAACAGGCTGGGCGCCCCTCCAAATGCGCCCCTCCAATTCTCTACATTGCAATGATAAACAGTACGTCTCTTTTGTACTCGAATGGACGAGAATTGGCACTTTTTGCTTTGTGATACAATGCCATGGACCGCTCCCTAGCGCCGCGCATAATGCTATGTAGCTGAAAATGAGAATCTACCGTTTCAACTCCTTGGACAATGCTCCAAGGGGTGATCATTTTTTGGATCGAAAGCTGCCTTCGAAACCAGGACGACTCTTCGGCTTCTTGCTCGGCTTCTTGATTTTCTTATTCTTCACTCCCTTTCCATCTCTGCGTTTCTTGAGATTCTCCTCGCGCTTCTTCTGTCGCATTTCTATACCCTTCTGAACTCCATCAATTCTCTCCGTCCACTCTTTCTCACTCTTCCCCTTCTGCTTATCCTGGCGCTTCAGAGTTTTCTTCAATAAAGATGTATCGTCCCGAACCTTCTCTCCATGCGCTTTCTTCTTCGCATTCAGCCATGCGTCTTTCTCTTCGAGATCCTTTCGCTGTGTTTCATCCAGGCCTTTCAGATGTGCTTGCTTCTTCTCTGCAGTTTTCAAGATAGTCCGAGTATCACCAGGGCCCTTCTTCTTTGTAGAGTCCCGGAATGATGACATAGTTGGATCTAGCTGCTTGCCATCGTCAAATGCAACTCGGCCAAAAAGGAAATTGTTTTCAGTTCTAGGCGAAAACATGTCAGAGCCGGTGAGAGGAGATCCTGAACCCCTCAGCCGTGCCAATTCTGCCTCTGCGGCAAGCTTTTGCTCTTCCTCTTTATCTCGAGATTGCTTTCGCATCTCCTTCTTATGGGCTTTCCTCTCATCTTGCTTCCGTCGCCTCGCTTCGAGAAGTTCTTGACGATTCTTGGCTGGCTTACCATCGATGCCATCGGCTTTGCGGGCGCTACGAAGTTGTTCAATACGAGCCCGTAGTCGCTCTCTTGCTTCGTTGTCGATCGTGCGCAGTTTAGACTTCGATTTTAGGGATTTCTGTGGTATGGCATCAGACGCTGGTGGCACAATAGATGAAGATGACGAGGTGGATGGTATATCAGAGGCTGGTGATTCTGCACGGGGGGTCGAGGGAGCTGTAGATGCGGCTGCATCGTCATCCTCGCCCAGGTCTTTTAGATCGATTTTGTCCATATCATCATCGTCGTCCCGAGATGTATCCGCCGCTGGTTCTTTGTTGGACTTTAGAACCTCAGATTCATTGCAGCTTATCTCTGAATCCTGGACTATGCCAGGCGAAACACTAGTCGGAGCCCTGCTGATCATTTTCGAGGGCGCTCCTGTATCCTGTACAGTCTCCTGCAACTTGGCTTCTTGCTCTTTTCGACGTTGCTGTTTCTCCAGGAGCTTTGCCTTCTGCTTTTCAGCCTTCTCCTTCTGTTTTTCGATCTTCGCCTTGCGCTTTACATCCTTCTCGGCAACAGTGCCCTCATCTGATGTAGCGCTCGGTTGTTCAGTCACAATTTTGGGAGCGTTCTCTTTTTTGTGCTTCTTCATCGTGGGCTTCGTCGCTTCTCGTGGCTTCTCCTTTTCGAAGCCTTCAACATCGCTAGAGCCTTCACCTTCAGGCTGTCGTTTTCGCTTGCGATCCGATTCCTCTAGTTCGATACGTTCGGTTGCTTGTGTTTTCGCACGCTTCTCTCTCTTCAATTGTTTCTTCTGCAGATCGTCATGTGTTAGCTTGCGTCAGCATAGCAGCAGCAGTATGGAGGCTCACGCTCTTCTCTTGACCGTAGTATGCTTCTGATGGTAGAAGTGACATCAAGCCCTCGAAAGATCGAGCATGGCTATTGAGACGAGCCTGGTAGACGAGTTAACATGTATCTAGGATCGCTAATATGAGGAGCAGGCCACTACGAACCTCAAGATCGTCGGCCATATCGGATGCTGCTAAGTGAGACTAGAACCACACGCAACCTTGGAAGTCGATACAATGAGGAGCTTGACAGGTGTATCGAATTCTTCAAGGGCGGAGGTCGAGCTGCGACAATCTTAGAGTGTTGCCGACGTAGCAGAATAGTTTTCTCGAAATGCGGGCGTAGGCGGTGTGCGGCCGGGGTGTGGAATGGTGTGAAATCTTGGCGCACTAGCCGGTGCAGGTTAGCACTGAGGACGACGGGCTGGTCTTCTTTCTTGTATCAACAAAGGCATCGCATTAATTTTGGTTCTCATCCATTGCGAGGTAAACATTAGAACTATTTACGGAGATCGCGGGATCCCAATGAAGCCTCCAATGACTCTTGACTTGCCGTAGTGATCGGCATTGAGGCACGCGCGGCATTGACCAAGCAATCCATCCATAGATAGTTCTAAGATGCTAAGCCACGTCCACGTCCGCCCTTAAACTTCATACAACCTCGCGAGCATTCTTCAGACCACTAAACACGAACATCAGTATTCTGAATATATCTCAGTCGTAAATCAGATATCAAGTCCGCTTGCCTAGCTCATAGACGCCCTAGTCGCCACTTCTGTCTAGATATTCTCTTTAATCCAATTTGAAAGACATCTGACACAACTGACCGCAGCTCTTGATGGAAGGCCCTATTGAGAATTCTACGCCTATAGAGGCTAAATCTCTGTCTCTTTTAACTGACCTTGCGTCAAATCCTCCACAGAATCTGGCGACCACACGGCACGATAGACATCCTCCACTAGTGTTGTACATTGCTCGTGTGCCTGGAAGTAGAGGTCTGCTGTCCAAGTATTACAAGCGACATGTGGCTGACGGCTCTGCAGACGTGTTTTTGTCTCCAATGAAACCCAGAGATAAAGTTGTAACTGCGGAGGATGTGCAAAGTTCGTTGTATTATATACACGTGGATCGGCCCGGTGATGGAAGTCTGTTAAAGTCTTCCGATGGTTCCTGTGACGAATCTACCGTCGAAGAGAGCGATAAACCGCCTTCATCAGATATCTTGACCCGGAAGCCTATGCTTCCTGCTCGACCCCTCGCGAACGACTTCTTGAGAGCGGAGCGCCCAGGACATCCGAGTCGTCCCTTGCACGTTGATCCTCAACGTTTCTCTGGCAAACCTAGCTCAGGTCTGCTTACCAGTCGGACAGATGTAGAGACTCAGCACAATGTATCCTCTGCAGCTTTTACTCGAAAGCCTATAGCTTCAGGAACATCGAATCCGAAGCACTCGTCAGTGACATTCGATGATTTTCTAGGTAGCACTGGGTCTCAGGGGCTCGACCCACATACACTCTCGCATCAGCGTAGTTCTTTTCAACCATTACCAGCAGTGGCCCCTCAGGAATATCAATCACGGGTTCTACCAGAGAACGTGAGGCCAGGAACGAACAAACATGGCCTAGGGCTTTCTTCCAGAAGTTCCACCACAGAAGAACAGCGACGTGATGTTCGAATGAGACCCGAGCATTCACAAGATAGTGGGCTCGAAAATCAGAATACTTCCCAGGTACAGGAGCCAGGTATCTCTCTTACGCTGATCAGGAGAGACCCGGCGTCGGGTAACCAGTGGAACGTGGGCAAGGTTCTTGATATACCTCTTCATGGTGTATCATCATCTTCATCATCACAGTCTTGGACAAGCCAAAAAAGCAAGCGTGTAGGAACTCCTATATGCCTCGATATATCAAATCCTGGCTACTCAAAGTTTGTCACAGATGTTGAGCGAGTACCGGATAGAACAAGCATACATAGTGATACCATGGAGATACCACAAATAATCTTCCGAAGACGACTGTGGATGGAGGGAGCGAGGTTCACAGACCCGGCCTTTGGGCATAGGAAGAAACGGTCGGATACTTCAGAGACAGGCGTGGGTAATAATTTTGAAAATGGTCCTTTAGTTAGAGACGCTCAGGGCTATCTTGTCTCAGACGATTCAGCCAGGACAACAACGTTCAAAGGATACGCATTTGAGACTCCTTGGAGGACAAGGTGTGAATTTGTGACTAGTGGAGGAGGGGGCTCGCTTCGGGTATGAGCTGGCTGTGCACAACGGCAATGTCTACTTTCTGCTAACATATTCACAGTGTATACACATATCAAATGCTAACGGTGGTCGTACACCAATACTCACATCAGTTAGTGAGTTACGTTTCAACCTCCCAAATGCCTTCAGTAAGATGCATTCACGACAGACTTCCGACGATGGGTCTTCAAAGAGAAGGTCTCTCTTTGGCAAGTCTAAGCTTGCTGGATCATTGGCAGAGTCTACACGCGCGAGTATGCACGAAAACGAAAAGATGGACCTGGCCCTGGGGCAAGAAACGGCTGGTGGTGGATTTGGAGGGAAGCAGGCCAAGCTAGGAAAACTCATAATCGAAGATGTGGGGCTCCAGATGATGGATCTCGTTGTGGCTGCCAATATGGGTCTTTGGTGGCGCGCATATGAACGAACGGACAAAAGGTAAAAACAACCTGTTTGACATGATAGACCTCGTACTTGGCTCGGTCCAGGAACGAAGCTTATATAAAGGTCGAATACCGTGAGAGTTCAATGTTACGATGAATTACTATAGCGTTCCGTAAATGAATCAGAGTAGAAGATCACAATGCGTCCTAGCGTAGTCGAACATCGTCACTGTTAGTGCCACACACTGTAGAGCGACCAAACGAACACAGGGATACTGCCATGGGTGTTTGATCACAATACAACCACACATCGAAAGGCCATTACCATGCATGTGGAGCAAACAAACGTCTCCTTGTCCATGTGACGAACTCTATCAGACCAAAGGGGCGAGAAACGGTAACGAGGCAGGGAAACGTTACTCAGATCCGTTGCATGAGTTTTTGGGTACCAGAAACTGAGTGACTGACTGTCATTTCCTATATAATTGTGAACAAACCTCGAACTGGTGATACTCGTATGAGTAAATAGTTGGATAGAGGCGTAGTAAACACAAGAGCCACACTGTTAGACTTTCGATCAGATCTGATTAGGAATGTGTGTATATCAACAGCCACTAGCTACGTCTCGCCCAGAGGAAAGCCACCATAGGAAGGCGAAACTTTGTTCCCGAGGATGCCTTACTGGCGTTCACTGTCCTATTTGTTTTTGAATAACTAATAGAGATCACACTAGTTGCACACAGACGTCACTTCTGCTGCGTGAAGCGACGGGATTTTTCACTTTAATCCCACTCGAGAGCTCTCCTTTCCACAAATGACAATTTCAACATTTCAACAACTGGGTATAGATTGGTTGACATTCAACCAGCATGACCTGTCGTTCACGATACGAAGACCTACTTGAGGCGCAACAACGCCACGACATCAATAAAAGCAAATATATCGAACACAGCCGTCTTGGAGCGATGAGTGAGCGACCTGGCGAAGTCAAAGCCAAGGACTTGACGGGATGTGATCTAGTTTGTATCAGTACCTCCTTCGAGGAACTCTGTGAATTTGTTAGATCCTCACAGAACCCTACATTCGGCAAGATTCGCAGTCTCACTATAGTTGTCAATGGCGCCGACTGGGACGAAGCTCAGGATGACCTTCTTGCCATCGCTCTATCCCCGCTGCAGGCCCGTGATGCCTGGGGATGCCCACGCAATCACGAATCGCGTCATAAGCTGGATACCTTGAGAATCGTTGTTGAAGGAAACACTCTTTTCACAAGACGGACTTACACCCTTGTATCCGCTGCTGGATCTGAATTTGCGCCACCAGGTACCGTATATTGATACTATAGCTTTCTCTTCTGACTCCCAGCTAGAACTGAAGAGATTCCATGGCAAAGAAAGAGATCTCCATGCTATTGCAACCACCCTTCCAACGCTCAAAAGCATTGAAACGTACAGGAACTATCCTATCCAATCGGTCGAAAAGCAATTCTTTCAGGCTTTGTTCGAAATCCGTGGCGTCAAGAATGCCATCATCGATGGTCCGATGGAACCTGTACTTCGACTGGACGTGCAAGATGCACTGACAGCACCATTTGATGCATCAAGAACAGCAGCAGGTCGTTTGCTGAAAGAATTCGCCACAAAAGACACAAAGATCGATTCCAGAAACTCAGATGATCTCGATACAGGCCTCATTGACTTCCAATTCTTCACTATGCGTCGGATAGGCCAGGGAGACAAAGACGACCTCGATAAGCCAAATCCCGCACACTTGCGTGACCCAAAACACGACCCAAGATACGGCACCAACGAGGCAAGATTCAGAAGAGGTCTAATGGTAAAGCATGAACTCAAAGGAAACATTATCGCCCGGCCAGGGGCAACTGATAAATGTAACCGAGTGGTTTTAGGATGGGACGCTCCACGACACTTGAGAAGGGCCAACTACATCAGGCAGGATTCGAATTCTCGGCCTCAGCAAACCCAGCCAACGGTGGACTCTGCCAGCGAGATGGATGTGGATGACATCTAGCTGCAGTAAAATAAAAAACTCCATCTGAGAGTATCGAGATATGATTGGATATGTGGTTGTGGACAAGGAGATGTGATGCAGGAATTCGCCAATTCGCGTCACAGTCTTGGGATGGCTGCTCATACAGCGATAGTGGAAGCATTTATGGAATAACGTAATTGTTCTTCGAAATAGATGGCACAGACAGAACGGAAATTCGACATAAGAACAGCTTCATTGCAATGAGTTCATGATTGAATAGCCAGCCTAGAGGTCTTGGAGACTATTAGAATGGAAGAAACCATGATAATATTGGAGAACAGAATGCCAGGTATAGAATAGATGGTATTCCTAATTGTGGATCATTTCAAGGGCCGATAAATGTGACCTGGATCAAAAGTGAGGAGCGCTTCCAAGTTTGAATGGATAGTGGAATTCGGGCTTTGTTTGGTAAGGACATTTGAGCTGTGCTTGATCATTTTGATCATATCATTATGTGTATCGATTGACGTTGGATGTTCGTTAGTGAGATGGATGGCTTGGCAAGGCTCGAGTTGCTTACGTGAAGCTCTACCTACCGTGACGCGCTCCTATGCCTAACGGAACTTGAAGATCGAGCAGCTCATCTACCACCACCTCAACTAAAAGAATCCTGTCTTGTATAAACCCTCGGCTTACTTCTATACATCTCGCTGTCTTTAGCTCCCCTTTAGTCGTTCCCTGCTAAACCTTGACATCATTCGCCATGGACACTTTAGTAGCTCAGTACAGCCGGCCAGCATTCGAGAATGAGGGCTATGCGCAGGACGACGATCAACAGCTCATAACCCAAATCACTCCTCCTCTCTCCCTGAAGTTTGCACTACCTCCAGTGGCTCAGGTAAGAACACCGGGGAGCTACATAGCTAGTAATGCCACAGCTAACAATATCTCACCTCCAGTCATCATCATGGCTTCGAGCAATGACCGACGACTACTCCAACCCGAACTGCCCCATCAAGATTGCCCACGGAACCACCACGCTGGCCTTCCGCTTCCAGGGTGGAATCATAGTCGCTACAGATTCAAGAGCAACGGCTGGAAATTGGATAGCCAGTCAGACAGTCAAGAAGGTTATCGAGATCAACAGCTGTTTGTTGGGAACTATGGCTGGTGGTGCTGCTGTACGTTGTTATGAAACTATATTTAAGGTCTGGAGGTAGATTGACTGATATCGGGTTATAGGACTGTCAATACTGGCTCGCATACCTAGGCATGCAATGTCGCCTCCACGAGCTCCGTCACAAGCGTCGCATATCGGTTGCTGCAGCCTCCAAGATCCTCGCCAACCTTGTCTATTCATACAAGGGTATGGGCTTGAGCATGGTAAGATACTTCTGAGACCAATCCCCATAGCATTCATCACCTTAGCGTTCAATACTGACTCACTCATCTTATAGGGTACTATGTGCGCTGGTGTGACACCCCAAGAAGGACCCGCACTATATTACATTGACAGTGACGGTACGCGTCTCTCTGGCAATCTGTTTTGTGTTGGCTCTGGTCAAACATTTGCTTACGGTGTGCTCGACGCCGAATACAAATATGACCTAACCGAGGAGGAGGCACTGGAGCTAGGCCGTCGCAGCATTCTGGCCGCTACCCATCGTGATGCTTTTTCGGGTGGTTTTATCAACCTGTACCACGTCAAGGAGGATGGCTGGGTCAAGCATGGCTTCAACGACACTAATCCGATCTTCTGGAAGACGAAGTTGGAGAAGGGAGAGTTCTCGAATGTTACCTCAAAGTTGGTTTAAGTGCAAGCTGGAAGGTCGACTTGCATAACTAGGCGTCACGCATAGAGCGTAGGATTGAAGCAGCTATTAACTGCTTATGTAACTTCAATATCTTGTGATATTAGATTTAATGCAGTCGGTTCCTGCAACATCATCAGTCAGCCGGTGCTACATGTGCAGTTGTCCAGCTTCCCTAGAGCACCAATTTTCGAAATGTATGCCATGAATGATCACTCTTAGAACAGAGGTGAGTTTGATTAAAGGAGAGATGCTCTTCGTGTTAAACTGTGAAAACGATGGAAATCTGCAATACTTCATTTATATGATCTGTGGGACAGTATAAAACGGGTTAGAGCTCTTGATTGATCGAGGAGTGTTCACTTGGTTTATGGCTGTTGGAAATTTGGTTCAAAGTCATGATGTCCATATTGTTACGAGTCACAAGGTATATCTACGTTGCGCACCGAGCCCCCAAACCCTGGGACGTACCCTCCTTAGGAATCCGGCTGCTCGCGAAAGATAACCTGTGAGCCCTTATAAAGACCGAAGTAAAGCAAAGTTATTGATGGTTGCTTGAAAACGATAGACGAAATCCCTGATTGGGCCGAATGTCAAGCCTTAACTCATAAGCGTCTGGCTCTTTTCTGTGCCCCGATATGCACTGTTGCCCATCGGCGGAGTACCGAGTGAGTCAGCCGCTGTTTTTAGCTGTTTCGGGGGCTCAGAGCATTTGTTGCTTAGAAACCGTGGACCTTGGATGTCGTTAGTATTAAGTTGCCTGGGCAAGTCGCTATAAAAGAGACTTACTTTGATAGTCTTGGCGTCCATGTTCAAGAAGTCCTTGGAGGTAAGAAACTCATAGACGTTCTTGCGCTGGTCACCTTGAAGTTGAATCACCTCTTTGTGGGTGCTCTTCTTCTTCTTGTCTTTTTTCTCAGACTTCTTGGGATCCTTCTTCTCGGCCTCGTCGTCCGACTTCTTGTCGGCTTTGGCGTCTAGCTCGGCATTCTTGTCTTCGACGCTTTCCGGGACGATAGTACCATTACAAGCGAACTTCTTCTTGAAGTGTTTGATAATCAGATCGAAGTTGAATTTCTGGTTGTTCAAACCTTGGACAGTAGTAAGGGTCTTACGACCATTGCGCTCTGCAGACGACATCGTTAGCGACGAGTAGCTTGACCAAGCTCGATATACAGGAATACACAGTAGGTATTTGTGTGGAAGATTTGCTAAACTTACGCTGGATACGAATATGAATGTAGTCCTGGGACTTGTGGACCTTCTCGCCAGAGTCGTCGTCGGCCTCGGCGAACGGGTCTGAGCGGATACTTAGTACACAATTCTCTACTTCAAATATATATGACACGATTCGTAACGCCTCCAAGCACGAAAGCATCGTAACGCGAGCATCCTGAAATACTTCAAGCGACGCGGCGAAGAGCCATCGGAGGGGCCGTCAGAAGCGGGGCAACACACTTACCCTTGTCTTTGAGATTCTCGATGATTGACATAAACTCGAGTTTTGCTGTAACCCTTTGATGGTGTTGTTGAACTGAGGGTTTCTGGGGGATAGCCGCGGCTGGTGGTGACTTGGATCGTAGAAAGTGGAGTGGAGAGTGGTTGTTGGTGGTTCGTTGAAGGAGAGAAGGAGTCGGAATGGAGGGCTGGGCAAGAAGGCAAAGAGGCGGGCGACGCCAGGCAGAAACGGGGCTAGTGACATTTCCTCTGACCTTCGCCACTCACCGTGCACAGCCTCCTCAAAAGGTTAATGTTAATTGTGAAGCCAGCACTCTCATTCATCGGCACGAACTTTTGGTCATCTAGTATTCACTGACTCATAGAACCATCACTATCGCCGTTCTCCATACACCCTCGTAGACAATCGTCTCATTGTTCCATTGCCAGCCTGTGCAGCCTTTGTGTTACTTTTGGGCTCGCTGAGACATGCCACCCACGATAAGCCGGGGGTCTCCGATGTATTCGTCCACGGGCATTCCTCGCAAAGAGATAAGAGTTTGCTGCGAGCAGACAACTATTGAAGCCTGTGACACCACATTATCCTTTCTAGGACCTGCATCGATGTCATTCATGCTAGTTGACTAATAAGAACATCACCCCCTCATATATGAAAGCTTAGAACATAACAAGCAGTCACTTCATACGTATGTGCTGCGTTGACAGCATTATGAGACCCCTCAAGATATTACATCTCGAAAGAGGTATTGACGGAATATCACTATGCATACATCAAGCTCAAGCATATGGGTCCGACGTGACTAAAAGTCCACGGACATGCTCTTTAAATCAAGTGCTACCAGAAAGCCCCCGTTTGAATCCGCTACAACGATGAGCCTGATATACCAGCATTCAGTATTGAATCCAAATTCTCAAGGGCTGTTTATGCTTACCTCCATCGATGCAGATGTTCTGCCCAGTGGCAGACCTGGAGATTGCAAGCGTTCGCACTTGATCAGCAACATCCTGAGACGTCAGCGAAGCGGGTCTGCAATGTTATATGGCATTTCACGAACCTCTGGAGTGGCCAGACGCTTGAGCTTTGTACTATTTTTCGCCGCTTCTCTCTTCGATTCGGGGAATTTCATGCCCCATTCCTGGACACCATTAGCCCTGAAGCATATGCAGGTATTAGACCGCCCACAGTCAACATCAATCCTGGCGATACCGAATTCACCCTGATCTTGGGACCGCATATTACAGCGAGAGCCTTAGCCAGATGGATTTGCGCGGCTTTGGTCACGGAATATGGCTAGATCTGATGTCAATTCCAGCTAGCTTTTTCGTGACAAGTCTACACACCAAAGAGCTCCCGCTTGGTTTCACTCCAGCAACACTGGCTGTAGAGATGAAAGTACCCTCTGTCTCATCGAGGTATTGTTTACTACTATACAGAAGCCATAGATGAGTCTTGACGTTGTAAAGGAAGCATTTATCCCAGTCCTCGTCAATGACGCCCTCGTCCAGGTTCGTGAAGTCCGTTATTCTCGTCCAGCCTGCATTCGAGACAACGACGTCGAGTCTGCCCATAGTCTTGATGGTCTCGGCTACCATGTTTTGTACAGCTGTCTTATCTCCAACATCTGCTTTGATGGCGTGAAAGCGAGGTGCCTGAGAATGTTGGACTGTACTGGGTATGCCGGATAGTTCCTCGAGAAGAGCCTCTGCTCGCGACGAGTTGTTGGCATAGTTGACAACCTTCAGTCACATTAATTGTTCTGCATCACACATTCACAATGCTATAAGGACTCATGGCCAGGGACACTTACTACTCGGAAGTCCGGAGCAAGCACGCGAGCTACAGCTGCGCCCAGACCGGCAGTACCCGCTGTGATCAAGGCGACTTTTTGAATTGACATGGTGCTGATTGATCTTGAAAACACAGGTCTCTCTCTTCTTAGGCATAGAAGTCGATAAAGCCCCCCGCGCATCAGTTCCGGTGTGGGGTACCCTATGACGCGAGGTGTTACGCGGAACCTTCCGCCACGGATCTATTATATTCGAGAAGTCCAATCGTCCGCATGAGGACTGCCAATAAGTTCGATATTTCGAGTATCCTTGGGCACATAGGAGTACAATAACTAAGTAACACGGGGAAGAGACTTGTCATTGTAGTCGAAGACTCTCTCCCAATATGCAGGAAATCTGACAGTCTTCAATGACTGATACCTGCCCCAACCTCGCCCACCGTTGCCCAGCATGCATCCACTCTACGCACACTTGTACCTGACGATCCATGCATCCATCACCACAGCCAAGCAAAGCCCCGCTTCGCTTCGTTCATTTACGCACCGCTCTCCGAGCCCGCAAAGATAATCTCGACGACGACGACGACGACAGTCTCACTCTCTGCTCTGCTCCTCTCCTTTCCACCAGACACAACAATCGGAAGATTTGGTTTCCAACGTGGTGGTATTCATTATATCACATGAACCGACTCACTCTCGCCAGAACACGACACGACACGACACGACATGCACCGCACCTACGCCCCCCGCACTGCCTACCTGCGGGTGGGAAATTGCGCATGTCAATATTCTAACGCTCCATCCATTGCCGACAATTGAGCATGCAGACGGCAGGTTATATATACCTGGTACCTAGTACCTAGTTACCTCGCCGTAGTAATAATTACCTAGTGGTATTATTAGTAGTACCTACCTAGCAGTAGACGAACTAGACTACGCTAATCCATAAGCGAAGCGATAGCATGGATATAACGCAATCATCAGGATACATACATACATACATATAGTAGTATGGCTCCCAGTAAGTAGGGGCGATTGATTTTTCTTCTTCTCTCCTTTCTTTTCGATAGAGTAATAAATACCTAATTAGGGCAGGCAAATGCACAGTACCAAATGCAGACCTGCACGTTTGTTGCACAGCCTGATCTCAGCTGACGGCAATATTCATATAATTAGCAAAGCAGCCAGGGAGCATACTACCTACGGCTAGGTTACATCGATTCAAGTCCGATTGGCTCAATCGCCTATCAATAACCTAGCATTCGCCATACTTGATGAGGACGATGGTTGTCGTCGTCATCCGGCGATAAACACATGCAGATGTTAGCCCTACAGTCACGCAAGCCTCCTAATTTCCGAACCCCTGCCTGTGTCTCGGCTAGCTGTACCGGGGCCAGTGTGAACGTATGGTCGGTGCTTGGTGCACTGGGACTTGGGGACGGAATGTCGTGGAGGTTCGGTGGACATCTGGAACACTTCAGCGTAACAGAAATACACGTATGTGCTGTATTGGGGAAAATATGGCTAGATCAAGAGAGTGCGTGCTACAAAGTATTGTTGGCCTAGGGGTGCTTTAGTAGAACATGGCTTCATACTAAGATCCAGACAGTCCAGCGAGTAAACATGTCAGATTGACAATTGTCATAATTTCTATTATATCTATAGAGTATTATTATTTCAAAAGCAATACAGACACGTCTCTCGCCTCCATACACATCTTTGTGACAATCAGTGTGCATTAGATACAATTACCACCTTCGAACTTGAATGCTGTTCAGATCATCCTACTCCGTTCTCCAGTTCTGCTTGGCTATGCAGCTCGCATGTCTTGATTGATGCAAGCCGTAAGCCAAGTCACAGCTGACGTACACCCATCAATGTTTTGGTTGAAGCTTTTTACAGGACGTAAGCAGCAAGACCGACAGCAGCCGCAAGACCAGCACCGGCCTGGAGGTTGTTGGCAGCACCTGTGAAGGTAGCGATGGGAGTGGCACCAGTGTGAGCGACAGGGACGGTCTTGGAGGCCGGGACGGATGGCTGAACAACTGGAATAGTACCGTTGTTGGCTGGGGGAGCTGGAGGAGCTGGAGGAGCTGGAGGAGCTGCCGTTGGGACAACCGGCTTGGTAATTGTGCAAGGGCAGTCCGTGATTGTGAGGGTTGTGGCCTAATCTGCAGTCAGAAATGGAACGTATCGCCTAGACGGATCACTTGAGCTTACCTTGGTGACAGTCCAGGTATTCGTGCCGTGGGTGATCTCGGTGGGATTTGGGCAGTAGGTAGTGTACGCAGTGACTACCTCAGTGACATATACCGGGGCGGTACCGTTTTTGCTGGCAGCAACGCATGCAAGGAGAGCAGCGGCCGCGACGGCGAAGGAGAACTGCATTTTGAAAATGATTGTTTGGGGATTACTGATTAAGTAGTAGAGTTAACGATGTGAGGAGAGGTTGGTGAGCGAGCGAAGTCGGTGTGTACTGGTGTAGTGTAGTGAGCGAGAGTGTGGTGAAAGAGAAAAGAGATGGAAGAACAAGATGAGAGACTGTTTTATACATAATACGAGCCTGCTAGCGTACCAGGTTGGAAGCCCATGGATAAAGCCTGCCGAGTATGGCGTTTGGGTTTACCATCTAAAAAGGAAAGGAGTATGTAGCATTGGGCAGTTGCAGCGGTGGATCCGATACAATCAGAAGTCTTACAGTAGTATGGATGGCCTTTCCCAGGACATGCACAAGTAACAGGTACAGGGATATATGGTACGGCTCAGCTGGCAATCAAGCATCAGGAAATTAGAATCGACAGCAGTTCTTACAGCCCAATAATGAAAAGTGTATCACAAGAATTACTCTACCTCATCAGTCTCTGAGCGTGCTATAAGTGTCCGTTTGGTCTCGAGAGTATGCTATCGCCGACTGAGTGTTGAGTACCACAGATGCAGTTGCTTCTTCGTCTTACAGATGCAGTCGTGACTGGGTCGAGAGTGAGTAGCTCCCCCGTGGAACGTCTGGCGACAGGCTCTTGACATATGTAGGTCGTTCTATAGCAACGGTGTTGTGGATCGTTGAGTTGCCGTTAACATATATACATCTGCCGCTCCTGCACGTTTTCATGAGTCCTGGCTGATATTCTACGTTGAAACTTTCACCATAACGGTCTCCAAATGCTCGTTGCTAATGATTATGAACATGCAAAGACTTGTGGAGGAAGGCTGAAGACCCTCGGCGAATCGTGCTCAGTCTGGCTCCCAAGAACCTAAAGTAGAACCACATTAGAGCGCATATATGCATGCCAGTTCGGTGATTGGTTGTGTCAAGCACCTGGCTGAACGGGTTCCTGCATGATTCACTCGTCCAGGCAGGCTTGAAAGTGGTGCAACCTTGCAACCTGATGTATTCTTTATCACAATCCGGTCCGAGTGCACTTGGATACCGGGTACCGTTGTCTGAAAATCGCGCGCGATACGAGGATGTTGGGGGGCGTCGATAAAGCTGTTCTAATCACGGACGGCGAAGCACCTACGAATCCATGTTCGTATGATAGCTGAAGGAGAGACTAGTCTCCATATTCCGATGACGGTGGTCCAAAACGAGTGACTCCTGTCGTAGCACGGAAACAAACATGACTGGTTGTGTACGTGGTGGGTGACTGCAGCGGCATGGAATCCTCCTTGAGGAATAAAAGTTTTTCATGTCATGCTCTGTAGTGGAAGTGGACGGAGGAACGATGGAAGTGTATGGATGGAAGGGTTATATGATAATAGTATATACTGTACCAGCTAATTGCTTGTTGCCGGATTAGTTCTAGCGTAGAGAGGGCGGCAGAACCCAGCACAAACCCATCACTTGTGCCCGGCTACGCCCTTCATTCAACACTCGTTCAGTTTGCTATTTTATATATTATTGATGCGGGTGGTCTATCTATCTTCTTTACTCCTACCTGTGTTGTAAGCTCTGAGACTCACTTCTGCTTATAGCTGTGCATCCACGCTCTACTCTTGATTATGCGGTGGTACACCGGCGAGTAGCGACAAGCTATTGCAGCAGAATGGCCCACCAGAGAGCGAAAAAACCGTCCAACTTCTCTCCCAAGCTAGTATCATCGCTACAACTACCAAAATCATGGCCATCGAATGTGACCTTTATTGATCAGCCTATATATTCATCTTTGCTGCTCACGGACACCAAACAGGCGCTCTTCAAGAACATAAGCGATGAACCGCATATATCGATTACTCCACACGACCGCGGACCCTCCCAAAAAGTCCGTATAACGCGGATATCCAACATTTCACATCCTGCTAATGGACAGTGCGGACTCTTCGCAGCCCAGCATCTCCAGCCATCGGCCTTCATACTGCCGTATATAGGCTTTGTCCACGGGGAGAACGATACAGACCCGGTCTCAGACTACGATATCTCGCTCGAACGAGAGTTTGGGGTTGCGATAGATGCTACTAATATGGGAAACGAGGCGAGATTCACGAATGACTACCGTGGCATCGCCTCCGGGCCAAATGCCGAGTTCAGAGACATCTGGGTTGATATGGGACGTGGAAAGCTCCAGCAGGGAGTTGGGATATTTGTACTTGCGGCCGGGAAGGCTGGCAAAAAATCAAAAGGTATCGCCAAAGGCGAGGAAATTCTTGTCAGCTACGGCAAGGGATTCTGGGCTGGTCGCTTCGACAGTCCGCCTCTCCACGATGGCGTATCGTAAAATCAGAGGAGTGCAGGGGTCTTCCACGTCAACCCGGTCTTGTCGAGCTGCCAACAGCAGCTGTAGGCGACTTCCGCGAACCCGCGCCATGAAAGTTGAGAATCACAATCCTGTATCTCGGTGGTGGGTGGGAGTCAGGCTGAAGAATCCATTGGTGCCAACAGTGTGCACCGCGCCCAGCACAGTATCTGGCTGACGGGTGATCACAAAAATCCAGGTGCTCAGTGTTGGAATGGCGTACAGCTCTCGAGCAGTATACATGATTGACAAGCCTGGCGAGGCAGTTTCAACGGCTTACGTTTACAGACAGGCGCTACTGGTGCAAAGTAACGAGTGAAGGTGAAACAAAAATGGTCAGCCTGTCGACGTCATCTGTCATACCAAGTGAAGTTGGCTAATAGGCAAACCTGGCCCGGTGCTGGGCTAGCAGACCTGGTCACGAACGGTGACGATGAAGAACTATACCAGTACCAGTGGATGACTGATGAGTGAGCAATTAAGATACAGTCCATAACGTGAAGAACCACGGCAACGATGGTTAATAACGACTGCATGCAAAGTGCAGCAGCACTTTCAGCCTGGTGGGTCAAGGAGCAGCGGAAAGTCGCCGCGATCCCGGGCAGCGGGACTGCTAAGGGTGGTCTAACACTGACACCGACACTCACTGTTAGTACAGTATAATGATACTTTACCACATACCTTGACCACAAAGGAGGCCAGGCTGTTGGGCACCACAAAGTTAATACAACCTCGGGTCGTACCTGCGTAAAAGATTACATCTGGCATGAAGATCCTACATGATGCAGTCAATCATGCAATAACACGAGCATCACGTGGCTCGAATTTCGTTCCAGGCATCGATCGACCTGCGTCTGCCAATCAGCAACTCGGCGATCACTTTGGTGTGCTGCGACAGAGAATTGCAGTAATACACTGATAACGCACATGCAACTGCGTCGCTGTGCCTTTGCTGCATACTGAGCGGTCTTGGAACGGGTCTGGCCTTCTTGTGCAGAATGCAATGCGTCGCTGGGGAGCGAAGCAGAAGCCTGTTTCCCTGCCACACAGCGATCAGAAGCATGGCGTGTGCGTGTTTCGTGTAAATCAGGCTTCGAAAGGCCGAATGACGCCGCATGCCGAGCAGTCAGACATGGAAGCGTGCAACTCACCGGCGGCGAATTGGGAGAGTACATGGGCCATGCATGCGAACAAGTGTCCTGTTTCTCTTATCGTATATTTCTATCACAGCTCTAGGTGTGGTTATACGAGCGGGAATGGAAATGGGAATGGGAATAGGGATAAGGATAGGGATCGAAATAGGAACAGGAATAGGAACAGGAATGGAAATGGAAATAGAAATGGGCATGGGACATGAGACTGGAATGAGCATTGGGTGAGGTGCAGAGTGATTTTGGGGGGAGGGAGGATGGATAGTGGTGGTGTCAGTGGTGGTGTCAGTGTCAGCTCTCTCACTCAGGGCTGTCTCAAGCTCACCATGCTCAGACCACCCCCACGACGTCATCCCAATCTCCCCACGTTGCAGGCTCTAGGGGGCTTTGTCGCTATTTCTGGGAGACGGCGTCGCACTCCTTCGAAAAAACAACATTTAATATATCCGCCATTGACGTCCTTCACTACCAGCCCCAGACAAGTCAAACTCCGACATCCATCGATCCCTTCGCTTTCTTCACTTCCGTATCCCTTCGCAAGCGTCGTCGTCGTCCATGGTCCAAACCCTGGAACATTATTCATTTCGACCATCCACTGTCATATACCTACCTGTCGGGAAAATTACAGCCTTTATTTTCCTGCCCGCGCCATTCCGACCAACCATTAACTACTTCTTCGAGCTTTACCTCCCTTCTTTGCTTACTCAGGTATGTACTACCTTTCCCCAATATATCTAGCTCGTAGGGCCCAGCAACTGTTCTCCTTCTTCTCCATCAGTCCACCAAACTCCACTGCTGTTCTACACTCTCACCATCTCATGGTCTCGTTATTAACAGCATCTATCAAGATACCGAAACTATTGCCTCATAATGGCTTCCGATTCCACCACATACAATATGTATAACGTAAGTATCACAGCTATTGTCGTAGTCCTGAGTAGTTGACTAAGTATTTCCCAGAACGACGACTGTCTACAAAAATACCTTTCACTCCAGAATCAAAAGGAGCAACTACTACAAAAATCTTCAATAGCTTTCACGTGCCCCTTTGCCGCGTCACCACCGGAATGGAGCTCTACCCAGTCAACGCCTATGGGATTTCGTTCGGGCTATGACTTCCCGCCGTCATACCACGAATCGCACCCAACATCTACTCCGACTTCGTATCCTGCTCCTACTCACACCTCTCGCGCTCGGAGTGTCAGCGACCCAGACGTGGATAATGAGAATAGTCGAGCGCTTTACCATATCAACCAGCAGATCAAGGCTGCCCTTACAGAGCTCCTCAACACCGACTCTGTCCGTACCAACGACAACTACCGTATGTTTGTGCAAGGCAAGCTTATGGACGCCGAGATGGAGATGAAAGGTCAACGACGTCGTCGCAGCAGTGAAGCTTCGTCTGGTAGCGTTGCACTTGCGTCAAGCATCAAGTCTGGGCTTGAGCTGACGTTATAGTGTTTCTGTGTCTTGTATCATCACCCATTTGGACTTCTGCTGTACAATATTTACGACTTTCATTGTTGGTTGGCGTGGACGGTATCTACTGGTGGCACATATGGCATATCTGCGATGAATCAATGGAACCACGCTCGATGCGTGCTTGTAAACCTTCCTCTTCAAGTCAAAAACTTGACCGGCCGGTGTAGGCGTATATCGGATTTCTCTTCACCGCGCCCGGTCTGTATGGACGACTAAAGGCGTTGAAGTCGTACAGCCTGCGACCAATAGCGTCACGGCATTTACGGAGCGTTTTCCTTGTTCTGTTCACCAATCAGGCGACGTCGTGTGGGCATTCTATAGCTCTTTCCTAGTTAGCGAATATACCCTCTCAATTTCCATTATGATTACCCATCATGTTCTTCCCCACACAAACGTACCCGCATCCACGATATGTAATTATCTATCACAGAGACCACGCAATACCAAGAAACGCATCCGATGAATGCATCAAGACGCAGCCCCACTAGTACCCATTCATCCACTCAACCATCCAGCCCTTCAACCCCAGACAACCGCGATTCATGAATCTTGATACTTACCCCTCATTACCTATCAATCATCCCTTCAATCTTTCTCTCTTCCCCTCGGACTGTACAGCGTTTTCCAATCACAATGCGCATTCCCCAACACCTCTTGCTTCATGTCGTGCCAGCCCTCCCTTCCCCACCAACGAATGCGCCTCGTCATGATGGAGTTTGTCGGAACTTTCTGCACTGGTATTACAGGGTTTCCCCACGTCGTTAGTCGTTGTCGGGATCGCGCTAGGATTTCCCTCGGAGGGAGTTTGGGAGGTATAATACTACATTTATTCGTACATTGTTGTACTACTGCTACAACGACGAGTCAACTGGTTGCAAGTGCTGCCTGTGCCGCACGCGCGATTCCGCGGAGATTGTGTGTGCGTTTGTATGTGTATGCGTATAAGGTTCACGCGCTCCGAAACAGGCGTATGTCCCTCCGAGACAGCGCTCGGGAGCGACGTTTCGTTCACATACAACGTCCATAGTCTAAGCTGGCGGGCGGGTGAGGGGGAGTGGGGAATTGCCCCATGGATGGATGCATGGATGGTCGTAGTGTTCGCATAATGGATAATGGATACGGTACTACAATACTGTAGCTAAAACAGCCTTACCAGCTATACCAGCTATACCAACAATGCCGACCAACCATCAATCTGCTCATTAACCCCCGGCCCCACGCAGATGCTATGAAAGTGATGCGATTGGACAAAGTTGAGAGGGTAGCTTTTGGTGTGAGATGTAATTAGGCATCCTGCCTGGTATCCCTGGCCGGGAGGGGGATGGACCAGAGTGTGCCCCCTTCTCTCTCCTCCGGGTTTGCTCAACTCAACGAGGCATTTCTCAGCACGTACTGTATCGAGTTTACGGAGGAGTCAGTGTGAATGTAGGTAGTAGGCTGAGCATCTAGGCTGAGCATCTGGGCTGAGCGTGTGAGTGAGTATGGACCCGCCGCATATCAGTGTTTCGTTTTGGAAGTGAGATGTGAAACGAGGCTGTGTCATTATTCCATCATACAACACCGGAATACAACATAACAGAGCACACTGACATGTCATGTTTTCTGGACCCTCCCCATTATTTGTGGAGAGACCTTTGGAGAAAGAAGTAGAGGATGGTGATCTGAGCGAGCTCCATCTTTTGGCTTTGGGTGGATGCGTACATGCATGCGTGGAAGCATGAAATGCAGGGACAGTGGGGTTCTCGCGTTTTCGCTGATTTAAGATGCGTGGAGCGAATGAGAAAGGTAAATTCCCAGCTTTGGAGTGAATGCTGATATATGCGTACGATGTGCTGATATGTACTTCAACACCGTTGGCTTGGTCGTGTCGTCCATAGTCATAGAGTCATGGACTGTACCAAACACAGCATCCATATAATTGAATATCCGCGATAAGAAACCCCAAGCCCAAGCCCAACACCAACCAACAACAACAACAACAACAAAAATCCCCCATCCTTATCTACAAAATCCCCACTCCCAATTCCCATCCCCAATCCCCCATTCTCAACCGTCCAAAACTCACATCCAGAATACCTGCTTAGCGTAGCGGTCCCCCGCACACCCGTACCATACTCACCACGGCCGCTCCCGGAGCTTGCCGCGATCCATCGTCCGTCCGGCACATTCTTTGCTGCTAGTACGTACGTGCGTACGTTATCGAGTGCTGGGGGAAGGCATCGATTGCGGTATTGAAATGGGTTGAATTATAATTTAATCGAGTTGAATCAAAATTGAATCGGATCGAATTGGATAATATATTCCCTTACTAAGCTAGTCTGCCCAATTGTTATCAAGACGACAATCGTATGTATGGACTTGTACGTGAACACGAATCATCACACCAATGGAAATCAACATATCTCCCAAATCAATGATTATGATGACAACGATGGGCGAGTCTCGATTCGTAGGGAACATCTCCCATCCTCAATCATACAGGTTTGACAAATTCCCCGACTTAGTTGTTTGATGGATGTACCGTATCACAAAACGACCTCTTCAGTATTACCTAGTGCCGGAAACTTGACCGGGGCGGCGGTTAGTCTTTTGGTAAGCGTGGGGGAGACTCATTTTGAGCATCGTCGGGAAATTTTACTGATCCTTTGTTTCTTTCACTTGCGCTATGTAATGTTCGTCTTTAGCTTTCTAGAGTATATATCTACGTAGTGGGCCATCGAATAGATATGCACAAAGATGTCTGCGTGTGTGTCGCCTGTACATACCTACTCCTACATCTCCTTATTTATCCACTCTGTACAATGTCCTTTCCTTGTCCGCGTCTCCCGATATACTGTGCTATCCTCTGATGCATTCGTGCCCAAAAATATTCGAATTTAAAAGTGACTCCAAAATTTGATGAAAATCCGTCCATAACGCCGATGTTGATGCCCAGTCAAAAGTGTGTTGATCAAAACTCCGCCCTGCCTTCACTACCACGTATCCCTCAACTCATCTTCGATGCTCCGCCTCCACACCAACAACGGTCCCCGTCTCTCTCGACGTGTACGACGACGTTCAGGTGTCGCTCTTTTAAGAATTCTCCCGTGCGTTGTCGAACGTCTTCGAGATCTGCGTTGCGCGCGGCGATAATGTGGATGATGCCTTGAACCTTCGCTGGACCGTGGCCATGATCGTGCGAGTGCTCATGTCCGTGTCCATGCCCTTCGTGGGAATGGGCATGATGATCATGGGAATGAGAGAGTGTATTTTCGTGAGCGTGGCTGTGGTTGTGCGAGTGCGAATGCGCGTGAGGCTGCGGATGAGTGGGAGAAGGTTCGTGGCTGTGGCTGTGGCTGTGGCTGTGGCTGTGGCTGTGCGAGTGGGAATGATGGTGATGCTCATGATCGCCATGGCTATGTTCATGCGAGTGCCCGTTGCATTCATGCGAGTGCTCGTCATGCTTATGGCCGTGATGATGATCGTGAGAGTGACTATGTGCTGGCCCCGAATCTTCAAGCCAGAAACGAGGTACACTGTATCCGATGACGCCTCTCAGTGTGTTTATCTCTTGTAGCGCGTTGCGTATGCCGTATTCCACGTCGGCAGGGAGTGACAGTAACAGACGCATCCCAGAGCTCTTCACCAGAGGAACAGCCGAGCCGAAAATCAGAATTGCAATGATGCAGGAGGCGATAGGATCCCACCCTGACCAGCCGTAGTACTTTGCTAGCAAGGTCGAGATGATGACTGCAACGGACCCCAGAGCATCGGCCATAATGTGCAAGAAGATACCTTGCATATTTTCGTTATCATGAGAGTGATCATGCCCGTGGTCGTGACCGTGATGCGCGTGTCCAAATGCTGTCAAACCAACAATGTTTACCAGAAATCCCAGTACACTGACGATCAACAGCTCGTTCAGTCTTTGCAGCTCATGGCCCTCCATAAGCCTTTCGGATGCGTCGAACACAATCTCAATACTCACAAGCCTGAGAATGATGTCAGCTGGTGGAGTATGATGAATTTCTCATCCAGTGCTTACATGAGGAAAATACCATTGGCAAAGCCCGACAGAGTGTCGACTTTGCCATAGCCGTAGGGAAACTTGCTGTCAGGTGGCCACTTGCTCATGACTGCCGCAGCCAGACCGACTGCTAGCCCCAAACAATCGAAGAGCATATGTATGCTGTCGGTCAAAAGACCCAGTGAGCCGCTCACGAAGCCATAGAAGAATTGAACAAGCATGAACCCCAAATTTAGACTATATGGGCGTTAGTATTAGTGGTACTACCAACTTTTGTGTTTGCACTCACAGCGCAAAGTAGGCAATTCGCCGAGAATCCTTCTCAGAAAGAATGCTGTACATGATGGATCCAGGGGGGAATTGCTTTAGTAAGAGTCCAGTAAGTCTTGAGTACGAACCGTGATGGTCATGGTTATGGTGTTTATGGTTGTGATTGTGTGCGACCTTTGCGCCTCTATGACCCGTCTCGTAACGCACAGTGGCGTACGAGACGCAAGAGACAAGGCCCATCACCGCGAAGCCTCTCCAGGCATCGAAACTGGAGAAGTAGCTGGGAAGTATCGTGGTGACATAGCCCATGGCTAGGCCAAGCTTTTGCTGGGTTTTCAAGGAAACAGGCGTAGCGAAAGCGACTAGACCTAGCGCTGAGCCTATGGAAAGCGAGGAGAATATCATCGAGGAGATTGAAACTGATGGTGAAGTCGAAGTAATTACCGTTGTCAAGATCGTGAATATCGTGGTGAGAATCCCGGATACAAGTGTAAGCTTCGTGTCCTCCGCCGAAGATATCGAGGCATGTGCTGCCAAAGGTGCGGTAGGTGCGGAATTGCTCATTTCAGATGTCTGAGCGCCTAGAAAAGGAGACACTGACCCCGATAAGGGCAAAGGTACGAAGAATATCGAAAGAGAGAGAGCCAGATGACCGCGAATCACTGACCAATTGCTGTGGCCTCCATACATCCCAGAAAAGTCCATTGCCACACTCAGGAAAAGGACGAGACAAGTCAGCTTGCGTTGCAACGCCATGTTTTTCCAAGCGGCGAAGAAGCTTCGTCCTTGACCTCTGAATATAGGGGTCGCTGCATTCAATCCTGACGCAATGGTCGTGAGAAGAATCAGTCCTGTGCGAGAGCCACCCAAGTGCATGCTCGCATAGAATGGTAGTCCAACTGATAGCGCTCTTTCTATGATTCTTGCCACAGTATTGGAGCGTGAGGAAGACCCTGCCTGAGTTCTGGCTCCTTCGCCACCTAAGATTGCTTTTGAGAGGCTTGATCGCTGTTTTGGCGTGTATATGCTTCCCAGTAGTCCTATCAAAAGGAGAGTGCCTGAGGTAAGGCAACACGCCTGTATAAATGCTGATCCTTCAGATATCCGTGAGAGGGCTTCTTCGGAGACCTTCCCCCTAGAGACGGCATCCTTCAACTGGTCGAATGGTGAAGGTTGTGCGGTTGTCGTATGCGTGGCGGACAGAGGATATGCAAAGGTAGCGAGGAGGTAGGGAAGAGGTATGAGGATTGCTGTCATGGCTTCTCTCAGACTTAGCGATGCACTGAACCCAAATCATTAGCTGAAGGTCTTCTCCATGCACTGTAGACATACTCTGTGCTTGTCATATCTTCTTGAATTGGAGCGCTCTCATAAGCTTTCGTCGCGTTGGTCGCATGGCCGTTGGCGCGCCCCAGGTCTGAATCTCCTCTTGTGCGACCCCTTATGAAGTCTGGGATGCTTGACCCGTCCGTAAGTGTGTAACGCGCTTTGTGGCCAGTATGAACGTGTTCACTATTTTGAGCAATACGTCCATGCGTTCCGGAGTGGCTAGATTTGTGGTTGTTGGGGGCAATGTCACTGTCCAGGTGTTTTCTTCCCACGGCCACGTTCACTGGAGGTAACCAGTCGCCACGGAGTGAACGACTGTTTGAACGCAGGTGGCTATCATACGAGCTTTTGGCGTGTCCATTGCCTCCAAGAGGGAGTGTATACGTTTGGGCCATGCAGTCGTATCGTCTTGCTGGAGCGTTTGTTTCGCGCAGCGTCCGACGTGACGTGCAGGAGGATGGAGGATTGCGGAAGTGGAGAGATAAGAGGAGCTAATTCCAGGTGGAGTCGTAGTATAATGAAGGACGACGGCGATGCATTGAACGGATATATTTACAGCTGCAACACATGAAGAGGCGAATATAGCATCTTTCCGAGACAATGATATGGTAGTGCCGCAGTGGGAGAGTGAGTGTGAGGGCGCGAGCCTCAGGGGTCTCCAGAGGGTCTAAACACGTTCACGTTTAAAACAGTTCTAACGCAGGTCGTCATCCGGCCCGCGCTATCGCCAGAAAAGCAGGTGGGCGGGGCGGCGAGCAGCAGCTAAAGTGAAAGTGGTAGCTGCCTTTGGGGAGCAGAAGAGGGCGGCTCCGGGGGGCCTGGGCAGCCAAAGTCCCAGGGGGGTGGGCAGCTAAAATTACTGGATGTTCTGGGCCTCGTGGGCGGGAGAACGTGGGCACTTCTAGGCCGGGAATCCTGACTGTCTTCACCCTATCACTACTGTGTGTGGCGCGCCAGTCTTGGCGGCCTCTCTGCTAACTGGATAAACCTTAAACCTTCTTTGACATCACGTCAACTGCTTTCACCTTTCATCGCGCAGACTAAAGCATGACGAGCATTCTGCTGCACCAAAACTTCAACTTCGTCATAGCATTAGTTCTTGGAGTTTCAACGGCCTTTACCATCCTCTTGCTGCTACTGCCATCCAGCTACAGCCCATCCCAGGAAGATTTTATAGATGACCATGCACCACCTGACGCTGCCGCCGACGGCCAACAACACCGAAGGCGGCAGGTCAAAGCAAAGACGTCGGTGCAAGTCGTAGTGCTTGGAGACATAGGCAGGAGTCCACGTATGCAATATCATGCTATCAGCATAGCCAAACATGGAGGTCGTGTAGATCTCGTCGGCTACACTGATTCAGACTTTCATCCTGAAATCCAAGGCAATTCACGCATCAACATCATTCCAATTGCGCCGCCTCCAGGCTTTCTCAGAACGAGCAACCGAGTGCTGTTCCTCATTATTGGACCTCTGAAAGTTCTGTGGCAGGTATGGAGCTTGTATTATGCCTTGGCTTATCGATCCAGGCCAAGCCAATGGATGCTCGTACAGGTGATCATGATTGATATTGAGGCATGGTATAATATACTTCTAACACGGCTCAGAACCCACCGTCTATACCAACATTAGCAATAGCATCAATGATATGCTTTCTACGGAACACCAAGTTGGTCATTGACTGGCATAACTTTGGCTATTCCATCCTGGCTTTGAGACTAAGCTCTTCACATCCGCTCGTCCGAATATCTGAAATCTACGAATCTGCATTTTCTCGTCTAGCAACATCTCATCTCGCAGTCACTAATTCCATGTGTCGAACGCTTGCAGTTGAGCACAATGTCTCTGCCTCTCCCCTACACGACCGACCGGCTCCCATCTTTCAGCCTCTGACATCGACGGAACGCTCAGACTTCCTCTCTCGTTTGAGTGAGACGGCACAATATGCACAAGACATCCAGAAAGGTACCTGGAAGCTCGTCGTCAGCTCCACTTCCTGGACCCCTGACGAAGACTTCTCCATTCTTCTGGATGCCCTCGTGAGCTACTCAGCAGCAGCAACTCGTGACTTCCGATTACCCAGAGTACTAGCCATCATCACAGGCAAAGGACCCCAGAAAGAGTATTACCTCTCAAAAATCAACGCACTTTGTCAAGCCAAACAACTCCAGAACGTCGTCGTACAAACGGCCTGGCTCAGTACCGCAGACTATGCGCTGCTCCTCGGAGCAGCTGATCTTGGCGTGTCACTGCACACTTCATCATCGGGCGTGGATTTGCCCATGAAAGTCGTGGACATGTTTGGCACAGGACTGCCAGTACTAGGCTGGAGTGACTTTGAAGCTTGGTCGGAGCTTGTCAAGGAAGACTTCAACGGCAGAGGCTTCACGAGCGCGAAGCAGCTATCAGAGCAATTAGCGGAATTATTCGGAGACGACGGTAGTCTCCTAAAACGGCTGAGAGACGGTGCAGAGAAGGAATGCACGCATCGCTGGGACGACGAATGGGATATCGTGGCTGGAAAAATGTTCGGGCTTGTGAACTAGTACCCGAAATAAAAGTACATATTGTCCATCATCCGTCGCCGTGGAACATGCTGGCTTTGTTTGCCTTTGATGTATCCCTAAGTATGACTATGCTACACAATTCGCTCAACGATGACGCCGTAATGCATGCCAAACTCATCCAATCTATGAACTAACGCACATATGCTTCCATCAAGCCAAGTAGTGCTCAGCAAATACGTGCTGTCCACCAGATCCAAGCCTCAGATCCGCCCCCGTACTCGGACTCTTACAGTTAAATCCTGGCAACCGTTTCGAAAAATCTTCTTTTCTGTTCGCCCAGGACGCCGGCACAAGCGCAATCTCGCCCTGTTCCGAACGAACGAACAGAGTCGGCTCCTTTTTGCCGTCGTTAGCCTGGACGGTGATTGCTTCTACTTCTTCTTCATCTGGCCTTTGTCTCAAAGCACAGTTCCTCCGCTCTCTGAGCTGAAGAATGTCTGCCTCGATCGTACCCAAGGCGACAAAGCGGTATATCTGGACCTCTTTCTTCTGCCCGTACCGCCTGGCGCGACCGATTGCCTGCTCCATTGCTTGGTTGTAGTGCTCTTGAGTTCGAGAGAGCAGTGGGGCGATGAAGATGATGTGATTCGCATTCGTCAGGTTGCTGGCTTCGTATCAGTATATATACACACGTGTATGTCGTGGTCGAACTGCTGAGTTCGTAGCACTTACCTGCCAGCCGCAGTTTCATCGCCGACGTTGAGCACAAGCACCTTGCGCTTCGTGCTAGGGTCTCTGTCTGCCTTGAACTCCTCGAGATCCTCGACGGCGCGCTCCTCGGAGCTGACGATGGCGAAGCAGGATACATTATGTTCTCGGAGCACCTTTCGGATGTTCTTCACCGATTCCGAGCCCGGTGCAAAGATGAGTGCCTGGTCGTCCTTCGGTATGCCCTTGATGACTTTGATGAGTCCTGTCATCTTCGTCTCCGCACGACTGAAGTCGAGGTCGCGAGTCGCGAATGTTGAAAGCGCCTCGCATCCATCGACACATTCTGATCGTGCCGCGGCATGTTCGTAGCAAGTCTCGCACACTGCGTGACCACACAGAGGAAGCACCACAGTTGCAGACTTGGTGCAAGTCGCACATCTCGGAGGTCCGCGAGCCTCGAATCTCCTCACCTGCTTTGCGTAATTCAGGGCATTCTCCATGACTTGTAATTTGTACGTCGTGGTCCGGACTTTGTCGAAGAGATTTTTCAGTCCCTCTGTGCCGAAACTCTGTTTGGGACCTGCGACGACTGCGTCAAATCGCGCCTTCAGGTCATGGTTCTTATCTGCCTCTCGTAGCCAGCCGCTATAGTATCGGTCGTCACGAAGGGATACAGGAAGGCCCTTGACCTGAGACAGGAGCTTGTCGAGATTCTCGGACATTTGATTCTTCTCTGCTGCCCTTGTCGAGATGATTTCTTCTATATCTCGCAGCGGTGTCGATTCGTTTGAAGCTCTGACCAATGCCTCTTCAAATGTGTCAGATTCCTGCCAGAACATTCGGATTGAGGAAGCGCGATCTGAGGGATCGGATGCCGGGCTAGTTCTCTTGATATTGGGAATAGAAAGGTGCGCGGCTGCCTCGTCATAGAGAATGCGCTGACCTGATAATGGTATCGTCGTAACAAGTCGTTCGGACCATGATATAGACCGTAGATCAGCAGCGTTTCGACGCACACATTGATCGAGAAACTGCTGCGCTCCTGCGTCCCGATGCTGGTGCCAATCAACAGACTTGGCCTTCCGATATGTCTCAAACTGCTCGAGGACCGTCTGTGATTTTCTTGATGCTTCTAGATTCCTCTTCGTGACGACTCCTGGGGTATAGTCATTGATACCTAGATCGACGCCTATCAGTGCGGCCATGCGCTTCACATCGATGAAGTCGTCCAACGCCGGAGTCCCGGAAAGAATCCATCTCTTTGGTGCGGTCAAGCTTTTGATGGAAGGGTATAGGACGGGATGGCTTTTGTCCTGGGAAGTGCCCTCTTCGAGATAGGAGAACTCGTCGACAATGATTCGATTGAATGAGAAAATATGCATGGGAGGGCCTTGCAGGTCCTTCCACGAATCCGAAGCATTGTATGCAAGCTTCTTTGATTTCTGTTTCGATGGTCCGCTCTTCCGGACTTTTGCATCTCTTTCTGCAACAAGGCGTTGCTTCTCTGCCTCCTTAACATATCGTTGCCCGGTGTAATATTTATCAGGAAGAACACCCGCAAATTCTGGTCGTGATAAATTCTCTTCTAATCTCTGCGGCTCCGACTCAGAGAACTTGGCAAGCCCCTCGGCCCGCAAATTATTGAGGCACTTCGGAATCCGCTCCGCACAGCATTGTATCCAGAGGGTGTACAGACGACCATACGAGTACTTGCTATCGGCCTCAACCGTAGGCATACCCACGAATGATCCCAAATTCTCGATGTATGACTTGTCTGCGAGCACTGACCAAGACAAAATGATAATTTTTGCCTTGCGGATATTTTCCACGTTAAGTTTCTGTAGGTCCCCAAATTTTCGGATGACGAGTACAGTGCCTTTATAAGCCTCTTTAGGGAGGAACTTATTAATTTCATTCTCCCATTGAGTAGTCAAACTTTGCTGACATATGACCAAGCTTGCGGGGACATTAATCAGATCCCCTGCTATCTTTTCATTCTCTTGCTCAAGGTCTCGCATAGACTTGTCGAGGAATTCGGCATGTATGAGCGAGAGAGAGAGAAGGGTTTTGCCATACGAGACAGTGTCAGCCAAGCAGCCTCCTCTGACACCAACTTTCCGTGTGGCCTTCACCTCCATGCGCCACTCAAGACGTGGAATAACATCTTCTTCAACCTCTTCGACAACAATGCAGCTCTGATGCAACTCTCTTTGTCGCATCCAATGTAATGACCTCTGCTGGTTCTTGAACAGTTTGTAGCCATTCGCAAGCTCTACGGAGTATGTCCTGTCGCCTGAATTGTCTTTGAGTATGAAACGTTCTCGTTTGTAAATGGTCCCTAGTTGGGGTTTTGTGAGGAGTCTGCACTGTGCGCTCTCTGATCCATTCTTCCCATTGAACCTGGCCATAGCTCGATGCAGTAGTGTAACGACATCGCAGGCAACCCCAATACGACCGGAGCCACCGCTTTGGCCTTGGCGAACCTCTGCCTGCAGACTATGGGCCAGAGGTCTTTGAGATACGGCTCGCTCATAAACCGCAGCTGGTTCAGCCAACTCAATCCATCTGACCGTGCTGTTGCCTTTCTTATCGACGGCCCATGTGACTGGAGGTCTTGTTGGCTCGCATTTACCGCAAACTTTGTCATTGACGTCCATACTTTGCCATTCGCTCAGCTTTACATGGCTTTGCCAGTGTTGTGCGAATGATATGAAGCGAGACAACAGCAGATCCTGCGCGGAGGCTGGGGATCTGCATTGTGAAAGCTCATTCTGAGTCGAGGTGTCAATACGAAACTCACAACACAGTATCGTCGTGAGCTGCCCACAAGTATCTACGTCACACGAGTCGAGCCACTGTCTGAGACTTGACGGGATGAGCGCGTTCGCTTTGGTTTGCTTAGGGTGTAAACTCAGAACATCGTTGGCAGACCAATTTCCATTGCTTTCACCTGTAATCGTTCTTGTACTGGGTCCCTGCGCAAAGTCCCACGGACGAAATTTTGGGTCTAAACGAGCAATTGTCACACGCGTTTCATCAACCATGAGCCTACGATGCTCGTAGCTGAAAACCATTGTATCTTCATCTGGATTACCGGTTTTGGACGGATCGAGAAACAGGTATAACGGATCTGTGCCAGTCCGCTGATACAGCATCTGAGACGCAGTCCCACACTCTGGCAGGTGTCTATATTCGCCATCGAGGGATTCGTCAAGTCCATGAGCATCTTTCGACGTTTTTATGGTCAAGCGAGTTGGGACCGTCTCATTCTCGAAATCTGGAAAGCCTAGCACGGCTCTCCATGACGGTGAGGTAGAGCTGGAGGCTGTGACTGTGAAACTGATCTTCTTTCTGCATGGAACAAACTGACTCCAACCGTCACCGAATACGCTAATGAAGCCCTCTGAGCGAGCAACAGGTTGCGATATGGTTGCTCGTAGCTCACTGTTGACAGGTAAATCGGAAGGACACTTTAGGTATAAGAGCCACTTTGGCTTGGACCCAAGAATGAGCTTCAAGTAGCCGTTCGATGACTCATACATAACGGTCCAGTGCCCATCAGACCGGCGAAACGGACCTAGCACGAAGTCTTGTTCGTAAAGACCTTGAAGGAGTGTCAGGTATCGATCTTTGTGCTCCTTTGTCGATAGAGTCATGTGCTTTAACATCGAAGTACAATTCCCAACGCCGTCGAAGTTTAGACATAAAGGAAGTCGAGGCTTCCACTCCGCCACGAATTCCATCGGACTGCTACGTGAAGACTTTACAAGATAAGTTCGTTCAATGTACACGTGCTGAGGATTCCCAAGGCAATCAGTGCAAGCAGTGTACCCACAGCTGCTACACTCGCGTACGTAGCTCTTAGTCTCCCCTTGCTTCTCGCATGAGCATCGTCGGGAGCTTGCAATAGCTTCCCCAAGAAGCTTCTGCGTCGTGAGCAAGTGTTCAGATTTTGGCCCGGATGACGCTTGAACTATTCTCTGTGTCGCAACTGTTCGTGGCTCTGGCTTCGTAATTCGTGCAGTATCTTTTGGAGGCCCAGGTGAACCTGACGAAAGTCGCATGTGAGGCAATGCCACAATAAGTGCTGATAATATTGCCGGCCCTACGACGGTTGTTGTCATTGCATTCCCAGCGAGATCAGCCAGCTCAGAATCTGTCTCAATGGTCAAAAGATCATCGATGGGGATTCCTTGCAAAGCTAATGCTTCTAAGCCAGAGATCATCGAGCCACGACAACTATTGTACGGGATGGTTCTGGGTGTAAGGCATGGTGCTATGCCAAAAGCTTGCGTATCTGCTCCACTAGCATGGTCGACATTTTGACTTGGGTTCCAGCAGCGCAGCTTGTACCATGAATCATAGCCACCCCTTTCGGGTCTTGCGTTTCTCAAATGCGATATGTCTAGGAGATCGAGTACACGCTTGGCTTGTCTTGTGTGCCAGGCGTGATTCGAAAAGTCTGGTACCCGAGGCTTTTGGAGCTGGTAACCTTCAGTGAATGGACGACGCTCACCAAGTCGATACCTAGCTCTCATATTCAGGTGTCTCTCTCGACATCTGGTCCAATCAGTTTCACGTGAAGGATCTCCTTTTTGTACGTGACGTGCCCGTGGATCGTCGTCCGGGAGCATGAAAGCCTCCATGCTAGAAGAAGCTGGCCGCCGGAATTGCAACATCAAATCCTCCCATTTGTGCAGTGGTTCTTTAGTGTCGACTTTAGACGCTTTCTTATCGAGGCACAAAATGTACACCTGCGAATTTTAGCTTACGAACCTACATGAAACTTTGAGTGTAGGATCTTACTCTTTGCCTCGTTGCTGGGATGTAGTAATTCTTGGTATCAACATTCAATTTCATTACCGCATAATCGATGTCTTCCCAATATTTTTGAATCTTTGGCCAATCGTCCTCAATACCCTTGACATTTTCCAAGACGACAATCCTTGGTCTTTTTTCTCGCGCATACGCTATGGTGCCCTTAAGAGTGTCGGTTGTCTCGCCTTTCTTACCAACTTCTTTACGATGCATGTTAAGAGGCGACCGGTCCTTACAGCTAAAGCCAGCGACTAACAGGTCGACGTTTCCAGGAGGTGTCTTTTTGCTTCCCCAGACAGTTGTCGCGCCTGCTTTGTCCATGTCGTTCTCAAATTCGCGAATGTCTCGGAAAAGGACATCTGGTGCAAAATTTCGATAAATGTATGCTTGCTTGAAAGGCACAAATTCCGCACTGAAGGCGTGCTCGATGTTCAGCATCTCCTCGGACATGGGCAGAGACCTGGATATCAGATTAAGGGCCAACATAGGCGCCTCTGTCCCTGAACACATGGTGGCTACGCGAAGTGGTCTGCCCCCAAGAAACTTCAGCACGTCACTCAGACCAAGAGTTAAAGCCTTGTCGGTGATGTCAATGAAGATGTCATCGATCTTTGACAATGGTGGTAAGGTTGGATCCAAGCCTTTGCTTGACTGACGACCAAGTGTTGGGAGTGGAAGCTGCTTAGCTTCTGAAATAGCCTTGAATGAGCCTTCGGACACACCATATTTGATGGACTTCTGTTTCGCTGGCAGCTTTCGTTGCTGGGACTTTGGGACGGGTTCATCATCATGCTGTATCTCTGATTCATCGGTATACTCTGGTTCAGTTTCTGATGCGGAGCTTATGTCGGTATCGGGTTGGCTGTCAGTATCTGCGGCAAAGTTCGACTGTTCATCAGAAGATACTTCGAATTTGAAATCATCCTCGCTGTCTGATGCGGACAAAAATTCGACCTCTTTATAGGACACGCGAGGTTTGTTGCGTCGACTCGTGTTCGCATGACGTGGAATTTCAATAACTGCCTCGACATCATACGTTGTATTAGGCTTCTTGAAGACTACCGGTTGTCAATGATCCCTTCTGGCTGAGGATAGATAGCCAAGTTAATGAATATTCCAATACTTACTCTCCACATGAGAAAATATCCTCCTGCGCTTCACACCAGACGGTCCAGGTTCTTGCCTCAGTTCACAGAGTCCTTCATTGGTATCTCGGCGCGGCCTCTTCGGTAAAGTTGTTTGACCCTGAACGCGTGATACAGGATCATTGTAGATGACAACGCCGACGAATTTTCTCGGTCGATTCGACGACAACATCTGCAGTGGTGAATATAAATTTGCAGATAATGAATAAAGTTGTATTAAAGCTTAGTTAATACTTGATTGCATGTGCAGCTTTATAGCTATTATCCACGCCTAATAATGTCTGGCACTGGTTCACGTCGAGCATCCAGCAACTGACGCGAGACGCGACGCGCCGACACAAAGGTCCGTGGAAACTCACTAGTTTAGCACGGACCACGCCCCTTATTACCACAAAAATTACCACCAATTCGACAATATACTTATCCTAGAAGTAATTATGCCTGCTGTTGATTGACCTGTATAGTCAATTGCTAATTTAGTGAGTCGTATCAGAAATATGTTCTTGGGACTTAGACGTCTAAGAATATCTAGAACAATGACATTGTAATAGTGATTCCGAGAAACATGTATGGCATTGCGCATTTTCGACTGAAATCTGGAAGCTTAGTGTACATTGCATGCCCAATGTTCATTCCACTTGATCTGGAGGCTGATCATCCTGCCAAACTTCTTCGCCGTTCGGGAAGTTTGAGAGCTCACGAATTTCCGTGTCAACACTCAGCCAGTGCTTGATGATGCATCGATCATTATTCTGGCACACATTCTTCCTTGCTAGATTTTTGAAACGAGGTCCTGTTGGACCAGTCACATAGTGGTAGTTTCCGAGTAGCATGTATTGCCTCGGGTCACTGAGTGGGTAGATCTTGTCGCCCCAGCGGCCACTGAAGTAAAACCATTCAAGTGGTGCCTCTGGTGTTCTAGTCGAAGCACGAAGAACATCCCTCCAATAGTCATAGGTGTACGCGTAAACATTGAGAAGTGGATCCCAAAGCGGACCACGGTCGGTGACATCTTTCAAGACTCCATTCGGAAGAACGTATGGATGCTCGCCTGCAGTGCCATACATTGCGTGTGAGCCTGTGGCGGAATACCCCACGGGCTTGAGTTAACGCAATCAGTATGAATGGTCGATAGATCCCAGCAAGAATTGCACTTACTCGTTTATTCGATTTTTCTACTGCATCAAACGAGTAGGCTTGCCCGAAGTTGTGCTCACTAAAGAAGATCTCCGTTGGCTCGCCGTGCTGGAAGCGCACTAGAGTATGCTCCCAGTCTCCTACATGGTTACCGAAGCGAATATTAAACACAGTATTACCTAGATTGAAGCTGTAAAAGAAGAACCAGAAAGCATCGACCACCCCGTTCGGTTTCGGTACGACCACCAAGACTGCCGGAGCATCGCTCCGACCGCCATTTGTTCGCTTGCCGAACAACTTAAGAGGTAATCCTGATACGGTCTCCTTCGTGTTCGCAAATGATTCTTCTGTACTCTCATATTTCTCTTTAGTGATACGCCCAATACTGTGACTCGGTTCTGTAGGTATGTTCTTCTGACCACCTAGCCAATCTGGGTAATCTTCCACATTGTCATCACTCTGAAGATACACGAATCGTCCCCATTGGTTCAGATCATTCAGATTGGTCAGATTTGGGTGATCTGACTGTGCTTGAATTGGCGTGTAGTTGAGGTGGGGAGTTGTATGTATCAGATGATCTCCAATGTCTCCAGGCCAGTATTTCTCACCCGAGTAAAGGTGTACTAGCGGTGCGTATTCAAAGACGTAATCAGGAATCTCTCGGGTCATCATTCCGGTCTCGGACCACATGTCAGAAACAGAGTGCCCGCTCATCGAGTCCTTGCCCTGATGTGTCGTGTCCTGACTCTGCGCAGCGTGCCTATATCGGGTCCTGTCCCAAGAATTTACGAGCCTTAGACCGCATATATTGAGCCACGCAGAAGCTTTGACCCCGACCCAAGACAGCAGACTTGGTTTTGATATTGTCTTACTATAGCCCTTAGGGCTGGATGCTGTCCGGGTATCGCTGCTCTCACATGTATTTGGATACGTCAAGTATTTCAGAATGGTTGAGAAAAGACTCGCAGAAACGTGTGTGCTATCCAATGTAGGGCTTTGTTCAGGTCCGGCCGTTATATTCACAACAATTGAGTCAGGAGTAGACCTGCTATTGGCCGGCGCAGGCTTAATAAAGCGTTGTTCCGTAGCACTATTGCGGATAGTAGATTCTGATTCTTGTGTATTTGTCTTGGACGTGATTGATGGGTTTAAAGGATATCCTAAGGAAGGCTGGAAGTCAAAGGGCACCTGGCCACCATGGTTGACAACAGCTGGCACTATCAACAAATGGTCAGCGATTATCGTGCCTAAGCGCTGAGTGTATCTTCTATACACATCTTGCGAAATTAGGGTGTATAACAGCTTCGAGCATTGAAGTTATATGGCTATGCAAAGCGAGGTTGAAGACATGGGAGTCTACTCACTAGTGACCGCCTGTCAGCTGGCTAGAAGATGCTACAGCTCGACAAAATCGGAGCGCCAGATATCAACTTATAGTAAGAACTTTGCTGGATCTTGACGGCATCGCAGTCGGTTCCAGAAGGGTTGTAGAGAGCCTGGAGTGAGCTCATGATGTTGTTCCCTGCAACAGCTTACGATAGTCCCTTGGTCATCCTTCAGCCCTACAATGCAATCGTCACCGTAGATTTAGTGGGGTCTGAGGGCCAGCTCAAAGCACGGAAGATCCATGGATGCGCGCGCTTATCCCCGGGACTCCCCGCTATCCGTGCTTTCAAGAGCTATAGCTTTGGTTAGCTTTTCTCTTCCTTGAGCTCTGCGAGTGAGCACGACGCTTCTGCTATAAACACTATGCGCCCTCGTAGCATGGTGGAATTATTCCTCTACCCAGACCACTTCTCCGGCCCGTCCAGTGTGTAATGGCAGATGAAGCTTCGACAGCATCTTCCTTGAGTGCGGTACCTATCGCTCCTCCACAGGAACATGAGAAACACCACGAAAACAATGAAGAGGACGAATGGGAATATGAATATCATGAAGATGAATTCGATGTCAGCTACTTCCTCAACACTCTGTCTTTGCATTACTGATCATGCCAGGATTTCTACGTAACTCTCGATTTGACGGGCGTGGCCACTGCTTCCAAGCCGAAGGGCAAAGAGCGTGGCGCGCCAAGGTCGGATAAAGAAAGTGATGCTATCGATGGAGATGACACCGAGGAAAAGACCCAGCTTCAAATCATGGAGCTCCATGGCCAAAACCCGATCATCTCCTACGGTGGCAAGGTATTCAGTTGTCGGTGGGCATCAGCTCTTGGGACGGACCTATACTTTTCGAATGTTGTCGATACATTCGAGATGAACGAAGACCCCCTCAAGGCTGGCAAGAAATTCGACCTTCTCGGCGCCGGCTCCGCTCGTCTTGTAGCAACTAGTGTTGAATTGAAAAAAAGAAGTGCTGGTGGTGAGGACGAAGTAGAAGGTATATTAACCAATGGTCTATCGGGAAGGCCTGGATGGGATGCCTCAGGTGGGAAACAAAGCCAGATACGGTTCATCAACCGCCTAGAAGCAGTCAAAAGAAAGAAAAATGAGACAGACAGGATCCCTTTGAGTGCTTTTCGACCGAATCGGGTTTTTTCACAGCGTTACAGAACGCAATACACCCCATCTGACGATGAAGATGACGCGATCGACTCACGTTCTCAGCATAACTCCCCCACCGAAGGTACAGCATTGCAGGACCACGTTGTCAAGTCAAAACCAAACATGAGACGCCGGAATAGGCCAGAACGGTCTCTACATGGAGACATAACGAAGATGCGAGATGAATTCGAAGAGGAGATGCGTAAGCATACGCCTATACCCCGAGATGCGTATACGCGACCAGGCGAATCTATGCCCCCGTCAGTTACAGGGCCTAGCAATGCCCCTAAAGACCCAGCGGATGACACGATTGTTACAGGCACTGAGGACGCCCTTTATTCCCATGAGCCTGCTCCAGAAACAGATGCGTCATCAGATGCAAGTCTCTCTAGCGATACGAGCACCACGGAGGACGATTCTGAGTCCGATTCGGATGACGAAGACGACTTGTACGAGGACGATACAGAGATGATTGACGCTGAGTAAATCAGGAACCAGTGCGACACATAGTTCATACTAGAGCCAATAGAGAATACTCCCCGCACAGTACCTCATATGTGTGTTTAGTAGTAACTAGAGCTGATATTGTATTAATACATATATGGAAACCACAACTCCGAGCGCCGCAGTCTTCCCACACGTTCTTGCTGTGAGAGTGATTCGGGGATACAACCATGCACAATACACGTTGCCCAACCTCTCAAGATTGTCCAATTCGTTTCTGGCTACCTACCTATCGGTTCGTTCGCACGACTCTGCCTATCTACCTACCTACCTACCTCATTTAGCTTATACACAAAACAGCCTATGCGTTCCTGCCTGGCACAGAGCAGATACTGAGTTCGGCAGCCCAAAGCAGACTGACGTCGCAACACGAGAGCTGACATACAGTTCTGGGTATGTCTCTACCAATGTATAGCGGTCTCATTACCCATAGACTCACAGTCTCCGCGTTCAATTAGTACACCTTACTACCTGACCACGCCACTCCGATTGAGGAGTTCTTAATTGTCAAAACCTCCTAATTCATGAACATATTTCTATATATGAGCCCGTGCGACAAAATTCGCTGCACACATCCATACAGCATCTTGCCTACATGAAATACATACCAAAAAACAACCAGCACGAATTCGCTGGGTGTGAAGAGTTGGTCCAAGAAGCTCGTGTAATAGAATTTGGTGAACAGATGACTGAGGATGCCTCACAATGGCTTCATATGGAGCAGCACGCGACTTACGAACAGACTTTTCCACGGAATCTCTCGGGAGAAGTTTCCGCCTTGGGGTCTGACCCTCACATTCCTAATTCTCCAGAGGCTACCCGGAACGATACTATTCAACTGAGCTCAGCTGAAATGCTAGCAACTAGTCATAATTCAGTCAAGCCAGTTGGGACTCGCAGTAGCCAAGGTCGCAGCCCCTGTCCAGAGTACCAACCAGAGTTTGTGGGTTGTCTTCGCCAACATAATAGAAGAAAACGTTACCCGACACAAGTTTATCATACTAGGGGTCCGTTACTTGCATCACATGCACATAAGTCTTCCAGCTCATCCTTGGGAGACTCTGCAGCTCCAAGGAAAACAACGGATTCCCCCAGTCTTGAAACGCAACCGCAACGGAATCCCATCGAGTCACTACAGGAATTCCTAGATTGGAGCGAGTTCAATCCGGGAACGACTGAAGTTTCGGCACACCTAGAGAGAAATATGCTCCGTGAAGTGGCCACCAACGCTAGCTCAGCGGATACGAATGATTCGGACAGCATCAGATCTCGAACCATAGCGGAGCTCCTCCTATCTGAGAACAGTGGACCAGAAGCATCTCGTACGAACAGTATGACCTCACTATCATCGGAAGCTATGCGAGGGTCCGTCCCTCCTGCACACATCCTAAAGTCACCAGGCTTCTTGCATTCATTGACCAGGATAAAGCGATCATGGACACGTCGAAGTTCCACAATGGGTCCCGTTCTTCGCACTACTACTGATCCCGTCCTGAAGAGACCTTGGGAAGCCGTTCTACGCCACCGACTGGGCTCCATTCTTTCCAAAGAGCGGAGACATACTGTACATAGTTCCTTGGAGTTACAACCACCCGAGATGCCTAGAATTCCACCCAATAGTTCGCTTCCTACATCTCGGGCTCCTGTGATGCCTCTTAGTAGGCCAAAACTGGCTAGCTTTTATGCTCGCTACAGAGAATCTCCATTATCTCCTCATTCGCGCCCTGAAGATCAACTTGGTATGGTCGAGTATCTGAATGAAACACGCATGGATACAGCGACATGCAAAGACCTACAGACCAGGACCTATGGCATACAACAAGAATCTATGGCACCTTGGAACTCTACCGAGTCAGTCACAGAAACCGTCACTACAGCTGGACAGCAACAGCTGGGGTCATCTAGTCCGCTGCTTATATCCAAGACTGCCTCTTCTGGTATGTTTCTTACACCGAGTCGCGGTACCGAAGAGGGCTCTCCAGGGGCGGAAGACTACTTCTCAGCACCTTTAGCCTCAAGTTCAGAGAAACATGCACACACATCTGAAACCTCGCCTCACATGTTGTCTCAATCCATTTCACCGACGTCTGACCCTCTGAACACACCTTTCGATCTAGAGCACTACTTGTCGCGAGGCGGCCGGCCTACCTTTGAAACTCCTCGACCCTTGCTGGGACCAGCAGTCCTGGCACCGGTACCACTATCAGCGGCACGAACAAGGTCTAGGACACTTGAAGCCAGAGAGGGCTTAGGAGAAAGAAGGATGAGAAGAAATATGTGTGCCGCTTATGACGTCGCTTGTATGCTGAGATCGGGCTTGTCGTTAGAGACGGTCAAAAGATCCAATCAGGATGGTCGTGAAGCGGCGTTAGACGTGAAGAAAGACGATATCCAACTACAAGAATCGAAGAAGAGGGGTAAACTGCAGAGGCGGCGGGCGATGAGCTTTTGAGGCTATTGCAGGATTATCACAATGTAGTTTGATCACAACATAGTCTATGTTAATTAGCGCCTGTCATTTTAATCACGATGGCTATATAGTACTCCAATCGCTACAAAGGTCCCTATCTAAATTTTGAGGGCACAATCGTAACACACTGGCGAAACGCTCAAACGAACAACCTGATCCCACTAGCAGGTGCACCAACCTGGCATACGTCACATATCTTGCAAACCGTGTTCTTGTACTTCGAATGGTACTTGCTGCCGTCGAATGGACAGGCAACAGAAGGACTGCCCTGGTAGATTGGCGTAAGCGAGGCAGCACAGATGTCAAAATCGGCAAAGGAGTCGAAATCGATATCGATAACATCGGTGGGGTTGCGTTCGCATATGGTCTTGATTTTCTTGGCCTAAAAAAGTATCGTTAGTGATGTCACATCAAAAGTGCACACTTGCGTACATTTTCCTTGAACTTAGCATTAGTGCCATGATCAATCATCGAATTCGCGAAGCTCAATGCAGAAGAGAGTTGCTTGTTCTTGTTTGCAAAGTTCATGGCGGCGAGGAGAGTGAGAGTCTTATGGGCGGGTTCTAGTTCGGGGATGGTGAAGTATGCAGAGAGCTCAAAGGCACGTTTTTTGACGTCCTCAGACAGCGAGGATACATCGGTAGCGTTGTTGGTGATCTTACGACGCTCCAATTCTATAGTCATGGCAAGAGCATACTGTGCAGATGTTGTAATGACGGATTTGGCCTATGACAAAGTAAGTAGCTATAACCATTGCGATCGATGGTTTATTTACCTCAATGACCTCTTGCTGCGACGCGACAGCATTCACAAGGAGAAGCTGCAGAATTTTCTTGTATGTTTGGACGCCATCCTCGAGTTTGTTGCTCTTCATTTGGTTACGCCCTTGCTGAAGGTCGACGGCAGTGATTGACTCCAAGTCGCGCGGAATGATTGGTAATACTTTTCTTGAATCGGTTTCATTTACTGTCCTCCTCACATAGTTGACAAGAGGAGGTAGGCCAGGGTTCGCGGGCAAAAATGTTCTCGTTGCTTGGTAAATCTCTTGGAATCGCCACTCGAGTGGTTTGAAATTCACAGCACCAACCTGACGATTGAGCAGCTGCATTGCTGTATCGAATGATCCCGCAGCAACGTGATCTGCAGCAATGGGCGAATTCCTTGACCACATGTCTGCTTCGCTGCTGCCAGCACCCCCCTCTGCGCTTTCAACATTGACGAAGTCGCTCTCTGCCTCTACCTCGACGTCATCACCCATGTCCCATCCTGCAGCTTCCTCGTCTTCCTCGTCTTCACCTAGGGCACCCGTTGCACCTGTTAGCTCGTCGCCGAGCAGGTCATCATCGGCTGATCCGTTGGGCGCTGGAGCGGCGTCCTCGATTGCGTCGACTTGTCCCATAAGTGCCTTCTCGAAGACCGAGGAAGATGTAGTCTTGACAGGCCAATTGGCTTTGTATGTAGGAACCACCGGTTTTGGGGGACTCAGAGGGCTACCAAGCTGTGGAAGAGAAATCTGGTCTTCGGTGAGGCCGCTGATCTCCAATATCGATTGCGCTTCTTCTTCAAGTCCGTGGGTCTTTGCGGTGAGATATGCTAGCGGGTAAAGGTCGATTTCCTTGAACATCTCAATGCGATTCTCGGCATCACCCAAGTAAAGTCCGTTTTGGAAGCGTGCTGTCATGTCGCCTCGATGCTCGGCGATCTTAGCCATCCTTTTAAGTTTATCTGAATCACCGGTGGAAAGATACAAGAATGATAACTTATCAAAGTTGCGCAGCTTCTGATATGTCATCTCCACGACTTGGTGGTTTCCGTGTGCCAGAGCTTCAGTGCTCAAACGGCTCCAAAGCTTGGGTCGATCGAGCTGCCTAGCCATCTCAACAGCCACATCCAAGTTACCGCATTCGATCGCCAGTTCGAAGCGTGTTTGCGGATCTTGCACGAATTGGAGTGCAATCTCAGGGTAGCCTTTCTTTTGTAGATATGCGATGATCGATTGGCCAACCAGGGAAGAATTCTTAATGATGTTCAACATCTCGTTATAGTCGCGTTTAATCAGGGCCAGTTTGAACCGGTATTCTGTTGGGTCGATCTGAAGAATCTTGGGTTTTGCGGCGCGATCTAAGCAGTAGATGTTGCGACCTCGGACTTTTTGGAGGTATACAGTATGTTCCAAAGTGCGCACAATTCCGTTGTCACCATTCATCAGGGTATACTTGATATGATTTAGGGTAGAGTAGAGTAAGACACCTGCATCATCCCAAGTCGCGCTCTTGATACGAATAGTCTCATGCAATGTGCTAACCTGCTCGAGATTCTTGTTGACGATTGTCACGTTGTGTTTGCTTAGCAGAGCAGCATGAAGATTGTCAGATGACCAAACAACGTACTTAACTCCATTGACGGCAAGCTCAGCCAGCTGCTTTTTCTGTTGTATGTCGTAAAGAACAACGGACGTCGCTGTGATCAGGAACAGGCACCCAGTCCCACCAAAGTAGATATCTATAGTTCCCGGCGGCGGCTTGATGGTCTTTGTTGTTGAGTTTGAGAGATCTTTGATATCGATTTGTTGGTTTGACTGAGTGAATACTGCGAAACGATTCCGTGCAACAAACACAGCGGAGTTACCGGTGCCCCGTTTCGTGTCTGTGGGCTCGACAGCGCCACTCGCATCTCGAGGAAGACTGATCAACTCATAGCAGCCGCCATCGGCAGAAGACGTCACAAGGATGGCTCTCTCAGCAGGATTATAGGACATAGTGCGCGGGGGCACCCAAGCACTCCCGAGTTTCTTCAGCGAGAGCATCGAAGGTGACTCCAAGCTCTTCGTCAAGTCGTATGAGCGTACATGCTTTTCCTTTGTGATGTAGAAGAGGTTGTTTTGATAGATTGTCGAGGCTGGTCGCTCACGTTCCAGCTTGAAGACCATTACGCCATTATCGTGACCAGCAGCGAAGAGATTGATCTCTGGATGCGCCGCGATAACCCAGAAACGATCATTCTCTCTCTTGAAAGACTGTACGGATGTGCGCTTATTCAAATCCCATACTCGAATGGTTTTGTCTTCGCCGACAGAAAGTATGAGGTCCTGATGTGGATGGAACAAACAAGCTGAGGCGTTCTGAAAATGCCCTCGGCAAGTGTCAACCTCCCATGCTTTAGTTTCGCTCATGCGCCAGAGTTTTACCAGTCTGTCATCACCGGCAGAAACGATCAGCGGTAGAGTAGGGTGGAAGGCTACCCAATTGACTCCACGATCGTGACCCTCTAAAACAAATTTTACTACTGCGTCTGTATTGCCAAACATATCTGCCTGATTTTGGTTCGAACGAGCCATTTGGTCTTCAAAGGTCATCGACGTTGGAGCAGAATGCTTCTTGCGCAAGCCAGAAATATCCCACACTCTTACGGATTGATCGAGCGAAGCGGAAACGATGAGGTCCTCCTTCGGGTGGAATTGTGCGCACATAGTATAATGATTGTGACCGGTCATGGTGCAAACTGAAGATGGGTTAGTTATCCAAGTAACCCTCAAGCTTGGCTCTTGACATACTGAGTGACCTGTTTTGCCAATTCCAGATCCTAATTGTCTGGTCATCGGAACTCGACAGGATCCATGGTAGCTCGTGATGGAAGAAGACCGTCCTGACGTAGTCTAAATGACCATTCAACGTGAACAGACATCGTCGTGTTTGATATGACCAAACTTTGATCTTGTAGTCGTCACCGCCAGAAACGAAGAGGGGTTGTGTTTTGTGGAAGTCGATGCCGCGAACGGGCCCATCATGCTCTTCAAAGCGGTCGATCAGGGTGCCCATGCGATAGTCCCATAATTGAATCGTCGAGCTGTGTAAAGAAACCAATATCCATGGTCTGTGATGCTAGTAAGATATCGGAGGGGTAGGGAAACTGAGAGATCTGACCTCTTGGGGTGAAAGGCAATACCCTTCGCTCTTGAAGACTTGGATTCAAACTAATCAATCAAGTCAGTTGGCAGCGCTGGTGAAGCGTGCGGAGTTCGACATGCCTTAGTGAGCATCGATGGAGTAGATGCCATGGTGAGGAGCAATGGAAGCCGCAGCTTCAGTACTTGCGTATACTCTCTTGACAGGGCTTCGCGATTTACAATTGCCTGTGTAGATGGACGTGTTCGTGGGAGGAATGGGACGTAAGAGGATTTCAAGGGTCGAGGGTACTGCCCGCATACACCTTTGGCTTCGCACAACAACAGCCAGACGGAACGTATTCTCTGGCCTCATCGCGACTCGTCTAGCTTTCCAGATGCAGGCAGGCGCGCTTTTACACGCTTACATAATATTATTTAAAGCCTCAGGCTGATGGATATTCTAAGGCAGAAACTTGAAAAAGTTGACCGGAACTTCCTGAAATTTGAAAACTTCATCCTCTCGGGGCAATTCTGTCACTTCATACACCACTCATAGAACCCTCGAAGGTTCTGCCCATGTTTGATGTATCCACAATTTTTCCCCATCTGCTTGACTACTGACTGTCGAGATCGAGCAGCAAGGTCCCAGTCGAAAATTTCGCGCTCTGGCGACTGACGATATGAACATGATGATGTAGCCGAATTTTGCTCTCGAGGAGGATCATTGCCACACACGCCTCATCCATGCTGAAGCCATCTCATACACTCGTCCATATCTCGATGACAGGGATTGGCCTGTTCACGCGAACATGACCGGACGCTGCGATTGGTTCGAGGACATGCTTCACTTAGTTCACTACTGCAGCAGGCCAGAAATTACTGCGAGATGCGAAAGGCTACTACCCTTGCAGTGTGTCCTGCTCCACACAAATTGCTGGCGAACACATTTCATATGGGCATCTCCTTGAAAGGTCTTGGGCGTCCGCTTGCCAGCTCAAAGGCCGATGGAACAGCTGGCGAGAATCTAACCGGCGGACGCTGGATTGATCTTTCTTTTTTGCACGACGAACCCTAAGACCCAACACCGAACAGTCATCATCACATCTTTCAAGGCCTCTGTGGAAAAATTCTTTCTGGGGTAGGTTTGACCTTCCCCACGTCTTCCTTTTCCTACTGGTCGAAGTCTCCTGCTCTGAGCTGTCATTTTCCTGCACTGCTACCTATGAGTTCATTGTTCGCTCGCCTCACGATAAGCCATCAAAGTCGCCGGGACTGACTTCTTTACACTCCCACGATTTGCTATCGTGGCATGCGCGCCGACGTCAAGCTCAACAAAAGTCCGACTGTCCGAAACATGGTAATGCTCTCAAAGTCTACAAACCATTATTCTTCCATATTCATATCCTAAATACTCGTCGCACTTTTGTGCCCCTGATCGATCCCATCGTTTCAATAGACCGGCCTCTGTTGATTTGCGCTTTGTGGCATCAACCCGTCCAAGTCACATTTGACGACCAATACATTCTGGATTTTTCAAATTGATTGACTATTGCACTCAGCGAATAGCCATGAACGAGTCTGATCCCAAAACTTCCCATCCTCTTCCCACGCAGCCCACGTCTCCTCCAGCTACACCTAGTTCAAAGACACAACCCCGCTTCCCGTCGGCTACGAGCCACCCTCCAACACGATACGCAGGTCTGTTTACATATTCAGCCTTCAGTCAATCACAATCGCCTCCTCTCGAGCATATCGAGCCAATAGGCCAAGGCCATCATTTCAACTATACTAGGCCTCAGGCTCAGAATACATCGGCAAGGCGCTCGAGCGTCTCAAGCTTTGCACAGGCTTCAAGTCCAGAGCCGTCAGATGCAGGAACCCAGAACAGTGGCCTTGGCATCCAAAAACCGTTAGATAGGAAAGCATCGCAGGATCAGCTCATCATCGAAGAACTCGCTGATACCACATCTTCATTTGCCAGTGACGTCGAAATCGTGAGGCCAGACAACACGGAGGAGGTCACTAGTGATCATGGACACGATGACAGAGACATTCTTCTGGGAGGGTTTCGGAGGATGAATTGCGGTACAGACGATGAGAATGTGTCAGGTGAGCAGGCGAGAAGATACAGAAGGAAGAAGAAGAGATGGAGCGCAGGCTATTACAAGCGTACACACAGTCAAAGTATAGGTAGCGACACGGACACGGACGACCTCGAAGAATTGAATGCACATGACTTGGGTTGTAGCGCTCGACGACTGCGACGTCGTGTGCGTGGCCCAGGCGACAGGTCATCCCTTACCTTCGAGGAGCTCCCGAGTTTCAACATCCCTGAGGATGAAGAGCCAAACGGGCATGACACGTTCCGCTCATCACCAGCGCTGTTGGATGGCGAGATCGTGCCGTCACTTGAGGCTCTACCATTCTGGGTCCTCGATGACCCTATGATTATCGACTCAGATATAAGTCGTCCTTCCTCAAGGGCGTAAATATACTTTTGTTTGACTGCTATTACTATTTTGTGGCAGAGGATTCTCTTCAATATTGACAACTCCTGTTCTCCTGCATTAGTCTGGATCCTGGTCTGTCCAAATTTTGTCCTCTGGTGCATTAGTGTCGGTCTAAAGCTCATGATCATTGGGTGTCCCAAATGGAAGGCACAATTGATGAAGTGGCTGGAACAGATGGAGCACTTGGAGAGCGAATGCGAGAAACTAGAGTTGCATGGGGTTTGGTCGCTGGACAGCTGCAGACCTTGCATCGGAATCTCAGGTATTCGAAGGTCCTTGGCATTTGCTTATGAACCATATCTATTTTGAGCAGTGCCTGCGCCGCACCAGCTCGCGGCTAAACACAGCACGGCACTCGTGTTTCCGAGGAAGGATACCCCATGAAAATCTTGGATCTGTACCACATGCCAGGGTCAATCTCACCGTACGATAATCTAGATAAGCTAACACCCACGTTTTTCGTGGCTAACCTCTGATGTTGACGAGCTTGGCAAAGGGCTTCGAATTCAGCTTCGCCTCAGCCACTGCGCATAGCTGGACGACTTCTGTCCAATGGGGCGCTTGTGGATAGACGGACTCATGCAAGACGAGAAATGTATAAAGTGACGATGGGATGTACCTAAAAAACTATTATCTACATCACACTCGTCAAGCAAATACACCCACCATCTGTTGTGTCATTGCTCAACGATCTTGTATCACTAGTTCTTACAGTTTGAAACATTTGTTGAGAACTGAAACCAAACATCATAATGTCACCATCTATCACTAAGATCCTGTTCCTAGCCCTTACGGCCTCAATCACTCAAGCGGCACCAGCTTCTTCCTCACTCTCTGCTCGTCAAGCCCCTGCTGGCCCTGATATCCCCTTCCTCGAATCGCTTCAGACAGCCCCTTCCGCCAAGATCCGCTTCCAAAGACTCTTTACCAAAGACCAAAAAGGGTCTGAGCTCCTTGATGCCGAAGCTCTCAAGAAGGCATTGGTTTTCGACTTCAACAATGGTGCTGTTTCAGCTGGTGGCACAGTCAAATCTGCTAACGTCGAGACCTTCCCGGTTCTGACTGATCTCGGCATCTCTGTCACTGTCGCCAACCTTGGTCCCTGTGGTATAAATACCCCGTATGTCTCCGTTCTCCACCGCGCAAACATATACTAATTGTTTACAGACACGTCCATCCTCGTGCTACCGAATTCCTTACTGTTGTAGAGGGGCCAGGTGTCGACGTCGGTATCATTCTCGAGAACGCTATTGTCGGTGCAGGCAAACAGTCTGAGCTCACTGCGAGGGTCGAGAAACTACAAGGCACGGTTTTCCCGGTTGGGTCTATCCACTACCAGTTTAATAACAACTGCGACAACACCACATTCGTCGCTGCCCTCAACAGCGAGGACCCGGGCACTGGTCAGATTGCTCAGAACTTCCTTAACTTGAACGATGAGGTCGTCAAAGCGGTCATTGGCTTCCCCAAATCTCTCGCCGGTGCCGATATTCAGACTATCCGCCAGAACATTCCGGCCAACCTTGCTATTGCTACTGAGGCGTGCTATCAAAAGTGCAAGACCGAAGGCAAGATGCACAGCATTGGCCTCTAAGTAGAATCGATGTAATGTTCTTGACGACGGTGGGCGATTTTCAGATACCATTCCGCATAGCGTTGGCGTATTCAGAATTTCTAGGTCTAGATTAGTATTCTTGCGATGGTCGGTGTTTGTTGTCTATAGGGGCGAAATTGACTGATTTTATTGTTCTTGAAAGCTCGGCCAGGCGTGTTTGTATCCATTTCCAGGCTTCGTGAACCACTACCTGTAATCATACTTGGATGGGTCCACTATAACCTTAGATAATTTACGACGTCTGCTTGGTGTGACGCTACGAAGATTGTGCTTTGTGGAATTCGACATTAGTGTCTTTTGCGGGCGGGAAGGGCGATCGGCGCATATGTTCTACATATCGACACTCGTAAGAATCTAGTCATACGTTCAAGCCTGCATAGATGATAGAATGGCGAAGAAGCGTACAAGGCTACCTATCCGGATTGTGGCTCTCGATATCGAAATTGCGGCGAATCCTCGGCTTCACCTAAAGAACACATACGCAGTACGATTGACGTCGGCGCATTGGGCAGACGGCGCAGATCTCCAATGATGGCAAGCATGATCTAGTCTCGCATTTTCTCTTTATTTGGAGCGTAAATCCAAATCTGTCGCTCTTCGTGTTTCTTACCGCGTCGATTGGCGGACATCATCTCGTGTGCTTCTAATACTCATGCGTGGTTTTCTATAAACATACTCTGAGCAATCATGAAGGCACACACATGGGCTCTGAGCACACGGACAGCGTTTCTCGCTTCTAGTATCCTCGTTCCAACGTCAACCTTAGCACAAACGCCTCCAGTAAACGTAGCCCTGAGAGCTGCTTTCGGCTCTCCTCCATACCTAGTAGAGCTCCTGTGAGACCTCGTACTCGCCCAGAAATGGACAGAGCTGACTGATGTAGCGAGACTGCCGCAGAAGAGAATGTGACAGCCTATTTCCCGATTCTTGATCGCATTGCAGACGGCTATTTCAACACTGTGCAAACGGACGAGGAACTATATACAAGGTTCTTGGGATTACTCGAGGTGGATGGTCATATCACAGAGCCGGAAGCTCTGTCCTCATTCCAGCTGGCACTATCCATACGTTCGGAAGCTCCGCGCATAGAGGCGCATTACCAATATTACAATACCTCTGCAGAACCGTCAGTTCCAGGGGCAGATGGACAGAAGTGTGAAGCCTGGGTGGCTTTTGGTGGGAAGCAGTACTGCTCTCCCTCCTTAGATTCTCCCAAGACGTCTCTGGTGTCTTCTGGGTAAGACGTGTGGCCTGGCATTTCGAGAGTCAAGCTAACCTTGCCCAGGTCCGCACAGTTGCCATTTGATCGTATCCTCGGTGATCCTCTGAACGCTCTCTCGTCCATTCTTTACGTCGACATCACCAGTGAGATATTCTCGCAATTCCACAAAACACTGAGCGCAACCGCAAGGCAAGGGAAAACCTCTTATAGAATACGTCACAAACCCCCTAGTGGGATTTCGAGACCTTTGCTAGTCAGCGGATACGGAGTCGAGCTAGCTCTGAAGAGGACAGACTACATTGTTATCGATGACCGGCAGGAAGGTCGGAGTGACGGGCTTGGGGCCGCGAAAGTCAACATCGAAGCAGATTCCCTGCTTGAGGGGACACATGAGATCCGGGATGTGAAGCCTCTCTCAAAGTCTGAGCTAGAGTCTCTAGGAATAAACGCTGCTAGTTTTGTTCTGGGGAGCAAAGATCCCCTTGACACATTATTGAAGTTGTCCCAGGACTTCCCTAAACACTCTTCAGCCATCAGCGCGCACAATGCATCGCAAGAATTTGTCCAGGAATGGAAAGGAAATCGTGATCTTGCTCTACCAGCTGGCTACAACGTGATTTGGATTAATGGCATTCAAGTCGATCCCCGGAAGGTCGATCCATTCTCCTTGCTCGACCATCTCCGTCGGGAGAGGAAGCTGATCAATGGAGTGCGAAGGCTTGGGTTTAGTGGACCCGAAGCAATAAAATTGCTATCGCACTCTGAAGTTGCACAAACTCACGGCGAAGATGACCCTCAGCGGTATGACTTTAGGGACGCGAATGAAGGCGGAAAGGTGCTTCTATGGCTCAACAACATCGAAAAAGACAAGCGATACGAGGACTGGCCGACTCAACTTACTACGGTCAGTATCAGGGCCTCAATAGAACTATGGAGACTAACTCCAGCAGCTTCTTCAACGGATGTATCCCGGACAGCTGCCACCCTTGAGACGTGATTTGCACAACAGCATTGTTCCCATCGACTTCTCCGCTTCAAAGGATATCAGCCTTGTCCTAGAGACCCTGCGTGGTTTGATTCAGCGCAAGATACCAGTTCAATGGGGCTTGGTCCCCCTTACCACGACCTCCGCAAGTGCCGAACAAGCTCGAGTTGTATATCACCTCTTGGAGACATATGGTCTCAAGACTATGTTATCATATCTAGAAATGGTAAACAGTCCTATGTTTCACCTGATATGAACTGCTGATCAATTCGGATAGGTTGTTTCTAGCAAAAGCTATGGATCTGCGGACAAGTCTGCGTTTCTATCCTCCATTGAAGGCGTTAACATACGCAAGGACCAAACTGCACTGACCTTCGAAGAGCTTCTTGTGGATGAGGAGCTTTCCAAGCGTCTCGAAAGCGCTCGTGGTTATACAAACAGGCTAGCAATATCTGGACCAGAATCCGTTGTGTTTGTGAACGGGGTACCAGTGACTATGGACGATGACTGGCTTCAAAATCTTAGCTCTAGAATCGGTTTAGATTTCAGGAAGATCCAGAGAGGTGTCTTTGAGAAAGTTTTCACGGATGACAGCTGGCTTCCGGAAATCTTCCTATTCCAGGCCGCCTTGAACCGCAACCCACTCATCATACCCAAAGACGAAAGTAGCGTCCGTCTGTTCGATGTCGGAAAGATATGGGAAGATCATGGAGAATTCCTCACAGGTGCACCGCGCATAGCGGTTGAAGACAACGCTGCGAAAGAGAATTGGGCTCAGATGATAGTCATCGCCGACTTTGACAGCGTAGATGGCAGGCGGCTTCTGTCACAGTCGTCTCAGTATCGCTTAAGGGAATCTAACACGAGCGTCGAGACAATATACGTCCACAACCCTTCAGCCGGGTCTTCCGATGAACCACATTGGTCACGTGGGCTCCTAGTCCTTAACAAAGATGGCCGGTCACTCAGACCCATCGAGCTCACAGACTCATTCGCAGGAGATCTCAATGAAGTCAGCAAAGAAGATGCTCAGCGGTTCTGGACTAAGGCACAACCTTTGGTCAAGCTGACAGGACTCCAGCCGGGTGAGCAGGGCGTGCTCGTCAATGGGCGGCTGGTTGGACCTCTTCCCGAAGGTACTGCGTTCTTGAAAGCAGATTTTGAGACAATGATGGATTATGAAGTCAAGAAGCGCATTGGACCTGCAGTTGCAGCTATTTCAAAGCTGGATCTCATTGACCGAATCAAGACACCGTCCGACGCTGCTAAGCTTAGCTCTATTCTTGCGCTCTCATCAAAATCAGACGTGCCTGAAGGTATGTTTGAGACTTCCAACACGGTCAGGACTAGCATATTTGACAAATTCAATTCGACACATTCTGCCATCGTCAACGGAGATGAAGCGAAGGCGACGGTCCAACTGGTCGCGTCAATAGACCCCGCCAGTGAAGTTGCTCAGCGCTGGATCCCGATGATCAAAGTTCTGTCAGAGTTGGATGGTATCCACTTGCGCATCTTCATGAACCCGAAGCCAAGCTTATCCGAGCTCCCAATCAAGCGTTTCTATCGATACGTCCTCGAGTCAAAGCCAATGTTCGAGGTGGACGGGTCTGTTAGTGGTCTCCGTGCATCGTTTTCGGGCATCCCTGCGGAGGCATTGTTGACAATGGGTATGGACGTAGCAGCGTCATGGCTCGTGGCTCCGGAAGAGAGTATCCACGACTTGGATAACATCAAGCTCAGCTCACTAGGCCAGCTAGCATCTATAGATGCACTCTACAAACTAGAACACATCCTCATCGAAGGACATTCTCGAGACCTGACGACAACAGTAGCTCCTCGCGGCGCGCAGCTTGTTCTCGGGACTGCCAAGGACGCTCAAATTGCAGACACTCTCATCATGGCCAATCTTGGGTACTTCCAATTCAAGGCTGTGCCCGGCTTCTATAGCATTTCTCTTCAGAGTGGGCGTAGTCAGGAGGTATTCAAGCTTGAAAGCGCGGGAACTAAAGGATACAACCCTCAGGCTGGAGATGAAACCCCAGAAATTGCGCTGATGAGCTTTCAGGGAGCAACACTGTACCCGCGATTCAGTCGCAACCCCGGCATGGAAGAGGAGGATGTGTTGTCGGGGCCATCTAGCTTTGCAGCCGATCTGGCTGATACAGCTGGTGAAGTTGTTGACACGCTCCTTTCCAAGGTCGGCTTATCAGGCAGCAAGCTAATATCGCAGGGTCTGAAAGGGCTCTCAGACCTGGTCTCGCACAATGGACTAAGTCCTGGAAAGGCCTCCAAGCACGCCGAAATTAACATCTTCTCTGTGGCGAGTGGACATTTGTACGAACGCATGCTCAACATCATGATGCTGAGTGTGATGAAGCACACAAGCCATACGGTCAAGTTCTGGTTCATTGAGCAATTTTTATCACCATCGTTCAAGTCGTTTCTCCCCAACATGGCGGCTGAATACGGGTTTGAGTACGAGATGGTCACGTACAAGTGGCCGCACTGGCTACGAGGGCAGAAGGAGAAGCAGCGCGAGATCTGGGGCTACAAGATACTTTTCCTCGACGTCCTCTTCCCGCTCGACCTGGACAAGGTCATCTTTGTCGACGCAGACCAGATTGTGCGAACGGACATGTACGAACTAGTGAAGCATGACTTGCAAGGGGCACCTTATGGATTCACGCCCATGTGCGACAGTCGCACAGAGATGGAGGGGTACCGGTTCTGGAAGGTGGGCTACTGGAAAAGCTTCCTCCGCGGGTTGCCCTACCACATCAGCGCTCTCTACGTGGTCGACCTGAAGCAATTCAGACAGATGGCTGCTGGCGATCGACTACGCCAGCAGTATCATCAGCTGTCAGCGGACCCCAACAGTCTGAGCAATCTAGACCAGGACCTGCCCAACAACATGCAGACCATGCTTCCCATCCATAGTCTGCCGCAAGAGTGGCTCTGGTGTGAGACATGGTGCAGCGATGCAAGCCTCAAGGAAGCGAAGACAATTGACCTGTGCAACAACCCAGAGACAAAGGAGCCCAAGCTGGACCGCGCAAGAAGACAGGTACCGGAATGGACAGTGTACGACGACGAGATTGCAGCATTGGCGAAACGGGTGCAAGGGGAGAGAGTGACGCTGAAGAGCGAGCAGGAGCTGGAGAATGAACGGGAGTTTATTGAGAAGGCAGCGGAGCGGAAGCGGGATGAGCTGTAGGAGATGAGATGGATGTACATATACATGGAGAGAGAGAGAAACGTGGGTAGGTAGGTAGGTACGCAGGTAGAGATTTCCCTCGGAAGATAGAATAGAATAGCCGAGAGGCGTGTCACGCAGCAGCATATTGGAAGCACGAGGTCTTTTTCATGGGAGTAAGATGCAAGACTACGTGATGGGACGGCAGCATCGCGGATACGATGTGGTATGCGTGTCTTGGCTGATCAGTTGCTGGGTGGGTGAGTTGTAGCTACTAAGGTATAGCTTGGGTAAACAAAGGGAAGGAAGGGTGAATGAATGAACAAGTAGAAGTAAAGCGAAACAAAAAACGCATGACGACTTCGTTCTCATATCGCGCGCTCCAAACTCACAGTGTAATTAATCGGTTCGAATGAATGAAGATGGCATGCCATCAAGCATCCAAGCACTCGGCTCACGAGACTAACTAATTAATCAAATCCCATGTCTGTTCCTTTCCTGTTCACATACGTAATCATTATCTCTCGGGGTGACGAACGGATGCAGGTGATGACGGAAATGGATCATACAATAATTAAGTATGGTCATTTTAAAACAGCACACCACCACTACTACTATCATCGCCATCATCAATCAGCAGATGGATATCTTGCTCCTCACTCCTCAGGTGGCCCTTTGTATTGGGTTGGTTGGCACATGACTGGCTGGCTGGACAGCTGAGCATGATGGTTCTCGTTGATGCTACCCTTTCGGCTTCTTGGTCTATTACTGTTCAGCGCTGCTGGCCTGACTGGCCTGAGTGAGTGATTTTTGACTATGTAGATGGCATAAGGTGTAGGTAGGTTTTTGGTGGCATTATAGCATAACATACACTTTTGTTATGTCTCACTCACTCACTCACTCACTCACACAGCAGCTCAGCCCCCACCTACCTAGAAGGTCCACCAGCTAAGGGAAACTGAGCCTCCACGCCCGAGCATGCCAGCAAGCCAGCAAGCCACCCGGCGCCACCACGAACACCCAAGGACGCAACCGCAGCATTACATGGCGGCCTCGAGACGTGGGAATCTCATCCGCACATCAATATGCCATGAATGAATGGCCGTTTAAACATACCACACCCGACAAGGGAAACAACGAAATTAATCGTCAGACCATTTACTCGCCCAGCCATCCTTGGCCAGGGACAAGGAGGGAGGCAACAAGGGGGGGACCTTTTTTCTCTATGAATTTTCGTTTCGTTTCGTTTCGCTTCCAGTAGGATGGATGGATGGATAGTGTAGCTGGTCGTAGGTCCACTTTCTGGCCGATCTACAGCCGCAGCCAGGGGGGCGTGCGTTGCCCAGATACTCTCTAAGTCTCTATCAATCAATCATTTATCAAGGAGTGGGTCAACGTCAACGGCTGGTGGTGCTAGCTAGGTGTGTGGTGTTTTCTTTGTTGACTGCACCTCACACCTCAGCCTGTTGTTTCCATTGTCGTTTCGACTTTGTCTTTTGACTTTTGACTTTTGCCACGTTCCTGTTTTTCGCGTTTTGTGTGCGTGTGTGTATGTGAGCTCTCACAGTCTCTGATCGCTACGCCTCGCGGACGGACGGGATGAATGAGGTCGCAGTGAGGTGTCTCCTTGCACGCCGGATGGATGCAGATGGCGCGTGTGATGAAGCGGTGCTATTGGCTGAAGAGCTGGTTAGTAGATGAGATGCAGGAGTATGTATGTATTTATACATAGATCGTGTCGCAGCGCAGAGGGCGACAGGTAGGGCGTGCGTGTGCGTGTGCGTGCAACGTTACGTGCACAGTGCGGAATGTGAATGGTAGGTTAGTTACTGGGTAGGTAGCATCGTCAGGCGAGAATGGCGAGAATGGCCAGTTGACCACCCCCTAAAAGCCTACTGTAAGAAGCCTAAACCTAAGCCTAAGCCGCCCACCCCTCCCCCCCAAAATTTAGGCTGGTGGGCCCCTAAATCAGCGGCTGGAGCCAACCAGTTCAAGGCCTGCAAGGTGCAAAGTGGAGTTGCCAGGGTCCTTGCTATTCTTATTGTTGTATGTATCATTCATTGTCAGTCGGTACACACATCGTTCACTGCTCACCCAAGCTAATTTCGTGTTCGTGTCGCGCCAAACCTGTCCTTTCACTTAACTCTACTCATTCTCTCATTCTCTAAATAACTATCACTTTTACTGTCAAAGCTTTTCCTTAGTGAATGTCCGTCCCTCCCAATTCTTATATTGCCTCTTCTTCCGCATCCCCAGACTTCTTCTGGTGGCCCTTTGCTTCTACCTTCTCCACACCTTCCACCTAAAGCTCTCGCCATGCTTTACCGTCCTTCGCTCCGTCTGCTGTCCGCCACAGCCTTACTGGCCACCCTCTCCTCTGCCGTCAAGGTCAACCCTCTTCCAGCTCCTCGAGAAATCACCTGGGGTTCTGCTGGCCCTATCGCCATCGGCGAGCTTTCCCTCACCGGCGCTGACTCCGACTCCGCAAACGCGCAGCTGGTTACTGACGCGTTCGCCCGCTCGTGGAAAGCTATCAAAGACCTGAAATACTACCCTCAAGCCACCGAGGCCCCCATTCCTACATACGCTGAGTTTCCTGGTGCAACTCAGATCCCATGGAAGCCCGCCGCTCCAGCCTCGAAACAGAAGCGCACAACTCCTCTCAGCGAGGTTCATTTGAAGGTCGAGGACTGGGACGCTGACCTCCAGCAGGGCGTCAACGAGTCCTACGTTCTCTCGATTGGCGATGGAGGTCACACCATTGACATCACCTCCTCGACTGCCTGGGGTGCTCTGCATGCTTTCACCACTCTGCAACAGCTCGTCATTTACGAGAATAATGCCTTCTCCATCGAACAGCCTGTCACGATCAAAGACGAGCCAATGTACCCATTCCGCGGTATCATGGTGGATACCGGCCGTAATTACATTAGCACCGACAAGCTCAAGGAGCAGATTGACGGCCTCTCGCTCTCAAAGATGAATGTTCTTCACTGGCACCTTGACGATACCCAGTCATGGCCAGTCGAGCTCAAGACCTACCCCCAGATGACCAAGGACGCCTATTCCGCACGTGAAGTCTACACTCAGGACTGCATCAAAGACATTATCCAATACGGCCGCGCACGTGGTGTGCGTATCATCCCAGAAGTCGACATGCCAGGCCACGCCTACTCGGGCTGGCGCCAGGTTGACGAGAGCATCATCTCTTGCGGTGACTCCTGGTGGTCAAATGACCTTTGGTCCTACCACACCGCTGTTCAGCCAAACCCGGGTCAGCTTGACATTATCAACGACAAGACATACGAGGTTGTAGAGAAGGTGTACAAAGAGCTTGCTGGTGTGTTCACGGACCATGTCTTCCACGTTGGTGGTGACGAGATTCAAAAGGGCTGCTACAACTTCTCCGAGCCCATCACCAAGTGGTTTGCCGACAACAGCTCCCGTACCTACAATGATCTTGTTCAATACTGGGTCGACAAGACCTGGCCGTTCTTCATGGACTCCACCGACCGCAAGCTGATGCTGTGGGAAGATGTCGTCATTTCTGGCGAGCACGCTAACATCGACCCCAAAAACATCATCCTGCAATCATGGAACGGTGACGTTGTGAACATTAAGAACCTCACCAACCGCGGCTACGATGTCGTCGTTTCCTCGTCCAACTGGTTCTATCTCGACTGCGGCAACGGCGGTTATGTTTCCAACGACAACCGCTACAATACCCAGATTAATGCCAATCTCGAGGATGGAGTTCCCAACTTCAACTATGGCGGTATTGGCGGTTCCTGGTGTGCTCCCTTCAAGACCTGGCAGCGCATCTACAACTATGACTTTACCGAAGGTCTGACTGATGATGAGAAGTCGCATGTCATTGGTGCCTCTGCGCCCCTGTGGACTGAACAGGTTGACGACACTATTATCAGCCAGAAAGTGTGGCCTCGCGCCGCTGCTCTGGCCGAACTGGTGTGGTCCGGCAACAGGAATGGCGAGGGCAAGAAGCGCACAACCGAGTTGACGCAGCGCATCAACAACTTCCGCGAGTACCTCGTTGCGAGCGGTGTGATGGCCGCGCCCCTGATGCCAAAGTACTGTCTGCAAAACCCACATTCGTGCGATCTCAACTGGGACCAGGATGCCTTGAACAAGCTTCCGGGCGCTCCTTGAAGATATATTTTTGCTTTCCCTCTTGATACGGGCGTCCTTTTTTTCGTGGGGGACAATGTGCTTGGAAAGCCTTTTTTAGAAATACTGAAAACAAGACGAGAAATCATACCGTGGCTGTGGCTAGGACAAGCTGCGGCTGGTCAAAGAAGATCGAAGAGAGAAAGTGTATGTGTGACATCTAAGGAGGATAAAGGGATTTTATCATGATACTCGTCCGTCCATGAAGACGACGAGTACAGGTTCGAGTGTACATATTATATACCCCCATGAGTTGCCCAACGTTGTGTGTGTGTGTGTGTGTGTGTGTGTGTGTGTGTGTCTCCGTCACGTTTGTGATCTCTTCCTGTGTTCATATCACATTGACTGACAATAAATCAACATATTATTTGCGAAAAGTGTAGAAAAGAGAGATATATCTACAACAAGATAAGCTACGATGTTGTTATAAACATAAGAATATAAAATTAGTTGTCAGAACGAGGGCGAGGGGAGGGCATAACGTGCGTGTCTAAGGCATGCAGTCGAGAAGTTCCACAAGGACAAGTCGGGAACGACTTGCCGGTTTTGAAAAGATGAATGGGTTGTCATTGGCTAATGAATTATCATTCAGAAGCCTTGTTTGTGAGGCCACAGGACTGGTAAGGTAAAAAGTACTAGTGTGCCAAGATTTCGACTCCACTTTAACTTTTCTGTCAATTCTTCATGTCTACTAATACCCAGGTAATATTCAACCACGCATTCAGGAAGACACACAGCACACAACACCACGCACCATGACAGCCCTTCAGAAACCCCCTCAAAGCCTCAGTACTCTCCTCACGTCCCTCACTACCTCCCTCAACGACGCCCTCGAATGTCTCCCCCAAACCACCACCAACGGCAATAACGAAGCTGCCGCGCGCCAAACCTTCACAACACCACCCGAACATGGCATATCCCTCCTCGACACCAAAAACGAGCTATTCCTCGAGTATCTGCGCAACTTTGTCTTTCTCATGCTTGTCAAAATTCGCCGACTTCGTGGTGGCAGCATAGCACAAGCAACCACAGATGAAGAAGATAATGATGTTGGCGCAGACAACCTCCAGCAAGATATCGTCAAACACCTCGTCCGTCTGCGTGTCTATCTCGAAAAGGGCGTGCGGCCGCTGGAGGGCAGGTTGAAGTATCAGGTTGATAAAGTCGTCCGGGCGGCTGAGGATGCGGAGCGGGGGAAAGGCGCGAATGGACTGGTCAAGGAGACACAGACAGCACAAGCACAAGGAGAGTCTGGAGATGATAGCGATGGCTCAGATGACAGCGATTCAGACGGCAGCGGCTCAGACAACGACTCCTCAGACGACGCTGCATCCGCCACAGACAACCACGACAACGACAACGACACCACCACAATCGACGACCTCTCCTACCGCCCCAACCCCTCCGCATTCCGCCGCCCATCATCATCCATCACCACCCAAACACCCGCCCAACCAACCTCACGCAAATCCCGCGCCTCACCCACACCCGACACAGGCATATACCGCCCACCACGCATCAACCCAACCGCCATGCCCTCCTCCACCAACACCCTATCCACCACAACCCCCAAATCCACCACCACCACCACCCGCCGCCCCCAAAAATCAAACACCCTAGACGAATACATCACCCACGAGCTCTCCACCGCCCCACTCGCCGAGCCCTCCATCGGCAGCACAATAGTCTCAGGCGGCAGACGCATGGCCTCGGACCGCGAGCGCCGCGAAGACGCCGAGCGCCGCGCCTACGAAGAATCAAACCTCGTCCGCCTGCCGGCTTTGAGCAAGAAGGAGTTGGCGCAGCGCAACAACGCGCGCGGCGGGCACGCGGGCCAGTTTGGCGGCGAGGACTTCCGGAGTATTGGGGAGAGCGTCAGTCGGATTGGGGAGATGACAAAGGGGGCTGGGAAGAGAGGTAGTAAGGGGGCCTTGGATCGGAGCCGGAAGAGGGCGCGTGAGACGGTTGATGGGGTGAGGGGCAGTGGGGTGCAGGGCGGGGAGATGTTTGAGCGGAAGAAGAGGAAGTTTTTTGGCAAGGGGAGGTAAATGAATGCATTTTGTGTGAGTCTGTGTGAGAGGCTCTGTATGTGTGATACCCGAGATTGTGTTACTGTACCACCAATAGAGATAGAAAGAGGGTATATTTCGTCGTGCCGTGCTTACCACGACATCAAAAAAAAAAGACTAAGCAATACAGCCAGAGATCCACCACTACCAAACGTGCTCTGTCCCCTCTCCCCTCTTCCCCAGACTTAAAGACCGTCGCAGTAACAGGAAGGATAGTACAAACCCCAAAGTCCCCAAAGTCAAGTCGCAGTCAGTCGCAAAACAACAAAACCAAAAACAAAGCTAGTACGGCGAATCAACCACCTCATTCCTCCCCAACCTGCCACTCTTCCGCGGAGTGCGCAGCCCGGGCCCCGCAATACTCTCTCTCGTCGGCCTCTGCAGCGCCCTCTTCGCCACCATGTTGACCTCGTTCGGCAGTGCCACAATCAGGTTCTTGTCGGATCCATACTTGAAGTTATCCGCCTTGACCTCCTCCGAGTATCGCTTGATCGAGTACGGATCCTTGCGGCCGGCCATGACCTTCTTGAGTGACCAGGAGATGATGAAGGGCCCAGTCGCGGTGATGATGGTAGTCTCGTCGCTGTCCACACCAGCGTTGAAGTGCGCTGGCGTGAAGCTGATGGGGACCTTGGTCTCATGCTGGAATTGCGCTACGTGAGAGGGTGTGAGAGCGAGGCGCTTGGGCTGTGGTTTGGAGTCTTTCGCAAACGACTTCTCGAACCCGAGTTTCCCTTCGTTCTTGCCCGATTTCTGCTCTGCATCGATAAGTAACAGATACGTGCGCGTAGTCGCGAGGATCCAGCGACCGTCGGCGGAGACGTCGACGCCGATGATGGGGTCCCCAAGAGCTGGGATCTCGGTCTTTGCACGGATGCCCAGCCGGTCGAAAAGGCGAATGCTACCCTTGTTGGATGCTGCGGCGACGTATCCTTGCTTGGTTGTAGCTGCTGCAGAGAAGTCTACGTTGCTTGCGTAGCCTTGTTTTTCGCTCTCAACGAGCTTATTTCCAGCCAGACGAGGGTCCACACGGAAGAGAGCATTATTGGACAGACCAAGGAATGTTTGTTCGCCACTCATTTGAGCAAATTTCTAACGAGTGTATTATTAGTACATGTAACATGCTCGAATACTCGGAGACTTACACTCTCAGGGGCAAATATTTTGACCGGAATGTCATCGTGGACCTTCCACTCGTCAACGACCTTCCCGTACTCTAGATCCATCTTGTAAAGTGAATTCGGATTGTCTGCGTTCTGCAAGATCATATTCTGGTCCTCTTGATGCAGCATGACTTTTGTGGGACTGAATAGCTTGCCTTTGGGCGTCGCGACCTTGGAGATGTTCGTGGTGAACTGAAGATGATTGTCGGGAGTGTGTTTGAACACACCAATCTTGGAGCCACGCACGACGAATGACCGATCATGCTTATAGCCCACGGCAAGCTGTGAATTGACGTTTCCATCCTTATCGCGGACCTCCACATCGTCTTCCGACTCGTCACTGTCGTAGTGTTCCGATTGCTGAGCGGTACTATCATCCTCGCTTTCGTCGTACTCATCTTCGTCCTCTTCCTCGATAGTTGGAGCGTCTTCCATTGTGAGATCATTAAAGGCATCCAGAACATAATCCTGGTCAGTCTTGGTAGCCTTGCCCCATTTCATCTCATGGAGGTGCTCCCACAACGCTTGCATCAATCCTTCCTGGAACATTTCCATGATCTCTGTCTCCTTGAATTTCAACAGCCATGAGTACGCCGAGCCATCCTCGTCATATTGATTGAAGATGAAAGACTTGTATTCAAAGTTGAACACAGGGTTGATGTCTGGTATGATAGCTTGCCCAAGCCAGTCATTCTTGCCCTTAATCTGAAGCCAGTATTTCCAATTGCCGAGGTCAGTGACCAAGGCTGTCACTCCCGCATCCTGGAGCAAGAATTCACCGCTCTCTAAATTGAACAACCACAGCTCGGCTGCACTCTCCGCGAGTGTCTCCCTCGCCTCAGGATGAACTATAACCGCTGAAGGCCCCGGGGCTGCCAGAGCTACGGCCTCTTTCCCTTTCGGCGTTGCCGTCACAGCTGTCTTTCTCGCCATATTATCATGCGCAGACCAAGCGAGGACTTTCGAACCGTCACGATCTATCGACGGCGATGCGAGTGGTGTAGTGATCACACTGCCAGCGTCTGGTATCGTCGATTCCGAGGCCCTAAACTCTTCAAGTTCTCCGTTCGTTGCTTGCTCGTGTGGCTTGCGATATTTGCGCTCGAACTGACACTGCAGTGCAATCAACTCAAAAGTCTCGACGGTCGAGGCAGGTGTGCTGTGATCGCAGACAAACTCCCAAAGATCGCCCTCGTCACCACTGAGGTCTCTCCAGGCAAAGACTTTCTCGCCCGTGTCTCTGATTTCTGTGCGAAACTGAAGTTCTTCGTCGAGCAAAAAAGTCTTCTCGTCTCGGTCTGCAGTGAGCGCTTCGATTTCTGCGTCTTCTCCTTGTTCTTCGGCAAGAAGCTCTTCCTCGCCCTCCTCGTAAACCCTCTGTACGTTCAGCTGATACTGATATTGTTGACCTGTCCGACGAATGGAGGTGGTCGAGTCTTTAAAGATAAGTTCAGAGTAGCCCTTTACAGAAAGTGGTCGAACGAGGAACAGTTGGCCTTGTGGGACGTCTATGATAGATTCTTTTGAACTGTCACCAAAGAGGTATTTGCTGACTGACAGGAACGTTAGCAGGCACAGAAACGGTAAATTATGGAGACCTGACCATTTCGGAGCATGAACATACTTGCTAAGCAGCCAGTCTAGGATGTAGTAGAGAGCTGGTGATCGTTCGCGGCGACCCAGAGGCCGTGAAACGTTGTTTTGTTGATAGTGGGGTTAGTCGCGCTATGTCATATGAGCTTGTTGCGGCCGTGCTTGACTAGTGGCTGCAGGTGCGGTCGTCGACTGCCTGCCAGACTGCCAGTGTGTTCTTGGCGCGCTGGTGTCATACCATAGTAGATAGATAGATACTCATCTCCGGAAACCTCACCCCAACAGTTTGAGTCTCGGTGTGTTTCTCTCGAAATAGTGCAATTTGCTTGCTTGGGCATAGACATCGAAATCCCGTGCACATCAGCTACTTGACGTTACCACAACTGTCACAATCATTCAAAGGTGGTCTTGGATACAGTGTCAATTGCCATGATCCCATAAGCTGTCATCAGGATCGCGTACGCTGAATCGCGAACACTGCGAAGGAGCCTAAGCATATCCTAACTTCCCCTAAATACGGACCTCGACATTGGCCTTTGCAGTTCCCGCCAAAGCGATCGTGTTCAATTCGGCCATTCCACCTCCCGTGCCAGCATGGCTTTCAGTCCATCGCGATCAATTTTCAAGCCCAGGGGTTATCTTTTTCCTTTAGTACGCCAAGTCCGTGCCCTATAATCGCCTGGTCCATTCCGGGACGCCGATAACAAAAATACAAATAATATGTTCCCCTCCCACCCCCAAAAAAAAGCAAACCCAAAAGTGACACCCTTCGTGGGCGTAAGAACTACCGATGAGGTAGCCTCGGACGTAAGATGCATGAGCGCAAAAAGCGACAAGACTAGGTACAAGTACCAACAGATTCCTCAACAGTTCGAGGGCGGCGCAAGATTCGCATAAAAACATCGAAAGCCAACAGGTAGAATATGAAACAGGAAAACTGGTAACTGGGAACATGATCATGTGATGTAGAGTATCACGCATCAACCATGTCAACGTCATTTGAATAGTTGAGAACGTCGTCAGCAGGTCCCCATATTCCCTCAAAGACAGTGGCTCCCGCACGACGACGGCTGACAACCCATTCGATACCGCGGAGTTTGCGAACGTCTTGGATAGTAGCGCGCTCTTCTGGGTCAGGTGCCATCATCCACCGCGTGGTATGTAGAAGCGAGTCAGGATCGTCCAAGTCCACCATGAAGGAAGGTGGTGTTCTTTGTTCGTTCGGCTTGAATAATTGTTTAGGTACCTCCATCCCGGCTGAGTTGGATCCAAACATAGAATTCGATAGCTCGGTGAATTCAGGGTCAGAAGTATGGATCCGCTCGCTAGATTCGTCCTGGATCGAGTCCTTTGTTGAGCTCCAGGAAAGACTTGGAACCTCATGCCAGTCGGCGTTACGTAGATTCTGCCAAGACTGTCCGCTGGGTGGGAGGCAGACATTCGCAGCCATCTCTAAAACAATCAAACCAAGTGCGAAGATATCAGCTGGCTTGCCGTGGATGCCTTTCAACTGTTCGGGTGCGAGGTAGTATACGTCACCTTCGCCCTCGTGTCTAGCGGTGTCGACAGGCAATTGTGCAGCCATACCGAAATCGGCAATCTTGAGCCCCCCCGAAAAGTCAATGAGAATGTTTGCGGGCTTAATGTCGAGGTGTACAAGCCCGATACCATGGATAAATTCGATACCCTTTCCATTCGTAAGCGCGGCTCTATAGCAGTAGCAGATTTAGACTTACCTCCGACAGCTCCGAAAGGATCTTCCAAATTCGAAAGTCATCCATGCGGCTCTTAAAGCCTGTTGCAGCCAACAACGTCTCAAGGTTACCGTTCTCACAGAACTCTGTCTGGATATATAGGTGGCCATGATCTTCCCAATGCTCAACGTATTGCACCATATGTTCGTGACCCTGTATGAGCTTCAGGATCTCCACCTCTCGATACTTTCGCCGACGATCCTTGGCCCCAGTGATGACGGTTTTAGATTTCTTCACGGCCCAAACCTTGGTAAATGTAGCCGTAGGTGTTGAAGCAGCAAAAGGGTTGGACAGAGGCTTTTCCACGCGGTAAACGGAAGAGAACTCGCCCTTTCCAAGTGCGGTGACAGTGCCAAAGCGTGATGTGAGAGCGGTATCGACCTCATTTGAAGTCAATCGGTGAACAAAACCTTGTCTTTTGGTACCGAGGAAGTAGTTCTCGCGGGACGTGGTTGGCGTGGCCGGAGGGAAAGCAGCAATGTTCGTTGTGCTGTTTCCAAAATGATGAGAGCCACGACGGGGAGCGGGGTTAGAGATGGAGAGGCTGCTAGGATCTGGTGGTGTGCACGATTCCTGAGGTGTATGGGGAGACAAGCACTCAGAAGTTGATCCAGGGGTTGGGGAAACTGTTGAGAGAGGTGATCTTTTAGTCATGTTCGGTTTATCGGTAGTGGAAAACGTGACTGAAACAGAAAGTTGGGGGAGTTCTTGGGATTGGAGCTTCTCAGAATGCCGTAGAAGGCGAGATCGAGCAAAAGACAAAGCGAACGCAGATGGAGACAGCCTAGACGGAGAGCAGTCCTCTGGAGGTAACGAACATCCAGCCGTTGGACCATCCACTCTCGTCACCATGGCCTGAAGTGGAAAGAACTTACCCTTTGAGTTTTGTGGAGACGTTACGGTATCCCCGTCAGGTTGAGCAAAGGTATCCTGACCAAGTGACACACGACGTCCAAAGAGACTGCTGCGAAGGCTGCCACGCAGGCCGGCATTCCTGGTCGGTGTTGGAGGAAGCTCGTCCGCACTAGACTGGCGGTCTTCCTGACGCGAGGGTGATACTGGAAAGTCATCACCTTCAACACTGTGGAAGCTGGTACGGCGACGGGTATTCGGGTCGAAGGTAACACCAAATATGTTTGCACCTCTGCCGAATACATGAGTTCCCTTGACGCTAAAGGGCGAAGCAGGAGTACCAAAGTCTGGCACTGTTGAGTCCCCGAAACCACTCCGTCGGAATGGTGTGGCCGTGACGGGAGGAAACGAATTGCGTTTCGAGGGAGTATCGGGCATTACATATGACTCGGCCAGAGTCTCTTCCAGGGGGCGATTGCGCTTGGAGATCAACCCAGTAGACATGAAGGCAGCAGGTAAAGGCTTGGCCATCTTGTATGTCGCAGGTGTGGAGAACTCCGAAGACTGGTCATCGTTCTCGGTCGGTCGAATGGCACCGATGGGAAGAGATTTGGCGAAGTTGGTGTTGATACGAGGTTCAGCATTCGGGGCGCGATATGGTTGATGTGTATAGTTGTGACCATGAGCAAACACTGGTGCAGGGTGATGGGTCGGAGATTCGTCGAGAAGGCTCGACGATGAAGAGGATGGGGTCAAGCTGTTCGACAGAGGGTGTGGCTGATTTCGTAGTGACGTAGACCTTGCCAGGAACGACTGTGGAGACATTGTCGCCTGCGGACCGTCGGATTGAGTGCTACGACGGAAGGGGTTGGGAGACGAAGTCGACACAAAGTTCATAGAACTGTCTAACGATGCACGTTGCTTCTGCTTTGACGCAGCTGGGCCGGGCACGGTAAACTCGTGTTCACCAGATCTCGATGTTTTGGAGGCGGTCTGACCGAACCGCTGCTGAAAAGTTGATTTTCTGAGTGATGACTTCCGGAGCGGAGGTGACCTTCTCGGTGAAGAGAAGATATTGGCCGAGTCTTGATGCTTGTCATTACCATTCGTCTGGTCAGCATCAGAACTTTGGTCAAAAATGCTGAAGTCTGCGCCAAAGGCAGAGGCTCCGTGAAGACTACGCCTTTTCGCGACTGGACTACCAAGGCTGGCTTGATCGAGGTTCATTATTCCGTCACTGCGCTTCAGTGGGCTTGATTTTGCCGGAGCTGACATGTCTGACTTGGACAACATGTTATTGTCGGACCTAGGTCGCGAGAATGGGAACTTGATCGGCTCGTCATTGATGACACTGCGCATAGCTCCTGGTAGCTGCGGTGCAGTCTCAGGCTTATCAACGTTTAAGGAAAAGCGTTTTCCGGGAGGCTCGGTCGCTGGCAAGGTTCGTAATGGCAAAGCATTACCCTGGTTTACTGAATCTCCAAGTGCACGCCTCGGACTCGTACGTCGTGGGCTGGTGCGTTTCGGACTGGTACCACCAGTACGCGTACGGATCGAAGTGCGGAACGGAGTGGTGCGGCGCAGTGTGAGCTTGGAGACTTTGACTGCCGATGCTGGTTGTTGTGGTGCTTGCGGTGCAAGAGGTGTAGGAGGTGTGAATGACTGGGTAGGTTCGTTTGCGGGCTTCGGGGTGAAGGCTCTGGAGGTCGCGAGCGGTGAGATGGGTGATCGAGGGGTTTCCGGGGAATTGTGGTGAAGTGCAAAGCGTGAAGGCCTTGATGGTGATCTGGAGAGCGAGCTACGAATCCGGTCGATCGACACAAAGCCGTTATTGTGAACATGATGCGTCGGTGAAGCTAGGTGCAGCCCACCTCCGCCTTGACGATGCGGCGAGTATTGAAAGTCCATGTCGCTAGTAAGTGCAAGAGTGGCTAGGCGCGTGGATGGTTAGTTATTCCCACAAATGTGCGCACAATGTGGTTGAACGGACAATAATCTCAAGCCATGCGGGTTGAGATTGAAGTGGACCGAGTTTCGCGCGCACACGATGTGACCAGCACAGTGTATATTGACACGGATGTTCGAACGTGATTTTACTGTGTAGGCAGCAGAAGAGAAGCTGTCGGTGAGCGTCGCTCGAGTATAAAGTATGGGTACGATTTGTGGAAGCCTTCAGGACTCAGTGTGCGTGCTGTTGGTGCAGTGGGAGCGAGCCTCGATGTTGGCCTCGATAGTGTTTGATGTAGGTTGGGTTCATGGGAGGAGGATTAGTTGGAATAGAACAGGATATAGATTGGCGATTGAGTGAGTCGAGTGGCGAGAGAGAAGCCGTAACCTATCGCGACAGGTTTTGGAGCGGTTGAGGGTGACGTGTAGCGACGATCGCGCAAGGAATGTGGACGTGGGTTGGATGTAAACAATGACAGGGGACGCGTCAAAAGGGTCCAAACAAGAGCGTGATGGAGTACAGAATCCTTGGTGATGGCGATGAGTCGACGAGAGGGACGTCGAGAGGTTGCAAGAAAAGAAGGGCGACGGGTGTTAGGCAGAGGAGAAGTAGTCGAGAATAGATCGGGGACAGAGAGTCAGTCAGGAGAGGCAGTCGCGAAGGATGGAGACTCAAGACCACGCGGGCACTTGGACCGTGGACGAGGGAGGAGCGAGTCGAAGGATCGAGTGAGGGAGAGGAGAGAACTTGGCAGTCGCGTCGCAGCGAGCTTTTCCATAACAGTCCGTGCAGTGGCGCTAGATACACGTCGCTATGCCTATCTGGGCTAGCGTGACAAGCACAGACCCACCACGGATATCGAGCCGGTATCAAGAGTGGCAGCCGCGTTTTGTCGTGCGGTGTTTTGTTTCCCCCCCAGGTTGGTGCCTGATTGATGCCTGACTGCGGCCTTATATCTGCCTTGATGTCGGTCTGTCACGCTGTCATGCAGCCCTTAAGCCTCCTTCAGGGTCCTTAATCACTCGGTTGTCACCACATAAGGCCGACCCTGCGCTCTGGAGATTGCTGCGGATCTCTATATATGTCCTTAAAATATAATCAAATCCTCCTTATGCCTAATATCTCCCTACCCTAATTCCTGTCCGTGTTTCAACGACTCATAGAAAAGCCTTCTTTCATGGCAACCGGAGCCTTTGCTGTGTTGTTGTGTTGTTGTTGTTTACTGTCTTGTGTCCCACCATTCCCTCTACTCCAGAGCCTCGCCACCAACAACAACAACAACAATACACGTCTCTCCTGGCCCCTGCCTGGGCCCGATGATGCGCATCGCAGTCATCATTGACGTCGGCGTTTCCAATCGGTCGCTCTGCAGCCACTGCAGTCCCTCCACGTTCTCACAATCCTTATTGCGCTCGCCCTGTCCAGCATCCCCCCTGTCCACACCGCAACCTGCCATGCAATGTCTCCACCCACCCTGCGACCTCATTTACTTGCATCGTCACGTTCATGCGTAACCATCCCCACGCTGCCCAACTCTATCAATAGGCCAGCATCCAGTAATTGTGATCAGAGAAAAGGGGCATTTTTTCAGTTGGGTCTTCTCAACCACCACCAAGCGAAACTTCTACCCTATCCACTCCGTGCAAAGTCCTAGTTCAAGTCCAGTATTGCCGTCCAGGTATATTTGTATGCCGAATCATTTGCCATTCCTGATGTACGGAGCACTCGTCAATCCATAGGTGTCCTTGCGGTGCGGCCCGTTTGCGCAACAACCAAACTTCTTGTCCACTGATATATACTCATAGTCTTGGAGATTCACCTACAGTATGACCCTCGCAGCAGCAGTCAAAGCTCGCACATCTCGTATGTGTATGGCCAATCCACAAATGGACAATCTACCTTTTTTCAACGCCGAAGCGCGAACAGTCCCCTCGACCGTGTAGAGCTCTGGACATACAGAGAGTCCTGTACGTCCGTCCGTACTGGCAAAGCAAAAGATGATGCCTGACTCGCGACTTGTACTGTGCACGCGCACCTCCGTGCTCTGCCGAAATTGCATCAGCACCAAGCGTTGGCACTTGTCGCGTTTCTCGCGCTCTTCATTCTCAGAGCTCCAAGCGTGTCGAGAGAATTGAATCATCTCAGAGCTTGTGAGAGCATGTGATGCGCCGCGTGCTGACAGTGCGCGATGCATTGCGCAATTTGTTGCGACTGGCATAGTCGCAATGCGACAGCGCAGGCTGTGTACGTGCATCTATCTGATCTATCTTGGAAGCACGAGCCTGGTGGGCGCAGACAGACGCAGAACACCCGCATTAGTACAGTACTTGTGGGACGTCGCACAGGCTGCAGACTAAGAGCGCTTGTTATGCGAGTCAAACCAAAGTCAATATCATATATCTACAACAGAGTAAATTTGCTTTGACACTATGCTATATATGGATCAGGAGTATTGACAGAGGATTAAGAAAAGTGCCGTATCTACGAACCGCACAAATGAAAATGGTATACCTTCCGTATTGACTTGATAACAGATAATTTACCCTCCGCTGCAAAAAGCTCCTCCAAACGCCGCGCTCGATAAGTGTTCCGCCGAGTCAATAGGTCGAAAGATAAGGAGGTCGCATAGAGTGTGCGCAGCGGTCCAGCCAATGTCGGTGCCTGGAATCCAACTTTACGCCTTGAGAAGTTCTCCAAAGTCATCAACAAAACCCCCATTACTGTATCCTGTTCATGCTCCACGTGAAGAAGACACCGATGATCCTGGGAGGCCAACTTCCGCGCCGCCTTGCCCTTCCGCTCCACTGTGTCGCCGACTCCAATTCGCATGAATGGGGACAGGCTGAGCCATTCCCTGGTAGTTCGGATCGAAAGCGAGTGTAAAGTCAGTCGGTGGCGGCGCATACTGAGGGGCTATCAAGGCCGTGCTACCCATTTCCGAACCCGAAAAGTCGTGGAAGTATGACGTTGCGGCCGGCGCTGTTGCGAGGACAGGATAGTGCAAGTCCATGTATGTTGTCGCATTGGAAGGGACTAAGAGCGGGGGACTCGACATCACCTGGCTGCGATAGATGTTGTGACTTTGGCGCTCATGGAAGACGAGGCCGGTATGGGTCCTAAAGTGCTCGCCGCAGCCTGTGGTGCACATGTGTGGCTTTGGGCCGGGCAGTCCGGAGAATGTCAGAGCAGGAGAGTGCTCTGGGGCTGGAGATGTGCCTCGCGAGAATGGAAGAGAAGTATCGGTGCCGAGACGAATGTTTCCTGGTTCGCCTCTCCAGAGTTGCATGGTTTGGCCTACCATGAAGTGCCCAGAGATGTGGTCAACTCGTTCTTGCCAGGAAGTGAGACGAATACCGCAGATGCCGCACCAGAATGACACATCCCGGTCTACAGGCCTACTCCATGTAGAGAGATGACGAGGTGTCACTGACATTTTGTGGACTTGGCCAATGTGCTGGAGCAATTTGTCCTTTCGAGTAAAGGCACGCTGCGAACGAGACGTTGCGAGGCATCCAGAGCAGTTATGAGACTCGAGATGCGCTGGAGTAGGGTTGGGCTGATCGCAGAAAGCGCAAGTGATTGCACCAGACGCGGCCAGTATGGTTGGCTCATTATCAGGCATACATATCCACTCGAACTGAGGGAAGTGCACGCTCTCCTCGTGCCGGCGCCAGTCATACTTGTGAGCAAAGTCGCGCGGGCAAAACGTACACTGGAATATCTTCTTGCTATCAGAAGGCGCGCGAATTATGAGGGACGTTGGAGGTAGCCGAAAGGTGTCCGGTTGTCGTTTGCGTCCACGCCTTGGCCCAGGTCGATTTGCATTGGATTCGTTACTCGAATGCGAACATTCGGAGCCACGATTGCTGCTACGCCCAATATCCGATTGTACTTCGATCTTGCAACTGTTTCGCTTTCTCTTTTGCAATGATCTCGAAGATCCTGCTTCGCTGCCTCTCCGCTCTTCCAGATTCTTCGCCGCGCATTCCACGATCCCTTCAGGAATCCCTTCCTCTTCAGGCGAACTGTGAAGGAATCGCTCCATAGGGCTTGGCTGCTGACTGATCGACACTCGTTCATGTGATGCCCAGCGCCGCCGTCGTGGAGGAGCCTGGGTCTGATCCTCCTGATCCATAGAGCCTCTTGGAGTTTCTGTCTGGGCTCGGCTGGACGTATCGCCACTCGACTCTGTGGCCGATGCGGGAGGCAGCTTGCGAGCACGAGCGTTTGCAAAATATGTTCGCACCTGCCGGACAGTCAGTCCTGTCTCGGTGGCCAGATCCTCGGCCTCTGGTTTCTCAAGATACGGGTCTGATCTGTTCTGCTCAAACCACCGGTCTAGAATTGCTCGAGCCTCATAGGAAAGTCGACTGCGATTCGTAGACGCTTTTCTTGACTCGCACTGCGATTGCACGTCTGGTGCAAAAGATAACGGCATGGTCTTTGGCGAGACCGAAAGATCATGGGCACCCAGGAGTGTCGGTGTTAGGCCACACTGTGCATCGTATTCGAGAGTCCTCGGGATATCAGCTGCAATATTTTCATATGGTAGCGGCGCAGGAGACGAGTTCCAGGTCGTTGGCAGAGGGCTGGTGAAAGGCAGAGCTTGATACTGGTATGCCTGATAGTTTGGGGAGAATTGCGCTATTTGATATGGACCACTGGAAGATGTAGGCCTATGCAAGGTGTTATTCTTGAAAATGAGACGACGTTGAGACTGTGTACCATTGCTCGTTTGACTCTGATGCAGGGACTGGCCTTTGTTGTTCACAAGAGTTCGTGTCAGTTGCTGTGCCCCAGGGGTATTCTGGTGGGAAATTAGAAAAGTCGAATGCAGCAGTCACATCATTAAGATCGCTGGTGGTAGCGAAGTAGTGATGATCCATAACGAGAGACATGTGGAGCAGAGAGGCGATGATAAAAGTGACGCCCAATGAAAGTCATGTAGTATACTTGAGAACAAGGCGTGACCAGACATTTGAATATAAAGAATGTAGCAATGAGCGCTTACATACAAATGAACGTCGAGATCATTGTGTTTGCCAAGGAGCAAGCATGGGCCCTGTGGCACAAGGTCTAAATCTGGGCGGAGACAGGGACAGACTCAGCCGCCTATGAGGCGGTTCCGGATTGGCGTAGTCCCGACCAGCTCGCGGGAACGCAACGGCGTCTTCAACATTGGTAGCATGGGGGGGCATGGGCTACAGAAGCGACCAGAGTAGGGAGAACATGTCGGTGAGATGATCTTGGGAGTGCGATATGGATTGAGGGGGGGTCCATGTTGGTACCCACTCACTTGTCTGCCCCCAGCTCAGACTGGGCGATCTGTGCTTGGCATAGATGTTTGGCCTTTCACTCCATCTGCACGAGGATGTATACAGGCACATTGGACCGATCTCTACCCGCATGTGGACTTGGATCCCTGCCTTCGAATATATGAGTCTGCTGTGCATTGACGACTTGAGTTAACGAAGAATCGTATCTCTCTTTGATTCATATAGCCGAGCACATTGGCAAGAAGAATGTATACGCTATAACTACACTGGTCCCGCACACGTTGCGATAACCCCTTAGACACAATCCCTAATCCTATCCACAGCTGGTATGTATCTACATATAACCAACCATGAGGATGAAGGTAGTGCATTGTTGTCGTCACAGTGGCCGTGTCTGCCAGGCTCGAGCTATGCAACCCTCTGGCTGGGCATGAGCTGTGTAGTTACATGCCCAGGCCAATATTCTCAGTGTACTGCCCGTTCCTTTGCTAAATTTATGGCGACTAAACCGCACGCAAGGCTCAGGGTAGTATTTGATGAGAACAAGAATGATGCGGCGTCTAGATTCGTAGATGCTTTGAAATGCCAGCGAATTCATTGAAGTGAAACAGACATTGAGGCTGTAAAGCTGGTGAATACTTCGTGGTGCTTTGCTCTCTCTCCCTCTCCCCAATCCTCTCCCATCCCCTCCAATTCCCGGTGACCTGGTAATGGTTGCTTGGAGCCAAAAGAGGTTAGCGCGGTATGCTGACAACGCCATGTACAAAAATAGATCGTCGAAGTCTACTTTGGTACCAGTGGATCCTATTCCTGTTTCCGTTTTCTCTTGTCGCTTTACCCTTCTTTCGTTTCCCCTGCACACTATTAACGCCGGTTCACCACGAACTCTACCATAACATGACCGCTCTTTGGGCTTTGCTTCCTCGAGCTTCTCTGCGTCGAATCAGCATGCCAGTTTGATTGGGTGCTACTATATTCGTCATGTTTGTCGAGGATGAATGCAGCACCGCAATCTTCTCTTCTCGACACTAAAGATATGATATCACAGATTGCCGTAAGTAACTAGAATCTGAGTATCAGGGCTTCTTGGTGTCTGTTTTCTCATCGTCCATGAAACTCATTGACAGGTGTGTATCGCCGGAAATAGCTCAATTTACGACACTGACCTAAAAGCCACTGAGTTTCAAGTGCATGCGGCGTAGGACATGTAGACTCCGTTTACCGATCAAGTGTCAATTTGGGTCGTCAAGCTTGCAAATTAACGGTTCATGCCATGCTATACCTCCTAATAGTAACATCTTTCTGTTCTGGATCATTGATCATCACACCATGCGGCATTGCTGCGCAAAGTACAATGCACCAGACAGTGAAGCTCGACTTGAAAGGCCACCATAGGCGGCTCGAGGTCCATTCTTTGTTGTAGTCTCCGTCCGTCCTGCTCATTAGAAGCTTTCATCGTCGTATGTGTGTTTAAGCGCCTATCTTATGCCCAAGACAAGGATGCTGCCAGGATTGAACCTCGTGTTGTAGTCAACATGGTAACAAGCATCAAGCAAAGGAATCCAGCTGTGGTACCGAACAATCTGACCGCTCAGGTCTAAAAGCTTGAGTAACGCAGGCTCCTGCTCGATGGGTCCGCCAAGATGCTTCGCATGGCGGTGCAGCCTGCAATTCATCCCTCGCTTGCCCTGACTCTCCTAGTCCTAAACGACTTCTCTCTCATTTTTGTCGCGTCTCCCACCTCACCCACAGGCTATCATCCTGGGACCTGGTACTTCTTCGAACAATTGGAAACCTATTGCCTTGTAGCCTGGTGTGTTCGTCATCACCTAGCCACACGGTTGCTGACCAGCCGAACGCAGCGTAAAATACAGCGGATATTAAACACCCGTTCGTCGCCTTGGAGGCCCTGTCTTACCGAAGTTCGATCGGGCATTGAACACAAACAACATAAGCCAAGGCAGCGGCCCGTGTCGCATCAAGAAGAAATGTCATCATTCCTAGTACCGACTCTTGTCATACTGTGGCTCAGGGCCGTGTATCGAGATCGTTCATCCTTGGAACTCGTCTCGGATTATTGCAACCAGACCAACACCTGAATAATCCAACACAGATATGTGAAATTTTCCTATATTACCAGCCACCGACCCCCCATCAGCTGCACACGAACTGAAATGAGCTTCAAGTGCTCAACCGTCCAACCAGACTTGAACTGTGCCATGTCACAATATTCATGGCCTAGGGGTCAACGGAGACACGTCCTGAGGGGCAATACAACTCTACATTTGATATGTAGCATTCTAGATTCACAGCATGGATTGTATCGACATCATGCGACCGAAGGGGGATACTAGCACTCCTAGGAACCTAGCATCATTTGACGTCGGTCTTTTTGCGAGCCCAGCCATCCCTGATTGAACCGCAAAGTGTTCGAAAGCATTGATTCGTTGGTCTCTTAAGGATCCACAGATCGACATGCCGTGTCGGCAATGTTTCTCGCTAATTCGGCGAATGTGTCCATACGGAATTTATCTATAGTGACAATCAACATACCATTAGCTTTGAGGTTTCCAAACCCAATCAAGTACATTCATGGCTCAAACAAGATCCTAATGATACATAAAGCGGAACGATACATCATCCTCACACACACACTCCTGTGCCGCCTTCTATGAATCTTAATGCTCTACATTTCGTATCAGTGAAACCGCTCATCTCGAATAATTGAAAGACAAAGCTTGTTCTACGCAACACCACGAATAGTATCCACAGCCCTCTTGTGAAAGTCGGTGTATCGGCGGTACGGTTGGTGGTCGAGGCTCATGCGGCACAGTCTGCGTTGACAATGGTTTACGCCTCACAGATGGGTGCACTTGACGGTTATGACTAGCTATAGTGGAGTCGTCTTCTGTCATACGAGCATACAATCAAAGAAGCTTTTCATGGCACGGCTTATTACCAGAAGGGTCACTCCTTGGAATCTCTCCATGAGCGACCACTTATCTATGTTGGGTAAAAGATCTTAGTGTGTGGACACCTTCAAGCACTGGCAAACTGATCACAAGACCTGCCTGGCAGGATGATGTCGATCATAACGTTGCTATAGTGTTATCTCAGGATACGCAAAAGCGAAAAAAAAAAATGAAAAGTTTCATAATTAGCTGTATGTGATTGTTTGGAATGGCCGAGAGATATCTCACGCCACAAGCGACACAATAGCGAAGCAAACACCAAAATAGGTCATTTGCAGCGCCTTCACCTTCCAAATCTTGTGCCCCTGCTCCTCGTGCCAGCTCTATTCGGCGGAAATAGCCGCAATCACACCTGTTGATTGGTAGACAGACGATGATCTGAGGTCTCAGCATAGGGCTGGCGCGGTTGATTGCGGCACGGGGAGAAGACGGGAACCACTAGGTCGGTATGAGAGGAGTTCCGAAGTATACAAAGCGTGCTCGGGGCGGAACTCCGGGCGGTTCGTGGATTGGTTGTGGGGATATGACGATCTGGACTTGGCTGGAGCCTGAACGGATGTGACGCTGCGGGGAAGATCAAGCTGGCCCATCTCGGTGGTTACGAAAAAGACACGAATGCGATAATACGACACAGCATTTGTCTGTGGACGATCCGTGAGTGACTGCGGTAAATACTAGATGTCGGACATCGGATGAATATTCATTTGACGTCTGCAATACTCATTTTTAGATTGGGTCGCCACACTGTCGTGAATTAAAGGGGTGAGTATCTATCTACCTACACACGAATCACAGACGATCACTATCGGAGTCCTAGTACTACACGTTGTCCTGTGATATGCATTCCATCACTTCTAGCCAATATAAGCGTCAACTTTAGCAAAGTCCTGATACGATAATACTTTGTAGTACGAAGCTCAGAGGTACTAGGACCATGTAAGTCTTCGCGAGTATTCACATGCAATTGACCGACAACAAGACGCATATCCCTTCTCAGTTGAGCCACGAAGAAATTGACCCTGAGCTCGTCTATGCGTACACAGAATGCTACCTTGCATCAATGTGAAGATGACTGACGGACGAACTGGGATCGATCAGTTGGACATTCCATGAGCTTGGTACTAGGATACTGTCCTTTCTTGATTCTACCAAGGATGCCTTGCCCTCGAAAAAGATCTGCTTGGCCGAGTAGCAATAGCTGATATATCCGAAGCCTGTGGCAAGTTCAGACCTCACCCAGAAAGTTCGTAACGGTCGCAGTTCGATGACTAGGTTTTCAGGTCTGTTGGCTTTTACAAGATAGTTTTGGTTTAGCCGATTGTCATAGACATGAGTGCACTGGAGCATTCCCGTCATTGTCTCATCAATATTAGGATTCAAATACGGATACACAGCAATTCCGAGTGAATACTTCGAGCACGTGATTATGTGAGACAAAAGCAATAATTAAACATTTAACCACTACCAAGTGCGCCTGTCGTTGATACCAACAATGCCCTTCTATACTGTTCATCGGATACGTACTTCACGCCTTTGCTTCTCGTGGTGTATGTACTCATCGATGCATACCCCTATAACCCTGTATTGATCTATAGGCGTATTCCTACATATGAGCAGATTTCCAGACCCGCCTGTAGGGACATAGCCGTAGTCCCTCAGGCCATCAGTGAGGCCATGTGAGAAGTCTTCGCGCACGAAAGCACGCCCGGTCGGCCACATGGGCATTTGGTTGGGAACCACCGCTTTGTCGGCTTTCGTGCTCCTACAACTGGACGCATAGGATCTGTGCGCGTCGTTGTCGCCTGAGAACGCTACGAGATGGAATGTCTTGCCCACATCTCCGACTTGTATTAGACCCACTCCGTCTTTCAGAATGATGCGGTCATCGTTATCAATGCTTGCGTTCAGCTGTCCTAAGAAGCTTCCTTGAACAGCGGAAATAGCTTGGAAGATATACGGGAATGGCGCAATAATGATGCATCCGCAGTTGATGTGCACCTCACAGGATATTTTTGCTGTGCTTTCGTTTGCAAGACGGGAGCCGCAACTGGCAGTATCTATGTCAAGCATACGATAGTTCATTGACATATTATGTGTCCGTAAAAATCGCAAATCCGGGTTCTCCCATGGCGTACCAGATACGCACCGATCGATCCAATTCGGTGGTTTAGCACTGGGATCGCTGACATTCCAGTGAGGCTGAAACGTTTTCAGGAGCTTCCGTCTATACTCGACAACATCGTAACCAGGACTCATAAGGGTCGCTAAAATAGTCGCGCTTTGCACCAGCACCCTACCAGTCTCGTCTTTCACCACATCTCTCGGCTGATCATTGGTCGGTATCGGCTCAGACTTAAAGAAGGATTTTTTGACTGACTTTCCGCAGTTACAGCCTTTGAAGTAGAACTGGAATGGTCCTTCTTGCTTTTCGAGCCGCAATTTCATGTATGTGCGCGGAGAGCCCTTGATACCAGTGTCGGCAATAGCTTTGGCTAAACCTTTGGGCTTCAGCCTCCCAAGTTCGATGACTCCGGCGAAGCAGTCTGTGGTCATCACATCGTTGTGATTTTCCACTACGGGTATCCAATCCCACTCGCCCCTCTCTCGACTGCTGACAGCAAGCTTGGTCCATGCGACACCAGTCTTGTGAGATAACTGCTTGAAGAAATTGAACGATATCATATCCAGATCCTCTCCGGACAGATCTCTCTTCACCTCGTCGGCTGAGAATAAACCGCAAAATATTCCCAAAAGGCCTCGAAAGATGTCCGCCTTCTCCCGACACTTTCGAGGCGATAGTGATATTGCGGAGAAGATGTTCATTATGCCTTTGAAATTGTCTTGCCACCAGATAGCTCCGCCAGTAATGATGTCTGCCCTTGCTCCCCCGATGCCTCTCACTTGAGTCTTCAAGCTCTCAAGATCAAGCTCATCTTCTGCTATGATCCTCAAGATGGCATTGACTGAACCCGTATTCACCACTCGACACTCGTCGATCCAACGAAATAGCTTGTGCGCTTTATCTCGGGAATCTGTCGCCAAATCCATCCACGTCTCGAGCTGACCGATGTAATCCATGCGTTCGGAGTTGTTTGCCCACAATATGATGTTCTTGCCGAGAATCATCTCCTGAAACGTCCACACTCTGCTGAAGTAGTCATTGTCAAAAAGTGACTTGACATGATGAATGCAAGCGGCATAACAATTAAGCACACCCATGTCTACAGCAGCCGATCGCATGATGGATTTTTCAAGCGGAAAATCTGTCCTTCCTGCCCATTGAGCCAGACGATTGATCACATTGGGGGTCAGCCTCGCCTCCGAAGCGAGCGCGGCACCGCCCATATGAGCAAGTACGTGGTCTAGAAATTTCAGATTGTCGACAATCTCCTGCGGGTTCCAGACCAAGGGTATGTCGAGCAAGATGTGGCATTTGCGAGCGCTTTTGTAATAGTCGAACATCCGAGGGATCTCAACGGCCTTTTCGTCCATGTCGTCTTGGTTCAGGCAGACGCAATCGCACCACAAGTACCTCGTTTCAGAGCTTATGCTGCCCAGTAGTCTCATGATAGCAGCCAGTTTCTCCGGCCTGAGAGGTATCTTCCAGGTCACGCCGGGGATACCGCACATGTACGGCTCAACCAGATCTCCCCAGGTGTAAGAAACAATATCGAATTCGGAAATCATACTCGCTCGCGGATCGATGACGGAGAACTCTCCATTGGCCAGACTGAGGAGCCTCAAAGGGAGGACGGTCGCCATGATGAAGATACTGCTAGTCCTGCGATGGACGATGCAGACGAAGTAAAAGACGGAGACGCACCATCTTTGAGCAAGGCCTACGGTCGACTCTTACGGCAGAGGGAAGCGCACTCATGATCTGAAATGAGTCCAGCCATTCCTGCCCGCCATGTTAGGGGACGCGCCGGTCCTATAGCGTTTGATTGGCCTCAAAATGGCATCGCGACGTAGACACGAGAGGCGCCAAGGTTATGGCTTGCATTAATGGTGTTGAGAAGCGAGAACACGACCACGCGCGGCTGTGATTCGCTGCTTCAAGGGGAAAATCGGAGCAGAAGCTGAGGATCCTTGTCCTTTGTCGTGAACAAGGTCAATTGTGATGCTCACGATGAGTTGAAGATGAATTGATTTTTTTTTCTGATCAGACGAAATGGTATACCTAGTACATCCTAGAACTTCCAACCGGTGAGGCTGAAGTCTGTCTTAGTCAGCTAGATCCTCACGAGCACTCTTAGAGTCATCACTCTGTCAGCCCATCCTCTTGCATCCATCACTGCAATTTATCAATTGCAACTCCTTTGGATGCTAGCAGGATAGCACTGATACACGTTATCTACAAGTGTGTTTTGCTGCGATGAGCAGTTACTTTCGCAACGCTGACAGAACTTCTTCATACGCCGTGTGGCATCCGGATCGACACTCTCATGCTATCACTTTTCGCCTTCACCCTTTACTTTGTCACGGCTGGTGTCTCCTAAGTCCAACCCTGCTATGGGATCGAAGTCGCTAGGTGCGGTCGTCCCTAGCAAGACTTTGTTCAGCTTCTGACAATAGTGGAATGGTAAGTGTGCTGCTTCCATCACGCACCTTGGGAAGCATAAGGGCCTAGATCAGTATCATTGGCTCCCTCCAGCTTGTACGACGCTTTCACTGCCACATCAGAGACCGCTTTGCCAACTGCCTTGACTCCCTCCTCGACAGCTACCACTGCATTATGAGCGATCTCGGTCAAGACATTCAGCACTTGTGCTGCTTCGGTCGCAGTCTTGTTCGAATTGGCCGAGTTCTTCCCACCGCCATTAGCATGATTCCCTTGAATGGCGGTGCTATACAAACCTTTCCGAGAGTAGCCTCGGACGATTCGCAGTCATCAGCAACGGTCAACTTGCCGCTTGTTGATTTTGTGTTTTCATCACTTTTTGGTGCCATCTTGTCATAAAGCTTACTTTAAGACCGTTCCGAGTGACGTCTTTGCCGTACAAGGTTCTCAGGACTCTTCATTCAAGTTGTTATTGAGGAGCAGCATTGAAACGTAGCAAGTACGTGGTCATCGTCGCTGCAGCTAGCTTCCTAAGGTATGTGAGTAACCTCGATCCTGAACACAAGGAGTCACGCGCTCTTTGAAAGCTTCGTCAGGCTAACGTGTCAAGCACTTCCTCTTTCCGGCGACGACTTCAATGGCAGTTGATTGCGTATTGAATACAGATGCACATCGTAAGTGTTGACGGCATACGTCTTCTCGTGCCTTTACCGTGGATCAGACATATTACGAGTTCGATTTCTCCTTCATTGGGCGTAGTCACCATGACTATCACCAAACAAGAACAATCCGGCCGTCTCCAGACTGGTTAGATCGACGAAATTGACTTTTAATCATGGAACAGCCCTTCATGCGACAGTTAGTTAGATGTGGCACGAGGTCGACTTGCCAGGTTCGACCGTATACGACAGCCCTATGTGTTGTGTATCGCTGCACTCCACACTTCTGCTGCTACGCCAGGGATCATAGATTAGGCATGATCATAATACTGTGCTTCCCCAGGATCTGCCACCAGTGACGAATTGCCTCCGGGATCTTGATAGCCCATCATGATACCAAGCAATGAAGTAGATTGGAAAGTCGCCGTCCGGAACCTCTGGTAGCTTCTTTACACGAAGTCAATGCCTTGATACTCGATGGTTGACTCGTAGCCTAACACCGGACTACGTGCTTACTGGTCGGAAATACAGCCACGCCATTTAGGCTATTTACTTGGAACATTCCATCGCCATTCTCTACTGCAGGTCTACATTCCCCCAGACTTTTCTGAAAAAAACATGCTTGCCACATGATACTACCTGGAACTAGGCCGGCAGTGCGTTCGTTCAATCAAATCGACATCGGTCTATGCGCTCGGTGGCTAGACACGTGTGGTGAGATTTTCGTCTTTGCTCGCTTTATGAGACGCCAATCCAGCAGAATTACCCACCATTCAGTGTGTATAACTCCTTGAGATCAACTCCTAAAACAATAATAGCGACTCGCTCTCCGGATCTTGTTTCTCCTCACAAAAGCTTCAATTCGACAAAATGGTGTCAGGTGAGTGGTATGCTGCAGGGGTACTCAAAGAATGATTGATCCTGTGCGTTAACTTACTGCATATTATAGATGCGGCTTGGGAAGCAAACAGGCACGTCTTGTGGATCTGACCAGGGTCTCACTAATATGGCGATTGACAGACTGGGTCATCCGTGATGCTAGACGCCACCACAATGGACACACCTTACTTGTCTCGGCTTGTCGATGCTTCACTCTACTTCAACCACGACCCACTCATTTCTCCACATCTCAGAATATTTATATCTGTCCATTCTTCTTTGCACCACAGGGGATCGTGCAGGTAGTCTCGATCGAAGTCCGCCGCTGCGCCTGCCGAACACCAAGCCACGGCTTATTCCACTGAAGTCTCATCATTGTGGCCAGTAATACCACCAAGGGTGTGCTCGCCAGTCCACCAATAGACCATGCCCACCCTTTCGCCGTCTCCGGATGTTAGTCCTGTGTCAGCAGCAGCAGCAGCCAACTCTCACTACCTTCGCGATTCTTTCTGCCTCAATCTTTCGACCTTGCCAGATGCAAACAACTATTCCATCAAGTCGTCTCTTGCGTCATCTCACCTACTTGATTCTCCCACAGATGGCCTTTACTCACCCATCAGCAATCTTAGTGTGAGCGGAGCACCATTTCGTAATAGACCTCGCAACATGTCACAGTCATCCACTGATAGAGAGACGCCGTACGACACCTCACTACTCTCGAATGGTCAAGCTCCAACTAGTCATGGTGACGCCTGTACGAACCCTAAAAAGAGGCCGAATACAGATGCAATTGACTACCCGCGTCGGAGAGCAACAATTGCAGTGAGTTGATCCCAATGTTATTATAATGATTTCGAAATTAATAGTATTGCGCAGTGTGAAATTTGTCGCTCAAGGAAGTCACGATGTGATGGTTCGAGACCAAAGTGCCGACTCTGTACAGAGTTAAATGCCGAATGTGTATATCGAGAGCCTGGAATCAAGCTTGATGCCGGAGACAAGTTGATCCTGGAGCATTTGAATCGCATTGAAGGGCTCCTACACTCAAGCTTTTTATCCCAGCATGGCAGCCTGAATCTCAGTTCGCACTCTCCTGCTGCAACCACCAGTACCAACGACGATATCCTCGCGCGAAGTTCCAGTGACGTCTCGGGCTTGGGCTTGTTTCCAGTTGTCAATGAAGTCGGAACGTGGTCCACACTACCCTCGAACATCTCCGTTATGCCAAAGACTCACACGACTCCAGCGCTGAATCTTCTTCAATGGCCGATGATTCGGGACCTTGTCTCACGCCCTTATGATCCCCAGGTGTTACTCCAAATAGAAATGGCTCGAGAGCCTTTGAGCTTTGGAACTCAGCTCAATATTGATTTGTCGCACACTGGGGCTTATGTACAAGCTTTCTTCGAACGGGTGAACGTGTGGTATGCCTGCGTGAATCCATACAATTGGCACAGCTATTATCGTACTGCGCTATCTGTTGGCTTTCGAGAGGGACCGGAGAGTTGCATTGTACTACTCGTGCTAGCCCTTGGCAGTGCTAGCAACGCCGGTAGCATCTCCCAGCAGCCTTCAGACAAGGACCCACCTGGTATGTCGTACTTTGCTGCTGCTTGGGCTCTGCTTCCAAGTCTCATGACTCGCAACACTATGATGTCTGCACAATGTCATATTCTAGCTTCTGCGTACTTATTCTACATCGTACGCCCATTGGAAGCATGGAACCTGCTTACGAGTACAAGTATGAAACTCCAATTGCTTCTTAGTTCCCCTGGGCGACTGCCTACACACGCGAAGGAGCTAAGTGAGAGAGTGTATTGGAATGCACTCTTGTTCGAAAGGTAAGTCGATCTTGTGTCGTCCAAGCCAATTCTTATGTTTCTGCTAGTGATCTTCTTGCTGAGCTGGATCTTCCACATACGGGTATCATCCAATTCGAAGAAAGTGTGGGCTTACCAGGAGGATTCGAAGATGAGGGAGAAGAGCCAGCTGGCAAAGATGAACTCTGGTACTTCCTGGCTGAAATCGCGCTACGGAGGCTCCTTAATAGAGTTAGTCATATGATATACACGAAAACCACCCCGTCGACCTCTCTGGCCGTCTTGGATCCACTCGCAGCGGAACTAGATTACCAGTTGACACAGTGGTATGAAAGCCTGCCCATTCCGGTGCAATTTCCTCACAGTAGAGTACCGCTGTCTAATCCAGTACAAACGGTTCTACGACTGCGCTACTTTGCTTGCCGGACGATCATATACCGCCCTTATATCCTCGCTGTGCTCAACGATGAGAGTGTGGCCATGGACCTGACAGTGCAGGAGAACTGCCGGCGGTGTCTTGAGGCCTGTATCAGACAACTGGAGCATATCCAAGCTCAGTAAGTGTCCTTCTCCTGAATTAAGCTCCAATCGAACTCGATGCTGACTACATGTCCAGTCATGCGGGACATCTGCCTTACCTATGGCAAGGAGCTTTATCGTACGTGAACCCTTCCATCATGAGGCTATACTGCTTAACTAACACCGTAATGCTAGAATTGTATCGCAAACACTGCTTGTAATGGGGGCAACCATGTCGTCGTCTTTGTCCGCTTTGCTCCCCCCACCACATCAGATGGACGTTATCATTGACGACGTTATACTCGAGATCGAACGATATGCGCACCTGGCCCCGAGTCTTCGTCTATCTGCAGAAATCATTCGCGAGGCAGAGGATCGGAGGCAACTGTATCTTCGATCTGTAGGCGTGAGGGCTTGATATGAACAGGCCAGCGACGGCCCCAATTCTGACTAGTGATGTTGCGCAGCAATAATGATGTTCAGATAGATCTTGACGACTTCATGGTCTTAGTTCTAGATTAGGTACTACACTACGCTACACCAAACGTACGAAGAGACGCTCGTTGCGATCATCCTCAATGCAATGCCCTTCGCGGGATTCAAGACAGGGCCACGTAGTCCCATTCACTACGAGGTACCACCAAGTCCGTTACGGTGACTAGGCACCTCATCTGTCCGATCTCTTCATGAATAGGATGACGTCTTACGGCCTCGCAAATGCGAAATTGGTCAAGTGCATGAAACATCCCCTGGCTTCGCTACTACAGGTACGACCCTATGCGAACTATTTTCGCGGACTCTTTGATAAAGATTAATTGAATCATGATGTTCGCATTAACGCTATGTACACAACCGATAGTTACACCCGCGACAGTATCCAAACACCTGAATCTGTTCATAAACTCGCCTATATCACCTATGAGCAAAGGACGGATCTGATTCGTGCAGCGCCATGAAAAACAATTACTGAACCCCGCCAATAGAAAAAACGTGTAATGAAGCCCCATCAAATCATAATGTTGCAGCATGTGACAAACACTTCCGATCTTGCATATAGGCGCGTGCGCTCATCCCAAACCCGGCCAGGATGCCCAGGATGCCAGGATCAGACTCCAGCGCATGCCATGCACTTGATTCACTACCCATGGCGCCCTTTCAGATCTTCCAGAAGCCCTTTTTAAACGTCGCGCTAGTAAGTTCCTTGCATCGCACTAGCATTCCTTGGATTATCTGACGCAGTAGTAGGGAGGGTAATATATATCGTGTGTGTGCTGGCCCCCTTTTTTTGTTCGGCTCAGCGGATGCAAATGCTCTGTGGTAGGTCATGCGCTACACTACCTTTGCAAAAGGAATATCGGGCTCGCGCAATGTAAATGATGACGTTGATGTGACGCTGTAGTTCCGTCTCTACGAGAACGAGATATGATCCTCAAATCATTGTAGCGGCAAATAAACAAACAGTATCGCAGTTCTGTTGAGTTGCTTGGCTTCTAAGAAGCTAAACTTCGTCGTTCATAGTTGGGATATTGCCCTCATGTGCCGCTGTAATGAAATCGTACTTACTTTCCTAAAGTCTACCCTCCCGATCGAATACATGCTGATCCTGCAATCATGCTTGGACGACTGGTGACCAATATATGTGTTACGTCAGGCATGGCATATTACAACATCCTTGTATCGCTAGCTGCCTAGGTGGTCTCTTGTGAAACTTTTTTCGAGAGTACTTTATATTAATGTCAACTCGGCTGATGTGAATGATATAACTCCTTTTCTCGAAGTGTCGTTGTATAGGCGGCGTCAGAGGGAATAGATCGTCCATTAAAGAGATGTGAAGTTATTTGGGCTCAAGATACAGGGCTATAAACACTTGCAAGCCGACTGACTTTGCACACGCCTTTGTTCGCACACCTGCTCTTCGATCTCAAATCACAGTATGAAAAATATTGACCGTGTCAGGCTAGCAAGGCACAAATGGGACACGGCCTGAGATTGACTTCTGGGACAATTGTCGAGGCATTAATTACTGATGAGACTTCGTTCCATGACAAGTATAGTACAGGATGTACTAGAACAAGAACAACAAGGAGACATGGACGTGTGTCCGTTCGAAAGTAACTTCATGGAATACAAAGCACCAAGAAAGCCCAGACTTCCCGTAGAACAGAGTAGCATAGAAGCCTTGCATTTTCCTCTCAAGAGTGCGCTGTAGGCACTCTCTGAACAATAACGACGTGCGTTTGAGAGGACTCTGCATCGGCTCGCTGCTGAGGTTTGTCCTCGCTCAGTGTCGACGGTGACTTCTCAGTGTTGTCTCCCTTTGCTTCGTCAGGATCTGTCCGTGCGTCAATTGCTGTAGGAGGACGACTTGTGCCTTCGTTTGTAGGGTCAGACTCTACGGGAGACGCAGACCCTGTTTCTGAGCCAATGTTGGTAGACGGATGAGTCTTATCTTCGTCGGAATGATCGAAATGGACATGTGGGCCGGACTCAGGGTTAGGAGATGTAGTGTTGTATGGCCCGGCCGCATTAGGAGTAATGTAAGACATAGGTGGTTCAAACTCGGGATTGTAGGTATCTGTTCCGCTGACTGATGGTATCGAGGTGTTCATATTGTACCTGATCAACAGGATTATGGACAAGGCTAGAAGTCTGATGAGTGCCGCAAGTGCTCCAATGACAAGCTTCCGTTTCAGGGAGTATTGGTAACGCGCACTAAGGACAATTGCCGCGGGCGTGATCCCGGAAGCAACCATGAGAACGTAGACTAGAGCTATCAGTAACGCGCCCACAAGCACGGCCTGAAGTAGTAGTCAGCTAGCAGCTTGATAGCTCTACATGCTGTGCACGTACCCTGCTACTGGTGCCTCGGTCATGTCGGGATTTGGCCAAGAATAAAGCGATCACCGGTAGGAATATCAGAAGCATCAAGGAATGCAACACGATTTCTAGCGCAAAGATTGCTGTGGCTAGACGCAACATCATGGCTTGAACTTTGGACAATACCAGGAGCTCAAGCTCCAGTCCTAACGCATCTTTGCCTTTGATTTGAAAGATGGTAGAGACAATGATGTAGGAAACGAAAACAAGTGTTGTCAGGCCATACGCAATGCGAGCGAGCAAGGACCAGGCTTGGGACCGCTGGCGAGAATTCCTAGTACCCAGAAGAATCTCTATCATAGTAAAGTACAATAACAGATGTCCAAGTAATAAGAAGGCTCTCGAAGCAAATTCGAGGTGTGTGGCACTTAGGATTTTGCGGCGAGAAAGGAGCAACGCGAACGCTGCAGTACTCAAGACGTATCCGCTATGAGTATGTTAGTGCATACCGATAGCGAAGTAGGGCAATATTACACAAGAAGCGCAAAGACAGCCAGAGGAAAGTAGATTCTCCATGTGCTTGATCGTTGTGCGAGGCCCCTGTGTCGCAGGGTAAACGCGAGGTATAGGATACCCAGGACGAGCAAGAGGAAGACCGAGACCGCGCTGATAGCCAAAAATCCTTTCAGGTACCATGAAGTGACCTTGACGTCTTGGATATCGATATCCATATTGGCTGATGTGATAACGATGGTCAAGACAAATAAAGATGTTGAGAGAGGTTGGCAAATGGGTAAATGAAAAGCGGATGAAGAGTCAGAAGTATTAGAGACCCATTGGAAGAAGCAAACTAGGTCTGACATACATCTAGATCCACAGTAGGAACGAACCTGACAGTTATACCTTCCACCTAGATCACTGGCTGATGTTTTCCAAGGTTAGAACGCACTGTGCCTGCGCTTCTCAAAGGACTCGAATAGGGAGTTGCACACCTGAAGAGCATATCATGCACGATAAGTAACCTTCTCTCTTCCTTAATTGACGTTGACATCGTGCAGTGAAAGTGCTAGTTGCTCGACGAATGATGGTTTTAATTGTGCCTTGTACTTGTAATTATGCGAATCTCGAGTTTTTGGGCCTGTGTCTTGGGGGTCGACCGACCTTGTTGCCTTGTTGTCTTACTTGCTGATGTTATTAGAGGACATTTCTGTAGGCGCCCTCATCATGATATCTTGTAGAGTTGCCTTTGAATGCATAGTCAGACCCATGGCCATGAGCATGGCCCGGCATAGTTGCTGGCTGCCATAGGGGAATATAGGTCGTGATTGAGGTTTCTATGTTTATGCCTCAGGTCTGAGGCCATTATCTACTACGGTCGTTCAAATGTACCTGAAAGCCTTAAACAGCGCTAGCTTACCTAACGGGACACCGTACTTTGTCAGCTAGCTATCCACCCAAGTTCCTATTACGAAATCTAATATTGAGAGAAAGCCCTACTACTCAGCCTCAATGAATAACTCACAGTTCAGAAAGCTTGTTCTCGAACAGTCGACATCAAAACCTGAAAATGGCACGCAGACAACGCCCCAACCGAGCGCAACACCATTCGGCGCAAGAGCACGAGGTTTCATGACACCGTGAGTACACATGTCACGACTGAGGAAATTCGCTGAAAACTTATAGACGCCACACGCCAGGAAGCACGAATAATGACTTCAGACGCCAACTATTCGAGCAAGCGGCGGAGAACCAGCAACGCAAGAAATTCCGCTCTAGTGCAGCACCCAAGGGCACGAAGCTCGCTGCTGGCTATTCAGATCGCACACAGAGCAGAAAGGATGAAGAAGATGACGACAAGGGAAAGAGAATCAAGGCGTTGGAAGAATCAATGAAGCTGCAGCAGATTGACCAAGCGACCTTCGAAAAGCTACGCGACCAAATCACAGGAGGCGACATAAGCTCGACACATCTAGTCAAGGGACTGGACAGAAAACTGCTCGAAAGGATTAAAAGAGGCGAAGATGTGATGAACAGCCCGTCAAAAGAGCAGGATCCCGAGGAGGATATTGTGGAGGATCTCGATGGCGCGCTCGACGAGTTTCAAGATAAATCAGTAGCACCGATCCAAAGGCAGAGATCGCTGAAGAGAGGAGAGATGGCACCTCCTGCAACCGGTGGAATAAAACGAGATCGGAACGCCCTCTTGGCGGAATTGAGAGCATCAAGGCAGGCAGCTACTGAGACAAAGGCCGCCGCATCTTCAAAATTTCGGAGGATCGGTGAGAAAAGAGAAGAGTCGAGGTTTGAGACCGATGCCAGGGGAAGGGAAGTCCTGATTGTAACCGACGCAGAAGGCAATGTTAAGCGGAAAGTCCGAAAGGTCAAGGCTGATCCCAACGAACCTGAAGTCAAGGCAAGCGTACTCGGCACCGACGTTGTTATGCCCGAGCAACCCGTGCCGTCACCCGTGAAAGAAGAAGAGGAAGAAGATATGTTTGCAGATGCAGGAACAGATTACAATCCCTTTGGAGTTGTTGTTGATGAGGGCGATTCATCAGAAGAAGAGGACGGCGAGCTTGAAGCCAGTACGCAGAGCAAGCCGTCTCAGGGTCTTGAGAGGCTGCAGACTCAGGCATCCATTCCAAGTCCTAAAGCAACAGACACGGTTCCTCAGGCAAAGCGTAAATATTTTGACGATGAGCCCGAAGTTACACCCGAAACGTCCTTCAATCCACTCCACGATCCTGCTATTCTTGCTGCTTTACGCAACTCTCGAGAAGATGGCAAGAAGCCAAAGCTTAGTCAAGAAGAAGAAGCACGCCAGAAAAAGCATGCGGCAATGTTAGCCAGCTCGAACCGGGATTTTGAAGATATGGACATGGGCTTTGGATCTAGTCGGCTCGCGGATGAGGAAGAAATGGAAGGTGGTGATCATATCAAGCTTTCAGAATGGGGTCGCGACGGTGACGCTGATGGTGCTGAGAGAGGAGGTACAAAGCGTAAGAGAGGACCGAAAAAGAAAAGGGGTGATAAGAACAATGCTACTGATATTATGAAAGCTATGGAAGGGCAGAAGGGCAAATAGAAAGGCATTGGACCTTCTTAAAGGCTTGACCAGCAAGGGGGCGCTGTACGATACTTATAGATACCCCGGATCGCGTGCAGTATATATTCGTCAATGTTGTGCCGCACTATATCGAGAGCGCACAGCTTCGAGATTGTAGCATTGGATCTGACCACGTGACCGCCAAGCCATTGTGTGAAGCCTTACTTCACTAATGGTATTTCACGTCTATAGAAATATAACAATGTCTAACTTCGACCTCTGAACGGCACGTTCAGGCTCGCATTGTGTTGGTCATCTACAAGTGAGTAAGTCACATCGGTATTTTACTAGTGACCACATCATGCGAAACTTTCGGTCAAGTCAAGGTGATACGCATTCCCGAGTCAATTTCGGGGAGGAAGACTGTTCAAATTAGAAGCTGGCTATAGCGACAAAACGTTTCTTCCTCGTAAACTACTTGTAGTTGACTCACGCGTCAAGTTTGAAGCGTGTTTCTACCCGACAAGTGACGCGACCGGTCCCTCAACACTCGAGATCAGATACGATGTCCAGATCCTCAATCGTGCAAGGCGACCGTCCTGCTGTTCCTGAGTGTCTATCATGGTCTCACGATGGTATGCTAGCTGTTGCAATAAGAGACCATGTAGACGTTTATGTAAGCTTTCCGTGCCGGTTGAGACAAATGCCTTACTGGTTTAGATACCGCGACATGGCCGAGTACAGCCTCGAAGTGAAGATTCAGTCACTGGAGAATTCAAAGATTGGCACAGAGTCCAGTTCCGGGTTAATCTTTGGGCGTTTGAAGAGCTCCCGCGCATGAGAATCACGTCGAGCAAGATCTTGTCGGTTGGAGAAGAGCAATCAGAGAGTGAGATCGCTGTTATGAAATGGTCACTACCCGGTCTTGCACAGTATAGCCGATGCGCGCTTGCGATCTTGACAACGAATCTACGGCTCTCGCTCTGGGCTCCACTTGGAGACCCGCGCAAGTCATCATGCTGGACACGTGTATTAGTCTTGAACACAGCCATGGAAAGGTATCTCTCACTTCCAGCACCAATCACAGATGGTCCAACAGTCGATGAAACTTTGCCTCGCCTGCGTGGTCGGATCCGTCAATTTGCTTGGGCATGTCCAACGCGAGTGCCAACTGCATCAGATATAGGCTCATGGAGCGCACACCTCCTGATGGCTGCAAATGAAAATAATGAAGTTTTTATCATGAACGTAAAAACCACCAAAGATACTTGTCAATCTCTTCGCTGGTCGGTGGAGGTGATGGAGCACTTCACCATAGCAACCAAGAATAAGGATAAAGGCCCAGAAGACTCACTGAAACTGAATGAGAGCTACCGCAGAAAATCCTATGCGAAAGATCTCGCATGGAGCCCGTGGTATTCACAAGAAGGAATATTGACGTCAACAATCGCATACACTGCGCAATGTCAGCTTCAGTTTAGGCAGGTACAGCTGATAGAACGTGATGATCACCGAACAACCCTACAACTGAGTTCTAATAAGGCCGTGCACAAGTATCCTGTCAGGCGTGAGGGTAGATCTTGGTCCCCACTCATCTGGCTACCAAAGATCACTGCACAGCAAAGCCTGACACTGCTCGCGTTCTCCATGGATGGTGTTACAAGCATTGAGATGGACCTCGTCAACGACTCATACTGGAAGGTCTCGGAAAGGAGTCTCGGAGGTAGACTCGATGCAGTTACCGGTGAGCTACGCCCATGAAAGATGCATCATTCTTGTATTGACACTCGACTGCAGGGGTCGCATTGACACCGCCTGAGATCTTACCAGTACGTTTGTATGCAACTACTCTTATGTCGACTGCAGGGGAAGCACCATTGCAATTCGTGTTGCCTATGGATTCGAAACAACCAGAAAGCTTGCCGAATTGGCAAGAGCAGATTCGTGAGCAGCGGAAACTTTTTGGCGTGTTGCATGAATTGGGGGACCGAGTTGCGATCAGGACTTGGGGCCTCACTCATTCCCCTCTGGGAGATCTGGTTGTCACCTGTTGTAGTCTGCATCCATCAGATGTGGTCGAGTACAAGATAACCCACCAGATGGAATACGTACTTACGATTAGCTCAGTATTGGAACAAGTAGACTCATTCTCTTTGTCACAATCGTTCGGTCATACGTGGGCAGAAGGTAAGTCTTGATTAGAAGCTTGTCAACTCGGAGTACTAATGCGCTAGCCAAGACATAAGCATAGAAGCTCTTGCATATAGTATCAAGAGGTGGCTCTTCAATCAACCTGACTCTGTAGAGAAGGTCGCGACATTGAGAGACCAAATATTACAGGAGCTCTTGAGAATGTTTGACTGGCAAATGAAACAGACAGACAGAATGATTCAGTGAGTCCAAACGTACCTCACAATGAGAAATCAACTAAAATTGTGTCTGCCAGCGATCATATGAATGAACATAGGCTGCAAATAGAATTGAAGCACGCTGTGATGATGCGACCAAAGGCGCTCAATTGCAGACTTCGAACCGCGATAGACATCATCTGCGAACCTGAAAGCACCAAACAACCGCAGAGAAGGCAGACTGCAAGCTTGTATCTCAAAACACTTGAGGAATTCCTGCCACTAATGGACCTTACAAGCCATATTGCCAAACGTATTCTCGTTACGCAATCACAGGCACAAGCTGGACTCTTGGGCCAGCCTATACCCGAGGGTCAGGAGCTATGTGAGATATGCAAGAGCTCGATACCATTCACCAATATCGGGGTAGGGTATTGTGAGAAAGCGCATCAGTTTTGTAAGTACTATAGCATCATTCGTGTATACTGACTACTGATAGCGACGATAGTGCGCTGCGGTTTGACTTTCCAGGCGATCCAAGCTCCTGGTATCTCAAAAATATGCGGCATGTGTGGTATGCAGACTCTTAACGATTTGACTGGTCTGGCACGCAATGAGCATCGTTACAGGGCAGACGATCCAGCTACAGAAAATACAAATGTAGTTGCTACTGCTGCTATGTCTCGAGCAGCTTTCGAAAGAAGTGGGTCCCCAGGTTCCAGTCTGCCTCCATTTGAGGAAGTACTTTTCGATGCATGCGATGTGTGCATTTACTGTGGGGGAAAGTACCTCTCATAACGATGGCATATCAGCGCTGGATCTATTGTTAGGAGAATGATTGGGTATGGAACCTGTAGCTCGTAGTTCTAACGTCACCCTAACGTCTCTCCTGTTAGCTAATACAGGGATCGACGATGATGGCATTTCCCCGTAGCCCATGCAGAATACGATGCTGACTGCACAATCCGATGACACGGCATTGACGGTGCTTGGTTGATTAACTCCAGGCTGCAAGTTTCAATGCATTTGACTTACCTCTTGTCTTTTCCCCCCCATAGCCATGGCTTCTCTAGCTTGTCGTGTCCGTACGTCAGGCTGTGGCACACGGGAAAGCACCCTGAAGGTTCTGACATCACCACCTTCCATACCTGTTACAAAGTCTCGTTCACTTAGCTTCGTAATCTCGCAAAAATATTCTCGCAACTTCTCAAACTTTACATTCAATCGTTCAACTAGGCTACATAGAACGTTTACAACATCAAGGAGAAAGAGCACCATGGTTGCCTCGGAAGATCCCCAGAAGCATAACAACGATGACTTCAAGTTGGAGAAAATCTTTGCCGTCAAAGATAAAGTAGCTCTTGTTACTGGTGAGTACTATTTCCAGTTCTTGTTTTTGAGACTTATAAATTACAGGTGGTGGGACTGGAATCGGCTTAATGGCTGTCCAAGCTCTTGCCGTTAATGGTGCCAAAGTGTACATTACAAGTCGGAGTGATGAGAAGCTTGATCGAGTGAGAGACACGTATGGGCAGAACATTGCCGGGCAGATCATCCCAATCACAGCAGATATCACCTCGAAGGCCGACATTAAGAGACTAGTTCAAGAGATCTCATCCAAGGAAAGTAGACTCGATATTCTGATCAACAATGCGGGCATCTCCTCTAAAACGCACCAAACCGAAGCGGAGTCCGCAGAGGAGATGTCCAAGAACCTCTTTGATCCTGAGGATGCAACCTTTGAAGATTGGGTAGAGACATACCGCACGAATGTTCCTCAGCTCTATTTCATGACCACGGCGCTGCTGCCTCTACTGCAGGCCGCGTCTGAGGCTACTCCATCATGGTCAGCAACTGTCATAAACATTTCCTCGATCTCGGGGCAAGTGAAGACACCCCAGCATCATTTTGCATATAATGCTTCCAAAGCTGCTGCCATACATTTGACGCGCATGCTCGCCAGCGAAGTTGCAGCTAATGGACTCAAGATACGCATCAATGATATTGCACCGGGTGTTTTCCCATCAGAAATGACGGCCGGAGATAGTGGAGCGAACCAAAAGAGCCATATTCCTAAGGAGAAGTTCGAGGGTAAAGTACCTGCAAACCGCCCGGGTAATGACCGCGATATGGCTGCCGCGGTACTATTTGCTGCTACCAACCAGGTGAGTTCAGACCAGGGGAACCATCGACATGCAGCTAAATCTCTCAGTATTACAACGGACAAACGTTGACGGTTGACGGTGGCTACACTCTCCAGGCAGGTCGCTGATTTTTCGTAATTAGGGGTATCCGGTCGTGGGCTGTGACGATTTAGACCAAGGCGAGGAACATCCATTCCCTGACCTAGGACTTGCACCCCTGAAGAATATATGCGGTATCATGGTTTCAGATTGAAACCAAATTGTTCTAATGTATGTTTAATGCCGATTCGTCAAGATGTGTGGTCATCCGTATCATAAGCTGCATTTAGTGGAGCATTGAAGAGGTCACCAGATGTAACAGTGACTTTCAAGCGCATCAGCATTTTAATGATTTGGTTGTTAAGCCTAGCGGACCGGTGGTTGACGTCGTGAGCCTCGGCTCTTAAAGCTCCAGTTCTGGGCGCTCGGCCTAGCCTAGAGCTCCAGCTAGGATAGCCGACTACGGCCAGCGACAGAATTACCTGCATAGGTTGCTAGAAAATCGGTTCGCACTCGTGACTCTCCTTCATATTCATCTGTTCATACCGTCTGCAATCGCTCACCTCAAAGCCCTCCGCGCCGTCATATTCCATACAGCCCCAGCTTGTGCGTCAATTGAAACCCCGCCACTAAGCCGCGATATTCACCAATAGCCGACCACACTGTGAAAGGGGAGAGAAGGTGAGGAAGTGAACGGACACGATGCCAACACTAGATCAGACAAAAGAGAGAGTTCAAGAGACGGTAAAGCACACGGTCGAACAAGTCAAAGATGCTGTACCGAAGGAGATCCCATCTGCCGCGGAGCTAAAAGAGGACGTTGTTGAAGGCACAAAGAAGTCTGCAGAGAGCTTGCGTGCATTTGCTGCAGGTGCTGTTGGTGGTGTGTTCTCTGTGGCAGTAGGACATCCTTTTGATCTGGTCAAAGTGCGGCTGCAGACTGCCGAGAAGGGGGTGTACACTGGCGCTATTGATGTTGTGAAGAAGACGATTGCGAAAGGTGGACCAATCTCGTTATATGCAGGTGTATCAGCTCCGTTGACCGGTGTGACGCCTATGTGTAAGTACCGTCCTGATGACAAGACTCGACCGAACTGACATCAGATCAGTCGCCGTAAACTTCTGGGTATGTTGACTGCCATAGTGGTGATGTCTCCTGTGGTGATTTATGCCTGACAGTCTTCATAGGGTTACGATGTAGGAAAACAGCTCGTACGATCGGTCTCGGAAGTCAAGGACAACCAATATAGCGTTGGGCAGATCACAGCTGCAGGCTTCTTCTCCGCTATCCCCATGACCTTCGTCGCCGCCCCTATGGAGCGCGTGAAGGTTCTGCTTCAAATACAAGGCCAGAAAGACCTTAAGCCAGGCGAGAAACCCAAATACGCTGGCCAGATGGACGTTGTCCGTCAACTATACAAGGAAGGCGGTATCAGGAGTGTATACAGGGGGAGCGCCATGACCCTTGCTCGTGATGGGCCCGGATCAGCCGTCTATTTCGCGACATATGAGACAATCAAGCGGAGACTGACGCCAAAGGATGAAAATGGGAAGCCTGGCAGTTTAAGTCTGACAGCGGTATGTGCGGCTGGAGGTGCTGCTGGTGTGGCTATGTGGCTGCCTGTCTTTCCAGTCGACACGATCAAGAGCAGACTGCAGAGCGCAGATGGCAACCCAACAATAAGTAGCGTGGTGAAAGGACTATACTCAAAGGGTGGTCTGAAGGCGTTTTTCCCCGGTATGGGCCCTGCTATGGCAAGGGCAGTACCAGCTAATGCAGCAACGTTCTTGGGTGTAGAATTGGCCCAACAAGCGATGACGAAGATGTTTGGGTAAGAGTTCTCGCAGGAAAAGGTGTTGTGGTTGTTTAGATATAGACTCTAGACTTACGTGTTCCCATGAGCTACTTTATGAAACTTGGCCGGACAATCTTGTTCATGTCGTTTGTCCCTTGAAGCCTGCGTTTTCGCAAGGTAGTCACAGGTTATGGTGTAATTATACGTGAACCACTCCTGCCTCTACTATCGTCTTAGCCTGTCATCCCTGGCCAGCCAACTTATATGTCAGGATGTTTCCTCCAGCCATCCTACTGCAATATTACCTACCTTAGCTGTTCTCTCTGTATCATCGTCACTGAGGCATCATCAGTTTACCACCAACGGTGAGGTCATACCTCACGTTGCATTAGACCCTCACCTCCCTATCGTCCGGCTGTACCATTGAAATTAAGTCATGTGGCATGGTTTCGGCTTCATCCTGCTCATCCTGCTCCTGCCACCTCTTGCAGTCGTTTACGCATACTACCGCCACGAAGATCTAGCCTACCATGCCATCGGTAACCTCATCATCTGGCTACTGTTCTGGCCCGTCGCAATCATTCACGCTTTCACTGTGATATTCGAATGCGGGCACATCAAGACGGGGCTGTATTTCGACCACCCTACTCGTGAGAGGCGTCGAGCGGAAAGACAGGAGAAGAAGGCCGCCTATAAGCAGAGGAAGTATCAGCGGGAGTACGGGATGGCTCACCAGACTGTCCAAAGCCTTCAGGGTCAAGATGTCGCTCGGAACGATCCTTATGTACCTCCCAGGGTGGTTCAGACTGCTCCGCGCGCTCGATTAAGTGTTTCTCGGACTGATCCATACCAAGTACCAAGGGTAAGTCGAGCAGCCCTAAAACTGCGAATAAACATCGCATTGGAAGCACTTGAAGTACTGACATCATACGGTATAGGCATGAGTGTTTACAAACTCACGATGCGTAAGGTAGCCGTTGGGAAGCCAAGAGCTGAACCAATACATGGCAAGACCGAGATGCTACCTTGGAGACGCCTGTCAGTCAATGAGATGAGCGAAGAACATGAAGATTAGTGTTTAGTGGCTATCCGGATCGGAGATGAGGGGCCCTGTTGCGGAGAACACTCCGAAAAATCCACGATCTGCACCCAGCCCTAAATTTTTAAAACACAAATTCCTAGCTTCGAATTCAAGATCACCAATTTTATTCCCTCGAAACCACGGTCTTGTTCAGCATGTCTGTCTGTGTCGCATGTAAGAAGCACCTTGTGCTCGATATCGACTTCTCAGACGACGATGAGGACACTTCAATGGGCGGTTCCAGCAGTGCGCAGCCCACAAAGCAAGTCCCAGATGATGTACACTTGAGCTGCGGCTGCCACTTCCACTGGTAAGAATAGCACACCAGATCATGATACACACGCAGCTTTTTCTGACGGCTCTCCACCAACAGGGACTGCCTCCTTGAATCCTACACCATCGACAGCTGTCCGGCCTGCAATACAGCCCTTATCCGTCCTACCCCCAACGGCGGCCAACAGATCCTGTGCACACTCTCCAACGAAGGCGGCGTGCAAGAAAACCTCGACATCCTCCCGCTCCTCATGGAAGAAGCATACCTCAAAGCATACCCCGAGGAAACCAAAGCGCGCGCGTTTCTGGAGTTCTGCCGCGCAGGCGACCTGACTGCCATTGTAGAGATGATACAAGACTCAGCGGAGAGCGAGGGCGACGACGAGGAGATGGACGAGGGCGAGGGCGAGGGCGAAGGGCAGCATGGCAGTACGGTCGACTGGCTACGGTATCAAGACCCGATTGGCGATATGCAGAGCGGGCTTCATGCAGCCGTTGCGGCGGGGAGTCGTGAGGTTGTGTGGCTATTGCTGCTCATGGCGAGTACGTTAGACTTGCAGGCGTTTCCGCCGCAGGTGTTTCAGGAGGCGGAGGTGTTGGGCATCATGAGGCCGACGGATAGCGAGATGGAGGGCAAGGTGGACATCAGGACGTTGAGAGATGCGAGTGGGCGGAGCGCGGAGGATGTCGCAAGGGAAAATGGGGGACTCTGGGCGGAGTGGATTGGGAATGGGAGGTTGGTGTTGTAGAAAGAGAGGAGAAGGAAGGGGTGGTCATCATGGTGCTCAGGGAGGTATATACCCGAAGTGGTCGGTCGGGCGTCGAAAAGTTATTTGTTTCGGAACACTATTATGGTATAGTCTATGTGTATGTGTATAATCAGATGTCGCTCTGCCGGAGTACCAGCTTACATTGCCGACGCTTAGCAAGGCTTCTTACAAGACCATGTAAGATACCGACGGAGCACTTGATCTTCGCTTTCCGAGTGAGACCCGCATTCAAAGGGAAGTGCAATCATGCCAGACTCAAAGAAAGAAAGCGTTGTCTAGGTTTTCGCTCCATCTCATGCATTCCTTTATATCCTTACATACTTTGTATGGCTCCCCTTCACCACAACAGGCCCCCGCTGTCCATCAACCACCTTCCATATCGTCACACTGGTATAGGCCAGAGTGCCACCCACCTTATCCACGCTCCCCACAATCTCAATGATATCGCCAACCTTGGCCGACGATACGTACGTGATGTGGATATCGACGGACACGCCTGTGGAGTCTCGTAGGTCATAGGCGGCGATTGCGAGGCCGCCGATGAGGTCTACGATCGTGGCGCTGGTGGAGCCGTGGATTCCGCCCTTGGAGTTGACATGAACGTCCGTGAGGGGCAGGCGTGCTACTACAGTGCCCTTTGTTGCAGATATGAGCTCGAGCGGGGTCAGAAGGAAGTTGTAGATGGGGCTTTTGGGGAGGAGGCGGGTGGTGAAGACTTTGTTGGCATGTGCTAGGATTTCATCGTTGGATGGAGGTAGAGATGGAGACGGTTCGGCTGCCATGATTTGGCTGTGGAGGTTTAGTTCGGAGAAGTGTGGGTGAGCGAAGAATTGAGTCTCGACGTCGTGCGTTGAGGATCTAGTAGTTTTGTTAATTTATAGCATACAAAGAAGACAGTATCAGGTCGCTGAGTCTAAATGCGTTGAGTTCGATCAGTCAGTCTGAAGCGTGTATGGAAGCGGGCAAAGTCCATTGGTCATGAATTGTAGAGAGCGGAGTTGTGCGTGTTGGGTCGCAAGAAAAGAGTATTATCTTATCTCATATCTGCCCCGGAGACGGAGATTCTTCGGACCATGCTACACCCATCCATCTCCGACCAGAATCAGCACAGCCTCAATACTGAATAACACCGTCTTGCAATCTTATTATGAAGCCCCACCACTGCCGAAGTGGAGAACGGACCGATGAGATGTTCGTACGATGTACAGCGCAAGTTCCGACGGGCTGGGGCTGTTGCAGACAAACTTTCACGGCATGATGCCTCACTCAGCCAATAAATACGTCTTCTGCAGCCAACCAACAAGGCTAATATTATATTCAGGCGAGCACAAGAAGACTTGGCTGTAACGGCAACGGTTCCGGGGCGATGCTGCGTGTTCGTGTCTCTTACACGGGATGTGCTTCAGATGCAAGTCGGCCTCTTTGAAAGTCGACGCCTCACGGCTACAACATGCCACCGTTGCTGTAGGCAATATTACGTATTACGATAATTACCTGAGGCTATTGTCCAAGGTACGTACCTTTTAAGGTCCATCTCCAAGATCCAAGTTCGGCTTGGCGCGCGGATTCAGAACGAATCCGAGCCCCGCGTGCTTTACTAGTCGTTTCGTATTCCCTCACCCGCTCTCGTGAGGCTAAGACATTACACTCGGCGGAACGCGTAACACATCCTTGGCTGTTTAGCTTTCACAACTGTATCGAAGACAGGTCGTCTCTGTGAAGAAGTCCACGTCGCTGTCGTAGATGCCTTCGATGGTTGATTGTTGAGGTAGTATACATGTCCGATAGCAAGTCCGAGGCACGCAAACCACTCGAGAAATGAACAGCATCCTTCCGAAACACGCTCTGCCCTAGGGCTAAGGCGCAGCAAAAGACAAGACATGGATAGATGGATCCAAGCGTCATGTCTTGGTGCCTCGACGACTAGGTACCCCAAGGTATTGCCCAGCTCCTACTGATCGTCTTATCCTAGGCACTTTCAACATTGGTCACAGCCCCTTGCGCTGTATCATGATGTGAAATGTAATTATGTGGACTGTCTGCCTTCTCTGTCGTTTTGCTCTTTTTCTCTCTTGTACGTCTGCGTCTCAAGCCGTATTCCTTGCATTGCCTGAATTCTATTTTCGGTGGCATGCTGACCATAGCCGCGCGATTCATCATTCTTACGCCGCATTCTGTACCTATAATCAAATCTAACCAACTCACAGAGACGTCGCATTATTCACTCGTTTGTCAAGGACTTTACTCGTCGTAAGGTCACATTCCTGTTTTTTTTTTTTTTTCGGATTGTCTCTCGCTCTCGATGCTGTGCATCAAGCTGTGATTCTGTCAACACTGTCGTCTTCTACCTTATAAAACAGCCGATTGTCCCTATAACGACCACGGCCTTACTCGAAGATGAGGCTCTTAAAACTGGTTCCGCTGCTATTTGCCGTGTCGCAAGTTCAGTCGATAGAGCTTAATCCAGACGACGATGAGTCGATCAAGTCAACCACCAAAACGATAGCAGAGCGTTTATTCTCATATTACACTGGATGGAGGCCGGGCGATGTTCCTGGCAATCTACCGGATCCTTACTACTGGTGGGAGTGTGGCGCGATGATGGGAGCATTGGTTGATTATTGGCATTATACCGGTGATGATCAATTCAACGACAGGGTGTGTCGGCCTAAGAACAGAAGGTTGTCTTGAACAGTCACTGACATCAGCAGGTCTCACAAGCAATAGTCCACCAAGCAGGAGACGACCGAGCGATGATGCCAGCCAACCAAAGCAGACAGCTCGGCAACGACGACCAAGGCTTCTGGGGCATCACCGCCATGATGGCCGCAGAGCGCAACTTTCCCAACCCACCCCCCGACCAACCACAATGGCTCACCATCGCCCAAGCCGTCTTCAACACCCAGGCCGCCCGATGGGACCCCTCGTGCGGCGGCGGCCTGAAATGGCAAATCTCCCAGTTCAACGTCGGGTTCGCGTACAAGAACACCATCTCCAACGGCTGCTTCTTCAACATCGCCTCCCGCCTCGCCTCGTACACGGGCAACACCACCTACGCCGAATGGGCCGAGCGCGCATGGGACTGGATGACCTCGGTCGGCTACATCACGCCAGACTTTATGTTTCTCGACGGCGCGCACCACGACAACGGCCGCGACTGCCAGAACCTCGACCGCACGCAGTGGTCCTACAACGCGGGCGTCAACCTGCTCGGCCTCGCGCACATGTACAACAGAGTATGTTCCCCTTTCTTTCCTTCCTCCCTCCTTTCCCTCCCACCCACCACAAATCTAACCTCCCTCACCCCCTTCCAGACCGAAGACCCAAAATGGAAATCCCGCCTCGACGGCGCCATCACCTCCCTCTCCGTCTTCACCCACCCAGACACCCCAAACACCCTCTACGAACCCGCCTGCGAAACCGTCCAGCGCTGCAACCTCGACCAACGCTCCTTCAAAGCCTACATCTCCCGCTGGCTCGGCTCGACCATGCAGCTCGCCCCACACACCATCCCCGCCCTCCTGCCCATCCTCCGCACCAGCGCCGTCGCCGCCGCAAAGGTCTGCGCCGGCGGCTCGTCCGGCACAGACTGCGGCTATTCCTGGATCTCCCCCGGCGGCCAGTATGACGGCTTGACGGGTGTGGGCGAGCAGATGGCTGCGCTCGAGGCCGTGCAGAATGTGCTTTCTGTCAAGGCGGCGGGCCCCGTGGGTGCGGGGTCGGGTGGGACGAGTGTCGGGGATCCGAATGCTGGGTCGGAGGTGGCGGTTGATCCGTTTGCGGGGAAGACGGTTGGGGTGGCGGATAAGGTTGGAGCGGCGGTCTTGACGTTGTTTGTGGTTGGGGGCATGGTTGGGGGGGCGGCGTGGATGATTAATCCGTTTGCGCAGGATTGAGGGAGTTGGGAGGATGGGGGGTTAAGAGGAGGAGAAGAGGTGTCTTATTATGTTGATTGGGTAGTTGGTTGGGGGGCGTTTGAACAGATATACCATATTTTGCATTTCTGGTGGGCGTTTATATATGTCGAATGTTTGTTTTTTTCTTTCTGGGTAGGAGGAGGGCACATAGGGTGTGGTGTGTATTGGAGCTAGTGTAGTTTATAACTTGACTGTAGACTGTTAGGACTGCGAGCACCCTTGTGTGCGTGCGTGCGTGCGTGCGTGCGTGCGTGCGTGTGTATGCTTTTAAAAAGCTCTGAATGTAGAGTAATTCCGACGTACGTACGTACATACATACATACATATCTTGTCCAAGAAACAACGCCGACTTTCTTTAGTACAGGGTACACACACCTCCTCCTCATCATCATAAGATGCTTTCCAGATGTTTTGATCGTTAGGTTTTTTTTTTTACTTTAGCCGGGGGTGTTGGGGGACAGAGTTTTGAACAATACCAACTACCAAGTCATCCCCTGCCTGACACGACATGTCGAGCTCTCTGGAGTGAGTCCGATAATGACATACCCAAAGTCACCCCGATTTTGTGGTTTTTTTTCGTGCTTCTTCTTCTCCTTCTTCTTCTTCTGCTTCTTCTTCTCTGTCTCTCTCTCTCTCTCTTTCTCTCTCTCTGTCTGTACATTATCCCCAGGGTGTATCATGAATTATACAAATCGCTTTGTTTCAACTTCCGAGGAATTCGGTCCATATACATATATATATCCCAACGGGTATACTCTTTTACAAGAATGGCCAGAAGTGTTCTTTCTTTTTCCTTCTCTTTTTTTTCTTCTTCTTTTCTTTACGAATTAATGACATGACTATTACATTCGAGCACATTGGCTTTTTTTTGGTGTTTGCGTTTAGGCTGATTACATGTCTTATTGCATTCCTGGAGCGGTCGGGGGTCCAGCACCGTGTCCTTGTGGGAGGTTTTGTCGCTGCTGTGGTCCCGGCGAGTTCTTGACCGTCTGCGAGCCCTTCCAGCCCGGGAACAGGGCTTGTAGGCGCGCGTACATCTCTTTCAGGGCAGGGGGTGACGCAGGCGCTGTCATGATCGCGGGCCCGGGCTGGACTTGTCCCACTTTACCGCCATATCGCTCGGCCGTGGAGGCTTGGTAGGCGAGGTTGGACTGGAGTCGACGGAGAAGCCTAATTTTTTTTAGCTGGAATTGGCAAACGTTCCACCCACAGTGTGTGTGCTGACGTGCGCGCTGTTTCATGACGTCTGGATACGTACTCGAGATAGTCTTTGGACGCCTGTTGCTGGCCGTCTGGTTTCATGCCACCTCCTGGTCCAACAGGGCCGTCTGTGCCACCACCTGCACCGCCTTTGCCCTGGCTCTGTAGAATGGACAGCTCTTGCAGTAGCTCCGAGTTGATGTCTAGTAACAGCGTCATTCGCTCTCGCTCTTTCGCTTGTCCCTCTGGCGTGATGGGCGATTGGGGGACTGGTCTCGTCTGGACAGGCGCGCCTTGCTGCGCGAGCGGCTGTGTAGATGTTGGTGCGGCCATTGGCGAAGGCTGATTGGAGTCGGATTGAGGAGGAGGAGGAGGTGGTAGTGGAGGCTGTGAGGTTTGCGGGGTGGTTGAGTAGATTGAGGCGTGGGTTTGCGGCGAGGATGTTTGTAGACCTATGTTTTGCGCAAACTTCTGGGCTGGCGCTCCAGGCGCTGTGGGACTGATCTGTGTATGCGGATGGCCCTGGGAGTAAGGAAGGTTCTGCTGGTAGAATTGCTGAGGGCCTGGAAAGAGAGTCAGCGCCAGAGCTGTGTGATGGTTACGAGATATTATGGCGCACAGGCGAGCTGAAGGGACTGCACTGGGGCATGAGGGAGGGGGTTGGTAAGGTAGATGGGTAGGTAGGTAAGGTAGGTAGGCATGAAGCATCGAACGTTCGACCAGTCACACTGAGTAAGTAATAGCAGAAGGATATGGACTTACCACCTCGTGGCATCTGGCCTTGCTGGTGCATTGACGGTGACGGGCCAGCATTACCCATTGCATGCTGCGCGCCATGGTACTGGTACGGGTGCTGCTGGTTCTGGAGTGTGGGGTGTGGCTGGTTCGCAGCAGAGTGATGATTATAATCCATCAGGGCGATTCATTGGCTCGAAGTCTGATACATTTGGGTTAGACAGATATGGATAGCGATACGAAGCTGAGCGGTGTTGGAGGATCTGCGAAAGCTTGAGCGCTGTAGTGTAGTAACACACCGAGAAGTGACAAGTGGAGTGACGGGAGGAAAAAGGCACGTCCTGTTTTCTGCCTAGGGCCGACACTAGTTGTCGGAGCTTATGGATAGGTCAGATCATGTTGTGTGTTTGTTGTGTATGTCTTCAGTCGCGACCGCGTTTGCAGCAGCACAATCACACATGGTGAGTGTTTAGGCACACGGTAATTACATGACAAAACAAAAATGTAGAAAAGGGACCGAGAACATGGGATTTGTTATCTTAACAGATGGGATGGAGACGGGATATCAATATCGCGTGGCCAGACTGCACAGACCACACAATATCCACCTCTGTGACTCTATAGGCCTGTCTGTATACTTTTCTTTGGCGCCATCGATATACCCATGCTATGCATCATCTCGGCACCTAGGTTTACGTATCATGGGCGAGGCGTGTATGATCATATACTAGGAACTAGCAGATGGCTGTGCTGTATTCATTATAAAGACCATCGCATCGAGTCATCACGAATTCTAGAACCGCACCAGAAAGAATCATTCCAACGAGAACTAGACAGACAGATCCAAGCAGTATTGAGCAAATAGTTGAGCGAGGACAGAGTCTTGGAATCGCAAACGCTCTGCCTTGATCACGACGCTCAAAGTCTCAAAATACTCGATGGAGTTTCTAGGCAGTGGAGTCTTGGCAACTTTGTGGGAAAGGTGGAAGTGAGTGACATGTGGGTTTCGTTGCAGAGGATTAGGAAGATATGTATCCACTCCTGGATGGATGTACAGTAGAGAGAGTAATCGTTAATATGTGTCTAGTGTTCTGGTCTATTTTTGTTAAATATGAAGGATGTCGGACCATTATCGTTCCTGATGGAAATTCGCCGGCATCACAGACCTAGCCAAATCCTTAGCCAAGCAAAAGAGAGCCAGGTAGTGTGACATATCGCGACATGGCATAACCGCCCTGTGACATGGACGTGGCTTGGTAGCACAGAAACTGCTGCAGGGCTTTCAGTGGAGGTCTACTGTCTGGACAGGCACAGAGGAATGATAACAATGATGAAAGGTATATAATAAAACAGTCACGCGAGGAGGACTTGCATTAGAGTGAACAGGAGGCTGCACTAGAGAGTAGTAGAGGGCAGTCCGGTGTTCGCTAAGCCGGATGGACCCAGTGAGTTTTGTTGTTGATGCGGGGAAGGGAGAGAGAGAGAGTTGAGTAAGGGGAGCGAGACACACGGAGAGAGACAAACAGACAAACAGGGGGCGGCGAGTGTTGTTCATCACCACCGGCTCTCATCATTATTAATATTTGTTTTTCTTTTTGCTTCGTGGCAGTCGGCAAAACTGCAGCAGGAGAGTGTGAGATATTTTTAATATATAATCAGCAGCATCTGGCCGTCGAACCCGCGAGAGGAGCGGTGCTTGGCAGAGAGAGGTAGAGCCCTAGTGGAGAGAGGCAGACTGGCAGACCACACAGCTAATTAATAATTACTGTGAGCTACCTCTAACAGTCAGTACCCGCAAAGCCCGCCCGATTAACCTCGCCAACCCTACCACCTAATAGTACCCTACCACCACCAAACTACCCTACCAACTACCCTACCATTACCCACCTAACCCACCTATTAATCCACCCAAACCACCCGCCCAAAACCTTGGAAGAGTGCAAGCAGCTCGTGCACCTGAAAGTCAACCAGCACACACACAGACACACAGACACACAGACACACACACACACACACACACACACACACACACACACACACACACACACCGTCCGAGCACACAGATGCACAGTCCGCTCATTCCTCAGGCTCTGCTCTCTCTCCCATTCGACCCATAGACCCATAGATCATGACCACCACTCCTCCTCTCCTCTCCAGACTTCTAGCTCCTCTTCACTCCACAAACTTGAATTGTTCTTCCTCTCCCATCCTTTCTCCCACCCACGACCACGACCACGGCCACGACCACGGCCTTCCTCTGACCTCCTATCCCTCCCACTCTTCCTCCGACTCCGCAAACATTCGCCGACTTCCGCACCGTCACTTGTTAACCCCTTCTTCGGAGAAGATGGGCGGCGATGGTACCCATAGCCACGCCCGTCGAAGGAGCTCCTCCCTAGCAAGCGTTGCAAGCGTCTTTGGTCAAGGCAGTCTGAAACCGTCAAGCAAGAGGCCACGCCGAAAACCACACAATTCTGGCAATATCCCAGAAGACGACGAAGAAGCCTACTCAGATGACTATGTTTCCGGTTCTGCAAACTCTGCTGGTTCCGGTTCGGATGGGGACACTCCACGCTCAGACGACGGTCTGGAAGACGACGAAGAGACTGGCTTGACGGGCAAGGAGAGACAGAAGCGTCGTCGGAGAAAGAGGCGGAACACACACCTGGATGAGCGTATTGCTGGTGACACTACCATCTCCCATTCCGAGGCAAAACTGGCAAGGAGGGTTGTGATACGAGAGGTGGTCATAAATACCGTTCTTATATGTCTTTGGTATGACGTCTTGCTGTCTTTTCGCGCGCTACTTGACTTGATGCTGACAATTCTTCAGGTATCTCTTTTCAGTCGCCATATCTTTAGTAACTTCTTCCCTCTCTCCAGCTCGCCCTCACTCGCCTTGCTAACAGGTCTGCAGTACAACAAATGGATGTTCAAAGACGACTCGAATCCCGATAAACCAAACATCTTTCCTTACCCTCTCTTTACCACATGTCTGCACCAGGTCGTGCAATTCACACTAGCCTCACTTGTTCTCTTCATCTTCCCTTCCCTACGACCACGAAACGACTCAATCAACTCACACAATAGCGCTTCTGCGCGGCAAGACTCTATTGATCCGAAGAAGCCTTTGATGACGAAATGGTTTTACATTACTCGTATTGGTCCTTGTGGCATCGGTAACGCGCTAGATATTGGGCTAGGAAACATGAGTCTGAAGTTCATCTCATTGACATTTTTCAGTAAGTCTACACACTGTTGCGAACCGACTCAAATTCACTAACATTACGCCAGCCATGTGTAAATCGTCCGCCTTGGGTTTCGTCCTTATTTTCGCATTCCTTTTCCGCCTCGAGAAGCCTTCATGGAAGCTTGTGGGCATAATAGCAACAATGACCGTTGGTGTGATTATGATGGTCTTTGGAGAGACTGCATTCAGGCTTCTCGGTTTCATCCTCGTCATGACCGCCTCTTGCGCTTCAGGCTTCCGCTGGTCCCTCACTCAAATCCTTCTCCTCCGCAACCCCGCTACTTCCAATCCCTTCTCTACCAGCTTCTTCCTCGCGCCCGTCATGTTTGTCTGTCTGCTGGTGCTTGCGTTGCCTGTTGAAGGAGTCCCTGCACTCATGGAGGGTCTGCACACTTTGATGGAGGCGCGCGGCAAGCTTATGGGTGTCTTGATTCTGCTCTTCCCGGGTTGTCTCGCATTTTGCATGACTGTCTCGGAATTCGCTCTGCTGAAGCGGACTAGCGTCGTAACCTTGTCTATCTGCGGCATATTCAAGGAGGTCGTAATGATTACCACTGCTTCGCTTGTCTTCGAAGACACACTTACACCGGTCAACATTTCCGGCCTCATCATCACCATTGCCAGCATCGGGACCTATAATTGGATCAAGATCAAACAGATGAACGAAGATGCAAGGAGGGATGCACATCTTGCCGCAGTAGACTATCAACCCGTCTTATCTTCGGAGCCATCAGAAGACTCGAGATCGGGCAGCGACCTTCCTCCGCGGCAGACCACCCGTCATCTCATCAACCATAGTCTGAGCATTCCTGCCGGCCAATTATTCCCTTCACCACAACCGCCCATGGTCGACAGCCCTGCACGAGCATCACCAGTCAAACGGCCGGAAAACCTTGACTAGGACTTTCTTAGAGCAAAATCTTTTGGGGTTCGTTCACATTCGGACTTTGGCTTCTACTATACGGTATACCCCCCTTTGCTTTGAAGAGCACACCTTTCTAGATTGGCGTGGGCCCCACGCGGCCTGCAGAACCAGTCTTGAACAAAAAACAAGCATCATCAGGCGTTTTGGGGGAATAATTACACCTTGCAGCATATTTGGAGTGCGCATGAGTCTGTAGTGGTGTGGCAAAGCAGGTTGCCGGAGGAGATTTTATACATTATCACCATGTAGACTGCCGGCCGGATCGGGAATTGGGAGGAGAAAAGACTGCCGGCCCGCGTCGCGACTGTACATCTTTCTTTTGTTCTTTGTCAGAGGAGGAGGAGGAGTGGGTGGTGGTGGTAAGGGTGGTGGTAAGGGTGGTGGTGGTAGTATAGCAATCGAATTAGTGGGCATGGCGTTTATTTGCCTGTCCCCGTTGGATGAGAATGGAATGCGGACTGTGGATTGTGGATTGTGAATTGTGAATTGACAATTGGGAATTCATGGCAGTGGTATTTATCGTACGGATACTACTACCTACCTACACTAGCTCAAGTCAATACTCCAGTCTTTTTTGCAGTCCTCCTGTCTTGAACTTTATTCTCATATTCTCTAGTGCTAATAATGACTGACGTCTTTTGTATAGGTATGGGTACGTGTGGTGTCGAGTTGCATGCATGCATGCGTCGTGTGTTGTCTTGTCTTTTGAGATGTATTTTCTCAGTGATGACGGAAGGAGAGGAGTGGTAGGTGGATAAGTTAGTCAGTCAGTCAGTCAGTCAGTCAGTTAGTTAGTTAGTCAGTCAGTCAGTCAGTTAGTTAGTTAGTCAGTCAGTCAGTCAGTCAGTCAGTCAGTCAGTCAGTCAGTCAGTCAGTCAGTCCCCCAGTCAGTCCCCCAGTCCCCCAGTCCGTCCTGGCCCTAATTAATAAAAATAAAGATCTAAGAAAAAAGTTGAAAAAGGCCGAACAGCCAGCAGCGACTAATCAAAGCATATCATACATACACTGCGACATAGCATGGCTTTTGTCTCGGTACTGATGTTGATATCTGTTACGTGCTTTCCTTCTTTCCTTCCTTCTTTCCTTCCTTCTTTCCTTCCTTCTTTCCTTCCTTCTTTCCTTCCTTCTTTTCTTGGGTGACGTATCAATGGAAACCAGATTTTTGCTTTGGATGAGACTGCCCTGTTGAGGGTTTTTAAAAATAGGCTTGTATAGCTTTTCTTGGGTTATGGAGAGCTATATATATATATATATATATATGGTTTGAAATTTGATGGTAGATGTTTGGGGGTTGTTAGGGATGATGATGGGTATGGATGTGGCCGAGCTGCAGGAGCCGTTAGTGGATGGATGTAGACGTCGTACATCATGATCAGCCCGTAAAACTGGTGATTGGGTTAATGATGTGGGAGAGAAGAACTGAACGAGCTTACGTTCTCGTGATGGCCAGCATGCATTCGCAGGAAGAACTGGATCCGGATCTACAAGGTGTGCGAGAGAGAGAGAGAGAGAGAGAGAGAGAGAGAGAGAGAGAGAGAGAGAGAGAGA